ACAGTCTCCCTCTTTTCCTGAATCATGGTCCTATCGATTTTTCGCTCTCGCCCTCTCTCCGCCCCCTTGACCGACTTGTGCCGTCGCCTGCCTCTCGCTCGATCTGCGGGGCTCGAAACTTGACTTTCCGAGAGCCCTCGCGGCCGAGCGGGACCGTCTGTCACCTTGGCCCCACATCCCGCTGCCGCTGGCTTTGATCGGTCAGCCGGGCGATCGCCGGCCGGGGGCCAACGCTCTCGGCCGACCTAGGACACAACAGGTTGAGCGTGGCCCTAGAGCCGAGTGGCGCCGGCTATTCCGAGCTCGCGAGCCCGCGGTCAAAGGTGTTGCACGTGTTTACGAGGGACTCCGGCCGAGCGAGCCAGCGGAGTGGGTTAGCCGTTCCAAACTTGGCTCGCCTGCCTGACCCACTGCTGCCGGGACCGCGCTCTCTCTCTCTCTCTTTCTCTCTCTCGCACGCATGCGCTCCGAGGAGGCGGGCGGACGCCAAGCTGCCTAACCTTTCCCGATCGAGCTCGACCTCTCGCTAGCGGCCCTCGATGATTTACCGAGCGTCCTTGAGGCCCACGGCGGCAGCGCTATCGAGCATCCTCGGCGAATAAATAGCGCCCGAGCAAAGAGAGAGGAGAGAGAGAGAGAGAGAGAGAGAGAGGAGATGAGAGAGAGAGGAGAGAGAGAGAGAGAGAGAGAGAGAGGAGAGAGAGAAAGTGAGGAAAAGCCCTTGGCGCTCGTTGCTGACGGCGGCGCGCAAGGCAGGGAAAAAAGAGCAGCGAAAGAGAGAGAGAGAGAGAAAGAGAGCGAGAGAGAGCCGATGAAGCGACGGCCGACTGTATCGCGCGCCGTCGCTATTTCATACTTGCACGGCGCCAAGCGCGGCCTACCTGCGCTTTATTTTTACATCGGCGCGCGCTTCGCTCCTGTTTTGCCGGGCTAACCTTTTCATTGTTTTCAGAGAGCGCCAAGGGGAAAGCGACGCAGTAATAATAGCAGGAGCTTGCGCGCAACCAACGGACCGAGGCTAAGTATCAAAGCGAGCCGCTATCCCTCGCTGCTCGCCCGTTTTTTATTTTCTTTTTTTTTTCTTTTTCATTTTTTTTTTCTTTTATCCCTTTTTTTTCTCTCTCTTTCTTGTCCCTTAGCGCCGCGTCCGCCACCGCGAGGGGAGGCCGTCTCCGATATCGATGTCACGCGTGCACCGCTCGCTCCGAATTTCATACTCCCCCGAGCGCGATAACGATCGATGGAGCCCCCGAGTCCCCTTCTTTTTAATCGCGGAGAGATTAGTCGGCGAGCGCGCGCGCTCTCCCTATGCCTCTCGGCGCTGGAGAGCGCGCAGCGGCTAAATTTACGGAAAGCAGAGGGAAAAAAATAGCAGCGGACCCAAGTGGGCAAAGAAACGGGGGCGGACTGGCTACCGTTGGCGCCGCTGCAGGCTGCCGCCGAGCGGCGAACGGTCCGCGCGCAGCCTCCGACGCGCGATCGCGCCGCGATCTCTCGCCCTCCGTCCGCCAATCAATGATCGGTCGGCGCGCCAGTCGACCAGTTCGCCGGGCATCCGCGCTCCTCGTCGATCGATCGGGCCTCGCTCGGGCGAGCTCCGGGAGCAGCGCCGAGAGCCGCGCGCGCCGCGACGCCAAGGTCAAGTCGAGCCCGCTGCACACTTGGCAGGCGCGTCGCCCGCTGGCCGCGGGTGGCCCGTCCATCAGTCGGGCGGCGAGAGGCACGGCCTCGCGCCGTCGGCCGGCGGCTCGGCTGAATGAACGAGCCCGCGCGAGCCAGTGGGAGAGCGGAAAGCGACAAATCGTCCGAAAAATAACGGTTCGGCGACACGAGCATCGCGCGCGCGAGAACGCAAGAATAGCCGGTGGGCGGCCGCCGATGCGAGGCGAGGCGTTTCTCGCGCCTCCGCTCGCCGTCGCGGCGGGCCGTGGGCGAGCGAGCTGCCAAGCCAATCCAGAATCCGCACGCGCGCGTACGCACCAAACGCGGGCGCCTCCGCGAGACCGCGAGGGGGGTCGCGAGGGGGGTCGCGAGGGGCTGTGTCGCGAGGCTGGGTGGCAAGTGGGTGGCGCTGGCCCGACGTTCTAACCTCAAAACTGGGCGAAAACAGGAGGAGAGCGCGAGAACCGTCCGAGCGCGATACTCACTCTTGATCACCCTCTCCGTGGTGGAGAGCTTCTGCGTGTTGTTGGAGCTCATGGCGTGGCGTGGCGAGTGCGGGGCGTCGACGATCAGGCTCCGCGTCGCTGTGGACGTGCTCCTGCTGTCGCTGGTGCTGGCGCGCTGCGTCGCTCGCTCAGGCGCGACCACTCATCTCTCTCGCCAGGTGGGGAATTCGGCGGCGGGCTGCGGCTGCGGCTGCGGCTGCGGCGACGGCGACGGCGACGACGACGACGACAACAACAAAGCGCGCACCGAGGACGGGGAAATGTGGAAGGGCGGGGGCTGGACGGGAGGGGGTCCTCGAGCCTCGGGCCTGAGCACTTGACGCACTGGGCTCTTGCACGTACACCTTGTGCCTGTCCTTGCTGAGCCCGCCTTCCACGAGAAGCGCGCGCTTGCGGTCTCCTGCTCCCTGCCTCGACGAGCTGCTCGGCTCTCTTTCAAGTATAACTGCACTGAACACTCGCGCACCGTATCATCCTTGGAGCGGCCTGGGAAATACCAGCCTCGAGCATGTGTAGCCGCGGCGAGATTAGGCGAACCGAGCTCTCTGCCTCCACGACCACTCGGGTGGCTCGCTACTACTGCTGCTTCGCGCCACTGCTTCTGCTGCTTCTACTGCTGCTACTTCTACTGCTGCTACTGCTACTGCTACTGCTACTGCTGGTGCTGCTGCTGCTGAGGTCGTAGGCATTCGGCCGCCTCTAGCGATCAACTTCTCTCTTCCTCCTTCTCCTCTCGTTCGTTCCGCTGCCGCCGCTCTTTTCCTCTCTCTCTCTCTCTTTCTCTCTCTATCTCTCTTCCTCCTCCTCTCTCGCTCTTCGGACTACGTTTTGTACGCGAGTGGTCTTGGTTCGTCGTTGCCGTCTTCTTCTGGGCAGCTCTCAGCTACGAACGCTCGGCTAGCGATGAGCGCGAACGGGAGGAGAAGAAGAGAGAAAGCTCAAAGTCTGAGTGAGTGAGAGAGGAGGGAAGACGAGAGGAGGAGAGAGACAGAGTGTTGGTGGTTCTGTTGGTGGAGACACCTGGCGCGCTGGGCTGCTGATGGCTTCTGCTGCTGCTGCTTCTTTTCCACGAATCTGACTACTGAATTTCGTGGAACACAGCCGAGAGTTTCGACGAGACGTGCGTGTATGCCCCCCCCCCGTTGACGTCCAGGTCCGGAGTTTGATAGCGCTGCTTTGTCGAGAGTTACTGCGAGGTACGAATGGTCAGCTGCTCTCAGGCACTGCTGCAGACGATGGCGGCGGCGATACACATTGTTTTGAAGTCGGCTGCTGCTGCTGCTCGCTGAGAGGAGGATTGGTGTGCGCTGCTGCTCTGGCTAGTCGAGAGAGTGCACGGGGCCGATGGGGGCGACGCTGGCGCTAGCGCGCATATATTGACGCGGCGCTGCCGACTAGGCGAGGCGAGTAGCGCTAATTCTCGTTCTCTCTCTTTCTCTCCCTATCTCTCTCTCTCTCGCACTCTCTCTCTCTCTCTCTCTCTCTCTCTCTCTCTCTCTCTCTCTTTCACTCACTCTGCCTCGACGACGACGGCGACAACCTAACCGCAACAACAGCTTGCACTCACTCGTCTTCTGTCGGCACTCGCGGCTGCACTCTGGCCAGTGGTCCGCGGGGCCGAATCGAAGGCCGCGATCGATCAGTCCGTCTCGGCTGCTGCTGCTGCGTTGCTCGACGCCGTTACGCGCGCACACCGAGCGAGATACTGGCGAAGCGCGGTACGCTTGTGATGCCCGCTGCGAGCCAGTCGTCTACGTCGTAACCTCGCTCAGCTCAGCGATCCCTTGGTCGATCCGTGCGTGCGGCTACGACAACTTGCTTGCCTGCCTGCCTCTGCTCTTCTGCTACACGTACGAGTCGCGAGCGCCGAAGCAGCTTTCTCTCTGCGGCCGCGACTGCGTACCACTCGCGTGCGTGCGTCCACGTCGCTGTGTGTGGGTAAACCTAGCGTGTAAGTATAGCGCATACGCCGCGAGCTTCGACTGGTGCGCGCGCTGCGCTGGCACCTATATGCTCTCCCTCTCGCCGCGCCACTCCCCTCCTCGTCAACCGCAGCACCGCTGCTGCCATGCGCTGTGCTTGCTTGCTTGCTTGCCTGCCTGCCTGCCTGCCTGCCTGCCTGCCTGCCTGCCTGCCTGCCTGCCTCACACTTTCGCCTCTCTTGCTGGGCTTCGATTTGTCCTGGCTGTTGTCCCGCAGGTGAATTCTGCCCGCGAAAGCTCTCCACTCGATGACGGTCACTCGCCGTCAGCGCGATTAATTCCATTGGCCAAAGCCGCCGAGCTCGTCAGCCCTATTGTGCTGCGCGACTCGTTCAAACGTCCACGCGTTTCGAAAGCTCGCGCCCGAGCTTGTAAACGGACGCAATCGCGTGCCGATGAAATTCAAAAAGCAACAACAACGTCCGTTTTCCAATCTTCTTGAAAAGATTGCTCGTTTCAGTGTCGCGTGGGAGGATGGAGACGAATGGACGCGGGAGCGCGTCATCCACAATTCCCTCGCATCCGTTGTCGGCTTTCAAATCTAAGAGCATCGATCTACTTGCCGTGGGCCAGATATACTTCGCTCGAGAACGCAGGGAACGAGCGTATGGGAGGTCGACGCGCTACGCTCCTGCTGCCATTGACGGCCGCCAGCTGCGTGAATGGGACCAAATGATCGACACTTGGCTCTCGAGCCCTAACTCGGTATTTCACGCTCGACCCGAACGACTGATCGCCCGTCTATTCGCGCGCGCCTGTTACCGCGAGTCCCCCACTGAAAGAGAGAGAGAGAGAGAGTGAGAGAGAGCGCGCGCGCGACAGGTCGTCCCGCTAGCGCATAGAGCCCGCGCCGCTGACGCGCGCAGCCAAGTAGTAGGACTCGAGCTGCGGACCGACGTTGAAATGCAATCGCGCGCGACGGCCAAGCGGCAGCCCATCGGGCACCGGAGAGCTCGAGGGTCGGCCGTGATCGGTCGCGGATTTGCTCGCGAGAGCGGCCTTAACGAGCGCGCCGGAGGCGCTCGGCGCCGACGCAGCCACTTGGCTCGATCGCTCGCTCGGCGCGAGCTTATATTTAGCGCCGTGGTGTTGCCCAACGCGCCACGCGACTTTTTCGCGCTCGCCTCGCGTGTCGCAAGCGGGCCGCTTCGCGGTGCGGGCTTCGGGCGCACTGGTCAATTTATCACGCCCTGTGCGAGGTGGCCGCTCGGAGTGCGCGTTCAAACTTGGCGCGTTCACTCGCGCACGCATGTACACGACGCGGTTTGCAAGCTTGCGTGTGCCGTGTGCCACGCTCACGTTCCTTTTTTCACAATTCTACGCTGAAATCACGTGCCCGATACCTTAAAGGGGCATCAGTCACGTTAACAACGTGTGGCGTGTGTGTGTACTACTGTGGGCAAAAAGTAAGGTGAATTTGTTTGTAAAATGAAAAATCTTTATTTATTCTTCTACATCAATGTCATCCCCTTCGAAGTAATCCCCTCCCGATAAAATACACTTATGCCAACGTTTTTTCCAATCCTCGAAACATGCCAAATAGTCCCTTTCCGGTATAGCCATCAGCGCCTTCTTCGATTCAGCTCTTATCTCCTCAATCGACTCGAAACGCGTTCCCCGAAGTGGTCTCTTGAGTTTTGGGAATAGCCAGAAGTCACACGGAGCCAAATCAGGCGAATACGGTGGTTGCGGAACGATATGCGTCGAATTTTTGGCGAAATGGTCACGAAGAACGAGTGCAGTGTGAGATGTTGCATTATCGTGATGCAAAAACCAAGAGTTGTTGGCCCATAATTCTGGTCTTTTTAGACGAATTGCTTCACGCAAACGACGCATAACGCTCAAATAATATTCCTTATTAACAGTTTGGCCGGGTGGAAGGAATTCATAGTGCACCACACCACGAAAATCGAAGAAAACTGTCATCATGACCTTGATTTTTTAACGACTTTGACGTGCTCTTTTCGGTCTGGCCTCGCCTTTAGCACGATATTCGCTTGATTGGTCGGTTGTTTCAGGGTCGTAAGCATAAATCCAAGTCTCATCTCCCGTAATCATGCATTTGAGCTTGTCCTGATAGTCAGAAAGCATTGTTTCACACACATCAACGCGGCGACTTTTTTGCAAGAAATTGAGCGTTTTCGGTACCAAACGAGATTTAACTTTTTGTAGGCCCAAATGGTCTTTCAAAATTGTTTTCACAGATTCTTCTGATATTCCGATCATATCAGTAAGGTCTCTAACAGTCAACCGACGATTTTCGAGCACTAATTCCTTCACTTTATTGACGTGTTGGTCATCTGTTGACGTCGATTGTCGTCCGGAGCGCTCCAAGTCATCAACACGTTCTCGACCCTCTTTGAAGTCTTTGTACCACTTATAAACATTTTTCTGCGACATGGTAGAATCACCAAAGGCCTTCCGCAACATCCTCAACGTTTCCGCAGCCGAAATTTCATTCCGCAAACAAAATTTGATGGCACTTCTTTGCTCAATTAAATCAGACATTGTAAAAATCGAAACATGCACTCTTGGTCGTTTGGTAAACACAAGCGTAAATATATTACTGATAATGACATTGACATGAAATTTGTCCCAGATGTCATTCGCAGTCCTACCAACTCAAGAAAAAATGAACTAGCCCGAAATGTTAATCCCGCGAAGTTTAAATTGAAAATTCACCTTACTTTTTGCCCACAGTAGTATGTATGTATGTATGTATGTATGTATGTATGTATGTATGTATGTATATGTATATATGTATATATATATACATAGTTTCGTCTCAACTTCGTTTTTCACGCCAATAACAGCGAACAATTCTCACTCCAGCTTTCTAAATGTCGATGAGTGTATTGGACAAATAATTATAAATGTAAAGCATTGTACGTTGTCGATTGTTTAAATGTCAAATGATAAACGTAAATATGTGACCATCCGTGACGGTAACTCAAGCGTCATTATTGAGTAGACCTCCTAGCAGAAAGAACATTCCTCGTGCAATATAACTCTGAATTGTTATTATCTATTATTATGACGTTGCAAAAACAAAACACGGAGTACGGAGTAGGGTTACACGCACAGGGGGAGAGGGAGAGCGACAAACATACGCGATTCCAATGTAAATTGTAAAAGTAAATGTCGTCCAACACCCGCTGCTCATTGTCTAAGCTCCAGTTGCAACAAGGCCAGTCCAGTTCGATAATGTGCCTGTTCAGCCGCAGCTGCATTCTGCACTTGGTGCTCGCAACAGCAGGCGTGCGTGCATTTTAGCAACAATATGTCTTGTTCGCTCGCAGCCTAATCTTCATATCCATGACTTGTTTCGCCTGACATACACTGTGAGTTTCATCTTCGAGTTATTTTTCCGCATCAGCGTGATTATACCAACCGTATTCCAATGCAATCTTATCGACGCATTCTTACTTAATAACATATTTCCTTGTTTTTCACGATATTAATCGATATTACATTATCCGATTAATGCTACCGATTGATTGCTTTATTTTCGTGATGCACGGTATATACAATTCATACGTCAAAAATGCACCAATAGTTTTCTGATCAAACTTTCAACAATTTGCTACACTAGTTGTCTTGTTTTTCTGTACATTTCTTGGACGAACTAAACTGATTTTATTATTTTTTATCAGCCTAATCTTAACAATTTTATGAATTTTCAGCATAGCAATTAAGTTGTGTAATTGTACCTTAAATGAAAATCTTGCATTGGTAACATCGATAAAGAATGCAAAGAAATACAGATTTTCAGTAACATTTCATCCTAGTTTTTGTGGTAAATATCTACATATATATTATTTTCTTTTCAGTTTCCAGTTTAATAAAATTCAATCAATTTACCTTTCAGCATTGCTTTTTTATGTTTGTAGTGATACAGCAATTTAGAAAACTAATAAAAGATGCCTGCTAAACTGAGTAAGTTTGTAATTGATGTTTCGTGTAAGCAATATGCACATCCGTGGTCAGATTCCTGTATCAGTACCACTGCTGGATTAGGTCTGCAAGCAATACAAGAATGCCTTAGAATATATTCTACACTTTATTTTGTGAGTTTACATTTCTTTGCTCTAAAATTTGAATTATTATTACAAGATGTTCTATTTATTAAACCTTATTTTTAATTTTTAAAGTTAACTCTTTTGACAAAAGGAAGGGTTCCTAATCTAACTGATCTAAAAAAAACATTCATTAGCATTTTCCAATCAACTGCATTTTTATCATGGAGTGCATTTGCATATTCAATGTTTATTTGCATTTTCAGGTATTTACATTTTCCCTTTACTTTTGATGCCTAAGTAATGTATTGTAAGATTCAAACTTTGATTTAATTTTTATATTGCATTTTTTTAGGAGATTACTTGGAAACTTCAATATATTAACAGTATCATTTATTCCATCATTTTTCTCAAGTCTAACTGCAATAATTTTAGAAAGGCCATCAAGGCGTACTCTGTTGTGCTTATATGTTTCAAACATTGTAAGACTATTTTAATAAAAGAAATCATTACATTAGTAACTATTGCAATAAATATTCATAAATTTTCAGGCTACAGAGACATTGTTTAGGATGGCAGTTTATAGAGGATATGTGCCTGTTGTACCACAAGGACAAGTGTATATATTTGCTGCTGGAATGGCAACTTTGTTATATCTTTTTAGAAATAATAATAATAATTCTGATTCTATTTATAAAATATTAAGGTGAGGCTTAAATCCATATTTTCCTCTATTTACAATAGAATTAATTCCAGCAAACAATGCTTGGATAATGCAAATCAATTATTTAAATTTCTTGTAATGTATTAGGATTGTACTGGGTCCACACGAAGAAAAAGGGTATATTTATCAAAACAACACTCAGTTGTCAGATACATCTCGAAATAAAACTGCCCAAGATAAAGATGATAGATATCAAAAGAAATTTTCGAAATCTAACTTCTACATAGTACAAAGAGCATTAAAATTATATAAAGATCTGATAGATAAAATAAAAAAAGTTGGAGGTAGACACCATACATGTCCACATCCAAATAGTTGTGTTCATTATACAATGACAGTAAGAATAAAGTATTATCAATATTTATTTGCTACTATTCCATATACAAATATTCATGATTTCAAATGTTATAGGGTGGATTGAAAATGTTCAGCATAGGTTTCTGTGTTGAAGTTGGACTTAAATTGATTTTTCAACTGAAGAATATAATTAAAAGACCAAAGCATCTTCGAGAAATAATATTCAAAAAAGGAAACTTAAATTTAGCGTGCTTTCTGGGAGGATTCGCTGCCTTATACAAAGTAAGTTTTTATTTAAAAAGTGGAATTGAGGCCTCACTTAAACCATAATGAAAAGTAATCATTATAATTTCAATATTTAGTTAGTTTCATGTTCACTGAGAAGAATCAATAATAAAGATTCGCCAAACTATGCTGTAATTGCTGGTTTAATAGCAAGTACATTTTTTGCAATGTATCCGGATAATACAATTGCTCTATACATAGCATGGAAGGCTCTTCAGGTAATTTTTTAAATTAAAATAATTATGTAATTATATAATTTTCATAATATATTCAATTTAAATAATTGTTTTTTTCTAATTTGCAGCTTACATGGAATAAAGGAGTCGAGTTAGGAAAAGTACCTGAAGTTAAGTGGTTTGTGATATTTTTATACTGTTTTAGTACGGCGACTTTATTTCATGCTGCAATCGTAGAGCCGCAAAATTTAAGAATTTCATATTGGAAATTTTTGTACGATCTTTCTGGAGGAAGGTAGATAGATATTTTTATAATTATTATTTCCATATAATTTAGATATTTGCATTAAATTTGTGCGTAACAAATTTGTTTCAGAATTGCTGTTATGTCTCGTATACCCATAAACGAATTTGGTTTAGATTCATATAAGCATCTGCAAGATATTTTGCGGAAAACTCGGACACATGATAAACATATCTATAGCTTTTGAATAAGAACATTGATAGTTAATGATACTAATGCGATTCCTGAATCGCTGGCATTTGAATGCCTGAATCAAATGGTGCACTGATATTTAGTAATTTTTTTACAAACTACTTTTATTATTAGATTATTACAACATGGTTTCTAGATACAAAAAAAATACTATAGCATTAACATACTAAATGGAGTTTAAAGATGAAAATAATCAAAGTAAACAAAATGAAAGCATGTAGCTATGCTACTGCATATTCACGTTGAACATAGTAAATCCATCCAATAAATCAATGAATTTATTGGATGGATAGTTCTAATAGTTTAATGATGCTGAATAATGCAAAAATTTCCACGTTTATGAACTCTACTTATTTTTTCATCTTCTACAATGAAACAAGTATCATAACAAGATATTTTGTAGTATATTTATGTTTTAAATTATTGGTGAACGTTTTTTTCTTTGTTGTTGCAATTGGAAGATTGGTGATATTTGTTAGAACTTTAATAGAAAGGGTTTGGTTAAAACAATAATATTATCAGTACATGTTTTGAAAACATTTAGTGTTTTTACTTTTATCCTAATATTTTCAATTATAATATAAAAAATAATTACATTTATACAAATGTCAGCCTGCAAAATAACAAATGTAATATTCAATTTAATATTCGATTTAACAATTAGTTGTCCGGTTTAAATTTAGCTTTGGTTTTGCATACTCTTGACATTTTCAACTACCCGACTAATAACAGTAATTTCACTCGGCATTGATTTCTTTTTTGTTTGCTTTTTTTTCTTTATTATATTTTCCCATTGAATTTTACTGTGTAATTTTAACCTGTTCGAATCGATAATTTTTGGCATTTCGGTGTTTCTAATGATAGCATAGCGAATGTCAGACTGTGGCACCGTCATCGGTTCGATTGGTTGAAAATCGTTTATTTTCCACGGTAAAGTGCCAATTGGGCATAAGCTCCAATCATGATTTGCTGAAATTTATAATTTTTTATTATTATCAGAACCCTTTCCTGAAATAAGTATTGCAAACATACCATCAGCAATATTCCACTTGGTATTACGAATTTTACGATCTGCCCACGGCTCTGTATGTTCAGTGTTTTGTCGCGTACATTTTCTTTGTTCAATTTTTTTTATATTTGTAACAGTATAGATTTGATCAGTATCACACGTATTTGCAGTTTCCATTTTATCCTGCTTAGAATATGATTGTACTTTCAAAAGTTCTAATATTTTATCTTTAGTATTCGGATCATGGCTAAGAAAAGACGATATTTTCAAGATTTCAGGAACATAATGTTCAGAAAATTCATTAGAATGTAAAATGAGCCTCTTCACGAAAGATTTTTCCGTCAAACAATGCGGAAACTCTCCATGTATATTCAAAGAAAAAACATTCCTTAACTCTGGGTATCTTTTATTGACTTGTTGGTGAACATTGTCAATCAAAACTTTGTTAGAGAATGAATTTCCAACGTCATCAATATCTTGTTCCAGAGTTTGGTAGATACTTCTGGCTATCTTTTGTTTATTATAGGCTTGAGCTAAAGTTTTCACCCACAAAGCTGCTAGCAGCTTTCTATTTTGATCTTTCTCGTCTTTTATCAATTCAATAAGTTCCAAGAAAAGTAATAATAACAACTTTTTTTCTTGTAGCAAAAGTAAAATATTTTCCCAAAAGTCAATTAAATTGATTGGTAAACAATTTTTCACTGTTGCATTTGATTCTTCCGTAAAGAGAAATAAAATTTCTGAACTTGTTAAAAATGCTTCATTATTTAAAACTGAATCTATAAAAGATCTTCCTTTTCGTGAATAAGTATCATCTTTACTGAGACTTTTTGATAGTTCTAGTAGTAAAGTGTTTAATACTGACGTAAGTTTCATTTTATTGTTCATTACTTTGCTATTTGTTTTATTTACAACATTTTCAATTGTCTTCCTAAAATATTTTGTTTAAGAATTAATATTATATAGAATATTGAAATTATAGATAGTTTTCATACCTCATTTCTGCATCTGGAAGATCTGACACATAGGCATATTGAACTTTGATATATAAACTGACAGCTGTCCACAACTCAAATAAATCAATCAATGTTTTTTGCGATTCAGTTTCACTAGCCTCTGAATCATCTAATTCTGATGTTTGTAAATTATTTGCTTCTGCAGCCCAATACTCTTCCTTTAAAAAGCAATCGTAAGTATTTAGATAAAAAAATGGCAAATTTTTTTGTAGACTTGTTTAATACTCACATGTAGCCATGCCAGTAAAATATTTGCAACAATGCGCATAACATCAATGGATGGTAATTCATGGCCATGAGCAGTGTCATGTCGGAGGTCAACAATCCATTCAGGAATATTCAATTGCTTGGCAATAAGAAATAAAGAAGTCTGTTTTTTGTGGGCAATATTTGAAATGTGATTAAGAAATTTCATAATCGCAGTGGAGTACATCATACGCAAATCGTTTTCATAAGAATTAGGCATTTCACCGTTAGTAATTTTTGGAATCCATTCTTGATCACGGAGGCAAACTTGAATCAAACCAAGAGTGCATTCTACACCGACTGGTAACTTTGGTATTCTATAATTGCAGAAAATAAAAATTATCATTGTTTTACTGATATTTTTAAATTCAAAATTGCGTGTACAAAACCTGGCTTTCCAAACGAGTAAAATTTCGTGAGCTTCTATTTGCTCGGTAATGTCGCCAGAATAAATTTTCTTGTAAACACGATGCCATTCCTCCCTAAAATTGTAGACAAAACAGAAGACTTATAAAAATTTATTAACAACTGATTCCTTATATTAATACGTTTCATAATTGCACGAGAGGTTATAATCGATATCAGCGTTATATCATGATCAGCAAGGGTTTTATGAATAGAACAATTGGCTTTGATGGTTGAGTTTATGAATAATACAAAATTATCAGCTTAATTTCTCGTTATTACGTTTTTAATTATCAACTTACGTAGATGACCAAGGCACGTGTATCAATCCTTCTTGTTTGCCGGTCAACGCCATTTTATTTTTGCATCTGTTAGATTTCAGGCGCCTAATTCACAATATATAGGCATTCCAATAACACAATAGTAGCTAAGACTTTTTGAAAGGTTTTACAATATTTCGTGCATTAAATAAAACTTGACAGACTTTCTTAGTCGATCGGCGTTGCTTTAATTTTTTAATTATCATAAGTGTTGACCTTGTAGTAAGTAATATTAGGACGCAAAAAGGAGACAAATAGCTGTACGGCATTACTGTTAACAAGAGTTTCGACAACCAGAAACTCGCACATCACTTTTACGTAAATGTACTGTGAAGAAGAAAAAAAACAAAGAACTTCTAAAAAATAATTGAAATAAACTGTGATAAGGAGTCGATAACTGCTATCAACTTGAATAGAGAAAAATTAACATTTCGATAACATATTAGCTGATTGACCAGTGGTGAAGAAACTATGTATATAATGAACGAGTTCTGTGTCAATGGCCTGGTATCCATATAGATTCCACTTGGTGCATAAATACTAGAACATTTTTTATAATTCATCCAGCTGAATAGTTGAGTGCTAGCAGAATAAAGGATCGGTCGGGTCCGAGTGATTGACTTAGTTTTTATTAATAAACTGCGTACATTAAATTTTTAAAATACACATCAGGTTTCTTTGCAATTTAGTTTGTCATATTTATTATTGATTAGTAAAATTGAATTAGCCAGTGCATGATCAAACAGCTCGACTCAAGTCTCACGCAAGCCACTTGTCCAGTACGCTGGCGTTCGTCGGATGTGCCGCTTTTAACTGAACGAAGATCGGCCGCCAATTCGACTCGTGAATTTGTAAAAAGAGAAGGCAAGTATAGCTGCGATTATACGCCGAACGATGTGTACAACGAATGAAGCTCGGAGAACTTGGAATGTATGACTATACGCTCGCTAGCCACGATCAGACGTGAGCTTGGGGTGGTGTTTTGATCACCAGGCCGTATACAGTGTTGCAAAATTTCTTCGTAGTTGCTTTCTCATCATATAATATATAATATATTTATATGTATAATATATATATTTATATAATTTGTATAGTAAATATTATCACATTTAGATTGTGTAAGTCGTAGCACATATTTGCACGAACATTCTTTAAAAAAAGTATCGACATATAGTTATTATATATATATAATATATATATATATACGCTCGCTCTTGAATGGTAAAATTTCATAAATATTCCTTCAACATAACGCCCAACTAAGTATGCACAATTATTTCATTGACTTATTTACAGGATCGAATTCAAACGTGAAGTACGGGATAAATTGTCTCTTATATATAATAACCAAAACGAATAACATGATTTACTTCGTCAACGATCAAAAACTAATCACTCGATGCAACTGAAAAATTCATCTCGCGTATTAGGCGCTTTCTTCCGCATAACGCTCTTCTCGAATAAAATTTCAAGAGTAAATCCATAGAAAACGCATAACGGAACTAGTTGAATATATTCATTTAAATATACTAAACTCATCGGCATCGATCAAGAACCCACGATCCGATAGAGTTTGAAGGCAAGTCTTTTCAATGTTCGTCACCATTTTTTTTTTCATTTTTCGTTCGTTGTTAACTTATGTATTATACGCACATCTATAGAAATTTTCGATAGAAGGTCAATGTACATACACAGAGATTCAATATACACGGCTTGTTATCCGAAATCGCTGGCAATTATTGCGAGAAAATTGGAAGAAAATTCGATCTGATCGGCGATTAATAACTAACGGAGGCGTTGTAAGCTCACTTCGATCGTCGTGCGATTGCACGCAGATCGCCAAACAATGGCGAAGGGCAATTTGGAGCGTTGCGACTGCGTGAATTGAATGGTCTCCGGGGAGCGATCGAAGCCCCGCTCGACGCCTCCTCGCAGGATACGCCATTTGGCAAGACGAGCGACAACTACAACCTGCCGCGGCGTCACGCGTACAACAATCAAGGAATTGACGTGTCATTGAAAAATCGCAAACGTTAATCTGACGCTCGTGGCGATGCCAACGCAAACAATACACCAGCGGCATCGCCACGAAATAGTCCGTTGCTATTACTTACATCGATTATCTCCGCGAGACTTTCCCGATCATCTAGTCTTGGTCTAATCGCCGTATTGCCCAGAGTTAATCTCACATTTATACATAACCGCAGACGGAATCGTTCGTAGACATAAAAATATTGGCACGGAACAGCGTAGGTACTATTTTTCGTATGGGAAAAGTCAAATTTTCCCCTTAGTATAATAATATATCTGTTCGATAATAATTGATCAAATAGAGTCGAGTTTTGAGGAATAACATCTATGTTAAAGTTCTATCGAGCGCGCGACTTCCTTGCAGGAAGCTTCGGTGCGCACGCGAGTCGAACGCCGAGTCGTCGCGAACGCGCCAACGAAACGACGGTGCGCCAGAGCGGCCGTGGCCCGTTTCTCTCGCGTTGCTCCTCCTGGCGCCACGACTCGATGCGCGTCAGAGATCAGCGTCCCGTGATCGTCGCTTTTCTCTTTCCGACGAACGAGCGAAATAAAAACGACAAAATCAACGATGAATTTCGAATTTCAGCACAGCACCAAATTACTCGTCAGTCTTATTCGCCTGCTTGAGCTTGTTCTGCTCGATAGAGTAGGTCTGGACGACAAACAAGCCAACCAGCCGCGGCGCCTCCGAATCCCTACAGAAGCGAACCGCGGGCGGCGTTCGCTGGCCTCCCCGGCAAACGAACGCGATCGGAAACTGAAACGTGCTGGACGGAGCCGTGTGCGTGTGCGTGTGTCAGTGTGTCTGTGTCTGTGTCTGTGTCTGTGTGTGTGTGTGTGTGTGTGTGTGTGTGTGTGTGTGTGTGTGTGTGTGTGTGTTAGAGAGAACGCCGCGTAGTTGCCCGAACGACGAGCGAGCCGCGGCGCAATGAATCCCCGGTGAAACAATTGTTAATCTAGACGTCGAAGAGCGGCGCAGCGGAGCGTCGCAGCTGGCGGACATTGACCGTGTCGGGCAACTAGTCGGAGGAGCGGGCGGGCCCGGGCTCGAAGCCGGGCCCGGGCTCGGGCTCGGCGGGCTGCTCGGTACCGAGGAAGCTGGGCGCGCGCGGGCTGAAGGTGTCCTGGTAGAGGTTCTCCTTCTTGTGCACGCGGCGCACGTGGCTGCGCAGGTTGTCGCGGCGCGCGCTCCGGTAGCTGCAGTGCGGGCACAGGTGGGGCTTCTCGCCGGTGTGCATGCGCCGGTGCTGGATCAGCTGCAACGCAAGAGAACCCGGGTGGCTGAGCGAGGGAGCGCGCGGGCGCGGGGGCTCGAGGCTACCTTCTTGAGCTGGACCGTGCGGAAGATGCAGATGTCGCAGCAGAAGTAGCGGTTGTCGCGGTGGCGGCGCATGTGCTGGCTGAGGTCGAGTTCGGAGGAGCGGTCGGCGCCGCAGACGGCGCAGCTGACGCGGCTCTCGTGGGCGGTGCCGCGCGCGTGAGCGCGCAGGTGACGCTCGAACGCCTTCTCGATGGTGCAAGCGTAGGGGCACAGGCCGCAGCGGTACTCCTCGCGCTCGTACCTGCAACAGCCGCGCGCTCGTCAGGCCGTGGCACGCCCGCCGTTGCCGTCGCCGCCAGAGAGTACCTGTACCTGACGCGTTGCAGCGCCTGCAGGCCGCGCCGCCTGCCGGCCGGGCCCGCCGCCGAGCTCGTCGTCGCCGCCGCCGCCGCCGCCGCCGACTCGCCGTCCGCCGGCCTGGACGTGGACGCCTGCTGCTCGGCCGCGCGCTTCTGCCTCGCGCGCTTGCCCGCCGGCCGCTTGCGCTTCGCCGCCGGGCTGCTGCAGCGCGGACTGCTCTCCCTCGACCTGTGAATCCGACGCGTCGGCGGCTTTCGTATCTGGCGCGGCGCTCCGCTCTGGCGCGCACGCGCGGCACGTGCGCGCGGTCCGCTCGCCGCCCGATCGGGTCGGCGATCGGCCGGCCTCGTTCGCCGATCCCCGCCGGGGCCCAAGGCGAGCGCCGGTCGGCCGAGCTGCTGGTCCCGCTCGCGAGACGAGGAGCGTGGCGGAGGTGCCAGGCGACGTACTCACCGCGAGTCGGTGGCGGGCGCGGAGGAGCGCCGGCTGGAGCGGGACTCGGTGTCGGAGTCGGGCCCGAGGGCCGCCGCGCCGGCCGCCACGGCCGACAGCCGTCCGAGCATGCTGGCGTAGGCGCTGAGCATCCAGCTGTTCAGCGCGGGCAGCTCGGCCGCCGCGGCCGTCTCCTCCTCCTTCTGCACACAGAGCCGTGAATGGTGGTCGGGGAACCGGGCGACGGCGGGGGGCGCCGTACCGACCTCGTTGTCCTGGCGCGGCTCCGCGGGCTCGTCATCGCTGGCGCGGGCGTCGCGCCAGAGCCGCTGCGAGTGCAGCGCATGCAGCGAGTAGAGCGAGTTGAGCAGCAGGGCCGCGCTGCCCGGCAGCGACTGCTGCAGCTGCAGGCTCGCCAGGCCCAGGCCGCCGTCCAGCGGCCAGTCGGCCTCGCTGGCGCTGCTGCTGCCGCAGCTGCTGCTCCTGCCACCGCTCTCCTCCTCGTTGCTGGCCTCTACCGCAGTCTCCCCGTCGGCCTCCCTGGCTCCATATTCCATCTTGCGCCAGCCCCGGCCACACACACACACCTCGTCAGTTGGCTGATGCGCGCTCCCGTCTCGTCCCCGTCTCGTCCTCGTCGAGCTCGCGGGCTCGTTCGACTCGCGCCCGCGGGAAAAACAACCGAGCCGGCTATAAATAGCCGAGAGAGATGGAAGCTTCGACCGATGGCATAAAATTAGTCGAATCAATAACATTGCACCTCGTGCGCTTTTCCGCTTTGCGCCGCCAGCACAGCCCGACCGATATTTTGCTCGGCCCAACGACGATTCGGCCTCGCTTCCACTCTCGTTGTCTCGCGTTAATCGCGCCAATGCTTCACCGGAACGCAAACAAAGCAATCTTGTTTCAAACTTTTTCCAACAATTATTTTATTTCATTTTATTTTTTGCAATTACACGCGTAAGATCGATAAAAAACATGTTATGGGTCAACGACAAAGAGAGAGAACGAGAGAGAGAGAGATAGAGAGAGAAAGAGAGACAGAGCGAGAGAGAGGGAAAAGGAGCAAAGCGAACGCGACGGTCAATAAAATAATTTGGTGCAGTTCCATTGGTAAACAGGCATCGTGTCGCTGGCTGTACCGTACGCAGCATCCGCAAAGCAGCAGCGAGATGTGTGGCTGTGCGAGAGAGCGACACACACGCAGAGCTGTGGATGTAAAGCGTAGGCAGGCAAGCAGGCAGGCAGGGAGGCCGACAAGCAAGGAGGCAAGCAAGAGAATCGCGGCAGGTAGAGTGCAGCAGTCGGCGGAATAGTGAGCTTGCGACAGCTTGGCTGGCTCACTAGTCTCGGCCGCGAGAAGCGGAAACAAAGAGCGGCGGTCGAAGCGTACAATCGATGGCGAGGACGAGACGAGAGCTCGCGAGTGTACACTGCAGAAAGCGAGAGAGAGAGAAAAAGAGAGAGAAAAAGAGAGAGAGAGAGAGAAAGAGAGAGAAAGAGAGAGAGAGAGAGAGAGAGAGAGAGAGAGAGAGAGAGAGAGAGCGGACATGATGAGAAATGATGTATAAATATTTACGTGCTCGTGGAAAGGGCCGACGGAGAGATTGGGCGAGCGAGCGAGCGAGCGGTGGGCGAGAGGAGACCTAGGCCGCGGTGGCGCAGAGGAGCATCAGGCGAGCTCGTCGCTGCTATAGCTGCCGCTGACCCCGTCGTTTCGGCTGCAGCTCCGGTTCGGACTCGCGTTCGCCTGTGCCCGACTCAGCCTCCCGTTGGCGCCTTCGTCCTCGCGAGGCCATACGCACTCACGCGAGTCTGCACATGCAGTAACAGCGTCGGCAGCAGCGAGCTGGCTACGGCACCAGCAGCAGCCCGCGGCAGCGGCAGCCGCACGAGGGGAGGAGAGTTAGCGCGCCAGCGTGTCCCCCCACAATAGCCCTATTTATGATTGGGCAAAATTGCTTTCCATGCGCAGAATAAAATCCGACTATCTGCCCGGGGAAAAATCCCGCGTGTTGCCCCCTCTCCAGCTTACCCCGACAGCTATCCTCCCACCCCCGCCGTCGCGCGCTCCTCCCAACCCGCCGGCGGACCCCGTGTTGCCGCTGCCACCACCGCCACCACCGCCGACGAAGCTCTTTCATGCGACCTCGCCGCCCTTTCCTTGCCTTGCCCTTTCCTGCCCTCCTATCAATCGAGCAGACGAGTACCAGCCTTTCCCGCCAAGCTAGCGTCCCTTCAACAGACCTACGCAAATATTGTCGCTGTGTGGCCAATCCTTGCGTTCCCTTCGCCGCCTCCGACACCATCTGACCCGTACGCGCAAGCGCGCCGCAAGCTCGCTTGCTCCTGCGCCTCGTCGCTTTACTGTTCTGGCCAACCATCAACTTTGTTTCCAATCAATCAACTTTATTCGCAATCTAATAATATCAATAATCCAAAGGCTTGTACAATGATCGCAAAAGTGGTTCCGTAAAAATTACATTGCTTCATGATTCGGTTAATTCTTGTTCTCTCAACGGTCGATTCGTATAAAAATATATTTATCAAATATTTACGATGATTAAGTCCGCTTCCTTAAAATATATATAATATGTAAACGCATCTACTTTGGATCTAGTGCCGTCGCAGCCTCGTATGCCTGCACTTCTATGAGCAGCTTCTTCAATTGACTCACTGTCAAATTTGGCTTTTGCAACTGCAAAAAGATAAATAAATCGTTTTACTAAACGTGTCTTTTTTGTTCTCGAATATGTTCGATTAAATTAATGAACAACTAACTCGGATTTTGTTAAAAAGTGCGGACGACGGACTCGACGTCTTTCTGTGCAATCGCACAAGAGATGCATTCTTTGTGTGTTGCGCTAGCCTTTCCCAGCCTCCCGTTCTGTCGAGTATGTCTTTTATACGCTCGATGTGTACATCGGTGACTTTCTCGTCGCCCTGTCTCATCTGCTGTAATTGTAGTTGTTGTTGCGAAGTTAGTTTAGTGATTGTGGGTGTTGGCGTTGTAGGTTCTTTTGATGAGCTACGGTTGATACGCAGCATAGACCGTTCCAATAGCGGCATCTCATCTTCTGACTCTTCTTTCAAATCGAGCTCCTCTTCCAGCGGAATCTGTGGCTTTTGATGCTGGCTGAGCAGTTGCATCAACTGAAAGGCCATGTAATTAATCGTTTTTGTTCTTACTTAAACGGACTTATTTATTGTACATCCACGATGAACATTAAGGAGGAAAAAATGAGAAATTAAGGTTTACTTTAGGGTCATCACGTGCAAGATCGAATGACGATTCACCATCTCTCGACATGTCTTCGTCAGTGTCGCTATTTTCACTTTTTATCGTTGGCGTAGCTATGGTTGATTCATCCATAGCTGAAGGTATGGATAGTGGCTGTAAAGGTCATTAATTGATTATACCATAATTGCTATATAAGCTTTTGAGCATAATTCAATAAAACACAATTTTACTTACGATACTGTTATGATCTTCTTCTTCTTCCTCTCGAGTGGCATTGTTATTTCTAATGTTTGGATCGGCACCATGGTTTTTAAGAAGTCTTATAAGCTCTTCAGCGTATTTACCGCCCTTGACAACCGCGCTGTGCAAAGCAGTATTGCCTCCGAAGTTTTTCTCATTTACATTTATATTAGTCTACAGAGACACAAGATCGTTGGTGGACAAAATTGACAAATTATCGTAATATACATGGAAATAATAGTTACCTTAGTCAACAAGTAGTTAACAATATGAAAATGATTACTGTCAACAGCTATATGCAGAGCTGTTCTACCATATGACATATCTTTAGAATTAACGTCAGCCCCAGCTTCGTGAAGAGCTTTTACAGCGTACAGCGAACCTGCTTTTGCAGCTAAATGTAAAGCTGACCAGCCGGACTCTGTGTGAGCATCTAAACATATTTTATTGCCCGATTGAAGCAACTCAGCGAGGCTTCCATGTGCATCCACTTGATTAAGTTAAATTCAATCCAATCAATGATTTCAAACATTTACTTTTATATTCATATAGAAGAGACACTGATTTCAGAATACATACCCTTTACTGCGCTGTGCAAGGATGTGGCGTCTTCCTCATCACAAATGTTTGGATTAGCTCCAATTTTCAACAAAGCTCGTACTATTTCGGACTGATCCGCTAAAACGGCTAGGTGCAGCGGCGTCTGGAATAATTTTTTATCTCACTTTTACTGTTGAGTTCACAAGATCGGCTGATTTAAAAAATAAAATTAATCTAAATGTAACCTTTCCAGTACTATTCTGTAAATCAACAGTGCTCTTAAACATAGAATCCATTGCAATGCATGTGAGAATGCATTTTGCCGTTTCAAATTGTCCCATTCGTAAAGCAACATGTAGTGCAGTATCGCCAAAATTTATTGTTTCTTGTAATAAATCTTTTATATTCATCATCAAAGACTCTGATTTTCCGTTTTTTTCCATTTCATTGTAGACTGTAATAATTTGTTTCATCGTTTCTACTGCAAACTCCTAAAATAATTTCAATGGATTTAGTTATTAAACTGTAATTTATTAAGTCATGTTAATTAGAGTTAGATATCTTAATCAATATCATAACCAAAAAATCCTTTATAAATAAATGCTATCTCTTAAGACTGGGTCATTTATTTACATTGAAATCACTATGTAAACATTATGATGATTTGAAAATTAAATATGTCAACTTGAATATAAAATAAGAATAAGAAATATTCAATTACTAAAATTTGAAAAATCTTTATATAGTAAAAAGAAAATGAAAAAAGGGTGGTTAAAAAAATTATTTATGTATTTATGATATGTATGTTAATTGTTTTCAAGTTGTTCATGTACCAATCCCACATACAAGTGAATAATTCACTTCTGTGGTGAGTGTTGTACAATAATATGTGTACTTTACACATATTATTTTAAATTTATGTACACACGTGAATGTATATAACTAACTATTGTAAAATCATCATTGTTATTCTTACTTGCGGTTTAATCATTTGTTTTGATGTTAACCCATCAGGCACTATACTATCATATGATTCTACATCTTTTTCTTTGGAATATATTTGCAACAATGCTGCAAAATATTAAATATTTAATAAACATTCCAATGTTATAAATAAAAAATTTAAATGATATTTCTTGTTCTCTTACATTCGAGTCCTGACTCATTGTCATTAATAAATTTTTTAACATCGATTGCATTACCATTATCACATTCATTCAGCAGCTTTTTTAGTTCTTGAGAAACATTAGAAATTTCGTCAGGTAGCAAAAAGGTATTTGATAGACAATTAGTTAGTAATTGGTCGGCTGGTGTAACCATTGGTGTAAATTCCATGCTTGTTGATATAGATGATGGTCGTGGACGCTTTCGACCTGCTATTTTCAAGCAAGATTTAAAAGAAAAGGAAGCGTTTTTTTTTAAATTAATGTTGGTTTACAATTTTTATGAATACAAGCTGTGTAAAACGTACTCAAATTTTTTTCTGACGGTTTGTATAAAAATTTCATACTATTGGAAACTTCTCCATCCGATGGTCTTTCTAATTTGAGGTAAACTTCCACGGGTTCTGTTATATTAGTAGTTTTATATGGAGGAGTTCTAGAAGAATTACAAGTTCGATGAAAATTCATTGTTTCTTAAGCAACCCTAAATGACATAGTTGAAAATAGTATGTTATTTGACTATTTATAAACTTACCTAAACACTATTGCATATTGGTGATGAACATCAAGTTCTGAAAATCGTCCTTCTGCTTCCCAAATTATGTTTTCACTATCATCAAGTTCATAAAATTTTACTTTGATATTTTCTAAAATAATAATTGACAAGTTAGTATAAATGAGGCCTGATAGTAATTTTAAACATGCTTACTTCTGCCTACTTTCTCAACCAACAACCAAACTTCCTCATTTCCATCACAAGAACTTGTATGCTTATCTATACGACAAATTTTGAGTTCACCTGTTAAAGCACTTTCTGGGAACAATGAAAAGTTTATGTAATAAATCACACAAATTTACATTAATCAAAGAAAAAATAACAAAGATAGAAATAATAGGCAACTGAACTCACTAAGATTGTTTATTGGTCGAGAATATATTTTTTCTGTTAAAGGGTACAAGACATCATTTTCATTATAGCAAAAGCCTTGAAAGCAAAGACAAACACTATTCAGATTCATCCATTTTTGAGCTTTTTCTGCTTCATTCTTCATCTGAAATACATAAGCTCGAATCAGTAAAATATAAATTAGACTCAAAATTAACATAACAAATAGAAACCTCTAAATCTTCCTTGGTAGTTATTATAGGATTTTCCTGATTCTGTCTTCGTTTCTCTTCTATCTTTTCAATTTTTCTCTTTCTCACTATTTCTTCCTTGATATTTTTTTTTGCTGTGTGAATGATTCCCATATTACAAAACATTGCAGTGTAATCATTTTCATCTGATACTTTGATATCATGTGGATCATCTTTATCTCCATTTTCATCCTTTCTGACTAAATGGTGAGCATGAGGAAATCTTCTGTCTTCATCAGCAGTAACTAAACTACATCGAATAACAGCATTTTTTACTGGACAGTTAACCAACTGAAAATCATTAAAAATTTTATGGAAAATAACTATTGAAAAAATTAGCAAATAATTTTAAGTATAAATTACCTTTACTGTAGGAACTTCCTTTTTATGGCTGCTATCTTCTCTTTCACCCAAAAGACTACCATGGGTTCCCATCATTTCGGACTTATATCTAAAGCGAAATTTGTCTACAGGCTGAACAACAATTTTAATTTCAGTTCTATCACCTGCACCAATAATAAAATTTTTATTAAAAAAATTTGTAGTAAAGTTTTCTACAAATATGTTGTAATTGTTGCAAGTAAATAACTAACATAATGCTATTTCATTACTAGATATTGGATTGCCAATCATCTCAAAAACCTCAGTGGTTGACATTGAATCACAAGTTTCCATTTGGTGTAATCCAAGAGATTCCATAGAAGATGGACTAAAAGAGCCAGTACTCATGGTGCGAGAATCTAAATAATTGTGTAAAAATAAATAATTAAAATGAACTATATTATTCTACAAGCATAAAAATAAATTGATAAACTGTGAGAAATAATAAATATTATTGTGAATAGAGATGCAGTAAAATGCTATTGAAAGTATAATTTTACCATATTCATATGTAAAATAACTTATTTCTCTGGGTGTTGTCAGAGAGATACCACGCAACTTTTGCATTTGATGTGCAAAAGTCATATAGTTTTCATAGGCATCTGGCATTGTTAAAGGGAACTTGACAACTGCACTGAGCAACGTCAACAATAACACACGAGTTGTATACTACTTGAGAATCGAGCAAAAACGAGAGGCAGCGCAGCCGAGCTAAATGGAGTAGTAAAAATGCGTGAAGTAAACGCGCTACTCACCGTCCGAAGACTAGCGCTGAATGCTGATTTTATCCAAGTATTATTGCGGAAAAAACAGCGCTCCGCACCGAAGTGTAGTCATAACCTTGATATGCAGTAGCGGCGGTTCTTCCCCGACTAAGTACAGACGACTATACCTATATACAGCGCCCGCACACACACTGTTGCTGCATTCTCGTGTGATCGTCGACCAATCGCCGTCGCAGCTCGCTCATTTTTCTCTCCTCGCATATGTTGCAGATAGATAGGTATAGAGACTTTTAGGAAAAGTGAAGAAAACGTTGATATCGATTTTTGCGATTCCTCCGATTGCGGTCTGTCGCATTCTCGGCTACTGCACGCGCGTCGCTACGCTTTCCCATTGCTCGCTTTCGCGCGAACTGCACGTCCCATATGCGTACATACAACTAATGCAAGTGTCACGTGGCTCCGAACGATCGTGAAGTAGTTTGTTTATCGAGACTGGGGAATCCCAGACCACAGATGCGATTTCGCCCAGAAAATCTGGTTGTATACGCTCGCTGTATTGTTATTTTTGGTCGCGCGGCATTAAAAGATACTAAGAAAACTAATGGGCATTGCTACTTTTGATTGTGTTGTCAACTCACTTTCCGTCGTCGCATTTCTACGGAGCGAAGTATGTTATTTGTGCCAAGCGAGAGCTTCCTTATCTAAGATAAATTTCTAAGCCACTGAAGAGTTTATTGCAACTGCTTTCTGTATAATAGAAGTAGGTAATGAAACGATTTACGTTGTGAGAAAATTGACCTCGAAATTATTAACTGATCGATTTGTTTATCGGTTACAATTTATAAAATAAGTTCCAGTTTATTTTTGCTGCAAAACAATTCGATAAGATAAGTAGTAAACGGTAAGCATATCGTAAAGTGAATATGCCCACTTAGACATGAATTCAAATCCAACAAATCATTTAAAAGCGAATCTCTAATTGTTTACTTGCATGACTCTGTTCTTGACGCTAAATTTGTTAACAATCGTTTCGTTGAAATGCATACGAGTGCAGTCATTTGTATTAAATTTTCAGAATACGCCCTTATGGCATGTAGGAAACTTGGACGTGTGATTGGGCGCATCGCGCGGCACAGTAGTGGCAAACATACCTGCGCACGGCTTAATTTTTCCAGGCCAACTTCAACTTCATTTTTCTTTCAATGATTACGAGTAGTTACACTTCGATCGAGCCGATAATACAACCAACTCGATAGCATACCCTTTTGAATGAGCCCGCGCGTTCATTGAAATCGGTTGACCGTTTCGCTCCAGAGATAATGCCGTGAACGTACATAAAAACAAAAATTCACGTTGAGCGCAGAGTCTCCATCTTCTTCGAGGTCGGCAAAAATAAAAGGAACGTGATTTTTTTTACGAACCGCGCTCAGCGGATCAAAGCACCTTGGAAATTATATTTCGTTTTAATGACCCACATCCGCGGAATTGGGATTCAACGTTTTTTCTTCTTTTCGTGTACTATCGAATTCAAAAAATGAAAAGGCAGAAAAAATCATAGCGAAGCAAGCGACGACGCGTTGCAGATTTTATTGGTGCCAGAGAGCTGACCGCCTATTCGCAAAAACGTACCTCGCGAAACGATAAAAACTTTCTCGAATCGAGGCGCACTTTTCGCGCAAATGCTCGAGTGTTTGACAATTGTCCGAGCGATAGATGCGAAAAACGTTGATTCGTCGATCTGCGCCCAGCTGGAATTGTAGATCGATTTCCGTCCGATCGGGAAGATCGAGAAATCGAGCTATGTATTTATCACGGACGCGGCGAACATCTCGAGAATAGTCAATTGCCTCGGATAAATTATCGTTTGTGTTATCCCCAATGTACAAGCAGATATTACGTTTATTTCGAGGCAAATTCATGCCTTCACGTGAAATATCGCTGGAAGATCTCAAGGAAGAGCTCGTAGTTTAAGCTGGCGTAAGATATGGAATGGACGCTCTTTATCTCTGCTATTCGTGACAATGTTTGAAATTATATCAACTAGAGCATCGCCTCTGTGTACGAGCCGAAGAAGTAACTCGTTTTAACAATTTTTCACATTGAAGCGTCCATCTGCGAAAGCAATATTCGCTATAAGCTGGGCCTTCCTCTCCTTTATTTGTACCGGAATAGCCTCCTGGCCGAAGCCATTGCAAATTAAATTGAAAATCTCATTTGATTCCTCAAGAGCGCGACAGGAAAAATACAGGGAAAAAGATCATAATCAGAGCTCGCGTACACGCGCGCGATCCGTTCATTCAGGCTCGCGCAATCCGCCGATAATAATATTTTGTTCGCGCGAGCCGTTCGAGAGCGTGACGCTGCGTGTTTTCGCGCGAGCGCAAGGCGCGAAGGCGGCTCGTCGAGCGTCAGAACGAAGCCATTCGGGCGCGATAAGATATACCAACGGCGTTGACCGTTGTACCCCCTGCGCGCAGCTTGGCATTGAAATCGGCTCGATCGACACTCCCGAATGTCGGTCACGACGTCACCCCGTCGCTCGGCTGTACTTTCCATTTGCCGCGGTCATTCGCGGGAATTGGCGAGGGGCGCGCGAGGCCACGACGCCAAGTTGCAGCCCTGCGAAAAGCGAGCGCGCGCAACAAAATAGACACGTCAGTCGAGCGTTACACGAATGTACAAATGTTCAGATAGGATGTTGCTACTATTGGCGCTCTTATCGTCGGCAGCGAGCGCGAGCGAGGCAAGAGCTTTCGCGCTGTTATATTCCAAATACAGCGGCGTGAAAAAGCGGCGATGGCGGCGGCGGCGGCGCTTGTGTAAGCGCTATCCATCTCTCCGCGCGCCGACGCGCTCTCGCGCTTCGCGCTGATCGCCGAGACACGGCGAGTGGTGAATAGTTGGGATCGCCTGGCCAGCCGGAGCGGATCGCGGACCACGGCAGCATGGCTCAGAAGAAGGAAAAGATCGGCATCGTCGGCAGGTGCGCGCCAGTCCGCGATAACTCGTCGCCAAGGGGGTTAAGTTCCGCAAGCTGCTGGCGCGACGCGAACGTTCGAATTTCTCGTCGCCGGCACGCTCGTCCGATCCGCGCAATTGAGCCGCGGTGATCAGCGGTTGCGACCGCCGACGATCGCCGATCACCGAGACTGACTCGGTGACCGGCGCAACACAACTTTTTGCCGCTGGATAAAAGAAACGCGCGTACTTTTTACTTCCGGCCCGACACGGACAGGCAGACGGGGAGAGCGATCGCGAGGAAAGCGCCATGTGCGCAGGAGACAAGCGCGAGGAAAGTGACAGTGGAGGCGCTTGTTGCAGTGGGCTGATAGGGCGCAGCTGGGCGATGCTGTTCGCCGGGGTCGGCTACGAGGTGACCATCTACGACATCCTGCAGCAGCAGATCGACAGCGCGCTGGAGGACATCGAGCACCAGCTGAGCAGGCTCGAGGCCGGCAAGCTACTGCGGGGCAACCTCGACGCTCGGCAGCAGTTCTCGCTGATCAAAGGTTCGTTCCGTCGCGCGGAGCTCGCTCTCGATGACTCGACTGGGCCGGCGCAGGTAGCTCGAGCCTCGGCGAGATGGCCAAGGACGCCAAGCTGATCCAGGAGTGCATTCCCGAGCGCCTGGACGCGAAGATCAAGCTCTACCAGCAGCTCGACCGAGTGGTCGGCCGCGACACCATTCTCTCGTCTTCCACCTCCACCTTCAAGCCCTCGCTGTTCAGCGAGAACCTCGAGCACCGCGACCAGGTGATCGTCTCCCATCCGGTGAGTATCGCGCGACGAGACTTCGCGGCTCGTTATGCAATTAGTTCGATGGCCACTGTCGGCGAGCATCGATAGTCGCGGATGTGCGCGCGCTCTATCTCGTCGTCGGCGCAGTTACGTAAGCAAGCGCCGATGTTGCATTACTCGCAAGGTGAACCCGCCGTACTACGTGCCGGTGGTGGAGATCGTGCCGGCCCCTTGGACACGCCAGGACATTCCGGGCAGGGTCCGGGAGATCATGCGCGAGATCGGCCAGGCTCCCGTGGTGCTGAGCCGCGAGATAGACGGCTTCGCCCTCAACAGGATACAGTGAGTGCGGCCACTCGTGCAGCGGCTCGACGCGCGCTCGCCGCCACTCACTCGCGCTGCTTCCAGGTATGCCATCCTGAACGAGTGCTGGCGCCTCGTGGCCGACGGCGTGCTCGACGTCAAGGACATCGACACCGTCATGAGCGAGGGCCTGGGCATGCGCTACGCCTTCCTCGGGCCTTTCGAGACCGCTCATCTCAACGCCGAAGGTTCGCCAGCAAACTCGTCGCGCCTGCCACCGCGTCCCACCCATCTGATCCTATCCTCCGTTTGTCTCGCTTCAAGGGATGAAGAAATACTGCGAGAGCTACTGCAACAGCATTTACAACACGAGCATGACCTTCGGCCCGACTCCCCGATTCGAGGGCGCGATGGCCGAGAAGATCAGCGAGCAGCTCAACCAAGTGTGCCCGCTTGACAAATTGCAGCAACGACGTGCCTGGCGGGATATCGCCCTTACTAAACTATCTCTGCTCAAGCGGGAGATGAACGAGCGCCCGTAAGCGACTGATGTCGTACAAACCCATGCGTGCGACAGCACGTTCAAAGGTCAACTATTGCTATTTTCTAACTGTACATTTATCTTGCGTTGCAGCAATAATTTCACACGTTTTCTCTTCTTTTAATAGCTCGACCGTCGGCTAAAGTCAATTGTACGTTTATGACGGCAGAAAACTAATGAAAACCATAATTTTATGACTGTTGACGCAGTGTTTGCTGAAATTTATGGTTTGATTGTTCACTTTAACGGCAGTGTTATTGATTTGTTTAAATAAAATATTTAAAAAGAATTGTCTTTTTTTTAGCTTTTAGACACTTTATTTTTTCAAAAGTTTAATAGAAATAATTTATCGTTTTCCACCAACCCTTGGCGCAGCCTTTTGCTGAACCTTTGCAGCTTTCTGTTTGTGTACAGGTTTTGCTTTAGGTGGTGCTGCTGCCTTCTTGACAGCCTTCTGAGCCTTCTTCTGTTCCTTTGCAGCTCTGAAATTAAAAATATATTTTTAGTATTACTTTCTCTTGTGTATCTTATTGAAATTCATACAATAGAAATTGATAATTTATCAATGTATGGACCCGCAAAGCCAGACAATGTTATTTATGTACAATTCTGGGTGAAGCAGCCCTTTCTTTTATTACTCTTAGACATTCGAAATCTTATGTAATATTGTCAATCACATCAGAGGAACGAATGTCTATAATAATAACCTTTGTAATACACTTCACAACTTAGACATTAATAAGAAAAATGTAATAAAAGCACTGTGTACTGTGAAAAAAGGGTTAATTTACAAAAACTTTTTAACAAGCAAGTAGTAACATCATTAACTTGATATTAGGTTCATTTAAGAAGAAACTGTTTAATATAAAGCACATTACTCACTTGATAGCTTGTTCACGTTGTGCTTTTCTGATTTCCGGCTTCATGTTACGTTTAGCAAGAATGTCAGTCAAAGAAGCACCAACAATAGCACGTTGGAACTTTTGCGTCCTACGAGTCCTTTTCTTAGCCTGTTCTTCTTCCTGACCCTTCTTGTGTTTGCGCCTGTGATAAGAGTAGTCAACATATTAAATTGAACTTGATTAAGTTAAAGTATTTCAAAATAATTATACAGAAAAAATATTGTAATACCTGTAGAGAACAGTCCATGTTACTTTCCTAGGGTTGCGTTTCATCAGGTGAGCAGATTCACACTTTGAGTTAAGGAAAGTGAAACTCTAAAACAAAACTGAACATTACAAATCTTGCTAATCACCAAATTGGTTAGGTTTTATTCAATTGTTGTCATTTGTTATAGCAGCTATCAAACTACATATAACTGCAAAAATTGACTTTTTGTGTATCTAAATGCTACTGAAATATGTGGAATAACAAAACAACAATAAATAATTATTCACCTTCCCGTCAACCTTAACCATGGTCTTGCCATGGCCAGGATATATTTTGTACCCGCTGTAAGCACACAGACCGATCCTAAAAATATGAAAAACATGTTGATTAGGAGATCCGTGAAATACTCGAGAAGCATACGATTTGTTGTGAAAATCGCCGATGTATACTGCAATTTTAGATTTTCACAGCACTTTTCACATGACCACTTACTTCATCTTGGCGACGTGAAAACGAAAGAATCGAAGACCTGATGATGAATAAGACAAGGCGCCACGCGACTAAATTTGTGGAAATCCACCCTAATTGTCACGACTGAAACCGTATCGCGCGCACTCATTGGACAAAGTTTGAACTTGTTTATTTGAATCATTCGGTGACCAGTTAGACACATTAATAATAATATATTTATTTTGCTTTATTATAAGAAATACAAGTTTTCAAGTAAAAATTTGGAATTATGTGTTTACAAATGAATTTCCGAAGAATTGTTTCAAAAATTCAAATTATACGTGATTTCAACTCTACTTACCTGGTTTCTATGGCAACTTGTCATTGTAACTCTTAAGCTTGTGATGGTTTTGAAGAAACGTCTTATCAACTTGTAGTTTTTTCTCATTTAAATATTGAAATATATTACAAAATATCAATGAGTCTCTTGACATCAAATAAATATTCATTTACTTTAATTCTTCAATATTTATGCCTACTTTTGGATATTAGCACAAACTCATTTGCTACTTTTGCTAAAAATCGTCCAGCTGATTTGCTCGTCCTTTTCGTGTTAGTTAAGTTTGAAAACTTTATTTATTTTATTTAATTAGAGCATTAATTACAATTTTATTTTACAGTGTACAAGACTTTTGTTTAATAATTGCACTAACAATACTTTTAGCTAATCTGTTTTCCACCTACATTTTTCAAGTAAGGCTCAATTATCAACCTGAATAATTAATTTTTTTCAAATATTATTCAATTCTAATTTCGGTTATAGGCTGGCTTAATTCAACTCTTATACGCGCAATTTCGGATGACTTTAGTCATATGTGTTATCTACATTATACTGAGTATTGGCTTACATTCTTGGCACATGACTATCTATTGGACTTCACCTTTAGATCACTTTTGGTCAGTTGGGTATCACAGTCTTTACTCAATACACAGAACCAGTAAGATATGCATAAATAACATTTATTCAACAATATCCATTAATTTTGAAAATCATATTAATGAAATAATACTTATTGCAGCCGCAGTATTATATTATTATTTCAGCAAAAGAGCATCCTTACGCATTAGTGATCCAAGATTTCACGAAGGATCCAAGTGGATGCAAAAGCATTTTAATTTGAGTTGATTTGATAAAAACCATCTAATGCATTTGTATAATTTTTATTCATAATTTTCTTTTATCAAAAAAATCATTTTGTTGATTTTATAAAAAAATCATTTGATAATTTTCGTGCAATTAATAAAAAAAAGTCTAACACAAATCATAACAAAATAATTGAGCTACCAACATTTTAAAAATATTTTTTTACACATAATCTTATATATTAAAAATGTATATTACGTATTTACATTGATTTGCTAGAAAACTACATTATAAATAAATTATTATTCAAGATGAATAAATAATTTTTTATAAATATATGTACAAAAGTTAAATATTCATGGATATTTTCAATTATCTAGCCATCAAATATTTAACTCGCCGATCAAAAATTATTCTAGTAAATTTATGCATGAAATAATGAAATTAATATTATTTCGTTTATATGTTAATTAGAATTGCCATTTTAAGCAAGATTATGATTGGCATGTAGAAACAAAAGTTTATCGACTATATAAGGTGGAAGAGCGGCTCTTTTGGCATGATAGACTATTTGCGCCTCAGCGGGAATGCGACAAGGCGGTGGAGCACAAACTGGTACACAATTGTAACGACTGGCTACGTTACCAAGATTTGGACACTTGGCTGATGCTTTTTCCCACCATTGAAGTGGGCAGTTATCCAGGGAAGCCGTAGCCTCCGATTGGTATTGAGCAAGTTCTAATTCTGCTTTTTCTTGGACTGTCATCTCTCGCTTAATTGCACAATAGCCTCCTAACAATGACTCTAAGCCTAAAGAACATATCGAGATATTTAATAAAGAAATTGCCAAATTAATTTTCAAGTATACTTACCTGATAGTCGACTTTTCTTAGTGATGGGCTCTTCTTCGTTTTTAATATCTGGATTATCTCCATTTCCTTCAATTAATTTTATGAGCATTTCTTTAATAGGTGATGTTACTATTTTCTTATCATCGTTTGTAGCATATGGCACCTCTTTAAACCTTCAAAAAATAAATGATTTGATATTAACAGGCAAATTAACTTTGAGTAAAGAATAACAGAAGTAGATAAATAATTTACCTTGGATCTAAAGTTGTAGCAATTTGTAGCAAAAGACTAACATTTGGATCTGCATATCGTTCATATAACATTTTTGATAAAGATTCTTTGAAAGAACGCGCCGTTTCACTGTCTAAATCTTTAACTTTAAGATGTGCCGATACTAATTGCCAAAGTAGTGGCTTCAACAATGATATTAAAGGCATTTTTTCTTCACTGAGCGTCATGATAGTTACTTTGAATGGTTCTAACACATCAACTAAATCATGAACAATTTGCCATTGATCTTCACTAAGATCAACACTTTGGTCAATGTTAATATTATTGAAAATTGAGCTAATTATTTCTTGTCGAGGAATCATTTGTTGCAACATTGTGTATGTGGATGTCCATGTAGATGGATAATCCATGGCCATCGTGTTTTCCTCCAGCTGTAAAGTGATAATGTTGATTTATAAAATAAAAACAATAAAAATTAAGTATTCATATTTCATGAAATTTTTTACTCCATGAAGTTGTTCCTGTACAGTCAATTCCGATGATGCTTCTGGATGATTTGTGATGGTGCCAATTATACTTCTACATTTATTAAGAACTTTGGCCACTTCAGGATTGTCAAAGCATGCTTGGGCACAAATTTGAAGTGAATGCAATAGACAAGAAATAACTGTCAAACCTCTACAGATTAATGCATTAATAAAATCAGTTCTATTTGTTGACACAATAACAGCAGTTATCTTTTCAAGTTTGATGCACCAATCATTGAAAAGAGTATCAATGGTATTGCCCCACTGTACTTCATTCCAGTCTTTTGGAGCATGTATTGTAGATAACATTTTTGATTCTAAGGCAGCTTCTCCAGGAATTTGATAATAGATCATAAAAGTGAAAAAATTCTCTCCAAAATTAGAAGTCCATTCCTCTACTGCCAAGCTAATTTCATTATTTAATGAAGAAATACTGGATAATATAGATTCTCTAAATGATTCATAGAATTTTGGAATAATTTCTTCTTCCAATGATACTTTACTTGGTATTTGACAAGGAGACCTAAGTGTTGCAATAAGTCTTTGAAATCCTCGCTCTTGAACTATTTCTGGTAACTGAAGGTCTATTATCATAAATTCTACAATAGCTTCCGATACAGTTTTACTAGTTGTTCTACGATTATGTTCGGGTATGATAAAACTAACATTCTGATTATCTACTGCAGTATTATCAATGTCTTCACTTTTTAAGATAAATTTCAATGGCTTGTTCAAATTAATTCCACTCGGCTCTGACTCTTGGCATTCAATATTTTCATCTGTGACAAGTTGTATATTTCCCCCAATCTGAACAGTACCATCTGTATTCGTGGTATAGATATGTTGAGAACTTGCAGACATAGCAGCTTTTAATAATTTTCTCTGGGCCCTTTTTTCTTTACTTTCTTGTGTAAGGATCTGTTTTCGAGGAGGAGTGAATGATTCAAGTTCATGCAGTTCTTGAGCATGCTTATTCTGCAAATGCATTCTTAAATTGCTTGTATTCCTATTATAAGCAATTTGAGTTTTACACAGCAAACAGACTATTTTTACTCTAGTCAAAATTTCCCCATCATCGTCTGCTGGAAAGCCAAAAAACTTCCAATAGATACTTCTCATAGACTGAGGCACTACTAATTTTTTATAAGTGATAGTATGCTTCTCTTCCATAAATTTGGCAAACACTGTTTGCAATCCATTGTTTTTAGTTTGTATAAATTCTTCTTCATCTTCATCTTTATCATGTTGAAGTATTTCAACTCCATGATCCAATTCAATCGTAGTCATTCTTGTATTACATCTATCTGATATTTCTTGATGTCTATTACGAATTAATAATTTTGGTTCCATTACTACATTTAGTGTCCTTAATTATCACCTTGCACATAAGATATATTTTTTTAATTTTTAATATATGGTAATAAATTAAAAGTTTAATTTAGTAACAAAAACAAAATGCAAAGTTCGAAACTAAACAGTAGTTTGTGTGAAAATAATAAATATATATTCTTACCTACTTATGTATAATATCAGTTCTAAAGAGTCTAAGGCATCTTTGGCCGATAACCTTACAGAATAAACACTATATAAGCAAAGTAAAAGAAAAAACAAGTATAGAATTAAGTATTTGAATTTGTGAAAGATCACAGCAGCAGCAATGAAATTTAAAAAGTATCCTGGCGAGATAGAGATTACAAATTGAAATATATCGATATTGGTGCTTCGTAGAAACGTCGATTGCGTGACGATATTTTGGAACAACCGAACGATATCCATAATATGGCGACGCTCGTCTCGCTAACCGCTAGTTGAACGCTCGCATATCGACCGACGCTGGGATCGACTTTAGCGTAGGTTAAATTTTACCGGACACATTTTCACTGCCTTGATCCAGGAAAAATATCAAAATAATTTTTATATTCGTACCTGTACCATCGATTCCACTTTAAAACTTGTAGTTGGATGATTGATATTTTAAAACTTCATTTTGGGCGACTGTACACAAAGAAATTTTGAATTATGCGCTATAAGACTACAGGTTTACCATCGTGAAGTAAACTTTTTTCCCTAAAAATTATACTGCTCGTTAAAGACCGTGCAATCAAATATCATTTTTGACATGCAGTGCAGCTAATAATTTTTGTTACAAGGACTATTATAGCTCGATATAAAATGTAGCTCTGAAACTGAAAATGAGAAGCTCAACGATTTGCAGATGCGACGTAAGACTAAAATTTTAAAAGTCATCAGCCATTTTGTCTCAATATCAATATTACCAAATTCTCAGATAGAAGGAGGAGGATAATCAACGGTAGAGAACTAGTATGGGAGGGGACGAGGGGAGAGTTTGCATGGTTTGCCCCTAATTTCGCTCTATGCACAGATACATGCGCGCGCACACACTGATTCACGCGTAACGAAAACTCACGCAGACAGACAAGCTCGCAGTCTGCTCTTGGGGCTATATACATTTTTTTTCGAACAACCAACAGGACAGTAGCTCAAAAGTGAGCAGCATCATTGCTCTGGTGGACGGTGACTTAGTAGCATCCCGGGCTGCTCTTGCCTACGCATACGACAAGTGCCAACAACAGACAGAAGTGTTTGCTTGTTCAGTCCCCGTGTTCTGTTGGTGCCGAGCAGCACGCAGTGCCGCGCGCGCCTGCCTGTAAGAAAACCAGAAGGAGCACAACGCAAGTTGACGAGTAGTAGCAGCAGCAGCCACACGGATGCGAGGGTAAACATACACACACATTTGTCCTCTTCAGAATAAGTACCCTCGAGAACTCGTCGCTCATCGCTGGCAAGGCCTCCTCGACGTCTATTCCAATCAATTCCGTGCAATGTAACGCGCAGCAACCTCGTCGTCCTCGTCGACGGCCTCGACCTCGCAACGTACACACTCGATCGCCGCACAACGTGAGTTCCTCCTCGAGTTGCTGTTTTCCTGTACTCGTTTCTCCCCGCATCTCTCCTTTCCTCTCCGCGTATTAGAAGATACGTCAAGAGAAAAAGCGCGCATTCGCTTGTTTTTCCTTCCGTATCGCCTCGCGCGTTTGCTGGGTTCCATGCTTTAGCAAATCGGTCATGTAGCCAAACTTTTACAGTACTTATTTAATATTGGTCTTATATTTTGTCCAATTCCTTTTTATTACTAGATTACTGTACATTACAATCTTTCGATATTTTCTATAACTAATTTCAAGATATACAATTAAAAGTCTTAAATTCTCAGTTTCATTGAAATTAATTAATGAAATTATTATTGGTCAAATTTCTGATTAATTCAATTGTTTTTATTATTATGAATCGTTAAAGCATACTCTCAAGTGACAATTGGACTATCGCTTTAGTTAATCACTTTTAGTACTTTGTTTAAGTTATGGATATATTGCTAACAGTTGCTTCTCCGTAATAATTGCATAAATCTTAGGAAATCTAATATTTGTATATTTACAGGTAAATGGTGAATTTAATTTGCCAGAGTGAGAAAGAGAAATTCCACCTTGGAATATTTAACATTCTGGCAGCTTGTAATCTATCGATTGAAAATTCCTTTGGAACAGAATTTAAAACAGCAAAATGTTGAATCGCTGATGTATAAATGTAGCTAACGTAGGTAAGTCTTCACAGAAGAAAATTCCAGTTGTTGAAATGGTGTTATCAACAAAAAATATTATGAATCACTGCATGATTCATTATTGCTTAATATCTGACAATTGCTGGTAATGATATGTTTTAACACTAGTAAATGAATTGAAAAAAATGAACGTATGCTTGAAGTGATGATTGATGTTTCAGGGCATAGGCTTAGCAGAATAGAAAAAAGGACGGAAGGAGCAGCCAAGGCGGGAGGGAGGGAGGGTATAAGAGCAAGTAGAGCAACTAGAGAATAGTTGTACGAAGCAATGGAAGACGAAGAAGGTTCGTCGAGCTCGGGGCCAATGTCGTCATTGAACTCGCTGTTCACATTCACGAGCCCAGCGGTGAAGAAGTTGTTGGGTTGGAAACAAGGCGACGAGGAGGAGAAGTGGGCGGAGAAGGCGGTGGATTCGTTGGTGAAAAAGCTGAAAAAGCGCAAAGGCGCAATCGAGGAGCTGGAGCGGGCGCTAAGCTGTCCTGGCACGCCGAGCAAGTGCGTAACGATCCCGCGGAGTCTGGATGGCCGGCTACAGGTGTCGCACCGCAAGGGTCTGCCCCACGTGATTTACTGCCGAGTCTGGCGTTGGCCCGACCTACAGTCGCACCATGAGCTCAAGCCGCTGGAGCACTGCCAGTACCCATTCTCCGCCAAGCAGAAGGAGGTCTGCATCAACCCCTACCACTACAAACGCGTGGAGAGCCCGGTGCTGCCGCCCGTGCTGGTGCCGCGCCATTCCGAGTTTGCCCCCGGCCACTCGCTCTTGCCATTCCAGCAGCTTACCGAGCCGGCGATGCCCCATAACGTGTCCTACTCGTCGCAGGGCTTCGCCGCCATCAATAATCCCAACTCGCCGATGTCGTCGGTGGGCTCGGTGTCTAGTCCCGGTGCGGCCCAGCAGCAGCCCAGCAGCGCCGCGGCCTCCAGTACCACCGGCGGTGTCACCGTCTCCAGCAACAACCCCAACTCTCCATATGCGGCCAATGGCCTGCCAGAGACGCCGCCCCCGGCCTACTCGCCGCCCGACGATTCAGCGCACCAGCAGCAACAGCATCCCAGTTCCATCCCTACGCCTGACTCCACGGTGGGCAGCGGCATTGGCGGCAATAACGGCGCCACGCCTATGGACACGGTGGGCCTGGGACCCGAGGTCGCGCCTGTCTGCTACCAGGAGCCGCTCTACTGGGCCTCGATAGCCTACTACGAGCTCAACTGCCGCGTCGGCGAGGTCTTTCACTGCCAAACTCATTCGGTCATCGTCGACGGCTTTACCAACCCCAGCAACAACTCTGATCGTTTCTGCTTGGGCCAGCTGAGTAACGTCAACCGCAACTCCACCATCGAAAACACGAGGCGCCACATCGGCAAGGGCGTGCACCTTTACTATGTCGGCGGTGAGGTTTACGCCGAGTGCCTCTCCGATTCGGCCATATTCGTGCAGTCACGCAACTGCAACCATCATCACAACTTTCATCCGAGCACTGTGTGTAAGATTCCGCCGGGCTGCTCCCTCAAAATTTTCAACAATCAGGAGTTCGCCCAGTTGCTTTCGCAGAGCGTCAATCATGGCTTTGAGGCTGTCTACGAGCTCACCAAGATGTGCACCATCAGGTAAAGTTTGCGTGCTTTGTTGCCTGAGCTACAGGCCCCCGTTTTCTTCCCTTAACCATCGATTGACTTTCTGTCCTCGCAGAATGTCATTCGTGAAGGGCTGGGGCGCCGAGTACCACCGGCAAGACGTTACGTCGACACCCTGCTGGATCGAGACCCACCTGCACGGCCCGCTCCAGTGGCTCGACAAGGTCCTCACTCAGATGGGCACACCACACAATGCCATCAGCTCAGTCTCTTAAGTGCGCGAGCACGCTAATCCTAAATCACAATGCGCAACCACTCAACTAGTAGCGTCTAGATACCTTATCACTTATATACTTTGAGTCCTACTATTTCAATTATAATTGCGTTATGTTATTGCCGCTATACGAGCGTCAAAAGGACTTGTTATTACTTGGTACCGATTGTTGCTCATCGTCTTTGATTTAATCGCACATTCAAGTCTGAGGTTTGGTACGCGCGCGGAGCCCACAGCTATTACCGTTTACCATTGAGCGAGTGCTAGTTAGGGTGGCGCTGCCACGAAAAAGTACAATCTTTATACTCTTCGAGAGAATAACTCTTTTATACTTTTTTTTTGTTCTTTTTCGACACATTTTAACGAAACAAGAACATTAATGACAAACAAGTTGATAAAAGTGCTAGTGATATGCGAATGAAAGTATAGAAACTTAATATAAGCCAGAAATTATATTGAAAGATAAAGAAAATTAATTTTACGAGGATGGGTAATTTATTGTACAGTTCGAGATATAGAGAAAAAGAGACGTTTGTTTGATACCAGGTGATTCCTTGATATAGAAACGTTTATTGCCGATTATTATAAAACAAAAGTGCGCTAAGAAATAACTTGACAATTGATATTTTATAACGACGAGTTTTGAGATATATATATTGGTTCCGCTAATGCAGAGATGCCTTTTTACAATTTTTCAAGTTCAAGCTGACAAAGTTGCAAGCTCACGAATAACCTTATAATGGAGGTGCCTTCGTTTTTAACAACCTACAGTGCCGGTTAATAAATGCCTTTTCAATCGATTGTTTTCATTGCATACAGACAGGTCTACTACTTTCTATGCCAAAGTTGCTGCTGAAAGTGACGAATAGTTGACGTAATATACAATTGCTATTTTATACATGCTACTCTGCCTTCTTTTGCAAACGCGCTGTTGATATGTTTTCGAAATCAAGACAGGCTAAGAATTCGTGTGAGATAGAAAACGTCTCATTTGTTTGAATTCTTGGTAGAACATGCGTTTGTAAGATACGACAATACTTAATATAAAAAATAATAGTCTATCCGAAAATTATACGTCTTTAAATATTGTAACGTCTAGTATCGTATAAATTAATGAGATTATCTAAAACTTTAAAAATTGGTGGTAAATTCATTCTAAAATATGAAAATTTGTAATTTATTTTGCGGTGAAGTTACCTTGAAAACTAGATAAAAGTATAAAATAATCAAAAACATCAATGTAACTTTTCTTAGTGAATATTAACAGATTACGACTTAAAAATTTTAAACCATCCTGTAATGGTTGATGAACCTTTAATGAAAAAAGTAGAAAAAATGATTGGATTTGTCGAATCTGTTTAACAAATTGTTCATTTATAGTAAAATGAAATTGTATTATATAAGTAAGAAAATCTATTGTGCTTGTAAAATCAACCATTTTGTCGATGTAAGTTATATAAAAGAAAAACTTCGTATGAGGAAAAGCGCGTCGAATATTACTAGTGAGTAGAATATATCATTATCTAGTATAAAATGGGACAGAAATAGTGACATACCTATTACATATAGTTTATTGATGTTCGTAAATGTCCAAAATAATTGTAATGGTATAAAAACAAATTTATTTTTAATTTACTCATAAGATAAAATGTGATCTTGACGAGAATATTTATTTCTATTACAATTGAACCAAATTTATATTAATAATTATATAATAATAGTCTTAAGAATATTAAAAATTAAATTACGATGCTAATTTCTGTAATGATGTCGCCCTCAAATCTCTGTAACGACGAGAAAGGGTAATCAAACAAATCATAATCAGACAATGGCAGAATCGACAAGATATTCCATTGATCGTCGACTAAAACATAATCGATCTCGAAAGCGCTTTTCCTTTATAGAGAATAAGTATCAAAAAATGATGTCGTAAAGAGAACAATAATTATGAAATCTATAGCAGTACTTGGCTGGCATTACAAAGCTGAAAATGTAATATCTATATTATTGTGAAGATATTCACAATATTATGAAAGCGAGCGTTGACTTAAATCAATTGTCGGTGTACGTAATCGCGTACAAGCAAGTTTATATGTAAATGAATAATAGGTGCGCGAGTCTACTTTCGGGGATAACAATGTGCAGCTAGATATCAATTCTACGATAGTTTATTTATTCAAAATTGTCGGGTGTTTAATAAAAATGAAAATAAAAATCAAAGTGTTTCGATGGTGATTTACCGGTGAAAAGAAAATGAATCAATTAGTCGTAACGATTGTGTTACAAGCGAGAATGGAAAGTGAGATAAAGGATGAAAAAAAGAGATATTTAGAGATTCTGTATCGAAAGTTTTATTTTTAAACGTGATAGGAACGTGAATTTCCTTATTATCATATATGTCTACGTGCGTAATTTGTGATTCGTAAAACAATGTAACTATAGAGCGTGAAAAAGCAAAATGTTTATGACTACAATGGTTTGTCGATAATTAATTATTATTATCCTTGTTTTTGAATGATTACTTTAAGGGGAAAAGTATTTGTATCCACATAAGTAAAATAATTATTTTAAACGTTATGCAGTAGTTATTTTAAATGGGAAATGTTCAAATGGACCATCAAGAGTTATATTTATGTTGTGCATCTTCGATTATTTTGAAAGTACGTTTGATTGTTTATGTAAATGTTTTTATAAAAAATGCAAGGGTTTTACAAAAGTAATCTAGAATTATATACATGTACAGCTGTAAACTTTTGAATAATTATAAATTTTTGTTTCCTTGGATTGCGTAGTATTTGTAACATGCGACTTCGCGAGCTATAATCAAGAGTGATACAGTGCAACGAAGACAACTAAGACTACCATACCATACAATTATTGCTCTTGCTTATACTCGTTTCTCACAAGCATGAGTCTGGTTTTATAATTATTAGAAAGTTTCAATGTCAATCTCTATACAACTAAATTACTTCTGTAAAATGTAATCTTATGTATAAGTAGTAGATGCCAAATTAAACATCAGTTATAAAGCACCAAAACCTGTACTTATTTTCATAACCCCACTGTCTTCCGACCGATTTTTTGCTTGAAGCTTCCAATCCATTACTTATTAGTAGGTGTGCACTTGACGATATCCACCATTGAAGAAGATGAAAAGAAACAGCAACCGCGCTTAGAATAAACATCGTGTATTACCTCTGTTTTTGGCACAGCGGCCAGCAGAGAGCAATTGTATAATAGAACAGGAGGAAAAGCTCTCGAGTACGAGCTTTTTTTGCACGTTCTCGTAGGCGACGTTTGTTCATCCGTAAGAAATAAGAGCCTCCAAGAGATTATCTCATCTGATCAGTCTATAAGCTACGCTTTCCTTTCACGCTCAACTGTGTCAATTACGAATCGGTTGCCAACTTTCGCTATATACTGCTATGAAAAAAAAAATTTTGGTGAGTTGTGCTTTTTTTCTGATCCAGTTCTATCATGTGAATAACTGTTTATTAACTTACTATGTAGATTTCTACTCGGAATTCGTAAATTGAGCGTAATTTGAAGAAAGGACGTATTTATATAAAATCTACTTTTGTAAAAAACATTTGAAAGAAGTTTTCAACGTCCGAGTAAAAACAAGGCAAAAAATAGTAGAATCGCATTTGCGTGCGATATATGGTTATGCTGGTGTAACATGAGTTAGATACAATAATAATATCTAATCAATATAACGGGATCTAGAATACGGGTGCGCGTATGATGTATAGTTATTTTTCCGTTTCTGAATACCTATTTCACGAGCGTTTTTCAGTTATCGCTAAATAAAGGTGGCTAATTGACGAAAAACAATTTAAAAATTAATAAATGAAGTGTTGGCGAAAAGGGAAAGAGAAACGGTGCATGAAGTTTTAACGAAAAAAAAAATAGCAAAACAGAAAGATAATAAGATAGATGGTGGTGGTGCGCGACACGAGTAGTGGTGGTGGCGTGCGCATCAGAGGAATCGCAGAAGCGAAGAGCGAGAGAACGAGCGAGTGAGAGAGAGAGAGAGGGAGAGAAAGAAGAGAAGAGAGGGGCGGCACGACAGGAGTGTTGTATAGGTAGCCGGGCACCGCCACCACCACTCGCGCACCCATCCAATCAATAACGTTTCTCTGCCATGGCAGTGAGCAGCTCGTCGAGGCTATTCGCAATTCGCAGTATCGCAGCTGCATTTCATTAGTCGAATCCTAGAGCACATTGTTTATTGTCGATGGCGCCAGTTCACACAAGTCGTTTTCATCCCTCGGCGCAGTCGGAGTAATCTACGTGCGTGTAAGTTTAGTGCCAGTCGTGCTGCCGCCCGCTCTCTATTGTCTCTCACGCACACACACGCACACAGAATGTCAAAACAGACCAAGAGCATCCGACAACGCTAGCAGGCAACCTCGCACTCTCGCAGAAGACGAATTCGCGCGAAGTGCGCGTCGTAATACACGCAAGTAGCGACGAGCCCTTCTCGATGCTCGTGGACATCCATCAGTAGCTGACGAAGATCATTCGACACCATGTCCAGGGTAAGACATTTTGTTCTTTGATATATATTGTGTATGTACTGTTACTGCGCGACACTGCCTGCTCTGCCCGCAGTAATTGCCTTCAAGAGCAACATGTCCGCGGCAGCAACCCTCTTTTAGGAGCATGCCGGCTTTCACGCGCGCGCATACCTGCTGTCCCTTCGCGATCCTACGAGCAGCATTATATCATAATGACGAAAAAGTCATTGCCGGATACACGCGAAGCATGCTCGACTGCGCCTCTTGCTTTATTTATACGTGCGGCCCTTCAACCGCTTCTCTTTCCTTTGTGACGCTTTCAAATTAAAAGTGCTGTTCCGCGGAAAAGAAGCTTTAGCCGTTTGTAACCTTTCTCCCAGTAAGTAACCAAGGCCGATTCGCTGAATTCAAGTTTCTTTGTCAAGCCGAGTCGGCCGCAGCCGTTCCACACGATTTGTTTTCTGTTTCTGCTATGGACAATGTTTTTCTTTGTTCTTATCTATGAGGCGTTCGGCAATATGCACTGTCAGCTCAGGCGGTTCATCCAGAAAAAAAATAAACTATAATTCTCTGTGAGCTCACGTGACAAAATCGAACGCGTAAAGTAGGCCTACATTACACGATGACTTGTAAACCAGCACCACTTTCAATCCCTCCGCGTAGCCGCAACTGAAGGGTCCCTATGCGCAGATAACAATCGAAATAGGCCGGGGCTGGAAGAACGCTCTACGATGTTCGCACATTCACATACCCAACCCTTTTCCGCGGAAAAAATATCGTGTTTCTGTGAGAAACTTTTCGAGGATTATCGACGAATTTCTTTCGTGTTTTGTAACTTAAGAAAATTGAAGTCCACTCGAGTCCTTATAAATGTTTGTTTCGTTCATTTTTGTCCGAAAAAAAAGCATTCACGCATAAAAATAATTCACAGGCGGTATTAAATCGTTTGGCTGCCAAAGCAAATATGAACGATTGCCAAGCGGATTAATTAATTTGGCAAATGTTTATTTTGAGAAGCATTCACGTGGCACTCGAAATTTTACGACCAATATACATCGGTCCTGAGACTTATTGGGCCTGCCGAAAGCTTTAGCACTCTGCCGTCACGGATGCTTAGTGTATTTTCGTTGATTGTACGCCCGCTTCTTCATGAATTTCAATTGCAAGCAAAGCAATAGGCGCGGGGCATTGTTGTTTATTTATTTACCTGTACGATGCTTTCGCGGGTGAACGTACGAGGATACGTGCTTTTTGCTCGCGTAGCGACTATCGAAAGTTTACAATTTCGCCTTGTAAGCGCGTTCATTTCGTTAGGCGTCTTGCTACGTGCGCGCAGAAGAAAGAACGGCGACTAATATCGTTACGATGCTCGCAGTTGAGCGTCGAACGAACGGAGCTACAGGTGCAGGTGCTTCGCGATGACTTCGGCTCCGGTGATTGGAATGGGTAAAAAGTCGGGCGACGCGCGCTGTCCCGTCGCGTGTTGGTCGCACGCCTCGACGATGATAGCGCGATTGCGAGTGGCTATCGCCCTCTCGAACTACCGCTCGTTCGAAAGCGAAAGCGCTCGCGTGGGCGCGCAGGATTATCGAACGGCGCCTTCGTCGAGCAAGTCGGGGGGAAGAGGGGGGGGGGGGGGGTCGTGGCTGTTCTTTCGCGCTCGCCCTTCCGCGATTGCGCGAGATGTCTCCCGCGCGTGAGCTTCCAAATCTCAGCGTCGGCGCGTGTCCAGTCGCGCGCCTGAAAAGCGCTCGGCTGTATTCCATTTCCGCGAGCTTGCTATACGTATAGCAAAGCGGCATTGCGCAACTAGCGCTTCGGAATAATTTCGATTTGTCTTCTTTCGTTGAGGCGCGCGCTCGCGCGGAGAATGTACATAGCGCGCGCGCGAAGGTCGCGAAGAGCAAACATAGACGCGAGGAAGAGATATCGCGAGCCGAGCGGACCGCAGCCGCGGGATTTTCCGCCGATCGGAGATCGCGCTTTGAGCACTGACGACGCGCCCGCAGGCCGTGTAGCATCGTGTTCGCGCATCGACGCGGCCATCGTCTCTAATTGTCGTCGCCGCGGACGCGCGGCCCACGCTCTCGGATTTCGTCGCGGAAGCTCGGGCTCGTGGCGTCGAGTTCGCGCGCCTCGGAACATTAGACGCACGGCGGCTCGCTTGGCGGTCGTCGGGGGGCCGGCCGACACGCCCGACGTTCGGGACGACGCCTCGCAAGAGAAAAGCTGTCGGTGAGCGACGGTGGCCAGCTGTTTGATTGGTCGCTTCGTCGCGAAAATCCTTATCGCCGCGACTGGGTGTCGTTAAGGCTGGTTTACTTACCGCCGAGCAGGTGCGTACGTGTACGTGGCGATGTGGCGGCGAGTCGGATGTCGGTTGGCGAGTGCGCGTCTCGGAGTATAATAATAATTGGGCTTGACAAAGAGGAGAAGCGAGACGCGCGGTGAAAAGCCGCTCGGTGGCCCCTCTCTCTCTCTCTCTCTCTTTCTCTCTCTGGCTCTGCGTCGGTCCGCGCGCGCGGCTGCTCGGTAATCTAGGCCTCTCTTTCCGCGAGCTTAGTGCGCTAGGCGATGTGGCAGAGTGCGCGCGGTCGGACGAGCCGAGCGTCCGAGCGTCGTCGTCCCGACTGGGGTAAACAGAGTGCGAGTGCGGGCGTGTACGGAATATTGGAGGCCCCGGCAGGAGGTGCCCCGAGGCGCCAGCCAGCTCAGATCTGCGCCGCGTGAATTCGGCGTCGCTCTCGCCTGTCGGGGCGACGGCGTCGGGCGATCACGCGGCGCCGAGTCGTTGGCCGTCCGCGGCGCGTCAGGTGAATACGTCGAGTTTCTCGGGCACCCATTCCCATTCGAACTCGTCCGCGCGGACTCGCTCTTTTCAGTCCCACGGCGCCTTTCCGGCGCCTTGGGTCGTCGCGATTGGCCGCGCGACCGACGCAAAGTAGCTAATGGGCGGTAATGCGGCGACGATTGGCGTTGGCTGTCTCGCGGGCAAAAAGCGGTCGTGTTTCTTGTTCGGTGTAGGTCTGATCGCGCGGCGAATCGCTCGCACGCGAGGATTCCACCCGGTGATCGGTGCATTGCTGGAGGATCGTAGGCGAGCGCGTCCCATCGGCGTTAATTAGCTCGAGGCGGCCGGAGCCTCGATCGCCAGCCTCGTTTAAAATTATTCAGAGTCGGCGCTCGCACCGTCTGTACGCGCAGCGCGGCGATTCACCGCCGCGGACTCCCGCGCGCGCGCTCGGCGTCTTCACCGCGGCCGGACGCTCGTTTATGATTAATTAATGGTATCCGGCGCGCGCGCGCAAGCCACTGGCGCAACGCAACTGCTTCGCGGGCCGCAAGGAGCTCGGGAGGGAAGACGCGGCCGACTTGGTGATTTCGCATTAGCCGCCGCTGTAGCCTATACTGCGCCGTCGCTCGTACAAAGTATCTGGCTGACGTTCGCGAGATGCGGCGCGCCTCTGTCCGAGCACATAGCGAATCGCGACCACTGCTGCGCCGCTGAATGGCAGCTCTGTTCTCGTCGAGAGTAGTGTAAAGCGCGCTGCGCTGTGTGATTGCAGAACGCAGGAGAGAGCAGAATACCGCTGCCGCGGGCGGTGAAGCCGTCGCTACTGCCGAAACTGCGCTCGCTCGCGCAGCCTAAGATTGGCAACGCCAATCACCGTCGTCATTCCCCGTCGTCCGTCTACCCTCCCAGTAACAAGCAGCAGCAGCAGCAATCTCCGCACTACGTCTTCGGCAGGCTGCAGCAGCAGCCGGCCACGGCGAAGCCCAACGGCAATAAGCAGTTCAACGACGAGACGATCTTCGAAACGCCCAACAAAGGTAACATTGGCTCTTCTCTCCGCTTTTTGCCTCGATCGCTAATCCACGCATGCATTTCAGCAGAAGATCTCGTGTGCTCGAATCAGGTCGATCTGTCGATAACGGCCTTGTGGGACGCCGCAAAGGACAATAAGGAGGCCGAACATCTGATGCGCCTTAGCAATGAGCAGCTCAGCCTCTTTCGGTGCGTATACTATTTTTCTGCACCAAGGAATACTGGCTATAACGACAAATTTCGACGATGCAGCTCACAAGAGGAGCTCGCGCAGGAGGATCCCGCGTGGCTAAAGCGCCGGCAGCCGTCGTACGAGGATTTCGAACTGGAACTCGCCGGCAGCCGGCAGCAGCAACAACAGGAGGCGTCGGTGAAGCAGCTCGAGTCGCCGTCGGTCGCCAGCCAGCCGCCACACTACTTGATGCTGCAGACCAAGCAGAATTCGTTCGAGCACGACGAGAGCAGTCTTGGTATTCTTACCCCGGATCAGATGACCGACTTCACCGTCGCCCTCGAGTCCTCGAGAACGCCCTCCTGTGAGAACCTTTCGGCTCGCGAACCAACAGGTCGATTTTCGATCACCGCCATCGTGACCATCGCGCAAACTGAAGCTGACCGTTCGCTCGTCATTGCAGCCAATTTTCTACTGAGCAAGAGCAACGCCGTGGTAGCCGCGGCAGCCCGGCATCTGGACATTGTGGCCTCCGCCCCCGAGCCCATCAGCCCCAACGACAGGAGCCCATCCTACGAGGATCTACCCCTGGATCCTCGGCCTGTGCTGCTGATCAACGACGACGAGGACAGCAGCAGCCTCTGCGCTGAGGACGAACGCGGGCGAACCCCACTGTCGGCCAAGACCAGCGCCGCCGACTCGAGTGAGACGAGCGCGGCCAAGCCGCTGCCGACTAGCTTCGTCACGTCAGTTACGAGCATCACTAGCCTCGAGGCTGGCTACCAAGGCGATGGCGAAAATTCCAGACCGGCTAGCCGGGGCGCCGAGTCACTGTCACTGCTACCGTCGGCCCTTGGTCTCGTGGTCGGTGGCGGTGGCCTCGGCACGCACGCCGAGCGCAGCGTTTGCAAGCAGGACCCGATGACCGACTCGGACTTCTTCACGGAGAGCGACGCGGACGAGGTGGTACGCGGTGCCGGCGACCGCCGTGCCCAGGTCATCGACGGCACCCTCTTTTGTGCGCAGTCGGCCGAGCGCCGCTGCCAGGCCGGCTTCGAGCCCGCCGAGGAGATGGACTCATCTGGCATCTACTCAGATCTTGACAAACGACAGGACAACACCTCGGGCCTCGAGCCCGAGGAACCCTACGCCGATGGGGATCATGCCACGGATACTGCCGATACGGGCGATACGGGCGACACCGAAATCTCGGTGAGGAGCCAGCCGTCGCCCCAGGAGACGACGCCTACTCCTGCTCTAATCACCAAGAACATGCTGGTCAGTTATGTCTGCCGACACGACACTCGCTCACTAGCTTTGCCTATGTTCATTTTTTCATTCTCCTGCTATCGCCGATTGTTGCAGACCCCGGACCCTCTGAACGACACTTTGGAATCAAATTCGACCGTTTCCACGGCGGAAGTGACTGTGATCAAGTGCCAAAAGAATGAGCAAAACGCAGCGACCAGAATAAAATCCAATAATTTTAGTAACAAGGAGAATGCGGCGCCCCTGAAAAAGTACAAAATGCCAAAACGGAATGTCATCTCGAAGATCAAGACCATGATCGAAGCCAATCAGAACCTACTGAGAGAGGAGACGGAAAGTGAGCCCAAGCGAATGCATAGACAGCAGCGCAAAAACGGCCGCTGGGATGCGGTGATGAACAAGATCGAAGCGGGCAAGCAACGCGGCAGGGCCTTCAAGAAGGAAGTCAAGTCACGGGTTCTACAGGGTCTGCCGAACTCCACCACGTCCTCTACTGCTTCGACTTCATCGACGAGGCACACCACCACTGACACCAACAAGGATAAGCGGTAATGGCGACATCTTGATGGCGTGCGCGCGCGCAACAGTTTCTATTTGTTATAGCTGAGATTCAATATTTAACTTTCAGGAGAATGCGAGGCCGACCGGAGACGAGCTATTCCAACCAGGAATTGGCTAGAAGTTCGTTGCGTAGCTCCGCTAGCGATCTCAGCAGTACGCATAGTAAAGACGCACCGAGTGAGTATCAAAAGGGGGGAGGCAAAAATGCTATAAGCGATTAAATTCACGGAAAAAAACGGGGAGAAACGATGGCGCATCGTGTAGCGCGCAGCTCGAACGCTGGTCGGCCAACCGGCACACCGGTATTAAACGCCGAGTCGAAGTCCGCGCGGCACGCGCACTTTTACCGTTATAATCGCGCGCCTCGCAGACTCGACGATAAGTTATTCCGACTTTCGTGTAGGAGCATGCGTCGAGCGCACTGCACTGCTGCAGCTGTATTTTGAGATTGTGCGCGTCTGTCCTCATTGCTCTCTACGAGAGCAAGACGTATAACGCGAGCATTCAGTGCGCGCTCGGGTAGGCACACTTGTCAGCGTATGGGATAGCACACACGCTCGCGCGTGCATCTGGCGTTGCACTTGCTCGAGACACACGGACGCAAGCGGCGCTCGTCGGAGCGGCTCGCCTCGGTTCGGCCTTGTGTGCCTTACACGCACACCTATCTATACGTATGCATCGTGTATCCCTTTTGCGCGCTCGTCTCTCTCTCTCTCTCTCTCTCTCTCTCTCTCTCTCTCTCTCTCTCTCTCTCTCTCTCTCTCTCTCTCTCTCTCTCTCTCTCTCTCTCTCTCTCTCTCTCTCTCTCTCTCTTCCTCCACCGTCGTATACTTGGCGAATCGGTGAGGGCCGGAACTCGACCTTTCTCTCGCTCTCTCTCTCTCTCGCTCTCTCTCCCCCTTTCTATGTCTGGCCGTTGTGGACGCACAGTACGCGAAGTGTAGAGGTGCTCGCTCTCGCTGGGAGAGACGCGGCTGTGCATGGCGGACGAACTGGCGCGGTAGCAAGAGCAGCGAGATCGAAAACGAGGCTGCGACTGCGTTTGCGTAACGACGAGATCATCACGTGGCGTTTCCCGGAGAACGAGGTCGAAGGTGTATCGCCGGTTGGCGCGTGTATACAGAGCACAGGCATGTGCAAGTGGATAGTCGGCAGACGAAAGATAGGAAAGAGAGAGAGACGGAGAGCACACGAGAGGAGAACGGCCGAGGAAGCGCGAGCGTTACGACGCACACGCGGGTCAACGGCATCTCGGACGACAACGCCGCCCGAGTTTATTTCCGACGTCGGCGGCTTTTTTACATAGGTGTTTGTGTGCGCGAGAGCGAACGAGCGAGCGAGCGAACGAGGGACCAGCTGGGACAGCAGCCGGCTCTGCTGCTTTCAGTGAGCTGACCTACTGCCGCGCGCACCGACGTGATTCCTCTCGCGGCGACGCTCCAGCAGCTGTGTGCGCGTGCCGCGGCGGCCTTCCAGCACTCGTTACGAAACCAATAGGTGTTCGCGAGAGTGCGTGCGGTGTGCCGTTTGTCCAGTGCCGGCCAAGTGCCCTTTCGCGGTCTGTGCTCGCTCGCTCGCTACGCCCGCAGTCGAGTCGTCCGCCTCGTTCGCGCTTCTGCTTCTTGTCCCGAACGCCGACAAAACGAAGGACGCCGACGGTCGCGCTTCAAGCCACAGCCGGCGGCTCGCCGTTTGCAAAGCTCGCGCTCGCCTTTCCACCGGTTTCGCAATGGCGCAGCTTAACGCGCCATGAAAACGGCCGTAAGCTCGCGAGGCTGTTGCCGCGCACGCATACGTCACGCGAGCAAATAGGTGTACGCGAGCGGAAGGGGGGAGTTTCACGCTCCGCCCGGCACTGATTTGCACGCACGTTCCATCGCTATATACAGTCGTTTCGCGCCGATCGGCTTTCAGCAGTCCCTACGGGTGGACGCGTGAAATTGTGCGAGCCTCAAGGCGCAGGTGCGCGTCGATGGGAAGCGTCGCGCGAGCCGGTGCTTCGGCCGCCTCCTGCTCGCGCCTGCTCGGCGATCGCGGCCGAAAGCGAGTCGCGGTCGTGAAGCGCGCGGAATTCGAAACTGCGCGCGCAAGTCTAAAAGCGGAGGCGGCCCGGAGCAGAGCGCGCGCGCTTTTCCGGAATAAGCGCGGCTGCGTTGCCCAATCGTTCCGAATTTCGGGCGAGCCGATTGCCCCCGTTCGAACGCCACGGCGCCCCGAGACCAGAAGCCAAGGCGCGAGCTCGTGGAGGCAGTCGGGCGCGAGGCGCTGACAGTGTCGGGAACAGCAGTAGGGTGGCCGCGACCGAGACTGAATGAGAGAATGAGGCTGCGTCGGGAGAGGCGGAAGAAGAGGAGTGGCACGAGAGGCGACGCTGCAGCCGGCAAAGTCCTCGGGATGAGATAATAGGAGGCGAGGACGAGTAGAGTCCACAAGTGAAACTAGAGAGAGGCAGCAAAGAAAGAGAGAAAGAGAGAGAGAGATAGAGAGAGAGATTGAGAGATTGAGAGATGGGCCAGCAAGGTTCGAAGGGCGGGGGCCAGAGCCCGGCTCAGCTGCAGCTGCAGCGCGTTGCGGAGCAGCGCCGCGAGGCCGCCAGGATGCGCCTCGGCAGTTTTAAGCGCCAAGGTACGCGCCGCGAGTGCCCGACCCCTCTATCTGCCGGCCACGGTAATCCGCGCGCCGGGCGGTCGATAGCCCCCTGCTCCTTCTCCTTCCCCTCGGCCATGCCTTCCCGTACCCGCGCTCCTTCATTAAAATGACCGCTAGGCCCTTTCGTTGGCACGCGCTCCTTTGCCGTCGCTTTTCCCCACGTTTCCACGTGGTGACCATCGCTATACAAATCACTTGTAATATTTCAGAGAGACCGACGAGGAAGAACTGCATCGAGGCCCCGACGCAACTGCATCAACCCAATAACAACCAGATTGGCTCTAATCTTACTAGTAAGTATGACGGCTCATCTGCAACGTCGTTGCTTCCGCTGAAAATCCACGACGTGACTGTCGTGCGTTCTGTGCAACTACGCAGCTAGTTTTTCATTCAAGATTTTTCCGTATTCGTTGTCACAGTCGGTTATTTTCGTCGAGATATTATGATTCTAGCCGTTTCATTCCGCCTTCGCAATTTATATTAAACAGCAGTTCTTTCGACACGCGTCGTCTCGATGATGTTGACAAACATTAAGATCGGGCTTTCAGACTTGAGAGATCATCGACTTTTCTCCGAGTCTAATTTCGAAAATCAGAGCTAGAACAGATAGCAGTTGTCGGTGGCATGCGAGAGTGTCATAGCCCTTAATCACCGATTTTCTTAAAACTTCGAAGAATCGTACTGCTCATGAAAACGTGCAAGAAGATACTTAGTCTGATCATCAATCTTTCCGTAGTTGTACAAAATACGCGACTATCATGCAATGGGAATAGCTAGTAATCCAAGCGATAAAGAATTATTATAGTATTATCAAATGAAAGCCGAGATAAAATGCCTTTGATAGAAGTAAAAATTGGTCGGAAAGAGATAATTTTTTTTCTCGAAAAATTAGCTTATTTAATAAAAACCTGCTCTCGCTTAACTGTTGAGCGATTTAATTTATTTCAGCAAATTTCTTTTTTGTTCAGCTTTTATTTGATAAAATTATAACAACTCTACATCGCTTAGATAACAGGCTATTTACATTATATATAGAGTCCTGAGATTTGGATGCTTCTTTCCGAGTACAACGCCGAAATCAGAGGTAAAAAAGAGCGGTTGCCCCGATAGGTCAGCGTGAAAGAGACGTTAACGCGCGGTACATTTGATCGTCGTTCGCATTGAAATTCTCCGGCAGCGTAACGGGACACGCGCGGGCCGCGACAGTGTTTACCTATTTGTCGCGGAAATACGCGCGAAACGCAGACAGAGCGAGAGAGAGGGAGTACCCCCCCTGGCCGTCGCACAAAGCCGTGTTCCAATAGTATTTCGTACTTTTCCGGTACGGCAGCGTGATCACGTTGTCGGGGCGCATTTAGCGAGGAGAGTCTTGGTCGTCTGCTCCGTGACGCGTGCAGCGTCGCTGTGCACGCACATCTCGAAGCCAGTAGGATCAGGTCCCTCGTGGCAATGCAACTGTCTGGCCAGTGTTTTCACCCGTCAAGTGTAGTATCGCGTTGCGATATCCACTCAGAGGAGTTTGTAGAATTCACTTGAATTCTCCGTGACAAAGTTTCGTCGACTCCGTCAGTTACAAAAGTGAAGCTAGAGACATCGTCGTTTCGCTGACTCCTGATCGTTCAATGATTTCATGGTATGAGCGCCATTTCGTACGTGTAATATTGTGAATTTGAATAACACAGTGAATTTCGATACCAGAGTGCGAGAAAGTGATTCGAGCCTCGTATGGACGAACATTTGCCCCCAAGCGAAGCGAAACTGGAGAGACCAAACGCTGATCAACTCACTTTCTGGCATTATAGTATCGAAATGTACTACTGTGGTATAGGTTCTTCCTCCTTCGTATACGCACTCGTGACTCTCGAAACGACGTCGAGAACTGTTGTTGTTTATGGCAGCGGTGTGCACTTGCGCTCCGGACACCTAAAGTATTGCTAAGCGTGAGTAACGCTGGCATATTTTTAATCGAACGGTCGACCATGGCTCGGTCGTGTGTCCAAGAGGCGGAAGAAAATCGAAGCGAGAACTAACGTTTTCTGCTCATCGCGTTTCAGAGTCAAAATCGAATCTCTCGACTCAAGCGAGGAAAGCACCGAGTATCAAGAGCGTCCAGAGCGTCAACGTCAAGCAGAAAAACACGACGACTAACAAAGGTGAGCGTGAATTGATTGTCGAGTCGCGGCCATCGCGAGTCGTACGCAGCGCGACTCCGCAAGTATACGCGACGGAAATCGCGCGTGGGTTCGGCCGTCAGACGTATTTTTCGGGCGGGAAACTGGCACCACGGGCCTGGCAGACGCGCGTTTGATGAGTGCATGCGCGATGAGGAAACGCAGTTAGCGTACATACGCACGTTTCTCTCTCTCTCTCTCTTCTCTTTCTCTCTCTCCTCTTTCTTTTTCTCTCTCTCTCTCTCTCTCGCGCTCCAAATGCTTTTCGAGAGGCCAGCACTTGAAAAAGCAAAGTTTCCAGGATGCCGGCTAATTGAGTGGCCACGCGCAACAGCTTCGATGGCAAGCGGCGCCCAGATTCGGCATGGGTTCGCGCACGAGAGAGCAGCGAGCAAAGTTCGAGGGACGTGCGCGGCCCCGTTTCCTCCGCGCTCTCTCGCGATGCGTCTGCGCCAGTTTCTAATTGAACGTTGCGCGCGCGCGCGTTACGCCGAGAACAAGGGAAACGCACGCGCTCGACGGCGCCGAGCAGCGTTGCGTTTACCTGCGGGTCGCGTTCCCATTTCGTTCTCCGTTCGCCGTCACAGCGCGAGTCGTTCACGCGTGAACATAGCGCGAGAACGGTAGAAGCGCGATCAGCTGACGGATTGAAATACCGCGCCGCTAAAGTGCTCTGACATCACGCGGGCTCCTTAACATTGCCGACGAATCGCCTCTCTCTCTCTCTCTCTCTCTCTCTCTCTCTCTCTCTCTCTCTCTCTCTCTCTCTCTCTCTCTCTCTCTCTCTCTCTCTCTCTTTCTTTATCTTTTTCTCGCTCCATCGAAACTGAGCTCGATAGCCGTTATTATATAAAACAGACGAGCCTAGCTGACGGGCATCTGCTGGGAGGAGCGAGGCCGGAAGAAAGCGGCGAACTTTCACTGCTTTCCGCGGTTCGCTCGCTCGAGGCCCTGCTCGGCGCGGCGCGATTCGCTCGGCCGTCGATCGCCGAGCTAATTCAAAAGGGAAAACCGGTCTGCCGTCGCTGGCAGATTTTCCAATTTTCACTCGGTCTGTCGACGCGACACACATCACCTTAGATGGCTGCATCTTCGCACCTCGCGCGCTCCTCCGTATGTCTCGCTGTTTGCCACTCCGGCAGCGGCTATCGAGCTTGTAGGCCGACGCTCGCAAGTTCGCAACACGGAAAACACAAGCGGAAACCGGCAAATAGGTACAAAAAAGGCGAATAGGTAAACGGATAAATACGGAGCGTAGCTCTCAGTCTGGAGTTGGCTTTTTCTCCGCCTGCTCGTTCTGCTCGCCAGAGCCGAGAGAGCGGTAGCGGAGCGAGGGCATTTGGCCAGCGTACGCACGGACGCACGCACGTAGCAGCGGCGAGCCAAGGTGAAGCCACCTAATTCAGTACGAGTCCGAGCATAGCGCCGAGAGCACGCGGCTGCCGCGCGATAATTATGCATTTGTTCCGGCGAGGCTCGCAGTGCCGCCGAGTCCTCCGCTCGACGCGAAAGCTCCGCCGGGATGAGGCGCAGGTCGAAAAGGGCCTCTCGCCGCGCGGCACGTTGTAGTCGCCGGCGGCTAAACAATTGCCAGCCGCATGGCCAAATTCAAGCCGCTCGACTGACCATGCAACTCGCTTCCCCAGTGGCCGAACAGAACCAACCCGCCCGCTTGGCCCACAAGCAACTCTCCGCCGTCATCCTTAACAACAATAACAACAACAACAACAACAACAACTGCAGCAGCAACAACAATAACAGTCAGCATCATCGGCAGAGCGAGAGCATTGGTAACAATAACAACAACGTCGTGGTGGTCGCCGTCGTAGCCGACGAGCAAAGCAAGAGCCCCGGCGACAGGATTGAGAGTCGAGAGCAACAGGTCCAAACAGAGGAACACTCGCAAGACTGGAGCAAGAGGACCGAGGATACGGTGCAGGCCCTCGCCGTCACCGTGCAGTACTTTACGCGCCAGGTGAGACTAACGGAGCTCTCGCTTCGCTGCTCCGAACCGCCGCTTTACCCACAATCCGCCCGCTCGTTGCAGCTGCACCTAGAGGACCTCACGGGCACGCGATTGCGCCAGCAGCTCAACGCCATGAAAACTGAGTGGCTCGGCGCGAACTCCGAACTCGAGGCGCTGCGCCTCGACAAAGCCAGCGTCGAGGAGGCGCTCAGTCACGAGAGGAACCAGCATCTCCATCGTATTCAAAATCTCACACAAGAACGTGCGTACATTTACTCTCTCTCTCTCTCTCTCTCTCTCTCTCTCTCTCTCTCTCTCTCTCTCTCTCTCTCTCTCTCTCTCCTCTCTCTCTCTCTCTCTCCTCTCTCTCTCTCTCTCTCGCGCGCGCGCGCTACACTTTGGTTCTTTAAATAGCTCCAATTTCTAATGCGATTTAACTACTTACCTACATGAATCATCTCGGGCGCTCCAAGTTTGCGAGTATCTTGCTAGCTTGCCACTTGCTTGCTAGCTCTATCTACGTCGATACTCGAGTGAGTTAAGCGAAGTAAACTATCGATTTTGATGCAGTGGAACAGGAGCGCACGCAGCGCTCGAGTCTGGAGAGGCGATTGCAGGAGGAGCGACGCCAAATCGAGAGGCTGCAAGGTTGTCTAGAGGAGCATCAGCGTGAGGAGAAAATCCTTCAGGAGCGCCAGCAGGTCGAGCAGGAGCTGCAGCCGAGCCGACCTGCCAGCGGTGGCAGCGCGCAGCAACAAGATTTAAATAGCCTTCTCGCGGCCGAGGTGGAGTCGCTGCGCACTGTGCTGGAAATCCGCAGCCAGGAGAGCGGCCAGCTACGCGCCGAGGTCGACCTGCTACGTTGTGAGCTCGACGACAAAGAGCAGCTGCGACTTAAGTGCGAGTCACTGGAGGCGCGCTGCGAGGACCTCAAGGCCCAGCTGAACGCTAAGGAGGAGAGCGACCGGCAACTCGCCCACGAAAACGAGAAGCTCCTCGCCTCCATTCATCAGCTGAGCAAGCAAAACAAGCGATTGTCGCAGCGCAACGAGGAGTTGCTCTGGCGATTGCGTCAGAAGAACGAGGTTGTCAGCGTGCTCACCAACCAGCTCACCCCGCAGTCTCAGCAACGGCTCTCCAAGTCTCTGCAACCCTCTTCCTCCAACTTCCAGCTAGAAAATACTACCTGTTCCATGAAATACATGGTGGAGAAAGGCGACTCGGTGTCCTGGACCCTCGACATCAGCGACAGTTTTGAAACCTGTCACAGCCAAAATCTCGGCCTCAGCAACTCATCGTCCATCCTCGTGCTGCTCGTCCTCTAGGCGGCACACCGGCAGCGCAAGCAACGGCTCGTTTGGGCCCAACAGCCGAACGCGCTCAAACAGCACTAGCGTGGTCGATAGGCCGGCTAAAAGCGCTAAGACCAGCCTATCCCTCAACGATAGTCAGGCTGCACCTAACTGGAAACCCAGAGCTATCAGTCCACTCCTCTCCAGCGTCGTAGGAATGATCACCCTTGGGTAACTATCGCTCAACCGATTTCACCCTCGACTTCATTCTCTCTTATCCAAGCATCTATATCCACTGTTCCTTGCAGACCGATACACAAAATACCAACGTCTCAGCCTAACGTGAAACTTTTGTTGATATGTGTTTCGGACATTGCAGTCGCTGTCAAACACTCTTACTGAAACTGCCTCTGGGCAAGGACCAAACGCCTGCAACGTCAAGGCTGCGGCGGCGCTGCAAGTGTCTACAGATGACGACGATGATGACGATGATGATGACGACGACGTTGTTAATGCTGCCGCCGCCGGAGAGCGCGACGATGAAGTGGAAAGCCTGGGCCAGCGACCGCAAGAGGCAGGAGGCGAGGCCATGATCTCCGAGGAGACGTCCACCTCCTCAAGCAGCGAGGACGAGTCCTCGGTCAGTAGCGGCGACATTCCTTGACTGACCAACGCGCACACTCATCTCAAGTGGACTCGAGCAGTGAAATCGAAGCGACCTGCTCGCTTTACCAGCCTCAAGTATTAACAGACCTCAAACCAGCGCAATCGTAGCCACAATCATACTCGCTCCTGTCGTGCTTCAGTCTAGCCTCGATTTGGATAGCGAATATTTATGTTTCTTTTGCTTTTCCACACGTATACGCGCGCCCATTTCATTATCGTTCTCGATTATAGCCTATGCAAAAATTTTATTATTCTTAGATGGCTTTCTAAAAAGTTAATAACCGCTTTCACGTACAAGAAAAAATCCTGCGTTTTTACGTTGCTTCGACGTCTGTATTGTTTCTACTTGTTAACTATCCAATTCTTATTATGCTAGTGATGAGTAGCTGTCGTGCGCAACAGTTAGAAGGTGCGTATGGCATCGTTAGAGTAATAACTTTCGAGTATAAGCCTGTTTTTAATGATTACGGAGCGAAAGAATAATGATATATATGAAAATTTGTTACTGTAGTCAAGAAGATATATTTCGATGGATTATGTTGTTCTCAAAGTGCATTTTTTCTGTAAATATATATTATATTCTAATGTAACTTAAGCGAAAGCGATTCCCGATTCATCTTAGCTATTAAGTTTCTACGTTTTTTTTTGTACAAATCGCCAAACAAACAAATATAAGTTCAAAGCGCTATTTTTATTTTAACTGCTTATTGTCCTGTCGTTTGGTTGCTAGTTTATGCTCCTTATTGTCCTTGAGCAACAATTACAATACACATTTATAATCTCTCAAGTTTTAGTAACTTGTATTAATGGGAACACGGACTAATTTTACTGAATTATGAATCAACCTTTGCTGATAGTCAAATTTTATAAAAGAAAATCATCAAGCTCATAAAGCTTTTTTGGACAACGAGACTAGTTACAGTTTGTAAACTACTGTCACTGATGACGCCCGTAAGCTTGTGCACTGTTTTTAATCTTCTATCCATTTTATTGTAATGTATATAAGATTCTTTATTATTTATATCAAGTAAACGGAGCGGAACAGAGGACTTTCGTTATCTAAAATATGCTAATTACTAGTTCTCTATTGCGAAATACATTTGATTATATGAGAAAGAAAAAGTGTTTCACCAATTATTAAATAACATGCAGTATATGTGAGTTGGAAAAATGCTAGCTGGAAAACAATACTTCAGCAAAATAAATGTATTATATACATATATATTATACATAAATAGTTTAATTATTTTTTTCCATTCCTTCTTTAATTTTTTTTCATATTAAAATTTAAATGAACATAAGAATTATAATTAATAATGAAACTTTTCATCCTTGTTGAACAATATATTATCTGTAGAATGCAAGAATTTCTAAATTAACGATAATTAGGATGAATGATTGCTTCGTTTTCTAGTTAAATAATATTTTATAAAAAATCTTAAACATAATAGTTGTAACTTTGAATATTTAATACTTTGTACGTAGTTGTCAAAATTTGCTTATCACCTTCTTTTAGTAATAACCCTTTTTCTTTTTGATTTTTGTGGACAAAACTGAAAAACATTTGAATTAATTAGTTAACAGATAAGAATGCGATAACTTAGAAATGCTTTTATATTTTATAATTTATAAGTTTATTACCTCTTCTTTCTTCTATTAGCTTTCTTCTTTTTTCTATTTGTTCAGGAGTCAAACTTTCAACCATTTTTTCAATAAAATTATCTACGACTAAAGATCTAGTTAAAGATATAACAGTGTGAACGACAATTTGGACATTCTCTCTTTCGCTTAATCCAAGAGTCTATACAAAACCAGCAAAATGTATGTGAACAATTCAATGTCATAGCTTTTACAAGTAGTTCTGAACATATGCTGCAAGTTAAGTTTTCATCCATTATATTATTAACTTTATCAATAACTGTTTCTTCTTTTTCATTTTTGTAACTTAAGCATGGGGTATCAGTTGTATCAGTCAAATCAATTGTTTCTAAAATCGGCAAATCATTAACATTTCTCACACTGTCTAGTTCCACCATGAAACCAACATTAGTCATATCCATTGCCGATGGATTTACTGCTAGAACCACTAAAAATCATTTAAAACAATTTTATATAACTAAAATTGTAATAAGAAGCTAAAAATTATAATAAATATCTTTACCAATTTCAGATTTTTGGGCCTGTTCTTCTTTTTTCTTTAAAGTTTCTTCCATTTCCTTCAATTTTTGTTCCAATAATTGTTTCTCACTTTGCAATTTGGTCTGCACATTCTTTTCCTTGTGCAACAATGTATCCATTTTCTTCTGCCATTCTTGTTGTTGTATCTTTTCAATCTTTTCTCTTAACTCTTCCATCTGTTCAACCATTGATAATTCAAGCTTTTCTTTTTCTTCTATCGTGATCGTCAGAGCTTCTTGCCATTTTTGTTTCTCTTCAGCTAATTTCTTCTCAAACTTGAGACGTTCCTCTTCTGATTTCTTAACAAGATCTTTAAACTGTTGTTGTAATTCTAATTCAACAGAATTTCCAGACTCTATTTGTTTTTGTAATTTCTCAATTTGACTGTTCAATTCTTTATTACAAGTTTTTGTAACATTCTGATCTTCCAATAGCTTTTCCAATTCTTGCTTCAACTTTTCTTGGTCTTCTTGTTTGTCTGCCAATTGTTTTTCTAAATCTTTTCTTTCATTTTTTTGCCACTCAACAAAGGTTTTTTGCTTATTGATAATATTGTCCAACTTCAAATCACTGTTTTCCATTCTAGGATGTTTCTGGCACTTAGGTTCTTGTTTAATATATGAAAATTTGTATCTAAAGCAATCAGACATACTAAATTGTAAAACATCGCCTTCATGGATTATTTTTGTTGTATTGCGAGGAATAGGATGATTATTCAATAAGGTATCTGTAGAGCTTAAATTTGTAACTAACCACATGTCATTGTTCTCATTGTATTGCAATATACAATGCTCTCTAGATATTAAAACACTTAAAATAACTTCATCATTATCAGGTTTGCGGCCAATTTTAAACTAGAAATAGAAAAATCATGGATATAAGTAAAAATTTAAAATTTTAAATGAAATAATCACCATTACTAAACTCACTTGATCTTTATTTATATAAATGATATCGGACCCACAGCTGGGTTCATTGGAACAGATTCTGATCAACACAGGCATCACATTTTCTTTGATCGTCCTTTTTTTTGACGACTCACCGACAGACAGCTTTGATGACGACGATGTTTCTGTTGGTATCGTCGAAGTTTGAGATTCAATGCTTTTGTCTATATTGCAATTTTCAACTACCGCACTTTCCACACTCATTAATGTTGGATTTATCGTCGACGACTCTGAATTCGTGCTATCGACTTCCATTTTCAAGAATTCACTTAATAAAGTTAATGACAATTCAATTCATAAATGTAATGATCTAAGCAGATTTCAGGATCTCTTTGTTCATGAAATAAGCTCATTTGTTTTCGTCTCTCAACACACGTGAAAATGTTATGTCTTGATGTCCGAAAAAAACGAGTAAACGAAGTACGTGTCATGGCAGTTGTGATTGTTATTTTGAAATATTTCGTAATTTTATTTATGTGGCATATATTTCGTACAAATTGTATTAGTTGACAAAATCGTTTCGTTATTACCACCAACAGCACGACGTAATGCAACTAAGCCGAATATGCAATTAATACGATCACAAACAAAACATTATTGATTTGAAATAGCGCCATCTACAAAGTAAAAATATATATCTATGCACGATTACGATTGGTGACGATTTTGTAGTCTCACGTAATATTTTGATATAAAAGATTTTCAACAATATATTCAATAACTAGGAAGATTCGTATAACAAAATGATGATGATTAATACACTATATGAACAACTTTTAAGCAAATCTGACTGTCAAAAAACGTGAAACAAGTGTTGCGCATGCGCAGACGCTTTAAGTCGTAACATGGAAATCGTCCGAGTCCACGCGTTTGTACTGACTGCACGCTGATATAGTTGTCAGTGCCCAGAGGCTAGTAGCTAGTAGCGACAAATAACGTACGCGGTGTGTATCCGTATCAACATTAACTGACATCCACTGGTGCAATTGGGTGCGGTATTACCATTATTAGAAAGAAATACTTGAGTTTATTCGATATTATCAAAAAGTGTAGATAAACTCCGTTTATCGAAAAAAATTTTAGATTGAAATAACACTGCTATAAACGTAAGTAATTAAATTGTTTTATATATTTCATCAAACTGTTCAAATACGAAATAGCCGTTACGAATTCTTCAGTTTTGTTAGTCACTTTTAAATATAGATGATACACTATCATAAGCTTTGCATTTAATTCTAAAGTTTGAAAAGTAACATTAAACTTACCCCTTTCATTTAAATTTGAGGTTAGATTTTATCTATTGTACACTTCCAATGAGAGTATGTAGTATTAGTTGGATGGATATTTTGAATACTAAAAAAACCGTTAAAACTGATAGTATACGTGGTATAAGTTCTCTGACTTCATATTTTATAAAAGTAAATAAAATTGAAAATTATTTATATTTTTAGACACAATGTCGAGTACATCACAAAAGCATAAAAATTTTGTGGCAGAGCCCATGGGAGAGAAACCTGTAACAGACTTGGCTGGTGTTGGTGAAGTATTGGGGAGAAGGCTAGAAGCTTCTGGTTTTGATAAGGTACACCATATTCTAATAATTAATGAGATACATATTTCATATAAACAAACAATTTAAGAAAGTATTAAATAATAAAATTTTAGGCATATGTGGTTCTGGGTCAGTTCTTGGTGTTGAAGAAGGATAGAGAACTTTTTCAAGAATGGATGAAAGATACATGCCAAGCAAATACAAAACAGTCAAATGACTGTTACCAATGTTTGTTAGATTGGTGCGATGAGTTCTTGTAAATTATCAAAATGATATTATAACTGCTAAACTTTGGATGAAATTAACTTATATTTTTATATGTAACATAAGACCAAGTTAATTGAATGTTTATTTGTAATTGTCAAAACATTATTTTTGGGCTTAACCTTTTTTATAATTTTAATATGTGACAGTGAATATTAATTTAAAGTATCATTTTCTACAAAAAAAATTGGAGACAAGACTTGTTTAAGTGGACTTTTCAAATCATTACTTTTATTGAAATATGTGTACATATTATAAAAAATAAATACTTTTGTAATTAAAACTTTATGGTTTGAATCAGTGTAACAAATATTTTGAATGAAAATAAGTCCTATATTAATTTCTTAAGCTAGGAAAACCTTTCATGGCTTTGAAGAAATTTGTTTTTTAAAACGATAAATTGGAATTTTTATATTTACATATATATTAGAATGTATATTTTTATAATTAAACTTCTACTAGTTTTGCAATTCATAATAGTAGTTTGAAGTGTAAAATAAAAGTAGGTAAAATGTATGAACAAATCGAATGGGTATTTAATAAATAAGAACGTTTAATTTATAAATTTATAATAACGTTGCATTTATAAAACATATTATACATATTGCAACAATTACCAATATTTTTTCATTCTGACAAATATTTCTAAAAAAATTAAAGCTATACTTCCCTATATAGAAAGTGAACAAATCTTGTGAAACAAATGTTTTTTCCTTTACTACATGTTCCACGTGTGTAAGGAATTTCGGATTTAATTTATCTGATGAATCAACTGTACGTTCATGCATTGCCGAATATGATGTACAATCCGGTGTTATTAATGACGTGGCACTTGATACATTTAAAAAAAAATTTTAAATCCATCATCTTCATTTCTGTATGAATAATTATAATCAGATGGATAGTCAAAAAAGACTAATTATTGGAAACAAATTGAATTTTATTCGTAATTTTTGCGACCTTCACAAAGTTGCATTCAAGCAAGGCAGGCAAAATTCTGATCTGTCACTGATTCTTTGTGAGACGTTGCAAAGGGAATTTCTTGATTGCATTGCTTCAGAATTCGTTCCAGTTCTTCCATAAAGGTTACAGAAGGCTGAATATTTTCCTCCTGCATCTGAGTCCATAGAGCCAGGCACTTTTCCCACTTACCCTTTTTTCCTAATTATGAAATTAAATTATTATAACAAAAATTGAAAACTTATTTTTTGAAAATACTTTGAATGCTAACCATAGGACTTTAATAATAAAACATAGAACGGATCTACATCAAGGAACAATCCATTTAGAAGTTGTATAAAACCTTCCAAACGTGTTTCGTCATACATGTAATATTTTTCAATAATTATTCTCATCTTTTCCCTATTCAGTCGTAGTCCTGGAGTCTGTAATCATAGAAGAAAATCAAGATGTATATTAATTTCAAACGCTGCAAGAAGAATGTTTATAGTCAAAATAAAAGTCTCTCTCACTTCTAAAATTTTTCTTGCTTGGTACAGTCGGTTACATTCGAAGAAAGCTACTGCAAGATCGATTAATGAATTAACTTCGCCGTGCACCTTAGTCGAAAGATCTGTTATATATTTTAGGGTCTTTGCATCCTCCTTGTTTATCAAATGTGACATTATCAAAATTTTGCATGGCGTTAGTTTATAATTTTCACACACCCACTTGTATTTTTCAATGACCTTTTCTATATCTCCTCTGATCATAGTAGAAATAAATTATACATTTATGACATTACATATAACTTGTTCAGCTTTTCCAACGACTAGTATACTTACGCTTTCAAATATCCCTTAATTAAGGGAGCAAACATATTTGCCGTGACGATATTGATCAATTTTTGATCGTGCATCAGTTTGACAAATTCCTCTGTTCTTTCTGGACAAACATTATATACGCGCTCCAACAGTTTTTCAGCTAATACGTTTCTATTATTGTCCACATCGTTAATTGGATTTTTCAAAACTTCTAATGCCTCTGTAAAATGTATTTAAAATTTTTATAAATTATTTTTTATTTTTTCAATGCCCAGAGTTGTAAGCACTTTTAACTTATGCTCTTTTGCTTTTATCTTTCATTACCTTCAATTTTATTAGACTGTATAAGCGTGGCGGCGTACTTTAAAATTTTTCCCTTGTTCAATTTAAAACCAGAGCCTATTTCTTTCAACTTAGTAAACCATTTGGTGGCTCCTTCGACGTCGTCTAACGAAGCATAATAATCTATCAATGTTGCACAAAAACCAGGAAAGTACTTGATATTTTCCTGCTCAAGTTGCTGTGAAATATGAATGAATGTACACATTAATGGTCAGTGACGATTACAACATCAAATAAGTAGTTGAAAATTACTGAAAGTGATTGTTGAACGGCCTCTTTCTCTCCATTTCGAACATATTGCTGTACTTGGAGCAACTTATGAAATTCGTCAGATTCCTCTATTGAATCCTTCGAGTTACGATATCTCTGCTGTAAATATACAACGTTATTTGTGAATCATTTAAAAACTTGATATTGGTATTAAAAATAGTATAGTAATTTACGATTCTATGGTTTCCATTTCTCTCGATATTTTTAGGTTCCAAACTATCAGATGTTAATGCATTCAAAAGACCCTCGATTTCATCATTGAGAGTATTACCTAAATATTGTTTGACCTGCTCGGCAGCTCCTTTATCAATACCAACTCCTCTTTCGTATAAGTTTTGAAGAAACTAAACAGAATCAAAGTTATATTTGGGTTTTGAATTTTTAATTACGCTACAATCTTACTTCGATCATTAGAGTGGTATCGTACGAAGGCAAATCAATAACAGCTTTGGACACAATTAAGCTGCTGAACTCTCTGGACGTAAGCTTATCTTCGGAAACTGTATTTTGATTTTTTTGTGCCAAGACGTACTGCTGATGTACTATGCCAGCAATAGATGCTGAATCTTTAGTACGTGCTAGAGCTCGGGTGAGTGGTCGCGTTAACATACCCAGTCGATACGTCAATGTAGTCGAAGTTACTGAAAAATATAACAAATGTTTGATGAAAGTACAATTGGTAGAAATAAAAATTTCAATAAGCTTACTGAAGTCATGTGCCAGTTGAGTCTTAGACTGTGAAAGTAAATGCAATAATATTGCATGAGCAACATTTGCAAACGGTAAATGATTGTTGACTAGAGTTTGTGCATTAGTGAATACATCTTCAACCAAATACGGCACTATATATTCCTTTATCGTTGATATGCTCGGCGTGATTTTAAAATCAAATACCATTGATTTTACTGTATTTAGCAAGCCTATTGTGATATCAAAATGAATATAGTTTCAGTAGAAATATTGACTTTTGAATTTACCATAAGTAATTGCAATGTATTTTTTAGATCACCTACCTTGTAAATTATTATCCTTGCTATGAGCTACGAAAATTGGGAAAAAGTAATGTTCTCTTATTTCTGCACCAGTTTCAGCCCAACTTTTCATAATTGAAAGAGTCCGTTGTTGCTTATTATGAGTAAACATATAAATAATAGTCAATTCAAAGGGATTGTGATGTAACTCGTCCTTAAGCAAGAGATTACAGTACTTGATCATTGTTTCATTACTCTACACAAAAGAATTTTAATTACTTCTTTATAGTGATAAATAATTCTAGATTTAGATATTAACATAGTGTGTTACTTACTGCGTCAGAAGTAACTAACTTTCGGAGGAAGAAGCCTCCACTTTCGTAATTTTTAAGATTTTCCGGTTTGAGCAAAGTTTTTAAGAGTATGTAAGCAACATCTATACAATTCTTTTCTAGTAATTTTAAAATACATGCAACAGCATCTTTATTATATAAACCACCTTTGTTCAAGTAGCTGATCATCTGTAATAAAAAAAGGAATAGAGAAGGACTAAGAGAAATTTTAAGATGATATCATTAAACATTACTAACCTCATCTATCATATTTAAGTGTTGATTGACAGCCAGTGTATAGATCACATCTAAAACTTCCTTATCAGTAAGCTGTATATTCTTTTCTTGACACTGATTAAAAGTTGATTTTATAGATTCGACATCTCCTGCTTTAGCATGAGCACACAATATTTCTGAATACGTTCGCGATGTTAGTTCTATTCCAGCATTTTTCATTATATCCAAAATTTTTATACTGTTTGAAATGTCTCTAAGAAGATAAAAATTTAAAGAGTTTCATAAACAAACAAAAATGAAAGTATTCCTAATAATATTATAAATCTTGTTTTAGTTTTTACCCTGATTCTGAATGTCCTTTGATTAAGGAATTGAAAATGTTTTCATTTATGGGTATTTCTTTTTCGCTCATGTGCTCTAAAATCTTTGTAGCTCCAGAAATATCTCCTTTATTACAATACTGTCTGATCAGTCTTTGAAATGTCACATGATTTGGTTCAATTTTATTTGCTTTCATTTCACATAAAATATCCACAGGAGAAAAGTCTTTTTCGTTTTCAAGATAAACTAATAGAAGAGCATTGTAGTGCGATACATCAAGTGGTACCCCTGTAAGTAAATGTAAGTATTGTTATTGAGTAATACTAAACGACAAAAAACTTGTCTTAAGCTTACTTAATTCCTTAATGATTTCCCAAATTTGTTCGGTCAAAGCATTCCTTATTGCAGGGGATTCTCCACGTAAAAATTCACCACAACATCGAATCAACAGTAAGGCTTGCATATGAGTTAAAGAACCTAAAACAAAAGGAAGTAGCATCTATTTGCAAAGCAGATGCAGGCAATTGTTAAAAATAGCAGGTAAACTGTAAGTACCTTTCTCTGTGACAGCATTCAGCACTTGGTCTATGTGACTTTTGTAAATGCCACGGTAATTTCTGACTCTTTGATCAAGCTCATTTAATAAGTTGTCAATATTTAATTCATTATAGATTTTGTCATTGAACTGTGGTTTAGTTACATAAGTGCTAGAACGTGAAGATAATAGGTTAATAATACACAATCAAGTACTAAAACCCTGAGTGAGAAGAGCATAAAGAGGGAAAGAGTGTAAACGAGGATTTGCTTACCGTTGCTCATGTAAAAGAGCACATTGTCTTCTGGACAAATTAAGCAGTTGTGTGTTGATAACGTGAGTTGTAGATGAGCAGCCTAACCTCCTCCCGTGAAGACTAAACCTCCTCACGAATTGAAGCGACCTAAGAAAGGTCGTCATAGCAGCTCTGGATAGAATCTTGCTGAGTACAAAGAGTTTGCAGTTACAGCAGATTTAACTGCCAGTCAACGATAATTACACTCTGAAATAATGAATGAACGCAACGTGGTTCAACTGCTTTGCGATTACCGCAACTCGTGCTCGCTGCCCCACGCGATAACTTTTACATCTCTGTCTGTCTGTCTCTCTCTCTCTCTCTCACTCTCTCTCTCTCTCTCTCTGTCTCTTCCCTCTCTCTTTCTCTGTCATCCTTGCAAGCTTGTAGCATAGCGCCACAGCTCGCTTTACGTTAAGCGCGTCGGCAAAAATTCTAAAATCGCAGCTCACGGGCGTTTAATTGTTATCGTAGTGAAATAATAATAACAACTTATGAGTTTAGCGAGATAGCTAAAATAGCTGTTGTTTTATTTTCATATAAGTGAAAAGCAGTAAACAGACGTGGTTAGCAGCGCAAAGAGAGCAAAGAAATACTAAAGGGAAAGTAGTCGATTTGGATGTTGCGGCAGTCGTGCAATTCAATCATGGCATACCATTTTGGCTCACAGGCGCGCTCAAACAAAACGCGAGCAATATTGATTCCGTGGAGATTATCGCTATGAACAAAATACGAGACATTGATATTTTTATTATTATTATTATTAGAAATTATTGAGCGGATATTAATGATTACTCGGAGTTGAACGACGAAGAGGGCAAGTGAAAAATGCAAAAATTGATCATTGGAAATCTAGTCGAGCTTGGTTGTACGCAGGTGCTGGATTCTATTCTGCTCCGAGAGAGCTTTCAATGCCGAACTCCAAGTGTTCGGTGACAAGCCGATAGCTGCCGGCCAAGTATACAAGATTCTAGTTGCCGAGCTTGCTTAACTTTCCAAACAGGATTGTGGCGTACTCGAGGAGGAAAAGGATGCTGGAAAATGCGACTGCTACACCGAGGCTGCAGACCATTTGGGTTACAGTCACGATGACGTCGGAGTGATTCCCACTGTACGTTTCTCGCAATCAAGCCACCTGCACCTTGCTCTCGTTGAAAACCCTTGCTTCCTTCTCATTGCAGCCGTCGCCACGAGACTTTTTTGCCACACAACTGCATACTTCAGACACCAGACTGCTTTCGCGTAAGCGCAAAAAAATGCGACGCACTTGCACACGTGTCGACTGAATTTGTCAAGCGATACAAAAGAAAATCGCACGCGTGTATCGGAGGCTGTGGGCAAATGAACTTGTGAGGATTTGCGACATGTCGCTTTATAAATAACATCTTTATTGTAATCGATCGTTCGTCAATGCTTTGAAAACAGTCATTATATTCACATCTACGGGTTCCCGAAGTACAAACACCTCCTGCTCTTCGTCTTTTAACGATGACTGCCGCCGTTTTCCTTGAGGGACGCAGCTCTCGAGTCGAACCAGCAACAAGAAAGTGGCGCAACGATGACAGTTGGCGAACGCGCGCGTTGACCAGAGCCACGAGCGAGAACTGCGGGACTTGACTCTCGGATCGATCGAACGCGATTTTGCTCTGTTTGCCTTCTTCGGTCAAACGCGTATACCTCGGATCAAAGAACGGCACACGCGTCGATAGCTGTACGTTCGCGACTCGGCAGATCGAGCGCGAACGAGTCGTGCCGCGATGGTCGCTCGGAACCCGGGCTGCGTAATCGAGCGACGTCCCGGCCTTTCCGTCGAGGCGAGCGAGGAGGGGGAAACGACGGCGGCGGTGGCGCGGCCTCAGAGGTACATGCCGTTGACCAGGTAGTCGGTGTCGTGGGCGTAGGAGTCGTGGGAGCGTCTGCGGCCGCGGCGCTTGACGACGCGCAGCCGGCAGGCGATGAGCACGGCCATGACGGCGGTGACGCCGAGGCCCAGGGCGAGCGAGATCACCGCGCCCTTGGGCCGCGTCGCCTGCAGCTCCTCGATCCGCGGGCTCACGCGGCCCGCGCGGCCCAGGTGCTCCGCCATCGCGACGCCCTTGTGCTCCTGCAGGTGCGCCTGCGCCAGCGTCTTCAGCTCCAACTCGTGGCCCGTCCGACTCGGGCCCGCCGGCTCGCCTGCTCCGTTGGGCGCAACCTGGTGCTCGGCGGTGCGCTCGCCGTCCGGCCTGCTCGGTCTGCCGGCGGCCGGGGCGCGAGCGCGCGATCCCGGCTGCTTGCTCTCCGCCGACTGCGTGGTGCACAGATAGAACGAGGGCTGAGTCGCGGGGTGGGTGGTCGGGCGAGGGCAAGACTCACGTCGCAGGGCTGGGCGGTGCTGGAGGTGGTCGACGGCCACTGGTAAGGCGCGCGCTGCGGCCCCGGCGGGGCCGTGGCGACGGGGCTCGGCTGGCGCTGCGGTCCCGGCTCGTCGTCGTCGCCGCCGCCGCCGCCGCCGCCGCCGGACTCCCGCCAGACGGACTCCGGCTGGCGGAGCACAGCGGGGTAGTAGGGCGCGTAGCCGCGGCTCAGCTCCTGGCCGTAGGGGCCGCTGCGGCAGCCAAGCGATCAGGGGCTCGCGCGCCGGAACCACGACAGCGCCTCCTCGCCGCGCACACTTACCCGGGCCGCTCGAGCTCGTCCGGGCGCACGCCGCTCGGCTTGTCGTTCAGGATACGAGGCACCTGCTGCTCAGCGAGCGCACCGGACTCGGGCACGTAGGCGTGCGCCAGGTAGGCCTCGGCGGGGCTCGCGGCGGGCTGTCGTTCGTCCAGCGAAGCGGGCCAGTGGCCGGGCGCGGCCGGCGGCGCCTGCCACTGGCCGTAGTCGACGGGCGGAAGCGGCCGCGGCTGCTGCTGCTGCTGCTGCTGGTGCTGCTGGTGCTGCTGTTGCGCCGGGACCACTGCGCCACCCTGGCCACCCAACTCGTCCGAGGGTTGCGGCTGCTGCTGCTGCTGCTGCTGTGGCTGCCGCTGCCGCTGCTGCTGCTCCTGCTGTTGTTGCGCTGGCGGCGGAGCGGCAGGGAGCTCGCGGCCCCGCGTCTGGTAGCTGGTCCAGCCGGCGTCGGCGGGCTGCGTGTCGGACGCCGGCGCGAGGTCTCCGGCCGGGTACAGATGCACGGGGTACTGCGACGAGGCGCGCACGGTGAGGTGAGCAGCCGCGTCGGGCGCACCGCGAACGCGTCGCTTACCTGCTGATGCTGTTGCATCATCCGCTGGTAGCCGACCAGGTCGGGCACCAGTCCGAGTGGCTGCGTCTGGTGCTGGTACGGCTGGCGCTGGACCGGCGGCGGCAGCAGCAGCGGCGGACTGCTGCGCTCTTGCGGGCAGCCCAGCTCGAGCGCCTCGTCCGACCCGTCGGCGCACTGGGGGATGCCGTCGCACGCGTTGTAAATGGCGATGCAGTCGCCGCTGGAGCGGCACTCAAACTGGTTACGGCTGCAGCTCGCTGCGGGCGGCAAGCGCAAAGGGCATCAGTGGGCCGCGCGGGCCTCCCGAAGCTTTCACTCGGCCTACCTTTGGCCGGTTCGGCGCTCACGGGCGGCGGGCCGGTGCTGCTGGTGCCCGCGCTCGCGGCCGTGGTCGCGCCGCTGCTGCCGGTCGAGGTGGCGAGCTCCGATCGCCTCAGCGAGTTGAGCTCGTCGATGGCGTCGGGCGCCGGCGGCGGGCTGTAGGCGGCCAGCACCGCGCTACTGTAGTTGGCGTGGCCGGTGAACTTGCACTTGAAATCGTGCGGCGGACCACAGCGGAACAGGTAGCAGTTGCCTAGGCTCTGCGCGCGGTACAGCCCGGGCGAGATTAGGACGCGGGGGCTTGAGCCGAGGTCGCGGGGCGTACGTACCCTCTCCTCGTAGACGAAGACGTCGCAGCGCTCGGTGTCGCAGCACCACTTAGCGCACTCGAGCTTGGAGCCGACCTCGTAGTTGGACAGGTACTCGGCGCCGAGCCTCAGCGAGTCGGTGGTGCGGATGATCTTGTCGCGGTGGACCACGAAGCCGTCCACGCAGCTCTGCGCCCGGATCTCCGCCGTGGGCGCGCTCGACCGCGGCCAGCTAGCCAGCAGCCCCGCCAGCAGCAGCGGCCCCGCGGCCGCCCCTGCGCCCAACCGCATGGCTGCGCAGCGCCGGCTCGCCTGCTGCTCGAGCGCCGATGCTCAGTCCCCGTCGCTGCCCCGATTGATCGCCTGGCCCACCACGGCGCTCGACCCTGTGTCAGCGTCGAGGGAAGCCCGTCGCCGCGCTCGCTCGCCAGAGACTGCGCGCCACGCGCATGTGCCCGCCCCGCGTACCGCGACACTGATCAATAAGTGCGCGCCTCGCGCCTCGCTCCGCGCGCCAATAATCAAACTGGCCCTCGGCTCGCGCTTGCCCGTCGCCGCGCGATCGTAATACGGGCGCCGGCACGTCGCCCGTCCATTGGCCTAATTGTCCTCGGCGTCCAGCTCCGCTCGTGGCGAGCGCACCTAGAGCGGATGGCGGCTGCTCGCGCCTGCGAAGGTCCGCTGGACATGGGATATGGGATAGCGCGCGACGTCTGGATACGGTTTCCGATGCAGAGAGAGAGAGAGAGAGAGAGAGAGAGAGCGAGCGCCGCCGCCAGCGAGGGCCGAGGACGCTGGGGAGAGGGGGAAGATAGGCGCTACGAGCTCTCGCGGCGCGCGCGTACGTACACGCAGCACACACTGCACGCACGATAACACACGAGACCAGAGGTAGACTGGCAGTACTGCTGCTGCTCGTGCGGACTCTCGTGGACGCTTACGCACGTAGCAACTGAACTTTCGGACGTTGCGCGCCTGCGACCTCGACACTGAGACACGCAGCGCGAGAGAGACCGCCGAGAGAGTGGGAGAGCGAGACTCGCTGGCTCAATCAATGCTGATCGAGCGCGAATCAATCGTTTGCCGCACCACCATCAGTGCATCGGCACCGTCGTCCTGCTGCACCAGTGCGCGCAACTGGACAGCTGCCTCCTCGCGCCCGCGCGCTCCAACTCATCGCCACCGACCAGTCGACAACGCAGCAGCTGCTGCTCTCCAGTTCTCCAGCGGCGGATACCGCGCGTAAATGGACAGTTATGTTGAGATAAGGAGGACACATCCACGTTCATAGGAGATGACGCGAACGGTATTCCCCTGCTGCTGCTGTTATTCGCAACTCGACTCGTAAGTACAACCAAACCTATCGCTTCCTTATTTGACACTCGCTATCTCATACGGCCTTTGTTGCGATTCCCACTTTCAATTACCTGATACACTTGATCTCTTTCGCTCACCCCACGTGCCTTCCTTCCTTCCCCCCTCCCCTCTCTCTCACTTAGTTCCTGTTTCAACATTCGCTATTTTTGCACGTATCCTCCACCATTAATTATTCAACTATACCTCCACCGTCATTCGTCCTCTTCGAGGATCTTCATTTTCGAATCAATATTCATGCAACCTCGACTTATCTTGTAAAAACAATCCTCTTCAATCCAACTCTTACAATTTAGGTTAACAAGAACAAGCACTCATGAGCTTTTTCACGACTGATATACGTTTTTATATCATTCCTGTGTATTTTTTTTACTTTATCTTATAAGCAGTTTTAATTTGGTACGGCTTTAAAATCTTTGAGCAACAAGAAAGATAGTTTAATTGCCATCTCACTGAGTCATTTTTGTGAAACTATGTCAAAGATTAAGAAACACAGATGTTTGAAAATATTCTAAGATAATGCTGATTCAGTACTTTTCTTTAAATATATGCAAATTTCCATCACCAATGCACACACATCTTCATCAATTATATTTCTCAATTCAAACTTTTGTTTTATTTAAACTTTATTTATTAATCTGGTTTCCTATGACCAACATGGAAAAGATCTTTATACCTCTTTCATTGTATAGTAAATTCTTTAAATGTATGTATATTTAATATTTAGGTGGTGTTGCAAGGTCAAAAACATCAGTACTGTTTACCAATCAAAATAAAGGCATGCACACAAGCCTGAATGTTACCAACTTAAGGGTGGAATGAACGAGGAAGAATTATTAAAACGGTCTGCTGCAGAACGGGATAGAATATTCAGCTGCTATGACCGTGGCAGGGAAGGAGCAGAAATTGATCCTTGGGAGGATCCTGCTTACGAGGTTTATCATACTACAGACCGATATGGATTCATACAGTAAGTTGAGATACAATATAAGATGTTATAATAAAACGGCAAACATTGTTGCTATTGTTACTTCTGTTTCTGCAGTGATAAGCGGCTACCACAGAAAAAGGACCAGAATGAAATAAAATCTCATCACATTGAGATGGAGAGGATAAAAAAGTGGCAAAAAATGGTTAATAATTGGGAGTCTCCTTCGACAAAGGAAAAGTTAAGGCGTAGGATATATAAAGGAATACCTGATAGGTACCGAGGAACAGTATGGACATTACTTTTAGGAATAACAAAATTAAAAAATGAACAGCCTGGAAAATATGATGAAATGTTATTGTTGGCCCGTCAGTGGTCTACCGAAATACGACAGATTGATGCAGATGTGGCTAGACAATATAGAGATCACATTAATTATAGGTAAACAATGTCTATAATTGCTGCGATAATCATTGTAAGATTATCATGTCTATTTAAATGATAATATTTCAGGGAAAGGTACAGTCTCAAGCAGAGGTCCATGTTTTATGTCTTGGCAGCTTACAGTATGTACAATATGGAAGTGGGCTACTGCCAAGGTATGTCTGTCCTAGCTGGATTACTCTTGCTGTATATGGATGAAGAGGATGCATTTTGGGGACTATCTGTTCTTCTAACAGACAAAAAGTACAGTATGCACGGTATGTCAATTATCTTGAATTAATCAATAAAAACCAGTGTTTTCAATACTTTAATGACACAAATTTTTCCGCACAGGGTTCTACGTGGACGGCTTTCCAAAGTTGAATCGCTATATAGAGCACCATGACAAAATAATGAACAAGTTCCTGCCGAAACTCAAGCGAAAATTAGACAAGTGTGGCTGTGATTCCATACTTTACGCATTGAAGTGGTTTTTCGTGGTGTTTCAAGAGAGGGTAAGCGTCAATTGTTAGTTTAGTATGTTGCTAGGTACAATATCCATTGAGGAGGAAAAACTACTAACGCCTACGTAATAACCATTTCTGGTGTAACTAGACGCCGGTGAGTCTTGGGTTGCGCATTTGGGATATATTCTTGTTGGACGGCGACCGAGTACTGTCGGCGGTAGCGTACACGGTGATGAAAATGCACAAACGCCAGCTGCTGACAATGGAGAGTCTCGACGAGTTTTGCAACTATCTGCAGATGAAGCTGGAGAAGGATTTTGGCTACGATGACGATCTTGTCATTAACACGGTGGAGCGGAGCATGGAGGAGCTAAAACGCGCCAAGCTCGATTATCCAGGACCGCCTTTGCCACACGAGCTGCCGCGGCAACCCTTCGGCACCTTCAAGGAGCCCACTTTCACCAGCAAGGTACTTTGATTGCTCACTAAACCTAGCATTCTGCTGCAATTTCTCGGATTTTACTTGAACTTTGACTTCTCAGGTTGGCAGACGAACGGACGAGTTCAGCGAGGCGCAACAAATGATGCGCGAAACTTTGATCCAACGCCGCCAGACGATCGTCATTGAGGAGGAGAGTCGCGAGAACAGCGCGACGCCCACCGAATTGGCGATAGCCAACAATTGCGTCAACAAGAACGGCCTCGGTGGTGAGTCCAATGACCATCAACAACCCCACTCGACACACGCTATCGATATTATTAGCACCAGTGTTACTGCTACCATTACACCCACTACCGCTAATAACATAAACAACAAGGACATTCAATCAGATTCTAGCCATATTGACTCGAACATTAATGTTATTCTTATCTATAACACACGGCTCTGAAGAATCTCTAATATTAGTAGCCTCCCTTCCCACCCCATCCGTCCGAACCATATCCCGTAATGTATTATTCCGTTTGTCTATATCGCACACAATCACAACCCTCTCCCACTTACATAAATATTTTTACTTTTTATATACCTTTTTGTATTTCTACTACATGAGCAATCATTGCAAACTAATGCATGCGTATCTTTAATTACGAACGTTTGTCAAATAATTATTGTGTTTTTTTTTCAATGCAACTAAATGCATGTTTGGTTCGGTGTTGCCGGAGACGTTTATTTAATTTCTTAATTGACTGGAGAGTTTATCTAACAAATAATTAATCTGGCAATGGCATACTAGTTCGTTAATTTTTATATTAATTACTTGTTTCGCAATAAATTCACTGGTCAAAGCGGCTTTTTCAATGTGTTTTGCATGTTTGTAATTTGTAAGCGAATACAATTTATAATTTGTAAGGAAAAAAAATACTCATTAATGATTGAGTAGAATTGGCATAGAATATTCATTGACACGTAAATAAAATTTAAGTTTATATTGTTTATACGGATATCGTTTGTAACGAAACTTAAGAGATTTTCTTTATTGAGGTTGAAAAGAGATTATGTGACTAGGATAAATTTAATTATCATAATTGGGTCGGTTTCATCTGCTCACAACGAGAGCGTTTAGTAGCCATTGTTTAGAAGCATTATTTCATCGAGTGCAAAATTGTTGGATTGGATTTGTAAACTTTTGTGAGAAGCGTGTATTTAAAATAGTACAGATAATAGTTAGCACGAGACAGTATGCCAAAGTAGACGGGAGTTTGTCAAGCGACGATTCGGTGAGTGCCGAGCCGTCCGAATAAATATATGTAAAAATTAACATGCTTATATTTTGTGAATAAATGTCGATGAGATTGGAAAAAAAGCAGCTGGTTAATGTTTGTTGTGACTAGACCAAGTGCAGACTAACATTGGCCGCGCGATAAGCTCGATCAGCGAGCGGACGTGGCCGTTGCATGAGTGTGCTTCGAAGCCGCGATAGTCGCAGGCACGTAGAGTTGGGAAAGATTCTTCAGAGCTCGGCAGTAGTGCCGCTGTAGAAGTGACGCGAAGAGGAGAGAATGTGGGACATTGGGTGATTGGATTGCAGGGAGCAAGTTTTCGTTCGAGCCGAGCCTGGCGGACGGCAGCAGCTGCGTGTCGCCGCAGGGCTCGAGGCGCTCGCTAGCTGACACTTCGGTCACGTCCACGGCCGACCTGTCGGTATTCAGCAGCTCGGCTACGCGCAGTCAGGCCCTCGACGAGGCCAACTACGAGCAGCTCGAGCTGGAGAACAGCCTCGACACGCAGTCCAACGCCAGCGCGGTCAGCGAGGAGGCCTGCAGCGGCTGCAGCACGGCCGGTCAAGCCACCCCTCGCCAGCAGCAGCAGCAGCAGCAGCAGCAGCAGCCGCAGCAGTCGCCGCCACCACCGCCACCGCCGCCGCACCACGCCCGTACCAACACCAACAGCAGCAATAGCAACAGCAGCGGCCACGCCAGCCCCGACGTCGTGCGCATCTACGTGCCCTACGGGCCGCCGAGCGAGCAGCAGCCGCCGCAGCCGCAGCTGCTGGCCAGGACCAATCTCGCGCTCGACACCCCCAACCGGATCAGGATCAAGGTCGACCCCGATCAGACGCCCCTCGTTGAGAAGCCCCTCACGCCTTTCGCCCTCGACAGTCCCGAGCTCGACCTCGATTGCGACATCAAGTAGCCCTCCTCCCTCGCCCTACCTGCAAGCGCAGCAGATTCGCACAATCGCGTCTTACCATCCTATTATTATCATCATTGTCAATGTGTTCAATTATTTATTATTGCATTTTAACAATATCGCCAAGCCTTACGCTCTATAATCGCCAACTCCATTCCCCGTTACCTCTCCTTCACTCGTAGAACGCAGCTTTGCGCACTGCATTAGCTTGTTTCTTGTACGCGCACGTGTTGCCCCTTCGTCGAGCATTTATTTATATTATTTACATGGCCTACTGAGCATTCGACTTCCATTCGCGGCGAGATTCGCTCTGTACAGTTACGATTCGGAGCCTCGCCCGAATCCCGTTTCTCCGTTTTTCCTTTTCTTTACGCTGTGCTGCGCAAGAAGCCATTCGAAACGAACGAACAAACGCGATGTGCAATGCAAACAGTTTCTCTCTCTTTTTCTCACGCGTGCACTCGAACACAGATAGTTTGCGCTGATTCGCGCGCGGCGCATTTCGATTGCCGACGTTCTCGCGGCCCCTTCTTAATAAAGTGACTTAGAACAAATTGTTAGAATTTCGATGTGTCATTGAAGCAACAGTCTAGATTGTTATTTGCATTACTCAAGTACTATTGAACCCGATGACGATACGATCAAGTGACAACAATTAGACGGATATATTGAAAAAAAGAACTTTATTGGAGAAAGCGAATTATTGTATAACGTACTATGAGAAATGCGTACGTCACAATGTAAGGTCGAGCGTTTATATACCTGATCAAATGTTACAACACTATTGAGCTGTTGGAAAAACTATTCAATCTTTTAGTTGTAAATACTCGTCGATTTTTATTCAATTTTTTTCGATTCTGATGAAAAAAAAAATTGATTTCGGACTGATTGAAGCAATTAACGACAGGATTAAGAAGCTGGAGAACATTGTTTTATTGCAAGGGAATAAAAAGAATTATAAGATATTTTTCGAACTTGAAATACAAAGATATTTTTGTGAAAATTAATGCAAAGGAGTGAAAATTGTAATAAGAATCCATAAAAAACAGTCGGTTAAAAAAAAGAAAAAAAAGAAGAAAAAAAAGAAAAAAAGCTAAATAGCGCGCATTTCGTCAGCTGAAAAAAATGTCAATACTCACATGCAAATAAATTAATAAGAGTTATTATAAATATAAAGCAACCGATGATTGAAAAAAAAGAAATCGAATAGATACATGTATTATGTGTGTATATATATACATAAACATTTGTTGTACACTTTTGTGAATACAGCAATCTTCTTTCTTCTATCGTTAATGAAAGCAGGAGGCTTATGAAAAAAGCAAAAAAAAAACAAATAATTATTTGAAATTTTTAAGTAATAAGACTTGTGTCCAAGTAGGCTTAAAATTAATATCAAGTACGTAGGTATTATTAAGAATACGTAGGAGAGAAAATAATTTAATACGAAGAGATTGAACTTTGAACCGAGGATTAAATCAAGTTTCAAACTCCAATTGAAGAAGAGAATATGACTTTAAGCAATACCGTTTTTTTATTGAGTTTGTATGATTTTTAATTACGATAGCATAATTATTTTAGATTATTTAGGCGAAAATGATTAACAGGATTATTAGTTGTTGTGCACGATACAATGGTTAGTTTACGTGTAGAAGTATTTCTTGATTAAGTAAAGTTGTATTTCCAGCGGTTATTTTTCGAAGGCCGACGCACGCGGAAACGACGCGACGGATGATCGGCAAGGCTATTCTTACGAAGAGCAATTGTAAATATACACGAATCTTGCTCGACGGTCACACAATTTTTTCTTATAGGAGCTATACACGTGAACTATTTTTTTACACGAGTAGCAGTTTATTGTAGTAAAATGATACTCGGACAATTGACAAAGATTCGTGATAAAGTATGACGACATAATTGAATATAGATACGTATAATTTGACGAGCGACGGTGCAAAATCGAAAGAGATCGCCCGATTGGTTTCAATAAATTGTGAATAAATTGTGATTGCTGATGTGTCGTGCGTAGGTAGTGCGCGTGAGTGTGTGTGCTTGTACGCGATAACGGTACAACGTTCACGAGACTTGGCCGAACAGTATTTCCTTGTTTCCCGGACAGGAGCAAAAGTCACGAGAGCTATTTGCATTTTATCGAACATGACCAAAAAAATGAAAAATGAAAAACGCCGAGCGCAAGAATTCCAGACAAAGTAAAACATAAGTGAGCAATCATTGTAACGACCGAGGATAAAGAGATCTGAAGCGAATACGTGGTTGATTGTACATGGAGTATACATAGAAATAAATTATAGAGAAGGACAGCGAGAAAGTATGCGATTGCGTTACATTTATTGCAGACCCCGCAAGGCCCTCCCTCGTCAGTGAATATCTCGCGTTGGGCGAGCTAGCACCGTCGCGTTTCTACAGGTCGCTGTTTTACTTGGGCGACGCGTCGAAGGGACGCAACGATAACTTTCGGATGGAACACGTGGCGACGTAGCTTCGCCACCTAGTCGCGTGCATCGCTATCGAAACGGCGTTACAGCCAAAACCGGTGGCCGCGGTTGTCCGAGCGCTCCAAAATAATTGCCACACGGCGGGAAGATCCAAAGTTTCGGCCAGGTGCCGAGCGCGGCTAAGCCAGGTCTCCCAAAAGCGCGCGTATCCTCGAAAATAAGGCCCACGCACGGTCACTCGTCACTTGTTGCTCCTTTGGAAGAAGACCACCTTGTTCGCGGTGAACACCAGAGCAAGCATACCTCGATCGCGCCTCAACGCGAGAAGTAAGTATATTTTAGCGATTGCCAATGATGCCTGATTTCGGTCAATTGCGATTGCACTTTCGGCTTGAGCGACGATCCACGCGAAATAGCCGGTCTACGTAATTGTTTCGTTGCCCTTGCATTCGCGTTCTACCGTGCCCAGAAATAAACGCCAATGTGCGGGGAGGAAAGTGCAATCGACGCGTTTATATCCAGCATTTTTCACGGGATTTCCGAAAACGACCGTAGAACGGACGTATGGTTGACGGATAGCCGCGTTTTCAAGGTAAAGATAACGGACCGAATGTTATCTCGTAGTTTTTCTTTTTTTTTGTGTCGTGACAAATGATAGATACTCGACGCCAGCTACGCGGCTACTGCGACCGAATCACCAAACGGCATAACGGAATAAGCAGAGTGGACGCGGTCCGAGCAACGGCGAGGGTCCCGAGGTTGGGCGCGCCGACAGGAGTCGAGAGCGAACGAAAATGCAATAAGTGAAAACATTCGATTACCGTGGACGAGCGGATCGTGGCCCGTTGCGCGAGCGCGTGCGCCCGAAGCCAAGTGCACGCGGTCGACGCGCCAAGATCGCCTGCTCGAGAAGCTCGAAGACCTCGCGTGGACCGAGCTGCCGCGCGCGATAACGCGCGACGGCGCCCGCGTCACGACTCGATAAGCGGGCTTCCGGCAGCGGCGGAGCGGCCAGCTGGCGCGACGAGCGGGTATTGATTGGGCGCGCGCCGGCGCGCTGGCGGGTGGCGAGCTCGCGGTGCCCGAATGAATGACGCGCGGACCGCGGGGCCACATCCGGCTCGGGCGCAGCAGGCTGCACGGCGGGTGGCCAGAGCGGCCAGAGTGGCGCAGAGCGTGCGGACTCGTGGCGATGTTGTGATAGCGGGCGCGCGCGAGCAGCCAGCCCAGCCACAGTCCGGACGAGTCGCCAGCGCGCGATGAGCGCGATTCTGCGTTGCTGCTCGCTCCTCCTCGTCGGCATCGCCGCGCTCGCGCTCGCCGAGTTCGAGCGCTACCCAGGTAGGTGCCGCGCGGCCGCGATCGATCGGTCGCCTCCATTGCGCGAGTCCCCGCCACGTAATCACCCGTCCGCGGGCACTGGGCGTGCAGGCGAGGGCGGAGGCGAGCCCGCGGCGGACGAGGCCGCGGCCGGGGCGCGCCTGGGCCGCCTGGTGCGGCTGCTGGAGCGCGGCGGCCTGCAGCAGCAGCACCAGCAGCAGCAGCGCCAGCGGCGTCGCCAACAGGACGAAGAGGCCGCGGCGCGGCGGCAGTGGTCCTCGCGGCTGCTCGAGCAGGCGCTGGCCGCGCAGCGCGAGCAGCTGCTGCGCGAGCAGGCCGAGCCGCTGGAGCGGCCCGAGCTGCTGGAACGGCCCGAGCTGATCGACCTGTTGCAGCAGGCGGCGCGCGAGCGCGAGCTCGAGCGCCGGAGGCAGCGCCAGCGGCTGCTCCGCGAGTACCAGGTGGGTGTCGAGGGGCTCGACGTCCCGCCCGCCCGTCCGCCGCCATAACCTGGCCTCCGGGCTTGCAGCGCCAGCAGCAGCGCCTGCAGGAGCTCGACTACCCGGAGCTCGGCGGCGGCGCGGATCGGCCGCCGGACGAGTTCGCCTACTCGTTCGGCCCGGCGCCCAGTCAGCCCCGGCGCCCGTTCGCCGTGGCGCCCAACGACGAGCGCTTCTACTCGGAGCAGGCATGGCAGCCGCGGTCGGAGCGTCCGGAGCAGCAGCGGCAGCAGCAGCAGCAGCGGCAGAGCCCGCAATCCGGCGAATCGGTACCAAAGGTGGAGCAGCGGCGTACGAATAGCGGCGACGATGGCGGCGGCCTAACCGAGCAACTGCAGGTGGTGTCACTGCGCCAGCGGCTGGGCAGCGAGGACGCGTACGCGATCGCGCTGGTGGCCGGTTGCAGCGCCGCGCTCATGTTCGCGCTGGTGCTGGTGAGCCTGCTGTGGTGCCGACTGCAGCGCGCCACAAAGGCGGCCAAAGACGTGGATTATCCGGCCTACGGGGTGACCGGCCCCAACAAGGACCTCTCGCCCTCATCCGCCGCCGACCAGCGCCTCGCCCAGTCCGCCCAGATGTACCATTTCCAGCACCAAAAGCAGCAGATCATCGCCATGGAGAAGTGCGTGGCGTGCTCCAGCCCAGCCCGCTCACTCACCCCCTCTCTGTTCGGCAGGGCGTCCGCGGGGACCGCCAGAGAACCCGGCTCCGTGTCCGAGGCCGAAAGCGACGAGGACAACGACGAGGGAGACTACACCGTCTACGAGTGTCCCGGTCTTGCCCCGGTACGTACCTGCGCCCGAGGAACCCCACCCACACACACACACACACACACACCCTCTGACGGATGCTCTGGCTTGATATCGCTTGCAGACGGGCGAGATGGAGGTGAAGAACCCGCTGTTCCACGACGAGCAGACGCCGCAGATCGCGACGACCGTGTCCAAGCGCGAGTACACCAACGACGGGGACGACGACCTCTAGCTTCGATGAGCCGCCTAGGATCGGCCGTCGCGCCACTTCCTCGCCGAGGACTCGCCGCAGCTTCCCAAATCTCCGCTCGCCTCCGCGAGCTTCCCCGCCGCCTCGACGCTTCTCCAGTCGTAACCGCTCGCGCCGCGTTATTTTTCAACGATCTTTCGGCAGGCAGCCGTCGCACACGACACTACACGGCCATCTCTCGCACCTCACGCTCGCAACGAATTGACTACTCGCACTACTTACACATATCTAATGTATTACGCAGTCAATAACCGAGGACGCGAACGCGCGCGCGCACGAGGCATGCAGTCAGTCGTTGGTACACTAGTCTACAGTGTAGCGCAGCGTCGCTGGCCCACGCGACGTACTAACCGGCAAACCCAATCACCGATTTCCTAGGCTTTGCGAACCGCGTCACCTACTTGCGGATATCGCCTGCAGTATGACACACACACACACACACATCGTTCGGTCGCAAGACAACGCTTCGACAAAGTGCCAAACAGTAGACACGACAGCTTTACTAGATGAGCTTTTTGCTTTCGCAATCGGGACGTCGCGTGGAATACGGCGCGGGCAGCTCGCGCCGTACCGCGCGCGACGACGGCGAACGGCCTGCGCGCTCTTCGCGATAAATATGCCCGGTGTGAAAATGCTGCGGCGGCGACTGGGAGAGCAAATCAAAGCAGAGAAGAGCGCTGGACGCTTATGTTAACGGATGCACGATTGACTGTACGTAGGATTCACGCGTGCACGCGCCATATCGCCCAAGCGTTGAAATCGACTGCACGACACTTTTGATGAATTGATTATTTTTCTACGGAAAAGACGATTCGTTGTGCGCGCCGTCGCGTTTCGTGGTCGAGGCGATTTCTTGTTGTTCTTTTGTTCTTTGGTTCTTTTTTTCTTTCTTTTTTTTTGTTTAATCAATCGGCGACACCATTTAGTCATCGACGAGACTGGAGGAAATTCAACACGACGGTTGCGCTCGCTGCGTCGAATTGTTTTTACCGCAGCGAACCGACGTGGTTCGTCAAATTGGAAATGAACAGGAAGCACAGTACCCGACGTCCACGCTTCTCCGCAAGCTATTTCGAAGTGTAGTCCGCCAATTTTCCGTTCAAATGAAGAGCGATCGATTTTGCACCGCGATGAGATTTTACCCGCGAGGAGCTGCGGTCATTTTTACCACGACGCCTCTATTTTTTATTTTCACTTTTTACTGTTCAAAACACGTATAAGGATGATACTTTCACTTTAAACTCACGTCTAATCAACTTAGAGAATAAGTTGTCGATGTACGCATTAATTCACTTTACTTTCAGAGTGTTCTTTGCGACAAAAGGTCATTCACTACTAATGTATCGAAATTATCTTGCGGTTGATTTCCGCCCATATTTATCGAAAGTTTTAATGAGGCAAAGTTACGAAGAAAGTTTTTAATAGAAATAAATGATAAACGTAAGCAAATTTTTTTGTCCTTAAATGCACCGACTGAGGTATATTTTTGATTTTTCGACGGAGAAGTAGAGCAAAAAAAGCCGGCTACGACAAGAAAATTAAATCAAGATATATAAATTTTACAGCGTAATTTTGCGGACCATGTTTTTTACACAACTTGTACACGTGCACATATTGGTTTAGGCAATCTGACTAATGGTTTCGCGAATATCAGCAAGTAGAAACTAAAAATTTAGAAAAACATGTACTTATGTAATTGTAATTCTTCCAAAAGAGAAAGAGCTGAAAAGAATGGTATCGTATAAGTCGATGACTGCGTGTGTCACCTTACATACCACGAGTATCTATTTACAATATGCAATGATAGAGAATATTTTGTGAATGAGACAGAATCTATATATGTATAAATATATGATTAAGAATATATCAATATACATGTATATGTAATACCCTCAAAAATAAAATGATTAAAGTCTTAAACAAAAGAGAAAAGCTTTAGCTTATTTATATCGTCATTTATTTTTCGAGGTTTGGTAAGACGATACCATTTATTGTTGTAATTTCTATCCTAAGTAAAATGAATCCACAATAACGTTTCAATGGCAGCCTTCAACTTCAATTTTATTTTTATCGGAAAGACAAATCACCGTAGTACAATCGTAGTACAATAGTTATTGATATATTAAAAAAAATCGGAATAATAAAAAGTTTGGCATAAGTTATAATCATAAATGTTCACAATATTTTTAGTATTTTTACATTTACCCATGAATGAATGTAAAGTAACTTTAAAACAATTTTGCACATAGGCAAGTCTTTTTTTCATTTATCTAAGGCGATTCAACTATACGATATTTACAAGAATAATTGGCGTCGATAATAACCACAATTCATCGAAACTAAAAAAATGTCTTAACATTCTTTTCTTGAAGGTAATGTACATACTGAGATTTTCGGAAAATGCATCAATTAAAGCTTACACGGCAGAATAAATAAATATCTTTTAATCTGAAAACACACATCAGTTATTATTATTGAGTTACACAAATTTCTTCAGTGGATTATCTTTCAAGCTCAACGAAATTCTGTCAACATAAGGTCGACCATTAATCAAAATAGTCGGGCCCGTGTAGTATCTCCACAATAAGCTGCTGCCTCGCTTCAACTGTTTATTTTTCGACAAATGTCTCCAACAATCAGTCCAGCCAGTATAAATTGGCATGGCAGGCGGCTGTCCAGCTGCCAATCTAGAAAATGCAACATTTATTTAATTGAATGAGCTTATTTCATGATATTGATCAGCTAAATGATTAAATAATAATAAAAGTCAAACAATTACCCGCAATTATTCACAGCCATACATTGGGAAACAACCAAGAAAGGGTAAGTAAAGGTAGATGCAAGGAACTGAAAAATTAATTTTTTTAGTTTTATGTTTCACAGGTCTATGAATAACAAATAAATAAAGACAATAATTTAAACGTTTCTTACTGTCATCGTTGTTGATGTGTAAACCCTCAATTCTCTATCTTGAATGAAATACTTGTTAATAACATAAGTTGATGTACTGATAATTGCCAATGTGGTAGCATTAGCAATGAGTCTTGGAACAATTCCAGCAAAGAAACCTAACAGACCATTCTCATGATATATTTCAGTCACAGATCCTACTAGTGTACTGTTGAATGATAAATCAAATAATAAACTTCTGAATACTGTTGTAGATTTAAACATTCTTTTTATACTTACACATATTTAACCTCGCCACCTACGAATTGAGCCATCATTCGAGTTGATATCACATCAAATGGATGACTAACGATAATGCCTATTGTTCTAGCAATGAAGTTTTTAAAGAATTCTTGAACATATCTTTTATCTCTGAAAATTTTTTCATCCATTAATAATAATAAAATACTAATTACAACTGATGCTTTAGCATTACCTTTCACTGTCTTCTAAATCATCTATAGGTACAGTACTATCCGGTTCATCTTCAAATTCAACCGATTTGTAACTCTTGTCAAAAGCAATGCCATAAATTGTTTGTGCACAGATTTTTGGTACAAGGCCTCTATAACATCCTCCGAAACCATCAACATTTTTTATGTACCTTACTGAAAAAAAAAATTCTTATAAAATCTACAATGAAAATGTGTTTTTAGTTTATGTTGAAGGATAAATGATAAAGTTTAAAGAGCCAACTGACTAGTTTTAAAATTAAAATTCATAATATACAAGCTTCATATGAAAGAATATTTACCATACTGAAAAATGTTTGGCAAACCAAGTGCTGATTTACCAAAAAGAGTAGTGGTTGGCTGTGGGTCTATAGGCTCATACCCAATCTGAAAAATTACGTTAACCCACATAAACCCATTTTTTTCTCCATTGATAATCATCTCTTTTATATAAAATTGAATTGACATAACCTCGCCATCGAATTTTTTTTTCAAATAAAAGATAGGCTAACCTGAATTAAAACTTTGGCATAGTCAAATGGATATGTAACAACATTTATCAGCGTGTTACATGCAATTTTTGACCACAAGGTATCATCCTTTTCCATAATATCCTTGATCTTCGAGAAAGCTGTAACAAATTGACTTTCACTGCGACACCGCATACGCACGCGAGCGATTATTGTCCAGCGAGTACTGATTGTACGATCTCCAAGCTAGGTACTCAATCATTATACACCATGTCCGCCTACAGCTCACAATAATTGAAAGCCTTCTTGCCATCTTTTTTATAAAACAAGTAATCTAAATAAATAACAAAACCAAACGTTTTCATAAATTAAAAGTTATTATTTAATATTTAACACTTTTTTGATTTTACTGCACGTAAAAACTGCATATCACTTTCATATTTATATAAAAATTAATATAGAATTGGCGGTTTCCGCAAAAAAAATTCTTTTTTCCTTTATTTTTTCAATTAACGGTCTATTATTTAGGCAATTAGACGTGATTTTTATTTTTCAAACGTTTTAAAACTCGACTGTTTACAATCAGTTATCTTTCAATATATGCAAGTTATACAATTTACAGCACTCATATAATATTACATTACGATACAAGTGCTTCGTATTTTTTTAATTTTATTTTTTATTTTTTCATTTTTTAATTCGCTTTGCTCGGGCGTAAACGCGACACGAGACGAGAATCTACTTTTCCGAACATGTGCCGTACTGTATTTTTTGATACGACGTGTGGAAAGTGCGATTTTCAACACACGTTTTTCGATACTCCGTGCGCAAAGTGCGTCTTTCCCGCACACTCGATAGAAAACGTGCGTTGAAAATCACACTTTCCACACGTCGTATCAAAAAATACGGTACGGCACATGTTCGGGAAAGAGTTTCTCGTCTCGTGTACCTTTCCACCCTCGCCTCGCTCGGGTGTAAACGCCACACGAGACAAGAATCTACTTTCCCGCACTTGTATCGTAATGTACTATTCTGTCGAGCGTGCGGGAAAGATGCACTTTGCGCACGGAGTGTCGAAAAATTTCAAAATAACTAGAAAATAAATATTTGAATACAATTACTACATAATAAAGAATTACATAATAAATAAAATAATAAAATAAAAAAATAAAAATATAGTAATAAAATAATTAATAAATTACATAAGAATTACATAATACATAATAAAGAAACTCACCTTATCAATAAAAATAATTATTTAAGGAACATGAAAACAATTCTATTATTAGATTGTAGGCAAAAATTGTAATCTATCAAATTACAGTTTGTTTTTCTCTTTGAAATATACAAATTAGAAATGTTCACATAAATGTTTCCACACCAGCAAGTCATTGATTACTACATATTTGTCGTTGTAAATCTACAAGTTTTATTTTACAAAGGCAATATGTGCCAAATGACATTACCCAATTAAGTACAAAATAATTTACTTATTCATGTGATATTGTATTATTATTCGTTCTTATCATCTAAGACAAAAAGCATGAGATAGGATTAATGAAATCGTATTTTGCATTGACAAAGTAAAGGCAATAATTTGAAGTACATACAAGTTTTGAAAATGATGAATTTCACGAAAGTCGTACGTTTGCGTAAGCTCGTTACATAGCTCGGCTTATTAATTAACCTGTCAATTTAATTATGCAAGGCATGTAGCTACATCATATTGCTAATATTTACAGCAGAAAATTTCATAATGTAAATAAATAGTTTAACAATAATCTATTAAATCTACTAGAAAATGTCGAACTAAATAAGGCAGAAATTTCATTTTTTTTTTCACGTATGCGTGTTGTATATATAAATGTAGTATGAGTTAATAGCGCGACTATTACTTATATGCATAAGTGTAACAAGCCAGTTGTATGAATCCAAGACGTTAATTATTGCATAAAATGATGAATTGCAATCAGGAGCACTTGTGGCGTTGATACATAACACTCCGACTTAAAATATAATTCACGACATGGATTGAAAAAAAGAGCTATACATTACCTCTTCCATAACTACAGTAAAACGAAGTCTTTAAGAAAAATAAAGAACGTATAACGTATAATATAAATTAAATCTTAATCTGTGATTGAAATCTGAGCGAATCCAATCAGTGCCTTATCGTCGGGTACTTCGTTAGATGTCTGTCCTGAGTTCTAGAAGTTAAATACAGAATAAACGATGGCAGTGATGATTATAATAATATAAAACGAAAAGTAAAAATTATCAATTTACCAAAGGAAACGTAACAGTGCGGATATGTCCCACACTGTCGATGAGTTTCTGGAGATTGGCAGCAATGACGACAATGTCCTTTCCGTCGACAAGACCAGCACCCACTAATTCTGCAGCTATACCTTCGGCAGAATCGATGCCGATAGCAAATTCAAATCTGATGTCATTAAGTTCGCGTTTTTGATTGCTGAATCAGAAAAATAATCATCATAATGAAGTTATTCATGAGCTATGTTAGGCATGCAAAGAATACTTTACATACCGAAGTCTAAGCACTAGATTGATAGGAACATTTTTGTCCGCGGATGCGCTATCGCGATTTTGTGCACTTTTTTGCTGAGCATAATAATCATCTTGGTCAGGAGCATCATCTTCACTGCTTTCTCGCTCGATCCGATTAATAGGCAATGACTCTTTGCTCTCTTCGCCGCTGGAGTTGCCACTTTCTTCTTCAGACGACCAAACCCACTCGCCCGTTACGGTTCTGTGTAGTCGACCTGAAGTGCCAGGCTGCCTTTTCGACGCCTAAATAAAGAATCATTTGATTAAAGTTCAAGGATTGGAAATAAAATAACAAAAATAAAATACAATAAATAAAGAAATAAACATTTATACCTTTTGCACTCGTGTTTCTAGACTCGGACCGATTGCTACGAGTGTCTGCTGCAAGTATTTTTTATCTTTAGCTTTCTTAAAAAATGGGTGCTTTAGCAGTTCAGTTGCTGTAGGTCTGAAATATGAAGTCGTGTAAGTAAGTATACATATAGCGAAAATATATCACGGGATAATATTCAATTTTTACCAAACCTTTTCGTGGGATCTTTTTGAAGACAATCAACAATTAATTTTCTAAAAGTTTTGCCATATGCTTTATACTGATCCTTATCGTCGGCAGCGGTGTCCAGAGTGGGGGGATCATTTTGCAATGTGAGCATTAGAACTTTCATTGGTGGAAATTTGTGATAGGGAGCGGTTCCACTGGCCATTTCAATAGCCGTAATTCCCAGAGACCAAATATCCGCTTTGAAGTCATAGCCGTGGTCCTGTTTTGTCGAATAATCTTCAAATTTATTCAAATTCTATTCAGACGCTCATGCGAAAACTATTTATTCGTCAATAAATGAGCAAAAACGAAGCATCCATCATCAATACTTGCATTCTTTGCTCAATAATTGATCGTTGATTTACATATAATTTCTTGCCATACACATTTATGCTTGTTATTTAGGAAATTACTACATTCGTGAAACAGTACTGATACATTCATCAATTATCATATTACTCATGCTAAAATCAATTTTAAACTTAATAGGAAGATCAAGAAACATGAAATATGCTATAACACATTGAGATAAGCACAGACAACAAAAATGCCACTCATTACCTTAAGCTTAGCTTATTATAAAGCAGCATGTAGGTATTTACCGCAAGACAAATATAAAAAATCATACATACGTACACACATAAGCTCAATAATTTTGCTGTCGAGTAAATGCAGAGAAAAACGACTAGACCAACAAATCGCCATGCACAGTGAAAGAGACAACGATAAAACAAACAATACACATCAACAACGCGTAAAAACGCGCAGGCTAAGAAACTGAAATGTAACTTTCCTCTCTCACCTGCTCCATGACCTCGGGCGCCATCCAGCAAGGCGTTCCAACAAAAGTATGTCGGACTTTTTGCCTGCTGAGATCGCGTCCTGTGGCCAACCAGGCGCTCACTCCAAAGTCGGCTATCTGCACAGTACCATCTTCACCCAGCAAAATATTTCCTGCTTTAATATCTCTACAATCAATAAATTTAAAAAATGATTCCATGCTTATTTTTAACAAAGAGTAGATGACAAAAGAACAAGCTAAAACCTGTGAATTTGACCATTGCTATGGAAATATTCAAGTCCTTTAAGAACCTCTCGAAGTACAGTTGCTATTGTTGCTTCATCAAAAACTCCATGTTTGCAATTGGTAGTCCGCATTTTGTGTTTAATTATGTCTAGAAGGGAGCCACCCTCAAGTAATCTAAGTACCAGCCACAGTTCTTCTTTTACCACAAACGATGTATAATAAGTTACAACATTTTCGTGATTGCATGATGACATTGCTTGAATTTCTTTCTGCAAATTTGAAATTAAACTCTAAATAATGTAAAGGGAAAAAAAATTTAATTTTTGTAAGAATTGTAGGTCCCAATACTTACCAACAGTTCGTCCATACTTGTATTCCATTTTTCTAAATTTATACGTTTGATTGCACATTTTTCTTGTCGAGGTAAACAAAATGCTGCATGTACTATCGCAGTGGCTCCAACACCTGAAAAACGTAATAATTACTGATGTGTTTAATAAACAAATCGAAAGTAATTTTGATTGGCTTTGTAATCACAATCAGGGCTGGAATAAACGAATCTTGATCAGCCTGTTGTCACAGTCATCAATGTTAATTGGTGTAAATGATTTGTAGCACATACTTGAAAGGCTCAAAATGCTTATTTATAACCTTATATGAAGAGGAATAATTATTGTAAATTGAAAATAAGTATATGGTTGGGTCAACAGTAGAACTGTTAATAAAAATCGGAGAGTAATCTCGGAATAGATAAATAGGATAAAGGCAAATGAGTTGTATATGGGGGGAAAAGGTAACAAACGGATACACAAGTGGAAGAGGGGATTGAAGTACTTAAACGATAAACAGAAGAAAAGAGATAGCTGAAAATCAAAGTCTGTTTTTTCGGGGAAGATAGAGAGAGAGAGAGACAGAGAGAGCGAGAGAGGTGAGAGAGAGGAGAGAGAGAGAGAGAGAGAGAGAGAGTAGAGCCGGCAGGCGCGCGCGTGTTAGCAGCAAACAGCGATGGTAGGGAAGGTTGGGCGAAAGCTTGGTTTGGTGCTGCTGACGAGGTGATGATGGAGAATCGGTGGACGATGTGTCTTGAGTCGCACGACAGGGAGAAAAGAAGATAATGCACTGGTATGACTTACCAATGACCTCTCTTAGCTCGTAGTCGTCCTTAGAGTTGGGCCAGCCTTGCACGGGCGCCGTCGTGCTGCTCGCGGACGCCATCTTGTTGGCCAGTGCCGTATAGCCGAATCGCGAGCGGCGAGACCGAGACCGAGAGAAGCTGCTGCTGCCGCTGCTGCTATTACTGCTGCTACTTGTGCTTCTGTTTGGGTCGTTATTGTCGTTGCTATCGCCGCGGCCGGCGTTACGACCTTGTCGTGCCGTCGTCTGTTGTTGCTTGATCGTCGATGTCGACGAGAAGGAAAGCGCAGAGAGGAAAGCGCCTTCGCCGCGAAAGCTTGACTGGTTGTTGCAGCTTGCGCTATGGGCTGCAGGCGGCAGCTGCTGAGAGACGCGTGAAAAATGAGCAAGACGAAAAAAAGCTCGAGAGAGAGAGAGAGAGAGAAAATTGATGCGACGACCAGTCGGTGAGACGACTGAACGACCTCTGACTTGACAAAACTTGTTACCACTGACCGTTTGCCGACTAGAAGCGGATACAGAGCCAGTTGAGTCTGCGGTCGCGGATGGCGGCAGGGGCGGCTTGGTGCGGACTACTTGCAGGCTTGCGGTAATGGCGATCGGTGTTGGCGTGGTGGCGCGACGCAAGTGCGAATTGGCGGGCGCTGCGACGATGGGGTTGTCGCGCTGGCGGAAGACTCCGTGCGAGCACGACGGCAGGATGTCAGCCGTTGCTTTCCTGACGAGCGACACAAAGATGTAGGAGGCGCAGCGCTCGAAGTCGACGATCGGCGACAAGCAAGAGAAGCGAGGAGCGAAAAGCAGGCAGCTCCGGTCGCGAGCAGCGCTAATTGAAGAAAGATCGCCGAGCGCGCGCGCGAATACGCCGTCGCGGCGGCTCCACGCATCGAACAGCGTATAGATTGGGGGAACCAGTGATTGACTCGTGAGAAACGAGGAGAGCAATAATTGAGAGACGCGATGTGCGGGCTTTCTCGTGTCTCGTGATATCAGCGCGCTCTCGACGGCTGGCTGTCGTCGCTCTGCAGCTTCGCGGCCGTAACCGGCGGCCGATCGATAGCCACGCGATATATCGTCACACGCGCGGCTCCAACCAGTTCAATAAAGCTCGGACAGCAAACACGGCAATGCGCGTTATAACGACGCGGGCTCGCGGGGATTTCGGCTTGCACTCTCCCCCACGCGCGCGAAGGCATAGGCTAGCTCTCTGCGAGGTGGCGGCGACGAGCGACTGCAACAAACAGAGCACGGCCGTTGACGGATTCACTTGGCACCTGCCAGCACCACACAGTCGCAGCAGCGCCAGTCGTCATGCGGCCAGTCGCTGTTATTCTCGTAAGTTGTTCGTTTTTACGCTCGCTTTTGCGCCGGCGATTCCCTCCCTGCGCGATTCGCGTTCGGCGGCATACCACGCGAGCAGCCGATCGGCTGCCGATCGTCCTCGAAAGTATGAGATCGCCGGGACTCGACATGACCAAGAGTCGTTGGAAAACGCTATCCGCGAGCGTTGACCGTCCCAACGACGATACGAGAATGCATCATCGGCGGGTGCGAGCCCGTCAACGGCTCAATTGCACGAACAGCCGCGTTATAGCACGACGATCACGATTATCTATGTCGAGGCCTTGATCAACGGCGTGCAGTGGCAGCGAGAAGAGAACAAACGAAAAGACCCAATTAAGAAAAAGAATAAAAAGAAGAAGAAAAAACGTTGCGCTCGTTCGAGTGAAAAACAAGTGTCAACGACGATCGAAGGCTTGCCTGCTGTTGCCGAGCAGCGCGCGGCCGCCGGCGAAAAACCGGTGGTCCTGAAAGCGCAGCTGGGCCTCTTCGTGCTGTGGCATCTTCTCGCTGCTCGCCCGCGGCTGCTGCTGCTGCTTCGCGTTGACCTGCAAAAAAACGCGCGAGGCGCCCCTTTGTCACTGTTCGAATCCAGGCGGCAGGAGGGGTGCATCGGCCGCGCACAAAACGAAAAAAAAAATGAATAAAGCAAAATAGCATGGAATATTTTTAAATTGACGTTCGACCGATCTTCACCTAAATTCGCTTTAATTGGATAATTGGGAGACACAGGGATTGGCAGCGTGCTGTCCGTTCAGTTTGTTTGCGAGATGCATCGTCTCCGCGTAGCTGGCCTGGGTCGCGCGAGAGTCGTCGACGAGCCGATCCGCGGGTCCCACTCGCGGTAGAGCTGTTGTTCGTCGCCGCTCTCGATCTCATTACGATTATTTCATTCCAGGCTATTGCCGTGATTACGCGATAATCGGACACGAGGCGATCGTCGGCCTAGGTCTTTCTTTTTTTTTTTTTTTTCGTTTGACGAACGGCAGTCACCGGGGCCGGGCGTAAGCTGCGACTAGGGCGTGAAATCGGGGTCGGCCTACGGGGGACGCGACGAATCGAATTATCGCCAAGTCCAATGAGCAACGCGCGCGCCGCGATTACGGAAATCCGTGCAGATGGCATTCGATTGTAATTCGCTCGATAAAACTAACTGTTGCGTCGACGCGAGGCATTTCTTTCCGACGCACTCCCTGCTCCCCTCCCCCCTCCCGCGGCTGCCCCACCCACGCATCATGTCCACGGATCACTCGGACGAGCGAACACCACGAGAAATAACACGTTCAACAGATGTTTTGCCGATTGACGCACGCGACCAGCGGTCGCAGTCGGGACCCCCAGACGGGCGAACTGCGCGAGGGTTCGCGGGCGCCACTTACGTTGCGAGCGCGCAGGCTCGTGAGACTGACCGCCGATAAGCCCCCCGATCGCCGAGGCCGCGCGGCCGGCGGCTTACACCCGCAAAGGCGCCCGCGTTACTGGTCGCGCGCGCACGTCACGCGCCCACAGTATTCGAGTGCACCGCGAGTCTCGTGGTCTGCCATTAACCGCGCGGAGCCGCGACGCTCAATCATTCGCCCTACCGATATTCGGACGCGAGAAAAGGATCCGTCGGACTGTCGGGGTACCTGCATGTTAGTGAAAAGCCTCGACTGCTTGAACTGCCGATGCCATAACGTCTGTCTTTCGTCAGCTACGCGTCGCGTTGGAATGACAGAGCCGCGAGCTTGCGGAGCTTGTGGACCAGCAGCGGCAGCCGTCGACCTTGAGCATGCGCCAGCACATAACTACGGGGACTTGCGATGTCCCGGCAAGCGCGCCGTTATGCCTGGAATTTGGAGCGGTGAGATAGACGAAATAGCAGGAAGAGCCGTGTAGAGCCGAGTGCGACGATTGCGGCCCTCGACTCGCGACTGGCTAGGCTAAGCAGCACTCGCTTTCAGCACTCGTCTCTCTTAGCTCAATTGAACGAGCAAACCTCCGCGCGCCCCCTCCACTCGTCTTTCTCTCTCTCTCTCTCTCTCTCTGTCTGTCTCTCGATATACCTTGAGCTACACCGCGTCTATTACGAAAAGAAAGAACGACAAAGAGGAAACGCTCGTCTGCTATATAGCCGAAATCACTAAGATCGCTAATTGCCGCGCCATGGCTGGATGCTCTGGTAACTTCTGCGCTAATTCCACTTGGCCCGATTAGCCTCGTACGTGCTCAATTAATCGCTGCGATAATCCGCGACGTCCTACGCAGTTCTGATCAAACGTTATTACCTGTCGCCCTCTGCCAGCATCTCCTTCACGATGACTTTTCTACCTTCTCGACAATATCAACGAAACGCTCGCGCGCAGGTGAGCAAACTGTTGGCGCTGAGTCGCCTTTGCCTTGGCATCGGGAGACCGACCCTCTACGACGCGGGCACCGCCAGCAACGAGCTGCTCGCTTGGCTGCGAGACTCCGCTCGATCCGCCAAGCCGATTGTCCTACCTGAGGACAACCTGCGCGAGGAGCAGGCGTCCTTCGGCGCTTTCGACGATCTGGTGTCCTCGCTGCAAGACGAACGGCCGTTCACCAGAACCGATCGCAGCTTGGTGCCCGTGAGTTCTCCCTTCCGCGGCGTCGCGGCCGATCGATCAACCAATTGAACAAATTGGCCACTTCTGCAGGAGTATCGACATCTATGCGAGACGGCAACGCGCAAGGTCGAGTTCAACGGCGATCCCAATTATGAGTACCAACCGCCACATTACTATGAGGTTTTTTGCAAGAGCTTCTCCCTCGTAGAGAGTGAGTCGTCGCTGAAAGTCGAGCCGCCAGAAAAACAGGTCAGAGAGCGTCTGTAATTCTTTTACCAATGGCTCGCAGACTCGAACCGCTGCCTGATAACTTGCAGAAGTGTGCCCACCCGAGCTTTCATTGCATACAGAGGAGTCGCACGCTGTTCATGCTGAGGCGCCGCTGGGATGCCGCATGCTGGGAACCGACGACCAAGGTCGTCGCTAGCGGCTGCGACTGCATGTGGCCTACCTCCACTCTCGGCGACGTCACTATGCACTACTAGTCAGCAGTATTATTTCACTTGCATGTACTTATTGCACAGCTACCTCGCAATAAAACTCTAATCAATGACAAGCGCAATTGCAGTGTGACTCGGCGTCGCCCAGCGGCGCGCCGTAACTTTTATTTGATACAATCGTTGTATGAACACTTTGGCAGAAACTTGTAATCGATCGAGCAATCGTTTATCGTCCAATGCTCGTCTTCGGCCTCGTGTCATTTCCAAGAGTTGGCCTTGTGTTTGGGCAGGAAATGGAAGCCATCGGGCACTTTGCCGAGCAACATTTCCCTATCGACGGACAAGCAACAAATTAGCTTCGTTAAATGAGAAACGTCTGACTTGTACTCACGAGATCTTTATCCAGTCGGTGCAGTTCGGACTGGCCATCAGAGTTTCCAAGTCGTCGCGGGCTCTGTAGTAGGGCGGCCTGTTGTTCATCCTCTGAGGAGGCTTTACGAGAATGCCCACGGGAACGTACCTGCGATCAAATAATGCACGAGTACCGGTACGGGAGTACAAGCACGAATAGCTTACCTATACAAAAAGGAGATCCACTCCAGCAGAAAGCGCCTTGTGGTCTCAACGCCGCGAGTGTCCGATCCCCAATGTTCCAAGCCGTACTTGGTGAACTTGCGCAGCATGTCGAAGCGCTCGCCGGACGAAACGTCGAGCAATTTGCGCTCTTTGATCTCCTGGAATATCCAAGGTTTGATAAGGGCACCTCGGGCAATGCTCACGCCCTGCACGTGCGGGCAATTAGCGCGCACGCGCTCGTAGTCATCGTAGGAGAGGATATCTCCGGTGCCGTAGACTGGTAACGGATCCGCGGCCTGCGCGCACTCCTCGATATACTGCCAATCGGCTAGCTTAGTGTATCTCTGCTCGCGCGACCTTCCGTGAATCTGTCAAGAAAACGAGCGCGAGTCCAGTTACCAGTGCAACTTGCAACGGGCGCCGAGATACTCACGTTCACCATTGCCGCACCCCACTCTCTGAGCTTAGGCATGAGCTTGTGGGCCATGGGTCTATCGGCGTAGACGCCGGTCCTCATCTTCACGGTGAACGGCACGTCAAGTAGCTCCGTCGCCGACTTTACCACTGTCTCCAGCATGGGGAGTCGGTTCATCATGCCGCAGCCTGCTCCAGTCTTGTACACCAGGTCGATAGGACAACCCAGGTTCAGATCGACGAAGTCCACGACGGTCTCGTCGTTAAATAGCTGCGCGCACCTTGTCAGCACGCCGGGATTGTTACCTGCGACTTGCACCCCGAACACGTCCTCGGACACGTGCCTCTTTACCAAGGCCCACTCTTCGCGCGTACCTTTCAGCAGTTTCGGAGCCAGCGTCATCTCCCCGCAGGTGATGTCGGCTCCGTATTCCTTGCATATTCGTCGGAACGGCAGGTTACCTACCGTTGTCAGAGGAGCCAGCATCAACTTGTCTTTCCAATCAATTATCTTTTTTTCACTGGCTCTTAGCTTGATTTCCTCTTCGTCCAATATTGCTCCTACCATCGCAGCTCTATCCACGCCTTTTTTATTAACATCCTCACATCCACCCTTGTTTTCTGTTGACTTGTCGAATTTCTCGCTTGATTTCTGAAATACATTCATTTATTCATTTATTTAGATCAAACATCCATGCAATAGTCAAGTAAATACTCAATCCTCACCCAATTGTATTTTTTTGTTATATTTTCAGCTTTGGCAAAATCATACTTGTACTTTCTTAGATTTTCCAAAATTTCTTTAGATACATGGTTTTTCACGAAGGGTGACAATTTTTGGTATGCTTTATATTTTTCCACATTAACAATATTATATCCATCAGATGTAACATGCTTTGATCCAATACGACAAGCAGCACCTCTTTGGCACTTGCCTGTAAGCTCAAAATTGTAGCACTCTGTGCCAATGTCTTCTGGCTTGATTTTCAAATATTCACTTCGATCGTGTATAAATGTGCATTTTGCATTTGGACACTTGGCTGTATCAGCTTCTTCAACTGTTGCTTCTGCTATCCAAGGACAAAGATTGATGTCTCGTATTATCTTGAATGGAACTGATCTATTTTTGTTTTGACCTCGGGGTTTAATTTTCTTATGGTTGTCTTTAATCTTTTTCTTTGGAGGCTCTTCACTCTCATTTGTAAGATTAGTGACTTCATACTGCGCTTTACCATTTTCTTTGCAGTCTAATATTTCAACATTATTCACGAATCTTACGCTTTCCTCAATTATGAATCTGCAATGAATAAATTGTATTAGAAAGTTAATTCAACATTAACAAAATTCGTTTAAAATTGCTTCGGCTCATTTTTATTGTTCAAAATATTTTTACGCTTGGGAATAATACTTGTTAATGAATCATTTTTAAGGTTATATCAATCAACTGTTTGAAGCTTTTTATACAAAAGTATACTAAGTAAATTTATATTTATATACTCAGGTTTTATCAAGCATATTCCAGTTCGCTTATCTTCTTTTCTATCGTTTACGTTGTCGTTGTCTTTTTTATCTACTGAATCTGTCATCTTTAAAATGCATAAATAAATATGACACTAATGTCTGCAGTCTCGTTCTAACCCCCATTTGTTACAATCAAGAGTAATATGTATAGGGCAAACGCCACCTGTTGTTGATTTCGGCACGATGGTTTCGCTAATTCGCTAATGCTAAATCAAAAACTTTTCTTATGAACAATTTTATTTACATGAAAAATGCTATTTTTATATCTAATTTATTTGGTAATCGATAGAAAACCTTCATTTTTATAATATTGAAAAAAAAAATTGTATTCAATTGGACAAATGTCATAATTTTTATAAATTAAATAACTTGATTCTCTTTGAAAGTCTGCATTTTCACGTAGTTGATTTACAATTTTTTACAATAAGAACTGCTTTGAAATAATTTTCTAATAAATAATTTATTCAAAATTTGTTTGACGTTCATAAATAAAATCACTTTAAACAATCATTTCCAGTTCTCTTGCGTAATCAATTGTAAGAGTAACCAAATCAGTACTTGGTACTGGCTCTTCAATTTTCTTTTCATTTGGTTCTCCAAAATACAGGTAACCATCTTTAGCAAACATCCACTTCTTTTTGTTGCAAAATAGCACTGTTTCTTTTTCTGTATTTAAATTTAACATGCGTGCAGCATCTTTAATAGAGATCTTTTCAAAAGCACTTTCCATACAAGCTCCAATTTCATTCCTAACAGTATTTAGTAAAATATCGATGAAAAAGTTATATGATGCTGCAGGTACATTCCCCTTGGCAAGAAAAATCTTATTGTAAGAACCTTCCATTAAATATTGTTCCAAGCTCAATGGATGTCTTATGTAAATGTTTGTTTGAATACAATCTACAGGGAGTCGTTCTAATTCAGTATGGAATTCAGCTACTCTATTTTGTGACAATAAAAAAAGAAGATTGAGTCCCAGAAGTTGATACATGTATGCAGATTCTGGCAGACTTGTGTAATCAAAATAATAACATTTCAATTGTGCAATATAACGTTCAAAAGATGGAATATCTTCACTTTCAATGCTCCACTGTGCTCCAATTTCCAGAACATCTCCTGAAAACATTCAATAGCTCTATTTAGTTAATTAATCAATATTTGTTGCTTTCAATTAAAATCACTTACTTGCTATCAACAATTCTTCCTTGGAAGCAGAGCCTTTTGTTGGCAAAAATGTCAAGTTTGTAAGAGCAATCTGAAATATTGTAATCAAATGAAAATAAGTTTTATTGACTATTTTAACTGACAATTAAACGCTTTCTAAAATTATAATTTCAAGTATTATGTATCATAGAACAATTATTCAAAGAAACATTTTATCAGTGTGTGTAACTTTTTTGAGATGTAAAATATATTGTGCATGACAATTCAGTTTTAACTATTCAGTCTATAGGTTATGTTTACAAACGTTCTATGAGAATATTTCGTTATTTCATAAAAAACTATTGGGAAAAATTTATTACCTTTAGTTGACTTAATAATTCTTCACATTTTTTAAGATTGTGTGAAGATTTATTCCATTCTTGCTTTAAAACTTGCGATTTATTGACTACTTCTTTGAGTGCCGCCATTGTTTAGAGTTGTTTGAGAGACGACAAAAACTATATATGTACACTGTGTGATGTCCTATGCTGTGAAGATTGTCGCAGTTTTGGAGCCACCTATTTTCAGCCAATTTCCGAATGTTCTGATGTTGAATGTTGAATCATGACAATTCTAACCTTTTTTATTCTAGTAAAAGATGTAAATACTTTAATAATTCATGCGTAATAGTCAAATTTTAATATACTTTTTATAGCGATAGATTGATTTTTACACTAACAATTTTTAATTAAAAAAAGTCAAATACTGAAACTAAATATGAAAATCCATATAAAAGTTTTGAAGGGGGAAGAACATATCTTTGATGTAAGTTTAACAATTTGATAATATTCCATGTAACATCAATCATAAATGCACACATATACAAATGAAAACCTATAATTAAACCTATATAAACCCTCTACTTTTTCATTATTTAGATATCATCTTCGGATACTGTATTAGAAGTTAAACAGAAGGTAAAAGATCGTTTAGGCATTGAAACATCAAATCAAGTTCTGTTACTGCTTGGAAAAGCTCTGTCAGGTAATTAAATTTAAACATTTAAAAAAATTATTTAACATTTATGGCTTTTATTTTATAAGCTTTAAATATTTTCTAATGCCAAAATTAAAAATTTTAATAAATCTGAAGAAAGTTAATAAATTCTATTACAGATGAAAATCAGATAAGTTTTTACCCCGGAATAAGAGAAGGCACCAAATTAACTCTTGTAAAAAAATCTCCACAGTCTACAAAGTGTAAAAGTGGTGTCCACACCTTCAAGAATGAAATGATAAAAGTGCTCCAAAATTTTTATTCAGAAGCTGATGCCTTAACGATAGCAAATGAAACGATAAAAGACTTACAAAATAAAGTTAATCACCTAAGTTTTGATGATTTGGAAAGGTTAGCTACAGCATTGATGCAAGACCAAGAAAATATATCATAATTTATTAAAATACTTAATATTAAATAAGTTGCTTTGTTACATTAAGTATAATATTATTTTCTTTCTTGAGTTGTTTATAATATAATTTGTTTAATATGCACTCATTAATTTTATGGACAGTCATGATTTATAGTAAAAGTTAATTCTTCAAATAAAAATACAAACAAAATATTATTTACCACAATTTATAAATTAAATAATATTGTTCAATCCAACTGAGACACTAAGTTTGTTATTGGTCTGCTAAATCCAATTGTCGAAAATACCTGGCTACTAGGCAGATAAACAGATTCAATGAGAGAGCTTCATTTGCTTGAGAAAAATCCTGAAATAAAATGTAAAAATGCAATAAAAATTTCTTTAATTCTAAATATTTTTTGTGTTCAGTAATAAAATATTTTATGCAAATAGAGTGTATGTCACAATCATTTATCTACAAATCTACTGTGTGTTATTGAAATGCTTAAAATTTACCAATTGTGAACGTTTATTTGAACAAAGCCTTGCTAAAGATCTCAAACACGAACATACGTCTGGATGCAATGGTAATTCTAAAGCAGCTAAAAGTGCATACAACCACCTGCCTAATTGAGGTTCAATAAATCTTTGATCTTCTAAAAATTCTACCAAATATTCTAGAACTTGTTCAATTGTTGGCTGACTTAATTCAAGTATTGTTGTCAGCGTTGGTTCAATGTATGAAGCATTTTCAGCTGTATTGATACAAGTGTCAATCCAACCATTTTTGTTGCTAGCATGTGGCTGAAATAATACAACCAGGATTAGAATACCAGAATTTTCCACACTGATGCAAAAGAATCTAGTATACCAATTTAATGTTTGATACTCTTCTAGATCTTTTTCCCTCAATTATTTCATTTCTAATTTGAGCTATATATAGTCTGATATCTGAAAAATCGGCTACTTGTGATTTCTGCCATTCCATTGGTGGGTTCACATAATCAGGGGCTTTAGTACACTCTGGTAACTACAGTGATTGATTATATAATAAGTTTAAAAGTTCATATTTTATATTAATAAGTCTCATAAGACATGCAGACAATTGTGCATGGTTTTCTTGTATACATAAACTATTGTGTACAATAGAACAGTACAAATCAGTGTGTATCAATTCTTATACTATGTTACAGTGCACAATAATTTGTGTGTATAATAAAACCAAGCATAATTGTCCGCATACCTACAATAATTATAATAAAATTAATTAAAACATTGATAGGCTGACCGGTCTGACATCCAGTGTGGGTTTTTTCAAGCGAGTTTCATCTATTGTAGCACATGTAACTTCTTCACATTGTTGAGCCTCAAACCTATCATTTAGAATTATATATTTTGTAAAAAAATATTAAATTATAAAATACTCTAAGAGTAATTCAAGCAAAATAAACTTACATGACTCGTTTAATGTATTCCTCACCAGTTGTAGGGGGTTTCGATAAATCAACATCATAATCAACTTTTCCAGCATATAAAACTGGTTGTTTGAATCTTTCATTCATTTTTATAAAGTAGAAAATTACAAAAATTAATTGCCATATATAATATATTGTAACATTTTACGAATAACCTTATAAATTTAAAGAGTTAAAAGTACATATGAATGTAAGATAATATACATTATTTTCTGAAAACAGATAGGTATAAAATAGGGAAACAATTTTACAATGAAAACATCTCTACATGAAATCAACGTTTATGTTAAAAATTGCGTCTAGGGGCCCAAAATTATTTCACCAGATTATTGACATACAGTTTAAGGTTTGCATTCCACGTTGCACTTCGATCCTACAGTTTTGTAAATATTTTTATAAGACTAAAACAGTATAGGATCTCAGTAAGTTATATGGTAATTACAAAAATTACAAAATTCTTACTAAAAAAGAGAACATTGAGAAGTAAAGCCTATATTTATCAAGACTTGTGAAGCTGACGCCCAAAAAATTTTTTTAAATATATTTTGGAGTTTTCATGAGCTAAAACGTTTTCTCCCTTTTTCGGGATTAAGTCTCTGCTTGAAATTTTATTTCTGTATTTTTCGTTTTTAAGAAAATTAGGCGTTCGGACAGCGCGCAATATGCATTGAACATTTTTCTCCTGTTTAAAAAGAAATAATATCGATAGCGGATGATAGCTCCTTATTCCTGGATTACGAAACAATTTTCCTTTTGTCGATTTTCTATCCAAAATTGAGGAAAATATAAAGATTAGTAATATGCGGCAGTTGGTCGATAAAACAAGTCAAACATTTGCTAATCATCAAATATCCCTATATGAGTTCTACAGTGCGTAACTTAAGACTGTAAATTTATTATTATTTAAATTTATGTAATGTAATTTTAACGCACTGTAGAACTCATAGGGATATCTGATGATTAGCAAATGTTTGACCTGTTTTATCGACCAACTGCCGCATATTACTAATCTTTATATTTTCCTTAATTTTGGATAGAAAATTGACAAAAGGAAAATTGTTTCGTAATCCGGGAATAAGGAGCTATCATCCGCTATTGATATTATTTCTTTTTAAACAGGAGAAAAATGTTCAATGCATATTTCGCGCTGTCCGAACGCCTGATTTTTTTTCGCAATTTTCTTAAAAACGGAAAATACAGAATTAAAATTTCAAGCAGAGACTTAATCCCGAAAAAGGGAGAAAACGTTTTAGCTCATGAAAACTCCAAAATATGTTTAAAAAAATTTGTTGGGCGTCAGCTTCACAAGTCTATGCGCAAATGATATTATCCATGCTACACTTTAAAAAACTTCATTTATCCTTTTTACAAGAGGATACAAATTATAATGTTCGTATATTTGGTTATTACAAATTAAAAGGAATCTATTAATATTGCCTATTTTTGAAAATTCAACATTTTTTATGCCAGAATACATATATTTTCTAAGATCTCGTTCTTTCAGCTTTTTTTCGATTTTTCGAGGGATACAAATAGTAAATTGTTATTTTCAGACGGTACAAATGAAATCAAACCTAATTACGTTTTAATTTTTATGAAAATTATTTATTTTTTTGCTAAGGTCCACTTGGTACCTTATAACCTAAATTTGCACGCATGTAAATCAAACTCATTGAAACGTATTCATACGATTATATTTTACTACCGAAGTCTAAATAATATTTTTATGAAAACGTCAGAAATTTCATAGACAAGCTGATTGTTTAAATAATGAAAGTATCATAGATTTAAATTACTGACCATTATAAATTCATATTTTGTAATGTAATAGATGACATTGGTTAACTTTATGTGAATTGTACGTATTACATATTTTTTATCAACAATGTTGGTTTTAAAAAGTCTAAAAATTCTCAATGCCGCACGCTACATGACTCAAGGAAGGCAATTTACAGTATATTCGAGTTCTATTATGAAAAATTTTAAATCGGCCAATTCGCAATACTCTTGTTGTGTTAGCCGACATGTGGCTAAAAGCACTCATTTACTATCGTATGACCTAAATAATAGCCGATATTACAGTGTAGTGCACAAAAATTCTGAGGCTAATACTAGTAACAATGCAGAGGATACTTTTGATGAGGAAGCTGAACGTCTTAAACAAAATCAAAGACAATGGAAAATGATGAAGTATAGTTTCATAATGTTTGGCATCGCTATGAGCTTTGCAGGTTTCACAATTATTTATGAGATAAGTAAACCAGTGTATGATGAGAATGGTAAGGTAGTCGAGGATGAGTATAGTCATTTACCTTTGCATCAACAAATCTTCTATAGACTAAGAAAAGAATTCTCGTACTACAAAAAATTAGTTCAAGAGCCAAGCAGAGAAAAATTACTTCCTGATCCATTGACTCATCCATATATTCAACCACGTTATACAATAGTATTAGAATTGACAGATCTCCTTGTACATCCTGATTGGACCTATCAAACTGGCTGGAGATTTAAAAAAAGGCCAGGTGTTGATCATTTTCTAGAGGCTATTGCACCACCTCAGTTTGAAACAGTTGTATACACAGCTGAGCAAGGATTGACAGTTTTTCCTATTTTGGATGTACTGGACCCTCATGGATACATAATGTACAGATTGGTAAGAGATGCTACTCGTTTTGTTGATGGACACCATGTCAAAGATCTTGATGCATTGAATAGAGATTTGAGTAAAGTTATAGTGATAGATTGGAACTCAGAAAGTGTCAAATTTCATCCTGAAAATACATTAAAAATACCAAAGTGGACTGGTAATGATAATGATACAATGCTGTATGATCTAGCTGCTTTTTTGAAAACTATATATGCTACAGATGTTGATGATGTAAGAGAGGTGTTAAGATATTATCATCAGTTTGACAATCCTTTGGAAGCTTTTAGAGAAAATCAACGAAAGTTGTTAACACAACTTGAACAAGAGGAAACAAAAATTCAGAAACATGAGACGAAAGCTTTAACATCTAAATGGTCACCATCTTTTCTACGCCATTAATTATTCTTTAGAAAATAGATTTTGGAACATAAATAACATTTCATTGATGATAATAACGTAGTGGTTTTCAAAAATTTGAAAATAATATTTGGCTATCACTGAAAAATATTGTAATTCAACACATCTTCAATTGAATTGTAAAATTTATTCTTCAAAGGTCATATTAAATGTATATGCATATAGATTTTTTGTTAAGTTTTTTTTAATAAAAAATGTATATAAAATTTAACAGTATTTTTTATTTTTAAACTATTATAGTTTTAGTTAAACAATAAGTTTGATTTTGCCATAAAGTTGTTTTCATAAAGTAAATGATTTTTTATTTTTATATATCAATATTAAGTAATGTGTGAACAATATCTAAATTTTGTCAATCAATTAAAAAATCGAATTGTGAAACTAAATTTATAAATAAGAAATTCATCGATTAAAATTCAAATGAAGGTAACTCGAACAAAAGTACACTCAGCACAGCTTATTACTCACACATACGTTCACCTGGTTTCTCACATTCACTGTCGGATGGCAGCACTGATCGCTGATTTTAGTATGTGTTTGTCTGAATCGCTGTCGGTGATCCGAGTCAGTCTTGCAGTTTCAGGTTTTAATAATTCTCATTGCAATATCGCAATCTCCGTTGCTGTCTCGATTAAAATCCCCAACACCAGTCAGATTGTTTTTTATGAAAAATAGTGACGACTTTCCAAGATATTATAAGCAAGGTAAATATACAATTTTTTGCAGTATAAATAATCATGGCAGCGAATTTGTCAATTATTTTGTTGTTTTTGTCGTAAATCTTTAGTCGATTATACGAAATGTACGTTTATATTATAATAAGTAGCCATGGGTATGCTTGATATATTTTTTGTAAATCCTAAAAATTATTTGTAAGAATTATTACAAAATTGAACACGGCGTCAATCGACATTTTAAATTCAATAAAAATAAAGAAAGCGCTCTTGACAGCGTGAGTCTCTTACAATGCACATTTGATAAGACTATTTTCTTTCATTTTGAGCAATAAGTTATTTACTCCACTAAGAAATACATAAATTATTTGAAAGTGATTAGAGAACTGAACCTAACCAAACAGAAATGCCTGTTTCGTTTTAAGGATAAAAGTAATTTCATAAAAATGTGTAATTTTTTTAATACCATATCAATATCAATGTTTTTATTAAATGATTTTACATTATTTCGAAAAACTTAAAGCTTGAATTTTTCGATACTGCAAATGTGTTGACGTGGGATGTTAATTATGCAGAACGCTTTGTTTGCAAATTAACAATTTGCACATTCTTTTACAGCAATTTATACTAATATCATATATATTCAGAGGTATTTGTCTATACTTACTACTATACGTGCGCGCACGAACGTGTGTTGTGTGTTTTATATGTGTGCGTGTGTGTGCATGCGCGTATGTATGTGTGAGTTTTTATTATATAAAATGGTTTTTTTTTTTGCTCTTTATTTTTGTTCAAATACAGCAGTATCAATTCATTTATATTGCGGTGTAAAAAAATACAAATTTTCATTAAAAACTGATCAATAAATTAAAGCTCTCACAAACGAACTAGCAATGAAATAAAAAACAATTTTATCAAACATATTAAGTCAAATCGCTATGTAAAATCTGAATCGCTATTAAAATTTAAAATCCTAATAGCCGCATATCTAATCAGCTGTGTATGCCAAGACTACTTCTCACTGGTAAAGATGCGGCTGCAAGCTTTACCGCGGTTAATCACCTTCGACGTAACAGGCACCCTGTTGATGACTAAACTTGAGCAACATTATGCAGATGTAGCGCGAAGTCATGGACTTTCAGGTCTCGATGGTCCAAGAATGTCAAAAACATTTCGCGACAGTTTCAAACGTCTTCAAATTGAACATCCGATATACGGGAGACATACTGGACTAGGTTGGGAGAATTGGTGGAGGAATATTGTTTACGATGTGTTCAGAGATCAGCATCAGAATATCACTAATGATAAGCTTGACCAGGTGAGTACAAGAAAATAAACAAATGTCTACGTCGCTTTTGTCACTTTCAATATTATCAATTTTTTACGTTATACACCTAATTAGTGACTAATCAAATTATATTTAAATACCACAATCGCTGAAGAGTAAAATAGTCGACTACTGATGTACTCTATTATTATTTGAGATGGAAGCATCACGTACGACACGAATAAACAGAAAGATTGTTTTCTCGTAGCACTCTTTTAAATCATATCTCAACGCTGACCGATGAATCTCAATTCATTCAGTCATCAGCATTTGTAATTCATGTTTGTTTATCAATGCGAATTAAAAATTAGTAGATTTTTTTACGCAAAGTTATAAATTGCACAATTGATTAGTGTGGAATTTTTATTGAGTGGAACGAGCTTTTACAAATATTGAACAAGTAGTTGGTTGATAGGTGTAATTATTTCAATAGATTACGATTTTCAACCATTTTCGTTGATTAAGGCCGATTGTCCAAATTCAGAAAATCCTTACTCTTTCTTCAATCGAGTATAACTAACATTACAAAATGTTAGTTATAACGTGTCCGAACCTCTTACAAAACGTCGTACAGGCGACAAAAGTGTCTGTATGCTCACAAAAAGACCTACTATCAGTTGACCTCTTATCTGGGTTGACCCTGTGTCCCTGTATTTTCAGATCGCCAACAGTCTGATAGACTGCTACAGCACGAACCGTTGCTGGCACAAATATCCAGGAACGATTGAATTACTTGATAGCTTGAGACTGAGGCCCAATCTCATACTTGGAATTATATCGAATTTTGACGAGCGGCTCGAAGGGATATTAGACTCGGCTAGCTTACGCTCGTATTTTTCGTTTGTCATTACCTCGTATGGATTAGGAGTCGAGAAACCTAGTGTGGCCATTTTTCAGGTATGGGTTAAGAATTTAATGAAACGCACGTTTCATTACATTGAATAGAAATTCTTTTAATGGTAAATTTACTTACAACGTTGTGCGTATCAATAATAAAGTTACAACAATTCGTTATGTCGAAATGATACCTAAAATTGTATTTGTATTTTTTTCTTTTTTAATAATATAAGCGAATGAATTTATGTGCAATGCAGCATTATTTTACATTGCAGGAAGCTCTACGACTGTCATCCGAAAGATTGCAAGATGAAATCCCGCCAAAAGAAGCTTTGCATGTAGGTGATCGAGTTGACAATGACTACCTGGGAGCACGAGCAGCACAATGGAACGCCATCCTAATAAACCATGACAAAGACAGTACAGACGATAAACGAGTCGAGCCGAGTGATGTGTTCAGGAACTTTGATGAGCTCAAGACGTACTTCGACAAGTTATCCAGAAAGGACGCTACTGCTGAAGTCAATTGTAGACATTGAAATACTTTCTTACCTTTATAAAAGTGATATGAACTTTTTAAGTGTTCCTTTAAAAAATATCTCTTTTATTGGAATAGCTCGTTTAGTGTGATAATTAAACGGCTAGTTCTATAAAATCGTATGTGACAATTGTAGTAGCTTGATTGCGATTAAGTTATTTTACTAATCGCGAGATTGTTATTGTTGCAAGTTGTAGTTAAAATATAAATTATTTGTAATTTATCCTACTATTTGTACGTACAAATAAGAAATACGTTAGTGGATGGCTATTACAGACTTTGTAAACCAATATTTTCCTATTTATCGCGCTAATTTATTGAATAAATGTGCCATCTGTTTTTTATAGCCGTATGTCGTGAGGTTAAATATTCTAATTATACGTTTCGTAGATATTGCCATATTAATCTGGGTCTAAGATTATTCCATAAATGTAATAGTTGTTTACTAATAAAATATAATTTTATCCAGAAATTCAAATATTATTTAATGATCTCGCAATATTTTCCTTATCCTCGCACCATATTATCGCTACCACTATCCAAATCATCATTGTACAAGTTAGTCGAAAAGGGAAATTACGAAATTCAATTAAAGTACGGGGTAGAGGAATCTACTGAAGTAGATATATATTTGTGCGTGGGTGTATTGGTGAGGGTACTATCTGGCGACGTTTCCGGGTAAACGTTTCTCTCACTCGCTCACCCGAGATATCTGTATCAGAAAGACTTACATCCGACTTCCAACTTTCCAGTATGCGTGTCTCTTTCTCCCTATCCATCTCGTAGATTTATTCGTAGTCCAGTCGAGTCTACGCACGAAAATATGAAGGACTCGGACATAAAGCTTTATCGCGCGTTTAGTCGAGATAGCCATGGGAGAAAAGACGAAAAAACATATACAGCGATAACCAATTTTCGAAACTTTTACTCGTTCGTCGTCAACAAGCGACATCGTCAACAGGTTATGTAAGGATGCTCTCTTAGCAGCAATTTATGCTCCGATTTTTCAAATCGCGTCATGATTTTTACATTACCTCATTATTATCAAATTCCGAATGTGACATTTCTCTTTTATTCCAATAAATCAAGCGATTGAACAATGCAAATATGAATAATTAATTATGCATTCTGCATTGAAGGATGACCAAACTTCCATCTTATACAATTGTTCAATCTTTATATGGCTGCAAGAATGAACTTTTGCGATTCTGCAGCAAATGCTTTATCAAAGAGGAGCAAGTTTCAAATTATTGAAGAAATATGTATATACTCTAAAGCTTTTTTTCGCGAGTATAACGAATCATTTTCGTATCTAAATTGTGGTCATTTAAGGAGCGTTGGTAAAATGTGCTTTTGATCCAGTGTATCCTTAAATTTGCAAGGATAACAAAGAAAGCGTGCCAGATCTGTAGTTAACAATTGGATTTCCGCGTGAAATTTCGCCTTTTATCTCGGATCACCGTAACGCCTCGTTCAGCATAATAAATTGGCAGATCGCCAGTCGCATTGAAATCTACATTACAATTCAAATTGAATCAGATTTAGTAAAGAAAGAAGAGTATGATTGCAGCAAACAGTATAGGCCTCGTGAAAGAGTTTCCGATGCAGCCATGCAGTCGCAGAGCTGAGTTTGGGTAAATGCAGCGTCGAAGAAGGGACTCCCAAGCTGCTTCTCTGTCTCTTTGCTGCTCCTTTCTCTCTCATAAAGCCGCCGACGCGCCGTGTTTTAATACCGTACAGCCCGGAAAGTTCTCTCTTTCTCTCTCTCTGCGACGGCGGCGGCAGTGTATATTGCGCTGCACCTCCTGGCACGCTCGCTCGTGTGCATGTGTGTCTGGCGACTCGCCTTTTTTTTTTACCGTCGAGTTTTGCGCGTGTGCGCAAAACGCGATATGCATCGCGGTTGCCTTTCCGCGGAATCTCTCGCCTTATTCGGTCGCGCGCATATCATTTCGGCGCTCGTATTGTTCGCGGGGCAAAGGGTCAGTGGCAGCATCGGTCGTTGATCGGCGATCTGGCGATCGAGCGGAGGCGTGCGCGATACGAACTCTGGCTCGGTACAATCTCGCGGGGAAGGAAAAGCGTAAGCGCAGCTCTTTTTTCGGCTCTCCCCGCGTTCGCTCTCCGAGAATAGAAAACACGTGTGATATACGCGCACCGCGTTTCTCTCTCGCTGCGCGGCGTTTTAACACGAAAAACACATTCGGCCGCTCCGCGCAAGCCGTCGCCGTGCGCCTGGATTTTCCGTTTTCCAGGATCGCGACCGCCGTGCGCCTGGATTTTCCGTTTTCCAGGATCGCGACCGCCACGCGCCAAAAGAAGATACGACCTGGCGGAATAGCGAATGCAGTTGACGTCAGTTCGCAACAGCCAAGCGTGGGAGTATCTTTAGATTAATGAACCCCAAGAGCTGCTGAGTGTAAAAGCCAAGAAATATATATATATGTATATATATATATAGCAAGAGAGCATAGGCAAGCAGCGCCGCGCGGAATGCGGCCTCGAGAGTAAACTCGAAATTGGCTCTCGCTCTCTCCCTCTGTGTTTGAGAGCGGCGAGCAGCAGCACGGCGTCAGTGCCTCGGCGTAGATTCGAGCGTTTAGTGCGAGAAGCGTGAGGATGCTGCTCGCGGCACTGCTGGTGGCAGCAGGCTGTTGCTGCAGCCTCGTGGCCGGCAGGGCTGAACCCGATCCCGCCTTCGATTTGTCGAGATTCAAGATCCGCGACGAGGAAACCAAGTGTTACGATAATGCTGGCAAGCCACAGGTGATGTCTCCACTTCTTCTCTTCTTTGCTCCTCTCTCTTCTTTTCTTCGGAAAAGTGCAGCGTGCGTTCTTGCGTGGTGATGGTTATCAAAGTGCATACACCGACGGCAGGCTGTGTCTGTGTTTTTTTTTTTCGTGTAATGCTCGGCGCTTTCACGACTCGGGCTCGCCCTTATTCTTGTTGCTCTCTTTGAGAAACTCGCATTGGACCAAGAGTAAGTTTCACAAAGTCACTGGGATTTTCACGCCGGCTCGCGTTTCTTTACGAGTTTTCCTTTCATCCAGTAAGGAGCGCTACGCACGTCCTTGTACTGTAACCATTGATAGAAGACAAACGAGAGTACCGATTTGTACACTGATTATGAGAATAATAACATTTTTCGCTTAATTTTCTCGTTAACATTTCGTTAAGTCTAACGCGAACACTCTACAATCTCATTGCTTGAAATTGAGTTTCGTTCGATCGTCTCGAGTAAAATGCATTTCCTGTCGGAATAAGTATAATTTTATGGTGTCAAATGGCTGTTGTTTATGTTGAAAAAATCGCAATGTTCAGTCGTTCGTATATTTTTCAAAAGTGTAACATGGCTAATAGCTATTGAAATAGTTAGAGACGCAACGGTGATATAAAAAATCTAACGGGCTGCTTTGATACGAATACATTTTTACTATCAGCGGATCTGTCTTCGTGTTTGAAATGATATAACCTCGTATTGAACTCACTATAACTTGTGAAACGTGAGATAATTTCAATTAGCGATACTCTCGAAAAATGGTCTCTTTTTGCAAGGCCGCTGAATGAAAAATATACAACTTATCAATCTCTTCGTTATGCAACGGGAGTGGAACTCTCATTAACTTACTTGGCACACGTAATTCAAGGGAATCAATCTCTGCACTCTTGTTTTTTTAAAAACAAACTTATCATCCAGTATTAAACTCATTCTCAATTTGCAAAGAGGAACGAATCAATGGAACCGAAGCTCTCTGACGAAACAGCGCAACGAGTCCTAATTCGCACCCAGCTTCCCATCATTCACACCCACTTATCGCGAAAAAGAAATGCAAGCTCTCGAATTCCTGCAAAGCGAGTCCGCGAGAAAAAGGCGCAACGAAAAGAAAAGGAGATCGCGTACGTGTATCTTTGAAAAAGGCGCGCCACGTGTGTAACAAGATCTCGAGTGGCGCGCTACAAGCTTCGTCAGCGAATTGCAAACGCGGTGTCGCCTTTTTTCCCCGCGCGAGTGGTCGAACGAGAGCGAAATAAAGAAATGGCCTCTCATTCGTTTCCGAATTTCGGAACGGGCCAGAGCCGAGGGGGTTCTCGGCGTATGGGTTATCGGATTTATGAACTTGTGGCGCCGATAAAGAGAGGGGCGTCGACAAACGGAGCTCTCTTTCGGGCGTGCGTGTATATCTCGCGCGCGGCTCTTACAACAGCCGACTCGAGAGTAGAGTTACCCTGGCAATCGACGCGCACTCACTTGGCGAATGAGCACTGACATTGTTCACAGCGATGCATACCGCCGTTCGAGAACGCAGCGTTCAACCTGCAAGTCGAGACGACCAACACCTGCGGCCAAGACGGACGCGTCACGAACTTTTGCAAGCAGACGGCCATAGACAAGAAATCGTGCGATATCTGTTACGACGGCGATCACCCGGCGAGCTACATCACCGACTACGACAACGAAAAGAATCCGACTTGGTGGCAATCTCAGACCATTTTCGAGGGGGTACAATATCCCAATCAGGTCAACCTTACCCTCAACCTTGGTGAGTTGGTACTTGCTGATGATCGCGCGCGCACTTCTATCGGAATGCCATGCCGTGGCTACGAGCGAGGCGACAAAGCTCGCCAAACGGAGCAAAAATGCGCCGAAGCGTTGCGGATGAGAGCAGAGACGAGAGATGATTTCGCGGAACGTAGGCTGCCGGCGATGATAAGCGCGACCGTATGCATCGCACACCCACATCCGCGCGAGCGCGGCAACATTGATGTCCGCTCGTACTCTCGCTCGCTCTTTCCAATTTCAAGCAGACAGGATGCACATTTATTGAACGCGATCAGTTAATCCGTGTCTAATGAAGAAGGCCATTGATCGATACGCGTGATTCACGTTATGTAGCAGCACGACCGAAAAAAAAAAATATATATATATATATACAGAGCCCCCCTCTCGCTAATCTTTGTCTGCCGCGCAAAAGTCTACACGCGAGCTTTTGCAACGGTGCATGTGCACGAGTGAATACGTATATGGAAGAACCAGTTGTAGAGGTCATGGGTAATATTATAATTTCGCGAGCGTGTGTGTCAAAGGCTTTCTAGTTTGACGCTTTTTTCCTATTTTTTTTCCGAATGCTTCTGGGTAAATACTTTATTGGCTATAGAATGGCATTCGGAGTTATCAGATAGGTTACATCAATTTGTTACGTTTCTTCATATTTATAATAACTTTGAGATGACAAATAATAATGATAGCACGATTCATTGATCTGTTGATTGACAATTAATTAGATTATAGAAGAATAAGCGTTATTCTGATCAGTCATTAGAGCTCCAAAATGAAATCAGTCTGAATGGTTTTGCTTTCAATTTTAGCATTGTTGTCGTAAACTAAAATTCTAGTCTAGAGCCAAGTAGCAAAGAAATTTCAAACGACACAGATTTAGCTCAGAAACAAAAATTCTAAATGAAACAATAAAATGACTTGGTTAATCAACCAATCCAATTCAAATTGAATCTGAAATTCTTAACAATACCGCATTTCCATAATACATAAATATCGTGTTTTCACAGTTGAAATAAATATCACAAAACATTGAAAAGAGATTACCAACAATTTATTAGTTAGTTTAGGCAATAATTGTGCTAACAATAGCGTCAATTATGGTCCATGGGTTCAGTCGTTAAACGCTTCGCTGTCTGTTGCGTACGCGATGCTGTTTCGTAATGCTATATTTATAAAATCCGTGCTATACCGCACGGGACTCTTTCAAGAGAGAAAGAGAGAGCGGGGAGCACCGTTTAGCTTTGTGCCGTCTGTGCACCACATGGTCCATTCATGAAATACGGATGACGGCCAATGTTCGGTAGAGCCCGGGAATCTCTTATCTCAACTTCGGTATCTCGACGCAGACCAAACGTGTTTGCCGCGGCGACAAGCTTGAGAAACCAAATGATTTGTTCTTGCTTCGCGGACAGTTATTGGAAGTGGTCAAAGCGACCAAGCCTGGTGAGCCTATCGCTTTGCGCGTGTGCGTGCGTAGTATTTTTTCCGATGTCTGTCGGCCCCACAAGTCCGCATCGCGTGAGGGGGAGAGACTCTTTAAATTTCCGCCTTGCTGCGATTCAATTAACCGAGAGTCTACGCCAAGCCCAGCATTTGATTTACGGATATGGCTTTTTCATTGTCTATCTCGAGAGTTCGTCGCGCGACGAGATAAGGAAACGATTCCGAACTCATTTCGTAGCGCTTCGGTGCTTGCGAAAGCCAGTTGAAATTCGATCAATCGCGCACGACACGGTTCGAGCGCTCTTGCGCGCTGTTAAAGATTGCTCTCCGCGTTATGTGTCACTTATCAGAACGGTGACAGATAAGGCGCTTATGTATGCTAAACGAGCTTCCTCTTGTCGCGCCTGTCTGGAAACTCGTCGACGCTGCAGCTACGCGTAATGCGAAATGCCGCGCGAACAAAATCAGCTAAGCCTTCGACGGGAGATCGCTGCTTAAGAAACGTCGGCGAAGTGATTGCACGTGAAAATTGGTTGCTTACAGGCATGGCCTTCGACATAACGTATGTGCGCCTGATCTTCGAGTCGCCGCGCCCGGAAAGTTGGGCGATCTACAAGAAGAAAAACGAGAATTCGCCTTGGGAACCTTATCAGTACTATTCGGCAACGTGCCGCGACACTTACGGCCTACCCGAACTGAAAGAGACAGTACGCGGCGACGACACGCGTGTACTTTGTACCAGCGAGTATTCCGACATTGTACCGTTGTCAAAAGGCACTGTGGCGTTTTCAACTTTGGAGGGACGACCATCGGCATATAATTTCGAAACTAACCCCGATCTGCAGGTAAATATTTGTTAGTTATCGCGAATCAAGCTGTCGAAATCACACGAAGCATTGATTTTCAGGAATTCGTACGAGCGACAGGGTTGAGAATCACTCTGGATCGACTGAACACCTTTGGTGATGAGATTTTCAATGACGAGCAGGTGCAGCAGTCGTATTATTATGCCATCTCCGATATAGCCGTTGGTGCTCGTTGCGCTTGTAACGGCCACGCCGGGGAGTGCGTCAACAGTACTAGCGTCGACGGACGCGTGAGGCGAGTCTGCCGGTGAGTTTTCATCATTTGTTGCCGAAACAGAGCCGAGAACAGAGCTTTTTCAAATCTTCCGTGTTATCGCATCGAAGCTGCGAGCATTACACCACCGGACCAGACTGTAGCGAGTGTCTGCCGTATTACAACGATGCGCCATGGGGTCGTGCTACTACCGCCGATCCACACGAATGCAAACGTAAGTTTCAAAAAAAGATTCGTCCCTCTGCCGCTATTCCACAATTGCCGCTCGACGAGAGAAGCCGGCAATGAGGCTCTTTTGTATCTTGCTCGTGTCTCGTGTCTCACGTCTCGTCGTGTATGCTTGAAATGAAAATCGATCGCTAACTGCGTCTTGTACGCGGCTTCGCTGTTCTCTCGAAAGAATGATTACCTTCCTTTTTTTCTCTCGCGTTGCAACCGAGCTCATTTAATTCGTAGACCAAAGTGGCGGAATTTCGAAATTTAAGGCTTTTCATTCAAATAATGCAGTTATTCCACTGGTTTGCGGCCGCAATACAGACACCGCGTTCTTGGGCGTTCTAGCGGTGTTTGTTACCCTCCATACGCGCTGTATTTCTTTCAAAACCGCAGCGATATTCTCGCTCCACCTCGGTATTTTTTTTTTCGGCTAGTAACAAACAGAAAGTGTTTTCACCTCTCTCTACGACGCTCGGATGTTACTTTTGTTGCTTATACATCGAACGCAACTAATTGCACTTGGAAAGACAAGAGTTTTGTGAGACACAGCGTTTGTTATTCATGAGTTAGAACCAGTTTCTTCGTTACACATTGAAGTCGCTTTGTAAATACCCATTCGACACTAAAAGTAAGATGTATTCGATAGTTATGCACACCACCATTCCGAGTATAAAACCAATTCAAACCCACTGGAAAATAAAAGAACTTCCTTCCCTTTCATTTCACGTGAACGTCGTACATCAACACACTTCCATCGTTCGTTTCATTCTCAATCTAAAACGAGAACCCACATCTCAAAGTTCCGCGAATCTTGCAGATCTTTTATTCAGCCCTTAATCAATCAAGAATCTCATGTGGCCCTTTTCATACGAGTCCATATAATTGTCCATCATGAGGCAGAGAAAGAGAAAGAGAGGATGAAAAAAAAAAGAACTCGCACGCAGGCTCTGTGTAAGGACTGCTAGTGGCGTTTGTAGTATACCCTTACCTTTCGCGACGAGCAGCACGTCGAGAGGGGATCGCGTCTCGCTCTCGCATCTTGAGCTCGAGTAGTGTGTGCAAGGGCCGCTCAGTCGTGCGGCACAACCATGGGGAGGCTGTTGTTGGTGGCTTTCGCTCGAGATAACATTTTTAATTGTTCGCGATGAGATTTTTATTTTCGTTGGCAGTGATGGAATTACATTGAGTTGAAAAATTATCGGAGCGTCGAACGATTAACCATGTGAGATTTCAGTGCTGAAAGAAAACAAAAAAGACAAAAAAGACGAAAACGAAAACAAAAGGAAAATGAGATTGTTACTGTTGGTGTTGCTTTGCGATGGGATTTCGCGTTGTTACGGTTATCGACGCGACAGCTTTTTGTCGAGATACACGGCACTCTGTAAGTTCGTTCCATATTGGTTATTGCTTGCCAAAGTACTGTTGCTGAAAATAGCTGAATGGCTAAAATAGATTTGTAATCTTCTCATATTTGATTCTTGGTCATCGGAAAAAACTAAAAAATCATTTCAACCTAAAAACTTGTAAGAATATCATGTGAATCAATAATGGGAACCTAAGTCGTACTAGAACTATCGTCGTCCACGCGACATTCCTATCGATCCTCTTCCAACTCTCCTTCCCAGGGAATCCCTTTTGCAGCTCCCCGTCCATCTGGTTCTAGCATAGCAAAAAATAAAACTTGTTTATCCGATATCCGCGTGGCAATAGAGTCCTTGCGGAGGCTACTGTACGATCGATAATGTCCAATGTCCATGCATTGTGCAGCCGCGATCATTGCTTTTGCAACGCGTCATCATTGACTTGGAGCTTTCGATATTGCAGCCTGTAATTGCAATGGCTACTCCGAGCGCTGTTTCTTCGACAAGGAATTGTACAAACTGACCGGCCACGGTGGTCACTGTCTCGATTGCGGCCACAATCGCGACGGTGCCAATTGCGAACGCTGCCGAGAGAATTACTACGCTCGACCCGAGGACGGATACTGTGTAGCTTGCAACTGTAACGAGATTGGTGAGTACATTTCGTTACATGGACCGATAGATTGTTTCAAGTGATACGCGTAAGCCGTCGACACTGTTCGCACTGCTCGCGTAAGCCGAAATCACGAAGATATGAATTGCGAATGGAAGACCGTGCGAAAAATCACTGAGAATTAGCAGGAAGCTAAATGTTTTGGATTTGTAGGTTCGAGAAGCTTGCAATGTAACTCCGAGGGTAAATGCCAATGCAAGCCGGGAGTGACGGGCGACAAATGCGACCGTTGCGCGCCAAACTTCTTCGACTTCAGCGGGCACGGTTGCACATCCTGCGACTGCAACGAGGCCGGCTCGTTGGCCAATCAGCCGAGCTGCGATGCGGTCACTGGCACGTGCATTTGCAAGGACAACGTCGAGGGCAAACGCTGCCGAGAGTGAGTGCGCGCATCTCTTACGCGTTGGCCTTCCTTCACATCGATCGTTTTTTCAGGTGCCGACCGGGCTTCTTCAACCTGGCCGAGGACAACGAGTTCGGCTGCACGCCGTGCTTCTGCTACGGACACTCGTCTCTCTGCTCCACTGCCAGCGGCTACTCCCGCACCAACGTCGAGACCGCCTTCGTGCGCGGCACCGATAAGTGGTCGGCCAATGTAGCCGGTAACAACGTGCCTGTGCAGTACGATTCGATCGCGCAGGCGATTACCGTGACCGCGCCCGATCGCGACAACGTCTATTTCCTTGCTCCCGGTCAGTCGACGCGAAGCTTTCTTCCGTGTTGCACGCGTCACTGCGGTTAGCGATTATTGCCGTTATTATCTTCACAGAGAGATTCTTGGGTGATCAGCGAGCTTCTTACAACCAGGATCTGTCTTTCGTTCTGAGAATCAGCGACAGTGGACCAGCTCCCACCGCTCGAGATGTCATTCTTGAAGGTGGAAACGGTCAGCAGATCACGCAACCTATTTTCGGTCAGAACAACCGTCTGCCAAGCACTGTGGTAAGCACCAGTAGTTTCTGATTTTGCCGATCGGCCTCGAGACGGCCACTCAGAACGATTTCTCGCGCAGCCACACGAGTACTCGTTCCGACTGCACGAGCATCCCGAGTACAACTGGCAACCGCAACTGTCCGCGCGAGCTTTCATATCGATATTGGCTAATCTCACCGCCATCAAGATCCGTGGCACTTACAATCATCAAGGTAACTATCGTCATCGATTGTTGTCGTGCCCTCGCGAAACATACATTTTCTCACTTTCTAAAAACAGGAAAGGGTTGGTTGGACGACGTAAGGCTTGAGACTGCTCATAGCGGCACAGCTGGCGAGCCCGCCGACTGGGTTGAGCACTGTACCTGCCCTGCTGGCTACGTTGGTCAATTCTGCGAGTCTTGCGCCCCGGGATACCATCACAATCCACCCAATGGCGGACCTTTTGCTTTTTGCGTGCCTTGTAACTGTAATGGCCACGCTGACATCTGCGAGGCTGAGACTGGTACGTGAAACTCAGATACTTTTTTCATCTAAAGCATTTGTACCGTTAGCGCTGAATACACAAAAGCAACGAAGAGTGAGTTCTATGCATTGAGCATATGATCTTTTTTTCGCTCATCAAAAGAACCTTCTTGACAGGCCAGTGTATTTGTCAGCACAACACCGCTGGAAGCAATTGCGAGCACTGCGCTCGTGGCTTTTACGGTCATCCGTTGAGAGGAACGGCTGACGATTGCCAACCTTGTCCGTGTCCCGACAATGGCTCCTGTATTCTCCTCGGTGACAATCCTGATCCTATTTGTTCGGAATGTCCCGTCGGAAGAACTGGTATGTTCTAGAAGTAATCAATAATTTCCATTTGTTTTTCGGGCACATCGATCGACTTGTATGTTCTCTTTGTAGGTCCTCGTTGCGAGACTTGTTCGGACGGCTACTTCGGACACCCAGAGAAAGGAATTACTTGCAAGCCTTGCGAGTGTAACAACAACATCGACCTTAATGCGGTGCGCAATTGTAATCAGGAGACCGGTGACTGTCTAAAGTGTGTCAACAACACTGCTGGAAGGCATTGCGAGGAGTGTCTACCAGGTAAGTTTTCTCATTGTCGACTGATTATTCCAAAGAAATCATATTTCACACGTTAAGGATACTACGGCGACGCATTGTCCGAGAGGAAAGAAGACGGCTGCAAACTCTGTCAGTGCTACCCACCGGGCACGCAAGAAACCGAAGATCGCGGAGTTGCTCCTTGCGATCAGTTCACTGGACATTGCTTCTGTAAACCTCACGTGATTGGACGGAACTGCGACAAATGCGAGGATGGATATTACCAAATCAACAGCGGAGAGGCAATTATTCGCGACGCTGAACACTTGGACCTGGTTCACGTAACCTTATCCTTTCAATGTTTCAGGGCTGCGCTGCTTGTAACTGCAATCTTGAAGGCTCGTACAACCGAACTTGCGATGCGATTACTGGTCAGTGTCAATGTAAGCCAGGAGTTACTGGCCAACGATGCGACTCTTGCATGCCTTATCAGTTTGGATTCAGCCGCGAGGGTTGCAAGCCCTGCGATTGTGACAAAATCGGCTCGCAAGATTTACAGTGTGATGCCAACGGGCAGTGTCCTGTGAGTATTCAATACTAGACTGGCCTATCATCAAAGAAACGAAATCGACTGACTTGTGCATACTGTTGCCAGTGTTTGACCAACGTCGAGGGCAGGACGTGCGACCGCTGCAAGGAGAACAAGCATAATCGTCAATATGGTTGTATCGACTGTCCACCCTGTTACAACCTCGTACAGGATGCAGTCAACGAACATCGTGATCGTCTCGCTTCTCTTGAAGATACTCTTCGTAAGATCAAGAACAATCCGACCGTCATCAACGAGGATGGCTTCAAACAGAAACTCAAAGACGTACAAAATCGGGTACGCGAGCTACTTGAACTTGCCAAGACTGGCTCTGGAAGTAAGTTGCCAGAATAATAAATTATAATGATATTGCCTTGATGACTTACAATGACCTGATTCATACAGCTGAAGACAAGAAGTCGTTGGTCGAGCAACTTGACGAGCTTCACGAGCAACTACACGATATCAACGAGACCATTCAGAATATTGATCAAACTGCTATCGAAGCTAATCGTACAACTTCGCAAGGCCGAATGAGCATCGATGAAGCGGAGAAAGTTCTCGATAAAATCTTGGAACAGTTGACGGTAACGTTTGAAAGGATAAGGCTGTATTGTAATATTTTTGGATGATCAATAATCGTTTCTATCGCAGGAAGCTGAAGACTACTTGGCGATCGACGGTCAGACTGCATTGGCCGAGGCTAAAAAGCGAGCGGAACACGTTGGACAGCAAAACGAACAGATGACACTGATTGCCCAAGAAGCTAGATCTGTTGCTGACACGTACGCTTGACACGCGCCGACGGTTTTATTCAGATTTTCTTCCAACTCTTTTCTTTTCTTTTTACGATTAGGAATCTCAAGGAAGCCAAGAGGTTGCAAGTAGTCGCCGAGCAGGCAAGAAATACTTCGCTTGAAGCTTACAATTTGGCAAAGAAAGCTATCGCTAAGTACACGAATATAAGGTATGTACATTCTCGTGACTTTTTGGTGAGTTCTTTTCTTCGAGCAAATTTATCTTTTTCTTTCAATTTTGTTTTTCAGCGAGGAAATCAGATCATTGGAGAGTAAATTAGTGGCTCTGGAAGACCGTTACGGAGACGTCGAGAAGCTCACTGCCACAGCTGTAGCCAAGTCCGAAGCTGTTTCTAAGGAAGCCCTCGGACTATTGATACTTGGAATTTCACTGCCGGACGTCAACGTTACCGGGCTACAATACCGCATCGATGAAATAAACAAGGACGTAAGAAAAATATTTTCGATGACGAGGTATATTTGAAATCGAGAGAGTAATTCAAATGCGTGGACGTTCAGGCTATGAATATCAAAGAACAAGCTCGAGTACTCCTCGAGGAGAATGGAGATCTGATCCGCGACATCGAAGATAAGGTGAGAAAGAGCGAAGAGCTATTGGATAAAGCCGAAGATCAGCAGGGGGAAACCGCTGAACTGCTCGCCGAAGTCGACGACGCTAATAATATCGCTAAGAATGCTGTTAATCGTGGAACGCAGACCTTGAGGGAAGCTCAAGATACCTACCAAAGGCTTAGTGGTGAGGGACACTTGCCTAATGATCTCTAATCAGAACAATTCCACTTGCGTTTGCGGTTCATATAGGCCTTGAAAGCAACTTTTTTTCGCGTTTGAAAAGATTTGGCTTTGGAAAATAAAATTCACGTATAATGTTGTAGTGTTCGACAACGAGGTACAAGCAGCACGCACAAAGGCCGACGAAGCAATGAGGGGCGTCAACGAGATACAAAAATTAGATCTAAGCGCAAGAGAAAAATCTCAAGAGATCCATCAAATGTTGCAAACTTCGGAGCAAAATGCCAAAAGAGCACGCGAGATCGCTCAGAATGCGCAGTCGAATGCGAACAACGCCAGTGCCATGGCTAACGAGATACGGCAGGAGGCTAACAAGACCAAAGCTGAAGTCATCAAGCTTGGTCTCGAAGCTGATAAGCTGCACTTGAGAGTCAATGCCACTGACAATACCATCAGGCAATACGAGGGTAGGATTCAGAAGGATGCCGAGAGTACTGCACAGGTCAGATAAGCTCAATAATAATTTTGATTTGTTTTTTTGCATTTGATAGTCATGTTTTGATTGTCGTCGTAAAAACATTCATACTTAACCAGGTGAAACGGAAAGTCGGACAGGCTAAGTCGAACGTAACAGGAGCATCGCAACAAGTCATCAAAGCGTTGGAGGAAATCGCTGAAATTACGAGAGAACTCGAAGCACTTCCCGATATCAGTAAGCATCGCAAATGTACATTTTTCGGCTGACGATAACATGTACAAATGTTACAAAAACAAATGTTGCCTTTTGCTCAGACAACGCCGACTTGGATCGACTGGACGACCGCTTGAAGAAAGCAGCGGAAGACATAAAACAAGCCGATCTGGACCAACGAATTCGGGCACTCACCGAGGCAAAGAACTTGCAAACGCAATGGGTGAAGAATTACGAGGACGAGGTGAGCCGACTGCGCGAAGAGGTGGACAACATCAGCAACATGCGCAGCGTACTTCCGTCGCGCTGTTATAAGAACGTGCGTCTTGAGCCTCAATAAGACCACCGCCGTCGAGATGAAAAAACAACCCGCATCGTGTCATCTTTATTGCGTGCCATTCGATACTTAAAGGGAGGCTTAACGGTATGTCTCTGTGTGTCTGCTTTTGTGTGTGCCCCTACGCTCACACGGCATAATATCCTTCATCCTCTTCTTCTTTTCCTGTTTCTTCTTCTTCTTCTTACGGGGACGAAGCATGTTTTGTGTTTATTTAAATCCTCTCGTCTGATTTCAAGTAGTTTTGTCTCTCTTGTGTTTTTATTTATAACTTTTTCGCGAAATCCAAACGTGTCATTCTTATGCGATAGCATTTAGTAATTCTAGGGTGCCTTTATAAATCGATATTATCTATCGATCAAATGTCATTAGATAACATACTTTTCTCTTTTTTACGTGTACAAGTAGTTAGAGGACAAACAAACGAGTAAATGAGAGTAATTGATTGTAAAACTGACTGCGGGATGATTTATTTCATGTACATTATATCCACTAGATGATTGTTCTATATTTTAAGTGTAACTTTAATGAAAAGAAAAACATCCGCTGCTTCTTTTTTTAATGTAATTCCAGAAAGCTTATTTAAACGTCGCGCAATTTCTTTTATAAACGAACGGTGCGAACAATTGCAATATTTTAAGTATCATACCAAAGATCTTTCTTTTCTTTTTATCATGCGATTTTTAAAAATAGACAAAGTATATAACAGATAAATTTATACACTGCATTTTGAAATGCCACACTTTGTGTGCACCAATATAATATAATGTTGCCTTGGATTTTTTAGAGCTTTGATTTATATCAGTCTTTACAAATACGTCTCAAGCACAGCAACCATTTTTTTCTAACATTTATAATTTTTTTATATTGCAATATTGTATTCAACTATTTTACTATTTTATACCAATTAGCCTAGTACAAAATGTAGAACGAAGAAATATAATTCGAGAAATAAAGTAATTTAATTAGGAAGGACGTTTTTTCATTGCTTTTTATCTACCCTTTCTATCCTTTCAAAGTAGATGTAGCTTTATTTCTTTTCTTTGAAGTATGATTAAAAAGGGGAGGTGGAAAACTTTATAAAAATATTATATTAGTAGCAATTACTCGAACAATAAGTCCAAAAAAAGCTTATAAATTTAATACATTCGTGTATGAAATTTACTTTGATTATTTGTTGAGTTGGATTCGATTGCAATGCATCTATATTGCGTATTGATGAAATAATGACTAGACTAAGCTAGCAAAATAATAATTAAATAAAACAATAATAAAATCTCTCTTTTGAATATCTAAACTACAAGTACAAGTAAACACGACATGCATCAATTGTTAAATTATTCCTATAAATATTTTATTTCATTCAGAAGTATACATTGTAAAATGCATACAACTTTTTTACTCAGCTAAACACATTATTCTACTCTAAGACGTTGAAATCTACACTTGAATAATAATGCAATGAAAACCGTTTCTCGCCCTTTCAATAACTCTTGGCTTCTTTCCGATCGGTGGTAAAATGAAATATTTTGAGTCGTTATACAGAAAAATTTGCATTGGAGGAATGAAGGCATAATTTAGGTCAATACACATAATTGATAATAAATTTAATGTATAATAATTCAACAAAAATACAAAAAAATGTTTCAAGCTTATTTTGGGAAATAGCTTAAACTAGCGATTTTATTGAATGTTATGAGAATTGCTAATTATTCCTATGGAGAACACTTCCATTGTTAAACTAAAGTACGTGAAAAATATTCATTTCTAACGAGCTACCTATTACAGTAAATAATTGTATCACTGACTAGCTACTTACAGCAGTAGTTCTAAAGCTATACTTCGTCAAATTAAGTATTATTCATCGATATGTATACAAATAATGCTTATTACGCTAATGCAGTAATCATAATAATTTAGAATTGCTAATTGTTTGTTATGACTAGAGCAATCAAAAAAGATCGTAAAAAAACATTTTTTACGTTGCGCTAAATTGAGAACACAGTATTGAAGAGCAATCATAACAAAGATTAATTAAGTACCGTAAAGGCATTTCGTATAAGGACAAAAGAAAACGATGAATTGTTGTGTCTGTCAAACGTTTGCGTGACAATCGAAAAATAAACACCATTTACATCTTAACAACAGTCACAAAATAATGGCTTTCCTAACTCTTAGGCTTAACATCTTAACTCCTAGTATCTCAACAACCATGTTTTACGTTATGTGTTAATATATATTTTCTTTTTTTTCCGGAACAGTGTTATTCCATTTTAATAGTCAAACGTCATACACAAAAGCATTTCACATGGTTTCGTGTTCATCATGTTCGTTCCAAAAAAAAAAAAAAGAAACAGCCGCCTTGATCTTCATTTGTATTTTCCTTACTCTCTTCTAGGCGTACATTGATCAATTCTGCATAGCCAGCAAAAGTATGTAGAAAAAAGTATTTCGTTAAAAATCACAAGATATTGATTTTCGTTATTCTTTGGCGTCGTCTATGGCATTGCTTCGAAAAAAAGTATGTCGTTTTGAGATGTGATTAAATACATATGCACGTTGATTCATTGTGCAAATTCGCTTTGTTTCTGCCTCTTCTTCCTTTTTTGGCATACATTGGACAATATATTTTGGCATATGACACAGTACTAAGAAATATATCGATGCTGCTGCTATATGCTAATATTATTTTTTTTTTTCGTTTATTTCAAGTAGTTGGCTATTATTTAGGCAATATTACTATGATCAATAAATGTTTTCTCTTTTCACCATAAAATTATTGAGTCTCAGAAAACGAGTGAAAACTGCTCGATCTGTAGGTATACGTTGAGGATAAGTAATCGTGACCATCATCTACTTCGTTCTTTCCTGCAAAATATATCATTTTTAGCTTTTTCTCTTGATTGTATATAATTTTGGAAAGAGACTATCGCAGCTTAACCGATAGTTTTGTATCAATAAAGGATTAATATTAAAACGTATTGAGTATATTGGATAATTTGAAGATTATAGAAAAATGTTTGTATTTCGTGTTAGTAAAAATGAAAAGTTTGATGATTTTTCATCCCCGAAGCTTTCGACTGTCTCTTAATTCCGCTCGACTATTAATCTATAGTTTGGCTATTGACATTTTTATAAAGTTCTCATTGGGCGTTGACTTGAAAACGAAACTAAAAGTCCGTCAGGCTCGAAATCCATGACGAAGTTCATTTGTCAAGAAAATAAAGTGGAAAAATTTTTGGACGAATGTTAGTTGTCTTGTGCCTCTATATATAATAGACGCGGTCGTAGACGGACTGTTTCCAAAGTCTTAAAAAATCAGTTGAACGAGGGACCTCTATTTTGTACTATTTTAACGACACACGCCTGTTGCCCTGCCTCTCTCTCTTTGTTTGCTCTTCGAGAAAAGTAAAAAGATTATTTTCTGTGTCGATTGACGAAGTTGAAATATCTCCGCGGCGAGGCTCGTTTCGCGTATCATTGCTTGCCGGTGAGAACTAATTTCGGTTGCATATAAAACAATTGCTAATGGCTCTCGCGATAGAGCACAAAGACATGTAGGACGGTTTCGGCGCCGCGAACTCGGTGTTGGCCGCGGGCACGTAATTGTCGTAGTTGCCGTTGTTCATGTGCAAAACCTTCGCCATCTTTTTCATTGTGGCGTCCAGCCTCGACGTTGTTATTATCTCCATCTCGTTGCCGCAGTCGTCGAGCATTCTGCGAATCGAAAAAGAGCATTAGTTTAACAACCACCATGGAGACATGCAACTAGGCAACACTTGCCTCGCGTCAAACTCAAAGTTCAACTTATTGTCGTTGGCCATGTCTAGCCTGTCGTTGGGCTCTTGCATCATTTCATTTTGATTGCATATCGGCCGCCTATTCGGACTGTCCGTCTCGTTTTCCAATTTGCTGTATTTAGCCGAGCCGCTGCTACCGTGACTGACTGATGCCGCTGTTTCCTGTCGTGAATTGTCGCTGGTAGGCTGCGCAGAAAACATTAAAGCGTATGTAAAGCATTTAACATTCACATGATAATTATTCCTGGACGGATATGAACCTATATGCCTCAAACTATAACATTTTTTAAAATAATTTTAACTCGTTGCTTGATTCGTAGTTATTTTTGAAAAATGCTTGTATCCTCTCACTCTGATAATAATTAAAAACAAACTACAGAACATCTGTGTAATATCTAATTTCAAACATATAGGAATATTGTTATTAGGAGCAATTAAAAAAAACAATTACAGGGAAGTGTTACACTCATCGCAACGCTTACAAAAGAAAAAAAAACTCTAGGGTGAAACGTTAAATTGTGCGTGTTAAAATCACGCGGCAGTTTCACAACGGGTGAAATCGTATTTTTCAGAATTTGAATAGCTATGTAACAACTACTATGGAAATTAATAATAGATAATTTAATAGTCGATTTAGTGATAACCGACATGTATAAGCAATTATTGACGATATATAAAACAGGTGCAAAGGAAAGCCGACAAAATTGTTAAGCTCGATTGTCGATAGGCACACCTCGCTTACGCGCACACCCACGACGGCGCGACATCATCCCACGCACATGACAATGAATTCTCGGGTTTCAACGGCACAAAAAGGGCCTAAACTATATATGCGCTACGCACACATCCCCGCAGGTGTGCAAGTAAAGTCGCGTGTGTGAATCATACAAGCCTAGATGTCGCTGCGGTGCGCTCGCTCTCGGCATCGTTTTGAAATTATCTCAGTGGCAAATGCAATTGAAGACTTTAGGTGTGGCTGCTACGCCGTCCCTTGTGTGTACAACAGAACAAGGCCCCATTGGCAGCATCGTTATCAATGGCCAAAACAAGCTGAAGACACGCAACGACGTGTCTTATCCACTCTTCTGTGCGTGTGCATTTTACAACCAAACATACTACTTTTTCTACACTCGAGCGTGAGTGAATCAACGACCACTTGGAGAGCTAACGAAATCGGGACGCGCACGGATTTATTGATCAATCAGCCATACTACATCCTAACCTCCATGGGCGGGACATTAGTCATGGGCGTATAATTCTTGGGCGGCGGTTTTCCGAGTAAAGGAAATTAATTCCGGAGCAATGTGGACGTTGTTTCGTTGTTGATGTGAACCAATTAGTGACGACTGCGGAATTCTAAATTTGTAAGTTTTGCATAGTTTTGCCAGAAAGAACCCTTCTGCTATTGATTCGCGTTCTTCGCGGATGTACAACGTTCGAATTATCACGTCAGTTTTGATTTGAAACAGTGTAGATTATTCTGCCAATCATCTCTTTAATTCATTTAGACGATTTATGTGAAAGTATTTTCTGCAAACTTTTTTGAAAAGATATCAAGTAATTGTTTTAGGTAATTATTTTATTATCATTTCTCATAATAATTTAATGGTTTGATACTTTAAAAGAAATAGTTGTTATATAAATGTGCTCCAAAAATTTAGTTCAAAAGTACAAACCACTACAGGAAGTCCATTACTCCAAAATCATTAGTGAATCATTCAGTCCATTCACCATTGTCAACGAACATTACAAGTCATACTTATTTCATAACAGTGAATTTTTAATGTAAAATTTTATTTATTCATCGATTGACACAGATTTTTGTGCAGAAAAATTTAGTGCATACTCTTAATCATGATGCAGTGATACTAAAAAGAGACCTATTTATTAACATCTTTTGTCTTGACTCTATTGTGCAACTCATATGGAGTCCTTTAGCTGTATTATTGTATCAGATATATGCATTTATTAACAGTTTCTATTTTTTCTTTTGCTTTCCTTGATTTCAGAGCAAAATGACTGTACTCATTTTTCAAAAATTCTTGGTTGTGACCCTCACAGCCTACTGCCTGCTGGTCGAGGTAGTAGCATGGGACTATGACTACTGCAATTATCCCCTGCTTGAAAGAGCAGTATTAAAAGCCACCTCATCTTTGCCTGAAAGAGGAGCAAGTAATGCAAAACCACTTTATGGACCAAACGCATGGACTGCTAGTAGTTCAGATTTTGGTCAGTATCTTATAATTGACTTGGGTGAGACAAAAAATATCACTGCCATAGCTACCCAAGGTAGAGCTCATTACAATGAGTATGTAATGGAGTATGGTATTAGCTATGGTACTAATGGTCTAGATTACGCAGATTTCAAGGAGACTGATGGTAACATCAAGATGTTTAAAGGTAACAGGGATGGAGACACAGTAAGACTGAACAAGTTTGATGTGCCTATCATTGCCCAATGGGTAAGGATAAATCCTACTCGCTGGCGCGATAGGATCTCCCTCAGATTAGAGCTCTATGGCTGTGATTATACACCCAATGTTATTGCATTCAATGGCTCTGCTATGCTCCGATGGGACATGTTGCGCGAGTCACTCGAGACGGACAGACATTCAATGAGATTCCGTTTCAAGACCAACAACGCCGACGGTGTAATTATGTATTCCAGAGGTTCTCAAGGCGATTTCTTTGCTCTCCAGCTGCGAGAGAACAGAATGTTGCTCAACATCAATCTTGGCTCAGGTATAATGACGAGTTTATCGGTTGGTAGTCTGCTTGACGACAATATGTGGCATGACGTTGTGTTCTCCAGAAATCGCAAAGATATCGCTTTCTCGGTCGATAGAGTGCTTATCAACGGTCGTGTCAAGGGTGAATTCTATCGACTCGATTTGAATCGAGCGTTCTATGTTGGCGGTGTACCCAACAAGCAAGAAGGCTTGGTAGTTACACAGAATTTCACCGGTTGCATCGACAATCTGTTCTTCAACCAAACTAATCTAATCGTCGAGCACAAAGATTTGCTCTATCAAAATATGTACTCAAAGTACGAATTCCTTGGCACCACAAGTCACTGCCCAGAGCCACCGATTCATCCAGTTACATTCCTCACTTCGTCGTCTTATGCCAAGCTCAAAGGTTACGAGGGTATGGTATCAATGAACATCTCGTTGTCGTTCAGGACTTACGAAGAGAACGGCATTATCGTCTATCACGATTTCACCTCGCCAGGTTACGTAAAGATGTTCCTCGAGGAAGGTAAGCTGAAAGTCGAGATCAAAACTCGCACCAGTCCCAAGGCTATCCTCGACAATTTCGACGTAACTTTCAACGACGGTCGCTGGCATCAAGTTGTTCTCACGATCAGTAAGAACAGCCTCGTTCTCAACGTCGATGGTCGCCCTATGAAGACTACCCGTCAAATGGAAATCAGTACCGGATACCTTAATTACATTGGAGGTATGCCTGGTAATCACCGTGGTTTCATCGGATGCATGAGAGTCATTCAGATAGATGGCAATTATAAACTACCCGTTGATTGGAAGGAAGACGAGTACTGCTGCAAGAACGAGATCGTCTTTGACGCCTGTCAGATGGTCGATCGCTGCAATCCCAATCCTTGCAAACATTCTGGTACCTGCATGCAGACGAGCGATGACTTTTTCTGCGACTGTACTCACACTGGGTACGCCGGTGCAGTTTGTCACACTTCTTTGAATCCACTTAGCTGCGAAGACTACCGCAAGTCGCCCAACTCTGTCAATCAAAAAGCTGAGGTGAAGATCGACGTAGACGGCAGTGGACCATTACGACCATTCCCAGTAACTTGCGAGTTCTTCGCCGATGGCCGGGTACAGACGATCCTTCGTCACAGCAACGAGCACTCGACTCCAGTAGACGGTTTCGAGGAACCTGGTAGTTTCATTCAAGACATTCGCTACGACGCCGATTTCGATCAAATCGAAGCGTTCATCAATCGTTCGCACGTATGTCGTCAACGTATTAGCTACTCGTGCAAACATTCCAAGTTATTCAACACTCCCGTCGGGCAAGCGGAGGCTTTCCGTCCAAATTCTTGGTGGGTAAGTCGTCATAATCAAAAGATGGACTACTGGGGTGGTGCTCTGCCAGGCTCGCGAAAGTGCGAGTGTGGTATTATCGGCAGCTGCATAATGCAGGACAAATGGTGCAACTGTGATGCCGACATGGAAGGTTGGTTCGAGGACTCCGGCGACATCACCGAGAAGGAACATTTACCCGTTAAACAGCTACGATTTGGTGATACTGGTACTGCTCTCGATGACAAGGAAGGAATGTACACTCTTGGATCGTTGATCTGCGAAGGCGACGACTTTTCTACGAACGTGGTGACGTTTAGGGTTGCCGATGCCACGGTTGAATTGCCGACTTTCGATATGGGTCACAGTGGTGATATTTACTTTGAATTTAAAACTACTCAGGACGATGCAGTGATGGTCCATAGCAAAGGACCCAACGACTACATCAAGATCTCTATCAATGGCGGTAATCAGATTCACTTCCAATATCAAGCTGGAGGTAGCCCTCTCGCCGTCAGTGTGCAGACGTCCAGTAGGCTTGCGGATAACAATTGGCATAGTGTGTCCGTAGAGAGGAATCGTAAGGAAGCGAGGATCGTCATCGATGGTGCCTTCAAGAACGAAGTGGCCGAACCACCAGGTCCCGTGCGTGGACTTTTTCTCACGAGCGACTTGGTTGTTGGTGCGACGACTGATTATCGAGACGGTTACGTCGGCTGTATTCGTTCGCTGCTACTCAACGGTAAATTACAAGATTTGAGGGGCTATGCCAGACATGGTTTGTATGGAGTCAGTGAGGACTGCGTTGGTAGATGTGAAAGCAATCCGTGTCTGAACAACGGCACATGCCACGAGAAATACGACGGCTACAGGTGCGACTGCAGGTGGACGGCATTCAAGGGGCCAATTTGCGCCGACGAGATCGGCGTGAATTTGCGACAAAACTCGATGATTAGGTATGACTTTGTGGGCACTTGGCGTTCGACCATCGCTGAGAAGATTCGTGTTGGTTTCACCACTACCAGTCCGAAAGGTTTCCTTCTTGGTTTCTCGTCCAACATCACTGGAGAGTATATGACCATCTTGGTATCCAACAGCGGTCACTTGCGCGTTGTCTTCGACTTTGGCTTTGAGCGACAGGAAATCATCTATCCGGACAAACGTTTCGATTTGGGGCAGTATCACGATGTCAGGATCAGTAGAAAGAACTCTGGTGGAATTCTGGTTATTCAAGTTGATAACAACGAGGCGAAAGAATTCCAATTCAGCATCAAGGCTTCGGCTGACGCACAGTTTAATAACGTTCAATACATGTATATCGGCAAGAACGAATCGATGCATGAAGGTTTCACTGGTTGCGTCTCTCGTGTCGAGTTTGATGATATCTATCCACTGAAACTGCTGTTCCAAGAGAACGGTCCAGGTAACGTGCATTCTCTCGGTGGCCATCTGTCCGAAGACTTTTGTGGAGTAGAACCAATTACGCATCCGCCTAATATCATGGAAACACGTCCACCGCCAGAAATCGACGAGGACAAAGTACGAGCGGCTTACAACGAAGTTGACTCGGCTATTCTTGGCAGTGTTCTCATGATTCTTCTTATCGCTCTCATCATCATGGGTGTACTGATCTACAGGTACATGTCGCGGCACAAGGGCGAGTATCTTACGCAGGAGGATAAAGGCGCTGAAATTGCTCTCGACCCTGATTCAGCGGTCGTCAATTCCGCTACTGGACACCAAGTGCAAAAGCGAAAGGAGTGGTTCATCTAAGCTGCTCGCATTTTTTATTTTTTATAGATTAACTATTAAAGGATAGTAAGCGAAGTATTAACATTAGATCTGATAAGAATCTCATTGTAAAAAAAGCGATGTTTTTGTATACCTACGTACTAACTCCCCAGCCCCTTCGATAAGCAACTACTATACGCATGAATAGTTGTTGGTGTCGCAAACGATCAACGAGCAATTTAATTTTTCGTTGTTCGTTCATTGACCTCGACCACGACAATGCGCAGCGATTGTCAGTTTTTGTAATTGAGAGTGAGTATTTTACTACGATAAATCGTGTAAATTATAGACTATATATTATTACGACTATATATTATTACGACTATATATTATTACGACTATATATTATTACGACTATATATTATGTGAAAAAATTGTTTCGTCCATTTTTTTTTAATAATTATGCATCACACGTACCTGGCAGGCTGTTCTATTGCAATCTCTTCCCCTGCTTATGTTTAGTTTGTCTCTCATGACCTGAAACAAACAATGTATATCATGATTATGAATCAAATAAATTTGCTATTATTTTTACGTTTTATTGTTTTCGTTGATGAATTCACTATTACCTTCACTTCAGCACTCGTCACCGTCAGGAAGCCCCGCCTCATTGAAATGTCTCTGCTGTCTACTTTGAATTTGTTTGGGTTTTTCTCGTTGATATGTGTTTCGAATGTTAAGGAAAATTGTTCCAATTCAACAAATAATAGAATGTTTCTGTTATAATAAAACGCTCCATCGAATTAATATTGAGTCAACAATTATTGATTGCTTTTGCAATTAAAATATGGAATAGGGTATGATCGTGTTATTGTTTTGCATAGAATTAGAACTTATTTGTGACGCCAAATGCAGCGGCCTATTGTGCATCTATTTTAAAAATAAAACTCGAATTACATTTTGAAAGCTGTTAAGAGAGTAGAAATTAAGACTCATCCAAACGAAACATTTATCTATATTATAAATTTCTTTCCGGCGCGACACATCGAGCTCCATCTACTTGATGAACGATATTTTATATATTCGTATTTTACGAATGCATATAATACTTCACTTGTCACAAATACTTTTTGCCAATTTTAATTGCCACAACAAACCTGTTTATTGACTTTCGCGACAATAAATATTGAAAAAGTAAGAAAATTAAAAAGGAAGCAACGAAAAGGATATTGATGCAGTCGTCGAGATCTTCAAGATCCCACTCGAGAGACCGAAGTGCATTTTTTAGTTCGTTGGTGGTCCATTGCAGCTCTTCGAGGCTATTCATCGTTGGCAACACGGATCCAGTGAGAGTATATTGAGGCATGTTCACCACTCCCGAAGCCACATTTTGATTGAGTTGTACCCAGCGTTGGAATAGGTTGCGTGCTTTGGCCAGCGCTGTGTTCACCTCTCTGAAAACCAATTAACAATTGTTCAATCAATTTTTAGTTTTATCATACATCCCATTAACGTGTGGTGGATCGCATCACAAAAAGAATTGTGACAACTTTAATAAATATTAAATAGTTTTCGATTGCCATTCAACAGATGCAAAATTACAGTAATATTGCTTATTTTCAAATTAATGTATAGTATTTCAAACGTTATCGTTGCCTTATTTTCGCATATACTACTGGTTCATGTGGTTGGTAGAAAGAAAAAGCAAGAGATCAAACGAATTGCAGTTTATTTTTATACACAAAGATATCACACGATGATATTTCGATTTATATTATTTTAATATATTCGTCAATGCAGTAAAGTATCGAATTAATTAACAGTTACGCATAATGAGGCATTGGACAGCAGTGTTCCCAGTTGCGTGGCCAGCGCCGTTAAGAACACCGGAGCCGAAGTTTTTACCGCCCTGAAAAGAAAAGTAATGGCATATGAGATTTTTCATAGTAGCCGTTTTAAAGTAGAATTTAGCACTTTAAAACTAAAGTACGACAATAGCTCCAAGAACTTAAAAGAATGAGTATAATAAATCATAATCATTTGATGGGCTACTTAGTTGTTTTTCAGCTCAATTAATCAACATCTATATTGAATGTGTCTACGATTATTTGAATTCACGATATTGATTTGTACTGCGTATACGAAGCGTTATATTTGTGTTTGAAGAGTTTGAAATAATTTTAACACGTGAAAGTTACACATTACTTTTTTTAAGCCGCCGCCACCACCTTTGCGATTTTCAAGCGCTCCATTTTCGTTTTCACTGACAAGGAGTTCTTCCTCATTTTCTTCGTTTTCCATATTTTCTTCGTTCTCTTTGTCTTCCTCGTCTAACGGAAATGATTTAGCAGACACATTGACCATCATAGCGAACGCTACGAAAATGCCAATAAGGTACAAGCCGCGAGATAGCATTTTTGTAACTGATGGTTTTCCTGAGCATTCAGTCAGAACAACTGTTGTTACTTACTGTAACTGATCCCATTACAGCACGGCGCATTTATACTTGTCCGACTCGCTATTATTATTATCACAAGTGCTGAACAGAATTATCTATAGATTATAGATAGCTGTAGGTTCGACCAACACACTGACGAGACCGAAGAAAGCACTACGCTGTCGCTTTTGTTATTTATCTTCATTTGAATAATGTCGAGTATTTTTGCTAAGAACTATTAAGTGTAAACAACACAATAAAAAGATTGTTTTACTCCATTCCTAAAAAAATAGCGTAGTTATCTCATTCGAAACCGAATTTTTCATAGTGATTGCTACTTATTGTTATATGGGATGTATAGGATCGGCTAAAATGTCATGATAATCATATACTTTTCGTCAATAAGAAAAATAGCAAGAAATAGTCGTGTGTCTAAAATAAAGAGAATAACCGATAAATTTATAAAAATCATACTTTCGATTTGACCATTGCCTTTTTCTCATTAACAATGAATTTGCATTTAAGTTATATTATCTACATATGGGTGTCGACCTGCAAGTGAAGCAAGGATAAAAAAAAAAGCAGGCTGAAATGAAATTGCAGATTCGATACTTCGTGCGCGAGGACTCGATTGACGCAGGCTCAAGGATTCGAGCATGTATAAAATCTCATCTCGCACACGTAGTACCTATATCGAAAAATCAGGTTAGATATATGTGTGAGAAAGTGATTTTACCCTCACTAGAGCGCAAACGTCCACGCGTGACTCAAATCACATTTTCTTGCACTAAAGTCAAAATGTACTATTTTTATATTAAACCCTATCTTCTTATTCAACCTATGTAATTTTAAGAATACAATTTTTTTCAACCCTGAATATAGAGTATATAAAAATACAAGCATATACAAAAATGTAAACATCTAATTTCATTATCTCTTTGTGGCCCATTATTCAAAATTGATGAAATCAAATGTAAAACTATCTATTAAATGACTATTAAATTATAGATATTTGTCACGTAAAAACTATTTTGTCTGCATTAAAAAAATTTTAACAAGTTATTACTCTGATCAATTCATATAATTTATTGAATCAATGTTATCTTTTTTATGTGAAACATATTTTTATTGCGCAAGATGAGTATTATAGATGGCGTTCAAGGAAAAGAATAAAAGATCCATGAGTGCGTGTATTTATTTTTGTTGATACAATACATCGCATCAGGCGGTTAATAATATTATTTAATTAAATGTGAATACTGTCGAATGCTAAAGTCTTCTTTAAATTAAAATATTGTAATTGGATGTAATTTCAAGGATATTTCGTATTATCTCATTAATAATAATATAAGATAATTAATAATAATATATAGAAACCCCTATATACGTTTTCATCGAGAATACGCCGTAATAACTCAAATTCTATAGTAATACATACCTCAACATCAAACCCCGAATATTAGGCTTACATTGGCCGATTTGACGTAATAGCAGCTTAGTCCCTCGCAAGCTTGCATGAATAAAGGCGTCAAATATTTCCAGTGACATTTCGCGCGACGGGGAGATTTCCGGTGTATGGATTTATACTTGCTTTTGTCAATAAAAAATCAATCGATAATATAATGAGGTAATAAAAGAGCTACTTTGAAATCAGAGATATTGACGATCTAATTAATGAATATTTTAGATATTATCATGTTTATCTAACCAGAGGTTTGAGTATAAAAAACATCTTGGTAGGTTGAGATGACTCAATTTCAATTACCCCATACCGTAGCAATTATTAATTGTACCTTTGTAAATAACGCTGATTACTTATACCTTTTTATGACAATAGTGCACTTATATTTGCAAGATTTGTTGCACCTGCAGATAATCGAGCCATACTAATGCATTATTACGGTCAAAAATTCCATTGGTTTAAAAATTATATGATATTAGTAGAGTGAAAATTGAAATCTCTCTTTCAAAGTACTTTATTCTACTGTGCACGTTAATTGTTACACATCATTGCAATGACAATTTATATGGTTATTTTCTAAAACACATTGCTATTATTATTTAAAGTAACATTGTTGAATGTTTAACCAGATATAATACATCGGCGTAGACAAAATGAGCTGCTATTTTTCCTCCTTTATAATTCTTATTATCCACAGTAAATATTTTTTAAGTAAAAAATGAGGTGATGGTAATTTAATAAAAATTTTGATCGATAGCTCGTTGAAAACTACGCTTATGAATATGCTAAATTCTTCAAGAAGTTCAACTTTTAAAGACATTTTTATAATGACTAAATGATTTATATTATTTGATGATTGATAATTGATAACTTACAAGAAGATTATTATAATATTGGATTATAGATTTTTCGGTAATGTAAAGGAATGATCTTCCGTTTGATCTGGAAGTAACATGCACAGCAAAAATCAAAAACTTTAATTTGATACGTGACTAAAAAAAAAATAATGATTTTTAACTCATATAATATAAGTGTGATCAAATATAATTGTTAAAGTAAGCTTATTAAATAAAGTTGTTAGTAATATATCAGTTAAAATTGTAGGTTGTACCTTTTAGATGTTGAATCATTTGATACGTGTAACGTTTGTAATTATAACGTTAAGCTTTGTTAAAACTTGATACAATTTGATTAGAATAGTCTTTTTTGTCCAGATATCGCTATATTATGTACATGAAAAGTTTGCTGGACCTAAATGTCAATTTCCCTTTCCATCAGGAATTCCTTAATTAAATTGAATGATAAAAAGTCAATAATGTTGCAATTAATTGTCGAGTTAATAATATAGACACACCTGTCGGATGTATGTGCATGTTGAATTTAAGTGCCCAAAACACTTGCAATAATAGCGAAAGTATACCGAGCCGATTATAAATACGTAGCGTTACGCCGGCACAAGTCATACAATTAAAGCAACAGATGATCCGGTTAAACGCTCGACAAAATCATCGATTGCGAAAATGCTTTCTCGCTGTTTCTACCTTATTGGAATTCTCCTAGTTTTAATCATAACTACGATTGTCAATGCTTCTCTAGAAGAATCGAAAAACAAAGGTGATAGTAAAGTTAATAATGGCAGATTTCGAGGTGCAGTACAAACTGTAAGAACATTGTCTTTTTTTCAAATTATTATTCAACATTTTCATAGTCAAATATTTATAAAATTTACGTTATAATCAATGGCGGAATTGCGGCAAAAGTTAAAAATTTTATTTTTCAGGTTGCCAAAAAGTTCATGGATCCATTTAACATTTTCGCAAGGATGTAGATTAGAGATATATAAAATACCATAGCAATGTTGTATTTTCAGCGATGTACATGCATAACGGGAATAAATAGCCTTGATTGTATTGGACGAACCCTTGGATTTTCATTATGCCATTTCTCTTGCAACGCCTTAAGCGACTTCGTTGGAAAAAAAACTAAGCATTGTGAGATTGTCAATCTGCAGGGGCCAGAAATTTCGCAAACATACCTATAGTATTGTCAAAAAATGTTGTAAGTTATCAGGCTTGTTCGCATTGGTGTATCGGGTCTTCGTCAAACTTGATAAACGGTAATATATTCCATGTAGTTGTCACAGTGGATTGGCAATATCTCTCGATGCGCAATTATCTGATCTTTCATCGGCACATTACGCTGTCGATTAATCTCTCGCCGATGAAAAGAAAGGTCTTGAAAAGAAGGTGCAAGAAGGCGTAGAAGCCCATAAGCCAGAGAGCCCTTGTGCTCGAGATCAAGGAAAGTAGCTCACTGTCACTCGGAAGCTTCGCGAAGCATTAACTTATGCAAGCTCACGTGTTAAACTGGCTGCATGTCACATTGGCTGACGTGAGTTCAATATTCGGAATTTAGCTTTGACATATGTCACTGGAGAATTGGGGCGAAAGAAGCGTTCCGATTGCAAATGTACGGCGGTTCACTTCGATACTCCCGTCAGACTATTATTCGTTTTAAAATATATGTACATCTCAAGTAACATCATTGATTCATGTTTTTAATAACTTTTGAAAACGTGACTCTATTAAATCAGATTTAATAAGTATCACTGATTGCTTGTTGAAATCTTCGTTGTATTTGAAACTTTGACAATATAACATAATCTCCAGATGAGATTTATCGTGAGCGTTGACCCAGCAGTGTTTGGTTCTGAAAGGAACTCATTCTCAAATATCTTGCCGTTATTTTGATTCGATCTGTCGTCCCGTAGGTATATGCTAACCTATATAATGGGGAATTTCACAGAATTCAAAACTTGATAAGAGTTACGAAAGAAATATAAAAATTTTCACGACGTTGAGGCCTTAAATATAATAAAACAAAAGACGCACGGAGTGACTTCGCTCGAACAAACGGGAAAACCAGCCAGTCACGGCACGCCGCAAGACCTAGCAAGTTGGAAAAGCACGCGTACTTTCCAGGCGTTAATGAGCTTTCAAAGGATGACTATTCGCGATCGAAGGTTACGCACCGAGCAATTAGAGAAAGTATATATAGACGGGGAGAACCCGTCTTATCGGGCGGTAACATGCGAAAAACGAGTTCAATGTCGCGTGGACGCCGATCGATTTTCCACGTGTGTGAGCTTCGTAATGCAATTACGCGCGTTCGCCGCCGCGCCCCTCTCGATGTGAATCACCGAGCCACAGGCCCGTCCGAACGCGAGACACTCGGATTGATGTGCACGATGGGGAAAGGTCGTAAAACGTATTGTTGGTTCGGGCTCTCGTGCGAAAATTATCGACATATTTATCGAAAGGCGGAAAGCACGTCGGGGAACGATGGCATATTTTTGTTGGCTCGAAGAACCATTGGTCGCGCGTATCGCGTGTATGAATTTGAAATTCAGATGAGAAAAGCTCGCCTCGATCATTGCCGGCAGAGCCGAAAGCGGGCTATTGATTATTTTCCAGTAAAAATATGTCGCCCTATATACTTTGCCGTTCGCGGCTAAAACCTCGATACGAGCTTTTTGCGTTTTTCGAACTCGCTTTCGTTAGTTCGAGCGCGGCTAACAGGAATAGACATTGTTCTTGATGGATTAGAAAAAAAGGGCAATATAGCCGCTTTGCCGATGCTATTTTCGGTTTCATGTAGCACAGGCATGCGTTGCGAGTGAGAATTTTTTTATGAAACTATTCAGTGGCGTACAATCTATCCTCTCCTCTAACATCAGGTTCACGTTTGCGGGTGAGAAAAACCGCAATATTCTCATTGAAAATCACGCAAGCGATTATTAAAAATTTTCAGAATCAATGAAATTAGTTTAATTTTAACGAACTTGAATGGTTCGGCAAACTGCGAGAAACGGTGACATTGATTTTCAGAGCAAACAATTCGTTTGGTTTGGCCAATAACCCATTGGCATATTCGCATTCAATTTGAATTTCACTGGGAGAGAAGGAAAAACGGTTTTCAAAAATAGCTCGTGCAGCTTGCTTATGCGTCAATGGGCTCATTGGGCTATCATCAACGAGTGTTTGTTTTTATACGTGCGGGCTTCTATTTGTGTTGTAGCGAATTGGGAATATCCTGCAGTTAGATAATAGGATTTTCTGGTATCTATTATGGCAAGGTTTTGTTACAGTCGGGCATTTTGGTAGAATATTATTTCGTACTATCAGTTTTCTTTGAGTATTGTATCCTCTATTTTTGTTTAATACTCTTGTGACTGCATCGACCATCGTTCGTCTCTCGTCCTATCATCAGATCATAACATTAACGTAGCGATAATCATGCAATATAGAGTGTAACACGAGTATATTTAACCATTCACCTTCACGACTCTAAAACGACCAAATTCCACTCGCCAAAAAGTATTTGAACAAACTTTGTATCTCCTCTTAAAACCTCACCTACACTCCAGGTCACGTAAGTGTCATCCGTGAAGGATCTCGCGGTAATCTTCTTCTGCCGCGGTGGCTTTTGTCGGGGAATCAGTATCAAATGAAAAGACTTTTTTTCAATCTTCTTGACGTGTAAATATCAGAACACAAGTGTGAGCGTCTCGAAAGAGCGACCAAATAACAAATTACAGTCAATGAAAATAGCTTTTTTTTATTTGTGCATCCTCTCTATTACAAACGCATTATTCGTTAATTGACAAAACGATCGTCGTGAAGCTCCAACACTCGTGTTCAAATAAATCTCCTTCCTTTTTATTCTGTCTTTCTCCTTTCATTCGTTCTCTACAACCAGCAATTACACCAAATTGAAAAAATATTGGACTAAAGCCATCTGCCTTCCAATCGTCAAATTTTCCTTTCCACTTTCTCTCATTTCAGCGTTGCAACAACAAAAAATGAAAATCGATGCTTTCCAATCGTTCGCACCCTTCAATTTTCAGCACGAACTCGACGAAGAGAGACATGTATAGGATTCGAAGCCAATATCCGTTCCCTCGCTCTTTACTCTTTTTTTATTCGGAAAGCTCTATATATACGCTACGTGATTTTGTCCGACTGCGGAAAGAGAGAAAGAGAGGCCTCTCCGAGATGTTAACAAAGGTCGTTTTGAGAGTGCGTCGCGTGATTGCATAAGACGGCGAAAAGGGTCGCGAGCGCGGGTATATGGGTTTCTGTGACACGCAACAAACTGCAGTAAAGAAACCTCCCTCCGCGGATGATCCCATTACTGCGAGCTCGTCGTCTCGTCGATGGCGAGCTCCGAAGACTGAATTTGCACGATAGGGCGAGAAAAGCCTGAGTCACTTACTCCTTGATGACGAAATAGGGATCGTCCGGCGTCATCGCGTCTGCTGGCTTATTGATGCACTCCCTTTGTCGCCTCGCTCGCGGATGGAGAATATGGTTGCGCGCGCCCTAGACACCGACTGCGCGTTGGCTTCGATTTCCGACGCGGACTACTGCTCCGCTACTCTCTCTCTCTTTCTCGGCTGTTTGTTCCCTCTTCGGGTGGGAGGAGGCGTGATATTGATTGCTCCGCGTGTTACACTCGCTCTGTGATAGCGCGCCTGCGTTCGAGTGGAGCGCACAACCTACGTGGGAGGGTTCCAGGGGTTGTTTTGAATTTTCGGCGATGCCCTTCTCGCTGGCTTCTTTTTTTGCTTGCTGTCCGAGTCCATACAAGGTCTATTTTAGAACGTTAGAACGTGTACGCCTAACGTAATCAATCTCTTACTACTCAATCTACGAATACTTTAGTCGGCTGCTGCAATTCATGGTATTTATGATATGTAAATAGAATACCGAATATAAAGAAGACGTTCAAAAATAGTCAAATCAGAAGCTTCAAATTAATAAATAAAAAGTCAATATTATAACTACTAGGCTTGTTATAATTGAAAGTAAATATAAAATCATGTTGATTCCTATCAAGTCTTAAAAATTTATATCAGTCAAAGGGAAAGTGAATATGACACTCTTTTTATGAATAAATTTCTAATTTCTATTCAGTAATTTGTGTAAAATTCAAAGGAGACTTTTTATGTAAATATGTTTTTTAGAAAGTTGCGTATGTATTGACTAACGATAAATAAATAAAAAGCAATCTCATAAACGACAGTGGAGCAATTAGGGTAATCCCAAAATCGGTTGTATTGATAGATGAATAATTTTTTTTTGTATTTGAGCTACGCATATTATTATTAGAGTACTCGGTAAGTATTCGAGAAAGAGAAACTACGACAATGTATCGATCAATATTTAAGGGGACCAGAGGGTGTTTCGTAGTGAAAAATTAACACTTTGTTTATTGCCGCGTAGAAATTATTCTACTGAAGATATCGATGTAGGACTTTTTTCAGCTGAAAGTATTCTATATAAGCTTTCATTTTCTTTGTTATAAGTTCCAGAATAATCATTGTACACCTAATATGGACACAACAAAGACCAAGCTCTATTTTTCAAAAAATGGGGCTTTGCCACGCCTTTCTGAACGCCAGAGTGGACAAAAATCGTTTTGTGAGAGCTCATTTTTTTTGTTATGAACCGGACTACAGAATGAGCGGAGCACTTTTATAAAAAAGATAATTCTTCCTATTTTTTTGAGCCAATATATGAAATTTTAATTTTTCAAAAAAATTTTTTTTGCAAATTATCCTCAAAAAATAGGAAGAATTATCTTTTTTAGAAAAGTGCTCCGCTCATTCTATAGTCCGGTTTATAACAAAAAAAATGAGCTCTCACAAAACGATTTTTGTCCACTCTGGCGTTCAGAAAGGCGTGGCAAAGCCCCATTTTTTGAAAAATAGAGCTTGGTCTTTGTTGTGTCCATATTAGGTGTACAATGATTATTCTGGAACTTATAACAAAGAAAATGAAAGCTTATATAGAATACTTTCAGCTGAAAAAAGTCCTACATCGATATCTTCAGTAGAATGATTTCTACGCGGCAATAAACAAAGTGTTAATTTTTCACTACGAAACACCCTCTGGTCCCCTTAAAGGAGTGCGCGTTCGACAAAATATTATTCGTCGACGTATAAGTTCATATCTAATCATATCAACAGTAAAATTTTAATCTCGTATTTACTTTATTATAAAAAATTTATTGCAACAACCAATAACCCAACGAGTTACTTAAAAATTTTCTGACGGTGTCAACCAATTCTCAAAGTGGTATTGTTACTTTTTAAATCCATAAGCGTTCCCGCTTAATCAGTAACGTTGAAGTTGTCTACGAATCTGCGATTAATATGTATGCGTGCATATGCTACATAGTTGAACGAGCGCCGAGTACACACACAAGCAGACACAAGTTACAAATCCTTCACCGAAAAAGTGTACTGTCATTCCCAACCTGCAATAGTTTGTTAAACGCTTTGTTTATTCCCTCGTTATAACAATGGCACTAGTCGAAAGAGATCCTTCGAGGTATTTACCTGATTACGATGTTCAAGCTCCCGTTCAACATCACTTTAGCCCATATTCTGACAATGGAGGGTAAGTTCTCCAATTTAACCTATTTACCTTACACTTCTTATTTATAGTTTGAATTTGAAAAATTTGAGGTTTTTTGTTAAAAAAAAAAGAGTACATTGTAAGGAAACTTTTGAATTAGTCCATTAATGCATGGAAAATCTTGTAGATAAATCTTATGATATTGAGCGAATGGAATTTACATTAAAATTACTTCCTACTGATCGGTTTAAAAAACATTCTATTGTTTTCCAGGAGTGTTGTTGCTGTTGCAGGTGATGACTTTTCTGTTATTGCAGCAGATACTCGTCTCAGTACTGGTTTCTCTATTTACACACGCCAGCAGAAAAAATTATTCAAACTTTCGGAGACAACAGTTTTGGGTTGCTCAGGATGTTGGTGTGATACTTTGACTCTTACCAGACTGATTGCTGCTCGTATGCAGGTATACTGTAGTTCTAATTTTTTATTTTTCCATCAATTATTTTTTTTAAATTACAGCAACCTTAAATTAACTTTCAGATATATAACCATGAGCACCACAAAATAATGTCTACTCCAGCAGCTGCTCAGATGCTTTCCATAATGCTTTATCACAAACGATTTTTCCCATACTATGTAAGCAATATTTTAGCTGGAGTTGATGATGATGGTAAAGGTGTCATATATAGATATGACCCTGTTGGTCATTGTGAAAAATCCAATAATGTAGCTGGTGGATCTTCTGGTGCTTTGCTTCAGCCATTGTTGGATAATCAGGTATATCTCAGAGTAATATACTTGATATTGATATTAAAGCTAATTTTCTTTTTCTTCTTAACCTTACAGATTGGTTATGCAAATCAAGAGAATGTAGAAAAAATTCCACTAACAAAAGAAAAAGCCTTAGCTATTGTTAAAGATGTGTTCATATCTGCCGCTGAGAGAGACATTTATACTGGTGATGGTATTAACATTAACATTATTACAAAGGATGGCATAGAAGAACAGTACTTTGCTTTGAGAAAAGATTAATTGTACATTGTGCATTTTTGTAATTTAATTTCTAATTAAATAAATTATACTTTATACTGGAATACTTTTTTGATAAATTAAAGTTATAAATAAAATAATTATTAACTTAATTGCATGTTATCTTGTTTGATAAACCAAATATCAAGAAGATTGTGAATAATTCTATTGGCATACTATGATTTTTTTATCATAATTAGTTGTTTTTATAAACAGCATTTGAGATTAATAAGGATTGATTAAAGACAATTTGTTAAACTTAGGTAATTAGACTTTATTATCGCAGTATTCTTAAAAATTATAATGAACCTTCTAATCCAGTCAAGAATTAGTTTGTCTTATGTGGTCTGTGCATGACATTATTATAGAAATTTAGCCGTTGACTAACACTCAATAATGAGTTGTTTCTAAGCTACCTTACTTTAAAATGTTTACATATAAACGTAATAAATATATTCTGGTAAAGCATATCAAAACAACAAAAGGAAAAACAGAGATTGCATTACTGGTTTACTATTTTTTTTTAACATGTAACTGTTTCATGGAAACAATTAAAAGGATAAAAAGATTGTTTTTTAGTCATCCGAATTTATTTTTTTGAAGCTGGTGCTGGTAATGGATTCCCACGATCTTTGCCTCTTAGTTTCATACCAATTGCTCGCTCAATTTTTCCAATGACCATCTGGTTGGGGATTCCTCTACCAGCTTCGTAATCGTTGATAACTTGAGTTTTCTCGTTGACTTTCTGAAATATAGGAAGAGTGCATTTATATGTTGTTCTCTCAATTTTCTCATGGAAACTACTTATCAAAAGTTTTACTTATGAAACATTTTGACATTAGGAAGTTAAATCAAGTTTCAAAATTTTATAGTACTTTATATTTTTTCTGATATAATAAATAATAATTCTTTTCTATTGTGTAAAAAATGATTGATTTATCAACGTAGTTGTTTATAACTTCAGAAATTCTCTACAAGGATCTATCTTGTGAACTATTGTACAATTCACATAACCTATATAAATATGGCATAAATTAGCCATACATCTACTAGTGAATCAAGCTTTTTATGAGAAATTATTTTTTTTATAGGTGCAAAATTAAACAATTTATTAACTTGCTCAAAGATAAATCATAAATTTTTAATGTTCTTACTACATATAAAAAAACATTTTGAATACCATTACTCACCATTGCAAGATCTTTTTGTGACCATCCCTTATTTTGTCTTCCCTGTTGAATTAATTTGCCAAGGTCAAGAGTAACCTTTTCGAGTTTCAATTCTTCAGTCTCACGATCCAATTTGGCTGTGTTTTTAGTGGTAGTATGCTGTTTGTTTGTTGCTCCACCCCCTGGAAATTAGAGATCATTATTTAATAGTTATATTGCTGAATAGTATATATAATAATATTGAGATGATATAATAATAATGAGAACTTCAGTAATATCATTTATGACAAAATAATCCTTTTATACAACACCAATTGACTTGTGTGTTTGTCACCAAAGACTTAAAAAAATTAATTAAGGTTTAATTAATTTTGAAGTTAAATGCGGACAGAATCACGTAAATATAAACAATATTATATAAGCAATAAAATTATACATGCAGCACAGCATAAATTAGGTTAATAATGGTGTAAAAATATCTCATAAAAATAAAAATTGAAAACCGAACTATAAAAGTTTTAATCGTAATGCCAATTCAACAAGAATAGTATTGCATCATACGCGCAACAAATTGTACAAGTACTGTAAATCATGCTTAATCATTTTACAGAAGAAAGATGAAAAAAATAAAGAAAAAAGCAACCTCGCCTACAACGCGAACAATACACTCGATCGGAGGAAGAAAAAGAGAGAGAAAGAGAAGTGGTAAACATGTTTACATCTGTGCAAAAGAAAGTCGTGGAAATAAGGCAACAGTACAAGCACTTACACTTGGCTTGGGTCTCAACGGCAATTCCCTGCCTGCGTGCTGCGTTAACCGCCTACATGAATAAAATCATGGCATTGTAATTAAACAGCCCAAAAAAGGCTAAGAACCGCGCGTAAAGTAAGATAGGAAATACATTAGTTTACCTGCTCCGATTTAAGAGCGGAAGCCTTGGGTATGCGTTTCCGCAGAGTAATTGGTGCAGTATCCCAGTCAGACATTATCGTACGTTCTAGTAGAAGCAAAGGAAAAAATAAGGATTCAAAAATTTGTTGGTTTTAATCGATCTTTCACGATTCTCCTCGTGTTTATAAACGAACTCGTGTCGTCTTCTCTTCTGACCTCTTGATTTTCACTATGACTGTTGTGCTTGCGGTGTTAGTATAGTTGGTAGAACCTTTCCAGATACTTCCACACAATAATGCGCTGAAAACCACTGCGCAGCCAGGCTCAGCCGCGGTCTACAAATAATATTATTTAAGCTGTTTTTAATATTCGAAAAGACAATGCTATAATTTTTCGTTTAATAAGAATCGCGAGAATATATGCGAGGAAGATGACTCAACTAGAGAATTTTTAGGCTATGTAAAAAACTCGAGAAAATTTTTCCAAGTAGTGTAACAACATGCACGGCGACAAAGTTTCAACGTTGGTAACATAAAAGGGCGACAAAAAAATTTTTTCTTCTTCACCAGTTTGTGGTCGTTCATTTGCTTTACGTCACGCACAACGCAAGTGGCGGCGCACTGTATGCACTTTCATGAAGAGTTGAAGAGGCAATAAAGTGAGTAGGATAGAAAAGAGAGAGAGAGAGAAAGATCGCCTAGTTAGACGCAGAGCAGTTTTTACGAGTCAAGTGTAGTCGAGACGAAAAGTTATAAAGTGAGCAAGTAAAAGTTGGACTTGGCTTCCACGACGGATAGCGTCACCGAGAATTGAGGTTATAAGAGTCAAAGCCTAGTTATCCAACGAGTGAAAGGTTTCAGGAATCTGTACAATAATATGTGATCGAGGATCCTCATCTTCGTCGGCCTTTCGCAATATGGGTGACCGAGTGTAGCCAGCGAACTATGCGCTTGGTCTTCGGTAGACTGAACGTATTATCATCATCGTCATACCGTTGGTGACATCGTGGGTGACATTTAGCAGCAAAGATGTTAAACATGAAAGGTTCAGATCCTTTTGTCATCTGCCTCGAGGAGATTGTCAGCCATGCTGACCCAGAGGCTGTCAAATTGGCATGGAACGAATTGGAAGAAATGGAGAGTCAGAAAGACAGTGCCAAGGATTTCATCCATGGATGTGATAGGAACTACGATGAGATTTTAAGGAAATTACTTACAGACACTCCTATCAGGAATATCGCTGAAATGCCTAGGCTGCTCGCATGGTTCTCCAAGTTTCCACTTAGTTCCAAGCCTATATCTGATGATATTGCTGTATTTCTTCTTCGTTACGAACAATTATTTAAGGTAATTCATTGTTTACTCAAAAATATTTGTATAGAATTATTACAGTAATCTGGATTAGCTGTATTTGATTAATTCATGTATTTTTAACAATCCTCTTTTAACAATAAGTTTGAAAAATACTATTTACCTATTTATTCTTCTAGTTTTAATATTTTTATAATAATTCACTTAATTTTTATGATTATTTTTAAGGAGAAACCTTGCTTAGCTGATATTTTGGAGGTTATAAGTGATAATCATCAAAAATATTTGAACTTGTCCAACAAAAATCTAGCCATTGCTATAATTGAAGTATTGGCATGGATGCATCCACCAAAAGAGCCAGAAAGCCTCAGAAAGTACTACAACGATCTCGTAAAGATCAAAATGTTTATTAAGAACCTGATTTACATAAAAAATGAAAATGTAGAAATCAACTTTGAATGTTTGAAAAAGATGTGCGAAATTTTCCTGAAGAGGATTGATAATGAAAATCCAAGTTCAGCTTTGATTATTGCGATTCAAATTGTATCTCAACAGCTTTGGAGTGAATACATGATTGTAGCAGTAAAAACTATTCTTGGAGATTTTGGAGATGAAAAAAGACTCATCAATATGTTGACATGTATGTGTCGCTGGCTACTTCAACCCGAGTTACCTTTAGAAGACATGGAATATCTCAGTTTTTGGCTTACCTTGTTCCTCAACAGTCTGCAGAATTTTAACAAGAATAAAATAGTTATGAATGTAGCAGATACAGTTTTACCCTCAATGTTCTTAGACTGTTTGAAATCTGAAAAATTCTATGAAATCAGTATACATAAAAATGTTATCGTGTTTTTACTAAAAAATATATCTTCATTGCAAGTCTACCACAGCATGATGTATAAAATAAACAATTATCTTCAAAATAAGACAAGATTTGATGTAAATGAGAAAAAACAGAGCGTCATTGTAGCTATTGGAAAATCTGCAAACGTGCTCAAAAAGAGGTTTCAGGAGCATCTGAATAGTTCACCTTGTACAACTTGTGAAACTGTAGACATGTGGATTGTAAAATACTCTAGCATCGAAAATGATAAAAGGTATGTTACACATGTCAGTGCTTCTATTCCTGAAGAAACAGAAGAAATGGATATTTCTTACCCAAGCACAAGCACAGGAATTGGTAGAAGGTTTACTGGTAAAGTTGGTCTTGTCAATCTTGGTAACACTTGTTATATGAATAGTGTTTTACAAGCTCTTACAATGACTCCACAATTTTGTCATGAAGTTCTGCTTTACAAGACCACAAATGACTTGAGCAATCAAACTGTATTGAAGAATCTTCAAGAATTGTTTGCTCTTCTGAAATATTCCAATAGGTGTTCTCTCGCTCCAACCGAAATTTTACACGCGTCCAGACCGGCTTACTTCATGCTTGGACATCAGCAAGATAGTTCGGAATTTTTATGGTAAGTATAGGAAATAAATTCATATTTGTATTTATTTCACGACTTATTTTACACATATTTCATATATTTTTAGTCACTTGCTGGATGTTATGTATGAGCAAGAAAAATCCGCACTCACACAGAACATTAACAGTGAACAAAGCATAAATACGAAAGCAAAGATCGAGGATGTCGAGATGACGGAGGTCGAAGAAGCCGTAGGTGAATCAAATTCTCCCATTAACGATGACGAGATGCATGGGAAAATGGTTCGATGGACTACAGAAGAAAATTTAAGTGAAGGTGCTGGTTTGGAAAGGAAAACACAATCCTTAGCCGATTTTACTCAAGGTTAAAATGTTTTGTAAAATACAGTCAGTGTATAATTTAAACCCTAAAAATAATATTTTCATGCAACTAGAAAAGAATAAAAGTCGCTAAAATGATTCCCGTGGGTAAACAAAACGTATTTGTCACAAAGAATACAATGTTAATCGTAAAAATATCTAACACGATTGAGCAGGCAATAAACTCTGCACTGATTCATTTTCCAAAAATAAAACCAACTGCTCAGACCTCAATGTCTTTATGCTAAACTAAATGATTGTTTCTCTTGCAGGTGAAGAGTTGGCACAGACACAGAATGGCTTGTCAGACTCGCACTCTGACTCGACAGATAGCGGTATTCAATCAGTTGGTGGTGAAGATTCATCTTCGTCATCAGCTTCGCCAACTTGTTTGTCGTCTTACCTAGTGCACCGAGTTTTTGGTGGTGAGCTGAAAGTGACATATCTGTGCGACGAATGTAACACTGAAAGCCACAACACTGACAAGTTCAGGGATCTGCAATTATGCTTCTTTGAAGATCTCAGATTCAGCGAACCGACCAGCGTGCAAGAACTACTAAAGTGCAATTACTTTATGCCCGAGAAACTCACCGGAGATAATAAATACCGATGCGACAAATGTGCCGGTCTTCGCGATGCTCAGAGGATTATAAAGATTCTTCAAGCTCCTGAACATCTTATTTTGACGCTCAAGCATTTTAGGTGCGTAGTTGGTTTTAGATTTTTTTAAATTATTTTTTTATTAGAAGTTAAATTATCTTTTTTGAAACTTTGGTACTTTAAATTTACTTTTTTAACGAAAATCCACTAAGTTTAGTTAAATGATAGAATAATTACGACAAATTGTATAGATTTTACACAAAATCTTAAATTAATTCTGAAAAACTAATCTTTTGTTGCAATTTATTATATTATAATTTTGTTATAATTTAAGAATGTTATTTAAATAACAATGAGATGGATTTTGTATGCATCTTTGTGGCTTGTTATATATAACGAAAATGCTTTTGTTCGCACTGATATAAAAATGAAATAGCAGAAAAACATTTCATATATAAGAAATATTTTAAATGTCTTAGAAATATTCGTCCTTCATTATAGCTATAATTATTGTTATTGTTACTTCAAAAACTAAATTTATGATACTACAGAAGTACAGTAGTTATCTATATTAGACTTGAATCATTAGTGTCTTGTATTCAAAATAATATCATCTGTTTAAATCTATTTAAAAAACAATTCTCTATATCGACTTGAAAAATAATTTTATAAACCATACTAATATTTGATGTTTTATTCTGTAGGTACGACTCTGACAGTGGATTACGAACAAAACTACGCTGCAAGGTAATTTACGACGAAGAGATAAAACTTCCAGTGTTAGATCGCGACAACGAGACATATCAGCTATACGCAGCTGTGGTACATTCAGGTTATAGCATGGACTACGGCCACTACGTGACCTATGCGTGCGACTCAAAGAAACGTTGGTACAAGTTCAGTGACAGTTTAGTCGTCGAGACAACGATCGAGGATTTCAAGCGTCTCGAGCCACCCGACACACCGTACATTCTCTTTTACAAACGTTGTACTGACACGCCTATCGAAGATGCACCTGAAATCACGACACTGAGTAAGCGTCTTCAAGAGCATGTAGAACAAGATAAACAACGTGTCGGTGATGACCGGCGTAACAAGTTAAAGATAGCTAAGCAAAGTAATGTTACGTTCAGTAGTCATTGGGATAGCAAAAAGAACGATGACGAAGACGATGAGAATGGAGCTCCACCCAGTAGCTGCAGGGATGCGATGAATGTCACTGGGCCAAAGTGCCTGTATTGAGGGCTGATGAGCTACGAATTGACGAGCTCTCAAAATTTGTTTACTTTGAAGAAAAGAACAACTCCTGTAGTTGCCTCTTCTGCATCCTCGTTATTTTGGATATATCTGTCACTGCCGAATTTTTTATGAAAAATAACAAGTAATATTCACTTCCCAACTTTTACTCAATTCTTTCCCTTCTTTCTTTGCGCAAATAAATTAATATTCGAAGTCTCGTCAATTCGTGGTTTTTTTCAATTTCACTGCATTTGCCCTGCGTGTTACGATTTCGATTCACAAGGAACTATCGATGTTTCTCTTTGCTACTATTGTTGATTTCTTTTATGAAATACTATAAAAAGATCGAGAAATTTCATGTAATTATGAAAACTCATGATTCGTCTTTTTGTAACTGTAGTAATGACGTTTCGTTTATGGGTAAACTATCCAATGTGAAAATTATCGAAAGATTTTTAATTCTTTTCGATTACAATACAAAAAAAAACAAAATATATATTAAAAAAAGATACAAATTCAATTTCATTTAAATCACGTACTAAACTGTTATTTCGACAAAGAAATATAATGTGAAGAAAACGTGGACGTTACTGGTTGAAAAAAAAGTTGTTAAAGACTGTTCATAAGTTTTATATATGTAATTTCCAGAATTTGTAGACGACATATAATTGACTGCATCTTCAGCTTGTACTGTAATCTAACACGAGTATATAACATGAAGAGGTGATCGCAGTTTGGCACACGATTTAAATACGCAGCGCATATTGACGCGTTTTATTAATAATATTAGAAAAAGAGTGAGGAAAAATAATGTACATTTTTTAGGTTAATGTTTGATTAGGCTTTATAAATTATTTAAAATATAGAATGGAAATTGGCGCACTGGAAATTAATCTGTTAGTGGGATAGCAAAAAAATGTAAAAATGTGTTTATATAACAAGCATCGTTTGCGTTTTCATTCTTTATACCTAGTACTTAATTAGAATAATTATATACTCGAAATATTTTATCTATAAAATAATATATGCAAAAATGCTATTTCTAACATTGTAAAATTTTAACAATAAATTGCTCTAGAACACACTTGTTTTTCGTTTCTATAATTATTGATGAATTATGTGAGCGTATAATAAATATTATTCGTTGATGTATTGAGAACTTTTTCATAGACTAATTATAAATTTTTAAATAACTGCACTAACTATTACTTTCTAATTTTTCTTTTTAGCCTTGCAATATTCTTAGTTTATAATAGTTTCAAATTAAATTTATGTGATCTACGAAATCGTATATAATGTGTAACATCAATGCAACTGTTAATTTTTAGTTAATACTAATCATACCATAATATTTAATTCAATATTTCTACAATAGTATACACCTTCACTTACACGTCAAGGTAATATATGTGCATTTGAAATGTCATCTTAATTTGCAATACTCAGAAAATAACCACAAGAAAAAAGTAGTCGAACAAAACGTCTGTCTCGAAGATTTATTCCTGCTAACTTCCTTCGCAAAATGCTGTAAATAATTGTATTAAAAAGAAAAAAAATGATAGCGTCGTTCGAATTACGAACGAGACACGTGAATTGAAACGCATTGAAGGTTTGTGATAATAACTTATATAATAACATTCGATAAATTTAATTTTTAACATTTACAGTTTCAGTGACGTCACCCTTATACAAGACATAATAGACCTACTTTTTTAAGTTATAAATTCGTATCTGTAAGAATACTCAATAATTGTTTGAAACGATGGAGCCTCTTTCTAATATTCAAACTATTTCCTTTTTTCATCATATGTATCTGTGCAAATTCATTAACAGTATTAATATTACGCAACTAATGACCAGTATTTGAATTTCAATAGATTTATTTTTCGTATATGATGGTTATCAACCAGTTGTCGAACACTATAACGTTCAAATAGGGTCTAGCGTAGAAAAATTAAAAACTAATTATTTTAATTAAGATTAGTGGAATTAAAATTCGATTGATAAATAATTTTATAAAATGTGTAAATCAATTTAATGTAATTATTTCAAATTCGATTGTCAATTAACTTATTCTGTGTAGAACACGTAATTTTCAACGACTGTTCAAGACTAGAATTTCAAATTTTAAATTGTCAAAATTGAAGTAATTTGAAGCAACACGATCTTTAAAAATAATTTCTTACACGTTTTGATATGTTATTACGCAGAATGTAATATTTCGTATAGTAAAATAAAAAAATTAATAAATGAAACATTGTTTTCTTTAATCGCGATTTAAATCTTATACAAATGATAGTAGACATTATTTGGCGTGTGATCTCGTTATTAGCGATTGAATAGAATGTTACTTTGACTGACAACGCTGTTTTTAATCTCTTTACACCGATCCACAATACTCGGGGCAATAAAATTACTAATCGAGTGTTAGTCAATTTGAACAATCGTATTGTCCAGTCGATCACCAACAAACGCAATCGTGAACCTCTAAAAAAGATATCTCTTTTGTATAAACAATTCTAAAATCGCTTGTTTCTTTTTTACGAAACATCTTTCGCGTAATTCAAGAAGTCGAAATAGACGTCTGATAGACATAAATACTGACTGCAAAGGATCGAAAGTGGACTTATTTTTCGGAGAAAGATAAAGTTTGTATCTCATGAATCAGGCGGATAGACGCGTAAATTGTGAAGAAAGGTTTAGTCGTAAAGTTTTTATCGTTTGCCGTGACTAAATAAAAATGTATCTTTGTTGGGCTACAGTCTTTATAGATTTTTTTATAAAGGCTTTCTCTCTGATCAATTTATTCGAACAATCCGCAGCTGAATTCGTGATAAAGTTCTCCTCTTGGACGGCTCGGTAGATATACGATTTTAATTAGCAGTTGCGAGTTATCATTACGAGATGTACTTTCGAATTTTATTACAAGCACTGCTGGGGCTGAAAAACAGAAAGACAGGGTCGATGATTAGAAACAATTGCTTGTCGAATTTTGTTTTTTTCACTCAACTCGGTTACTTCATTAATGAATTTCATCGGCTAAATATTTTCACATTCTATTTGCACTGGCTCTTCAAATTGACATCTCGCTCGCGCGAGATAATAAAAAGCGCTCCATTGTGTTGAAAATCGTTTTTCCGATATATCTCCAGTGGAAAATATTGCACGCCAAAGTTTGCCGAATGAAAAAGCGGAAATGCCTCTCAATTTTTTCACAGCGGAAGCAGCAGAAACTGATATTGCCACGCTCTCGTTTGGATTCGACTGGAAATCGCCGTGGATATGAAAAATATGCAAAAGACTTCGTGCGATGAATATAATGCCATTATCGTCCCGAAGAATATGTGATTTTTAGTTTTGTTAGGTTTTATTACTGCGAAGATTTTGATTCGATCTTGATATTATCGAACAGCTGAAAAATAACATTTACTTGCAACATTTTATTGCATAATAATATTTTCTACAGAAATATGATTTGGAGTACAGTCTGATCGATGCATTCCGCGAACCTTCTCCAGGTTATTTCAATACCGCGCGGCAGATGCTGAAGTTTCAATCTAAATTCCGGGGAAATGGCACTCAACAATTTTCAATCGTGCGCACGGAAAAAAGCTGCTGGGAATACATCGAACTTCAATATCGTCGATCATTCGAAGGGACGCAAAGCGTTTAAGTCCCTCTTATCTTAATTGAAGCTGGGCAATTGCAGTAAACAAAGAGAGGAAACCGCCCGTGCGCACTGCCTTTTCCCAATGACCGTAAACAAGCTTAATTACTCGATCGCACTGGGGGCGATCCAACTTCTTGTTCGCATTTTTCCGCGAGTCAGTGCGAAAAGCCGCAGATTCCTGGCAAAGTCGTCTCTATCTTTCTCTCTATATTTCAAGATTCTCATTCCAGCGGAGCGCGTCTAGTCGCATTTTCACCCTCCCCTCTAAGCGGCAACAGCTCTTTCTCTCTTTTTTTTTTTTTTTCCTCTTCTCCGTGTTTTTGCATTCTTCCCGCTGGTCATTTCTCTCGGAGTTAGTCGTCGACGTCTGGAATCGTTGGATTTTCTGGTATTACGATTTCTTTGATGGAATGAATGATTCCCGACAGCCGAGGATTTATTCGCTCTCGTTCCCGCCGTTCTTTTTTTCTCTTCTTTCTTTCGGCCGGCGGACGAGTTATTTTCACGCTGGTTTCGATGAACTGCGAAACGGCAGGCTCTTTTTCTATCCGCCGTTCCTGTTAAAAAAACGATTGGTTTCCTGCTTGGTTTTAACAGTATGCAGAGCGTTTACTCACTAGTTGTTACAAGCGGAAGCTTTATTCGATCGGGAATGGTTAGTTTTTATTTCCTTTTTCGGAAATTCGACGATTCCCATTTGTACTGGTAGGAATGCGGATTGGTACAGATATATGTTAAATGGAATTTCACAAATGATTAACGTTCGATCCAAGATAGGTCGGCTTTGAACGTGAATTGGCCACTCTGTTAAAAATTGTGTAATAATATATCGAACGTGATAGGAGGTCGTATTAGACGGAATGCAATTTAGCCGGTGCTTAATTTCTTAGCGTTACGGTGGGCGCGCGTAACTAACAGAAATACAGGCAATGAAGACAGTGTACGCAGCCTCGAGCACAACGGCAGCAAAACAACACTGCCAATTCTGGCGGGGTGGCAGCGAAGGCAGCGAGGCGCAGAGTGGCGCGCGATAAAGGGCTTATTACGGGAAGGGCGGCGCGTCAAAGGCATTATAAGGTCCAACGATTCATAACGGCTAACGACGACGCGGCGTGGCGCCTCTGCGCGCCCACGGCATTCCCGCGGCCATGGCAATTGTCTCGCGTAGCCCGGGGCATTCCGGCGTGCGCCTCTCTCTCGGATGCCTACTGACGCCACGCCACTACGGGCCATCGCCAGCCCGACCATCGTCCTCGTTCTGTCGCGTGGCTGTGGCTCGCACCGGCGTCTTGGCCCGCGAATGCGCCCCGACGGATTGCCGCTCGCTACAATTACCATTGACCGGCAAATTTGCCGCGACAAGAGCTCGCAGCGGCGTGCACTCGGCAAAGTGCTTGCCGCCGACAAGTTTTCGCTGCATTCCGCTTTGTACGCCATCGGTCGGTTCTGTCGCGCGGCGCTCACCTTCGTGCTCACGCGCAAAGTGAAGTGCCACTCGAAAGTTTCGCTCGCTGCGACGCATCTCCTCAAACTGGCGTCTGCTTTCGCGAGGAGTCCGCCGATCGTAAATCAAGTCCGGCCACGCTCGAGTAATTACGGAAGTGATTGCCCGCGCGCGCCGCAAAGATCCGCGAAAGCAACTTTGCACGCGCCCGCGAAGCTTCCGCGGTCGGCGTCTATTCTCATTCTCAGCTGCACAACCACGAGGAAGTTTCCGCTATAGCTAAAGCAAAAGCTCGCGCTCGGCACGACGCGAGCCGCTGCGAGCGAACCAAGCGAGCGGACTCCGAAACGGACTTGTTTGGGGATCGCGACAAGTCAATGATCAATTTAAACTCATAATGCTCTTAACTCACTATGCTCAAAGAGAATCACCAAGTACCGGAGGTGATGCATTCCATGCCGAGCGTAAACTTTTTTCTTCTCCGCGACTTCACAATCAGACTCCTTGTGAGAGAGAAAGAGAGGGACAGAGAGTAAATCACAGTGGGAGAATTGCGCGATTGCGAACAAGAGGTCCATTTATCAAGTCGGTAAATATTTGCTGCTTCGTTTTCGTCTTTGCTTTCACGGGAGGGGGAGTAACCTACTAAGGTCGACTGAGTAATCCTGAAATTTCGTGAAAGTATCTCCAACTCGTATTTTTATCAAATCCATCATTTTACCGCCTGATGAATAGTTGTTTGGTGGATTTTGTAAAAATTCTTGGTCACAAGGACATTCTTTAATTAGTATTTAATACGCACAAAGCTGAAAAGGATAGATTGTGTACTAATTTGGCACATAACGCTTTTGTAACTGGTGTTAATTCAACAGAATGCAGTTAAAAAAAAACTATTTGCAAGTGATTCTGAGCATTATCTAACGCGTTCAGCTAGGACAGTCATCGATAAAATCTCGTTAAAAACGCTCGTCATTTCTACGTAGATAATCGATATCTTTTACTGCCAAGATTTCATGCAATTCAAACGTAATGCTTATTATCTCTAAATCTAGGACACAAATAGTAAATATTGTAATTTACAGCGTAATGTATGACAAATTTGTTGGTAAGCCTTGGTCTTGAACCAAATTACTTAATTACGCCTTAGAAATCTTCATCGCTCTACACAGTATTATATAATTAATTCATAAAACGGTGCTATAAGATATATACATAATAAAGAACATTGCACGTGAAAGTAGGTATATTTACTTTAAAAGATTTCCACTTATTATTGCAGTTTATTGATACATATTTTATGAAACTCATTATCAGTAGAACGTACAACGAACGCGTTTATTAAGGCCAGAGATATGTTACTTTTTTCCACGCACATCAATGCTCATTTTCCATTTTCTTTGTATTTACATTTATGAGAAGTCAAATATAAAGCAATTTTTTGTTTAAACAAATTCATAGACTTCATTGCACGATATTTCATTATAATCAGTATTTCATTTTCAATAATTCGTTGAAACAAAATTAGTAATGTCTTATTTAATTACAAATATATTTTTATACCTTTATCACTTTAAATTCAATCATATTATTTTCCTTATAAACTCTATTTTCCGCGAACTTTGTAAGAAAAATCCCATCCAAAGATAAAATAAGTAAACATTTATTCGGCACGACGTCTTTAGATAAGGCGTCATAAGTTTTGAATGTAAAAACAAAATATAACTGTTTATTAGAATTTATTGTAATTTAATCGACATATGCATCACTAACATCGACAACATTATATTACATCAGTTTATACACTTTTATCAATGAAATTCAACAATAATACGACAATTATATTACAATTGTTCATTAGCCAAATTGAAAGTCACTGTGTATCGTCAATACGTCATACGGCTACTTATACATAATGATGTTCATTTGACGTTCCGTTTATAATTCATCGGCCAATAAAACACTGGTACGCAGTGGCTTAGGTTTATCTAGTTTATATAGTAATAAGAATTAATAGTTACTTAAATATAAATTATAAGCATATATACACTACATTTAATAGTTGCAGTTAGTCATTTTTATCAAAAATAATGTTATTTGTTTTACGTAAACTGACAATTAAACGAAAAAAAAGACAAAAATGTTTGAATTTATGTTATTGTAACAAATTTTTGGTCTTTGCTGACTTTCACCGTCGCGTAATATTGTCACAGCACAAAATCTTCCACGTGTAGTTGGCAACAGTCGTCGATGTGGAGAACATTAGAGCGTCATAGCCTATTTTATTAAAAAAAAATTTCCTATAAAAATAAGCAGCATCACGAAACAATTTGTATAGCATTGAATGCGGCACCTAACGCCCAATTTAGTTGATGGCCATCAATGTGCTTTTTCAACTGTAAATAAAAGTTTAATTGAAAATTTAACGTATTATTAAATTAATTTCGGACGTTAATGCACATAATCTTTAAGCGGGATTTTGTCACTCACGCAAATTTTTGACGAGTTGCCGAGTCCAAATCCACCATGAAGCAAAACGTAAATAAATGATAAATCAAGGCACATAAACGGCTGATCAGTGTTAGGATATGCGCATATTTCAGAAGCTGATTTATATATGGATTCAACAGTTACAGTTCCTCCTTTGTACGGATCTATAAGACCAGCCTGCATCGTGAATCAAAACATTAGTGAAATACGAAACACGTTATCAGCGTTTAATGTATGCTTACTTCCGCCGCGCGATCAAAGTAAAATGAAAAGGCATATATCTCGTATTCTCGAAGACTAGGCAGCTGGTATGGAATAGCAGCATCAACAACTTTTTTAATTATGTCAAGACAAGTAAAAAACCGTACCACTGGTCTACGCTCGTCAGTACCAGTCGGTAGCCTTTTTTTAATTATTTTGTACGTAGCATTGATTGGTCCTCTTACTAAATAATCTTTTCCAGCGTAATGCCACGTTACCCCGGTTATAATTGGATTTATACACTCGGCTAGTAGCTCAACGTTTGTCGAATGTTCGTCAAAAGTATATTCCCGATTTTGGTAGTTGTCGGGATGAGTCAAAATTTCTTTTCTGGCTGCCATAAGTCCCAATCCCAAGAAGCTGCTGGTGAACACACTGGTATTTTTATTAAAAGCGTTGACGTGATAAATATTTTTTTCGTGCGCTGAAAGTAATTTCGAGCGTTTGTCGGAAGAATCGTGAGTCACGGCAAAAGTAACCTGTGTTGAGGCTCCTCCAAGATCGAGAGCGGCCACAGTATTCGTGGCAAATTCTTCGTCGTTATAGAAAGGACTGAAGTTCTTGAGTAAAAAATTCGTGGTAAACCACGAAAATATCCCTTCGTCCGAACCTTCCATGATTGCCGCCGAATCGTGAAAAGTCATAAAACCAGACGAGTCGAGCGCTCGTTTACACTCATTAAGAATATTTTGAGATTCATCCTGAGGAAGAAGTCTCAAGCCAGCTGTCGCTCTTAAAATTATTGGAGTAGAAGCCCAATTATTTTTTGGAATTTTCTCTTTTGCTTTGTTCAACAGGATATTCAAAGATTTATTTATGTCTTTTGGATTTTTAGCATAGAAGCTCAGTCCAGGTTTCGTCTCGTAGAACAATGTATCGTCTAAAATGAATTGGTTACCAATCACCGAATTATGGAAAGTGAAGGCATTGACTCGGCTGGCTGTTGATCCTGCGTCGATGACAATTACGTAAACGGTTGTGTGAAGATTCAGCGATACTACTAGATGATCGACGGTTCTGCTGCTAAATTCATGAACGCTTCTAGCAAGGCACAAATAAATTAAAATTGAGCTGCCGAGGATCGCGAGTATTACATATTTGTTTTGAAAATGTCGTGGACTTATTAATGTTTGTGTTGGCTTTGGCATTTTAGGACTATGGGTATCTATAGTTTGTGGTTTCTTGATTTGGTTTTGTCTGCAAAATTGAGAAATAATGCAAGTTATATCTATGCATACAAAATAATATGAAACTGCGACTACTAAAACGCTATTAATGCAACAATGATTGTTTTCATACATACATCGCGATATTTTGCAATCGTTGAAATGGATCAAATTTAAGAAAATTTATTTTCATTTAAAATTAGTGATTTTAGTAAACCGTAATGATATTTTTTCATTTCATTTTTTGTACGCTATTTCGTGCAAAAAAATGGTGTAACTGAAGTAATAATACAATTTCGAAATTTTTAATTATAAAATTACGTTCATGTTTGTTCTATATACTTGAATCTTACGCAGCTGACTCCAATGACAGGCCACGTGTTGTCCTTGTCTCACTTATATACACATACTGTGTTAATGAATAGATCACATCGCGTTACTCATGCGCAGTAACGGACGAAAATCAGTGTTGGTTATTAATGTTTATGTGAACGCGCGAATAATGTCCCTGGCAGCGAATTGCCAAATAAGTTGGCAAGAAAAAAAAGGAAAATTACTGATTAAGATATTTACTGCTTACCTGTCTCTGTTTTTAACAGCCATGTTCTTATCTGGACTTCCTTGAGTTCTTTCTACCCAGCCTAACTCTGACACTCAGTATACACGTCTGCGTCCTCGTGCACAAAATATACACATGAAGCAGAAAACACAATCATGCTCGATGAAAAGGCAGTGGGATTGCGCGCTGTCTGATAAATCTGAAGTTCTTACAAGATACGTTTTAGACTCATCGCTCAATATAGATAACGAGCTGGAGCGACAAAAACCATTGAGATGTATTTGCTTGAATGAAATTAAATGTAAGGAGACGAGTCATTTTGCTTTTTGCCATGAGAGGACAGAATTATACGTTTCAATAGTTTTGATTTTTGCCGCTCTACGGATACGGCGCTCTATGACGGATCGAGCTCTTTCGTCAGTAAAGTAAAGGAAAAAGACCGAAGGCCGAACAACCAAGAGATGGCAAAAGTTTGTCTTTCTTCAGAAGGAACGATATGCATCAAGAAATATCCAATATAGAAATAAATGAATATTGCAAGATTTCATAAACCATAACTTTACAATGCAATTTTACTTAACTATTATTATAATTTTGAGAATTCAAAGAGTATAATTGAAAAAAAAATATTATGTAAAGTACCATAATTTTAGAAATCATAAAATAGTATGTACGTGAAAATCTTTTTTTTATCTTAGGTGATTTAAATGAAATAATTTTCAAATAAATGAGATTTACAATTTTTTATGGACAATTAAATAATTCTAATTAAATTGAAAAAAGCGGTATAATCACGAACAAATATCATCAAAAGTTCGACAGAGTTTTGAAAATAATTACGAACGAAAATACAATACTGGAAAAACATTACTATGCAAAATTATAGAGCACAGTTGAGCTAAATGAACATTTTGGAGAGATTTATATCGAAACTGAAGTCAGCGCATCCAGCCCGACCCGAACTCCGAGCGACTTTTGGCAAATTGAATTCTTTCTTCTGATCACCGTATGCGCAATCATCGATCGTTTTACTTCCGAGTCTACTCTGCAATGCCTTCGAGGCTGCTTGCCATGCTTATGCTAAATGCAAAGTCAGTTTCGGTTTTGTTCTTACGAATGAGAATTCGTACCAATGTCAAAACAAATTACACTTTATTTTCTGCATGTTGTCTCTTGAATTGGCAGATGTATTTTTAATGATAGAGCTATATAAATTAGTCTGACTGATTTGCTGCAGCTGATTCATAATTTTTGATTGACTGACAAGTGAATATATTTTGCAATTGCACGATTAATAGACATGATAATGAGCGATTATGTACTTTCAAATAATGCGAATTTATAAAATTCAAACTTACTTCTTCATAAGTAGCCTGTAACGTCTCTGAAGCTCATTTTTATACCTATATTTTCTTTTATTTGACACTAGATTGATTAAACTAACGTAAATATAAATTCATCGACAAAGAAATTGGTATTGAGAGAACTAGACTTGTAATAGCAAATAAAATAGCTTTAATAATGTTTGCTTTAGTAATGTTAAATCAAGCAATTAACCAATCTGAATGAATTGGCAACAACATTAGCAGCATGTGCAATTTGCTTTATCGAGAGAACGAAACTCCATATCCGCTCCACGCAAATCAGTCATGGTTGCAGTTTAGTTACAGAACATCACCATCTCTCGCGAAGTTTGCATACGTGATATATATAAAGGCTATCGTCTTGGGATGTCGGATAATTGTAGATGCTTGCTTATCGAGTTGCTCTTTGAGTAATTAATGCATTATGCTAATTAGAATACAACAAGGTAATACCACGTTGAATGGGATTTATTACTAAAATTTCATTAGAACATATTTACAGTCCAAAGGATAATATTAAGTGCACACTTAATTATTTGTTATTATATTGTTTAACGTAGTTACATAAACTAGTTTTTTAAAGGAGTGTTGTTGAAGAAGTATCTTACAAAATTATTCGAAAACTCGTAATTATTTGTTACAAATGTATCTATTTACAATATTTATAATTTAATGGTATAAGATTAGGAGATAAAAAAAAATTAATAGTCAGTTTTATTACAAAAATCATGTTTAGATATAGGACAGGATCGGTTTTAGAACCTCATTTCACAATGCGCTGAGTAATTTTATTCATTCGAGAAATAAAAATACGTTTCATTAATGAAATTTATCTATATTAGGCAAGTCTATGAAAACTTTCGTTTGTTTTGTTTCGTTTCATTGTGATTAATTTTGAATAAACATAGAATAAAATTTATAATGAAAAAAAAAATTTACTTCCTAGAACAATATTGCATATTGAAGTCAAATATACTATTGCGTGAAAAATTTTTCGTTAACAAAAAATTAGAACATGTATTGAGCTCAATTTTCAGTTAGCCTTATGTTTTACTTAAAAATAAAAGGTTTTGTAGATATATCCAACTATCTTAGTGTTCAACTAATTGTCAAATATTAAGACCGTTATTGAAATTAACCGTCAATATAGATGCATCGAATATTGCACAGTAATATCAATGGAACAATCACATCATAAGCTACAGTTGTATTTATTTACATTATACGACTAAATTATAAATACTCTGTGATTTTTTCATCGCAAAAACAAACTTTTGAAGTAGAACAACATTTGCTCGCGTCAGCCTATAATGTATTATATCTCAGAGTACATACATTAGGCTTCAATAAAGATGCTGCTGAAGAGGTACACGCCGCATACATAATAATAAAAAGTATTGAAAAGTTCAATCGCGATAATCTGACTCCTCAAAGGCATTTTTCTTCTATTTACAAGAAAATCAGTAAAAGTTTGCATGTACGGTCTACTTTTGCATTTTAATTATCCAAAAATATTACAACCGACTAAAACCATTAATTTTCTTTTTCATATATTCTTAAAGTAGAGGTTTTTTAAGCTTAGTCTTTTATACAAAATTAACTAAAGTTTATGAACTCATATATAAATACGTACATTAAATTTAGCTAAATATTTTAGTGTACCAAAATTTTTCGTTATAAAAAAAATAATTTTAATATTCATCTTCTTTCTTAAATAAATGCATCTTATCTTTCACTCACCCATAAAAAATCATGCTCATCAACTGTTCATAACATGGATAGCCTATATACTGTTTCAACACTTCCAACAATATCACATTCTGTATAACAACAGAGTTCCACTTCACTAAACTCGACCGTTTTTCGTTGTGCCATTCTTACGTCGTTGCCGGTGGTAGTAATCCATTTCTTCCTCATCTTCTTCCTCGTCTTCTTCGTCGTCCTCTTCGTCATCATCGGACTCTTCAGCAGGGCATATCTGTATTGCAAATGTCTCATCTGCAAAGAAACGCGTGTTGAATGAAAAAATATACGTCGCTAGCTGAAGGAAGGAAAGTAAAACTACTTGAACAAAGTTTAAAGCCGAGTGGCTTTTTCATGGGTGGTAGCAGTGAGAGGATACGGAGTTTCCACGAGTGGATTAAAGTCTTTTTCAACGTTATAGAGTTTGAAATGCTTCATCAGAGGTAATAATCTACGGGTTTATAGTTTGCTCTTGTCAAACTCCCGAATAATTGGTTTCCAGTTTCAACGATAATCATATTCTCCGTTATACTTACATTGGCATACATGAATAGAATCAAAAAGTAGAATTTCGTAAAAATGTTTGGCGTATATATAAGTTGTTCAAAATATATTAATAAATATTGATTAAACTGTTGGGGGACTTAAAATGAGTTTGCCAACTATTTGTAAATGTTTAAGTATTTACTTTAAGGAAAGAACTTTTTGCTGAGTATTTATATTGCAAGTTCGACTTGGATTTGAAGTAACGTTGAGGATCTCGTGTATATATTTGGAATGCATTTTGAAGTAAACATATTTTAAACTCCATTAATGAGAAGTTCATTATTACGAATGAATGGAAAAGGAAAAGTCAAATAATAATATCAATTTTACTTTTATTTTATTAAATCGGGAAAAAATATTTATATACAAAAAGATCAGAAAAAATATATACTGAAAAAGTATAAATAACTTTTATATTTCGTATTGGAGAAAGGAAATGGTTTATGTAGGATTACTATAAACAATGTTCACATGTCCATAGTTATTTATTATCTGTAGATATTTTTTGAAAAATCGAACTTCACATTCCATCGTTTTATTAATGGATTATTTACGATACAAGGCTTGTCTCGCTTCGTGCTGGGAGATACTTGTCAAGATTACTTTAAAATAAACTAAGTTATCTGTCCAGCAGCAAATATGAGACCGTGATCGACACAGTATTATATGTACTTACGAGTTTATGGCTCTAAGGCCAAAATTTTGTTGGATAATAAAACGATAAAGCATCCATAAATATAAATTAAGAAAACTTTAAGTAGCTGTAAAATCAGAAAAAACTAAAACTTCCGAGTGAAATAAACAAAACAGATATACCAATTTTTTCGATGACATCGTGGTCGATTGCATCGGGAAATTTGACGTGCTTGCGTCCAGGTAGTTTGAGTTCATTGCTAGGAAGTATTAGTCGATTGGTGCTGGGTGGTGGATGAACGATGGTTAAATACGTCGTAGGACTCTGTATAGGTGTACGTCCTTCAACAGTAGTTGCGGTAGTCCGACGTGAACTCAAACACGAAGTTGCCGTTGCCGTTGGTTGCACCGTATAACGGACTGTTGGTACCTGAGATTGAACACGTATATTTTTTTAAGTTTTTTACGTTTTATTGTCGGCAAGCGTGCATAGGCAGCTCAAGCGCAAGGTTTGTTGTTTCTGTGCAAGCTAAGTTGCAAAAGATATGCAGTACTCGTGAGTGCTACTGTGATATATTATTATGTCTTAAATTGAAAGTTTGAATACAAAGAAATGATATAGCATTCTGAATCCGAGAATTAAAACCGCCAACGTGCTGTTTCGACAGACGTAAAGGGTGCAAAAAGTTTTTGGAATTGATTTTCTTTACTGAGAATTGTAAGTAAAGATAAAAATATTTTTAGCATATTATAAAACAAAAGTTATATTCTGAAAATTAAATGTTTCTTGATAATTTTTAAGTATTTAGAAAAAAGCAAAGCTATTCATATGTTTACGTACAAGAGATTTTTATGAAAGTAAATTAAAATAAAATTTAATTCTAGATACGATTTGTACATAAATTTAGAGATTTGCAAAAACAAATAGCAATTACATTTATATTTCAAAACACAATGACTATCTATACTAGAAATTAAAAAAAAATTTGTTAAACGTTGGTTTAGGCTTCAAGAGTATGAGAATGAGCTAAATGAAAAAGCTCATGAAAATGCTAATATTCATAATAATAATGAATAGTGACATAGATAGTTCAGCAAAAAACTTCACACTATGAAGTTTCTCATCGATAGTTTTGAAAATTGAAATAGTTATGATATCAAAAATGATTTACAGTTGATGATACTAGTACATTGTAAACGATTTCAAAGGGATTTTATAACGGCTGATAATAGCCATTAAGTTTGATTTCAATTTATCTAGAACACTAAGCTACTCTTTTAAAATCCCTTTGTTGAATTCAAGGAAAAACATACCTAGACTAAAATTCATTGTTGTCAAACCTCAACATGAGAAGTATGTGGCTTCCTACGCTGAAAATTAATTATTCCTTTAATTATCTTTATTCATTTTCAACCATTGTCATCAGTGTTAATTTAAACATCAATTTGGAAAAAGTACGATTAATTAATCTGAGAACAAATTGTAACATTGAATGCCAGAATGAAAAATTTCTTTGTTAGGAATGGTTACAAAGAACGAGTTTGAAATTTCTCTTCGAAGTTTTTTCTAAAAATTTGTATATCCTTCGAAACGATACAACAAAAGTAGTATCGTTTGAACGTTACACTAACAACTTTTTAACAAGAACAAAGCTATATAATAATTTGGAAAAGTTTTATCATAGTATTAAGAAAACAAAAACAAAAGGCTACGTCAGCGCAGGGATTACAAACTGTTTAGCCATTCAAACAGTGCAGGTCGGAAAATAAAAGAGTTGCACTACTACAACTTTTATGAAAGTAAATTAGAATAAAATGTAATTCGTGATATAATTTATACATAAATTTAGAGATTTAACGAGACGAAGAAGGGGAAAGTATGCCACGCTGATTTAAGCTTACGCATTTTCCGACCTTTGAGTTTGTCTCTTTCCCGTCCCGCCCATAAGCCGTCGGCAAATTGTTCTTTATCTCTTGAGTGCAGCTCAAACTCTGATCTTTCTAAATGACATTAAATCTTTCAATTGGGGTTTCCTTTTTTATTTACGTATATTTATATGAAAAAAGTTGTATATTCGGTGGTTCGTTACTTAATCAACTATAAAATCTTTGAATAAACATAAATAGATAAATTGATGTTAATTATGTAGTAAATTCAGCGATAAAATACAATAAAGTAGGTGAAAATTATAATTTAAAAAATGCATTGTCCAATACTTAAAGCTACAAACATACAATATCGTAGTTAGGTCGATAATAACAGCATCATCAAATGAAGTTGAAGTTGTATATTTGTCTTCGATATTAACTATTATTATTTATCAAATAGATTGATTAAAACTTACGCTACATGTGGTAAATAAATCATAATAAGACACAATGAAGGATTTAATTCTATAACGTTTTGGAAAGAGGAAGTAAATTGAGCATTTAACATAATTTCAATGAAAATTTAAAATTCTCCAAAGTACCCTGCCAAATGGAAAACGACATAGATTGAAATATTAAGTAAGGATATCAATGATTATTTAATTTCCGGAAAAATTTATAGAAACCACACTTTTAGGGAAATGGAAATATTTTATCATGAAAATCAAACTTTAACAAATATTATGATTTAATACCTTTATGGATAAACCACAAAGGGATATGCCAAAATTGACTTTTACTCTGTCTGCAAAATAAAATAGCTTTATCAAGTTTATTAAATATAAATGCTTAAATGAAAAAGAGTGACGTTTCATTTCAGCAATAAAACTAGAAAACCGAAAAAGATGACTTTGTTATTTATTCAAGATGCTCAATTCGGCAAGTACAGCAGTTGAAATAAAAACTCTCTCATTCTCTGATGCACAGTTCGTGAATAAAAGAGACGCTTACTACGTTTTAACATCGGATTGCAGAGTATTTGTAGAATAGTGATAACACAAAAGACTTTGACCATGGGATGCAGTTGAATTAATAGTCTAAACGGTACAGCATAAGCTGGGCAAACTGCCCCGACAATTTGCGCATTATGAAAAAATTTGATTGAAAATAAAAATAAATAAAATTGGATTTATTTCGAATTGATTATAATAAAAAATGGATATTTAATTTGCAGTGACAACATTGTCAGAATTATTTAATCTGTAGATATTTAAAAACATACATAGATGTTTGCTGAAAGGGATGTTTGATTCGGGTTTTCGACGGAGTGATGGAAGCAATCTCAATATACATATCACGTAGCATCAATATAAATTCTACCGCTGTCGGCGTTACTGAAATTATTTCAAGTCATTCGTCGTTGCGAATTGATAGTGTTCATAAATTGTTCTTTATACCAGTTTTACAGAGCAATAGTTTGTCTACTCTGGAATCATAATCAGTAGCATAATTCCAATTAAATTAAAATATACAAAATCCTATTCCGTCGATATATAACACTATAAAACTCAACCAACATAGACTTATTTCGAGAAACAGGAAAGAAAACGTAGGCCAAACAAACAGCAGTACAGTAACCAACATAGAAATCCAAACAAAAATATCCAATGGTGGTAATCCTCTCTCGCGGAAAGAGATCGTGCAAACAAGCAAATAAAAAGTAAGTTTCAAAAAGCAAGTCACGAGTATATAGCTTTTCCAGTCTCTTTACTCGCTCGATAAGACTCCGCTATAGAGGGATGTGGGCTGTAGGAACGCGTTGGCGATTACGCCAATATGCCATGCATTTATATCGAGCTCGCAACCTCTTTTGCTCTATCTTGCGCGCATTTCCCCTCAACTTTATTCTCGGCTATTAAACGTTCACTGACAGATAATTGTCATGTTCGGATTTCTTTTTCTCTTTCTCTTGCTTTCGTTAGAATCGACACGTTTAGAACGTAGAACAATATTATTGTTACTGAAGGTTCGAAAAAGGTACATTCAGCAGTTCAATTTGTCGATTTCTACAGGTTGACTTTTCATTGAAAAGTTTTCTTGTTACACATGAGTAAAAATAAAATAAATTAATCAGTTCGATAACAATACTTTCATAAAATCTATTCTATAAGAACACACTTTTAGGAATAAAATACACATCAATCTAACTAAGGAGGCAATTTCAATTCTACGTAAAATAGCCCACATAATATGCTAAGCAACCACATTCAGACCGTCGTATATTCATCCTATGCCTAAGAGAAAATTCACAAATCACCAAAGTGACATTCAATTCCGTGCCGCATGCATAAAACATTTACAAATTAGCTGCGTGGTTCTTGTCTTGACAAGCATAAGAAAAAAGAAAGGTAACACAGAAAGATTTCGCAAATGCGTTTTATACAGAGAACATTGGATTCCCCTTCTCTCTCTTAGACCAGAAAAGCTTTTTCGTGTGCCGCACAGCTTCCTTATGTAGATTTTCCAGGTGGAAGCGCATGCATATGAATATGTCATTTGCGTTTTTACACATACGTGCATGTATAGCGACAGCAAGATAGTTCAAGTCTGTTTGTCGCTGCGGTTTTGGCGGGTGGGGTTTGCGCACAACGCTCCGACGCATATGCGAGTGAAAGCTTGCCGTTTCAGAATGCGCCGACTCCAATTCTTTCAGTCTTCGCGCACGCACTCGGATCTTTTATTTGGTTTCCTTCCTTTTTACTTCGCGCGAGCCTGCTTGGCTTCATTTACGTAAACATGCAAATTAAAATTATTATTCTTTATCATCGCATGCATACGAAATTTCATGGTGTTGTAAACGAGGGTGAAAAGCACGGTACCGGTCATATTATTTGCACCGTGATACATCATGTCTAATCATACAACGTCTTTGTCGAGCAATCATTTGGAGAATATTAAAAAGCAAAGTATTTACACAGGCGCACATAGCCTATAGAACTGAAGTGAAGCGCAAGGCAATCAATTATGCGTAGGTGAAAACGGCAACCAACCCTCTGTGGGCAATCGTGAGCAGCAGTGCCACGACCGACGGTGTACTCTTGATACTGCGAATAAACGCACAGCACCGCATATATCTGCAACGCAAACTTTTCGTTATTTCCTTCATGTGCTAGACACAATGCCGGGTTCGTTAGTCGCCGTCTGTAGCATCGATGAACTCAGGAGATAATTATAAATCACCTGCGAGCACTCGATGTGAATTAGAAATGCAAATGAGGGAAAGTATGTGTGTGCGTATGTGGTGATGGGGGAGGGTGGGTTAAGGATAAAGGCTCAGGATTCCGGGATAATTCAACGTCAAACGTATGGTGAATATCAATGATCACTATAGTATGGCACGTCTATAACTTTTTTGCATCTCTTGCGCCGTCGTGTGAGTTTGCTCCCTCTCATCGGAATCACATTATTTCCAGATGAGATTTTTCAAATTGGCGGCGTAAGAAAGTCGAGTAGAGTATAAAAATTTTTTATTAAAACTACGACCCTGTTCGAATTCCCACGGGAACAGTGTCCAATTAGACGAATTATTAAAATTCACCATGACTTCGCTCGAAACTTGTAAATTAGCAAATAGAGGAACTCATTTAACAAAGATGTCGTATAAGCCGATATAATACGTTCGTCGCGCGAACATCGTCCTTTACTGCTCCCCCCCCCCCCCCCCCATATCGACACAGTATGACTTATAAATTCTCATTCGAGATCGAAAGAACTTTCCAACCTTTCCCTCGAGATCGTGATAATGTAGGTCGGGCAGAAAAAAAGAACATGCTCATACTCACATTCAGGCACATCAGGAAAAAGTCGATCGTTAAAATCATTGCCGTTACCGGATTGAACTTGAGCTGTAACAAACAACGAGTTTATCGTGTCGCTGATGCTTGTACACGTGTGAATCGACTTTTGTTTTGATTTTGCAGTATCGATAGCGACATTACATTTCAATAATAGTAATTGGTCAGACTACACAGTTCGTAAAATTGATATAGTACCAACTTTATTGCTTGCATCTTTTTTGATTACACGTTTTTCTTACCTATTATGGTATAATTGAAAAAAGCATGTCATCATTACCTTACATCAGATCTCATTAGTTTCGTAAGAAAAACATTTCGTGAAATTTAATATGTACTTATAATAGTATGTGTTATACGCATGTGGGCAAATCCGCGAAGTTGTTACTTTTTTGTTACTCGTATTTTTCGTCCAAAAAAAATTTTTTTTAATAAAAGTACCGTTTATTATTTACTTTTATTTATTTATTATTTACTCAAAAGAACATAAATATAAAATAAATGAAATGAAAATGTAAAATTTTAGTATGTCATTTGAAAAAATTTCAATCTCTTTCGTTAATAACTTTTTAAACATTTAAAATAGGATTTTGGGAATTTTGGTAAATTTGGGTAATGGGAGAAAGTTCAAAATTTACATTTTTGCAAAGTTTCAAGAATGTGCCCTCAAAATGAAAGAAAGAAATAGTCTGTAATATATCTGTTACAACTTATTTTGGAATAGCAATGTTTTCACTTCCTTGCGTATAAAAAGTTGAATATGATGTCAATCCAAATTTATACTCTCCTTAAAATGAACAATTCTGATGGTCAAAGTTAAATGTGCCTTCAAAAATGTAAAAGATTCGAGTACTTAAATTAGATTCGAGTATTTAAATGATATGATTTAGATTTCCTGTCAAAAGAATTTCTCATTTTTCAACGACACATTTTCATGCACACACATTTAATTTAACTACATTGATACCTTCTTTGTCTGGTACATGTCGATGTACTAAATACATTGTAAAAAATATTGAACGGTAATTCTTTTTCTTCATTTATCGATTTAAAAAATAAAAAAATATATATTCGATGAAATTTAATATAATTTTTTTAGTATACGTCAGTAACTAAAAAAATCTAGTTGAAAAAATGTTAAAATGTGGCGAAATGGATCCCGTTCGAATTAAAATACAGTTACAATCTATACAGAGGATATTGCAAACAGAAAAACCGTAGATACAGTTTCATCAAATCAGTTTTGAAATGTAGCAAAAGAAAATCAAAACATAGGACGGGATGTAAACAAAAGCGCGGTATGTATAAAAAGAATCAGTGAAAAATTATTACGTACCTTAAAGATTCTTGATCCTGATTGTATTTATATTTAAATATTATTGTTTCTTATGTTTTATTCTTATTGTTGCAATAAAATGAATTTTCATTTTTCGAGTGAAAACAGTTTATCTTTTTTAAAATTGGATTGTTCGACTTATTTCAGTTACTTCACCATTCCATATTAGTGAAATAAAATAATAATTATACGTTTTGAAGATAATTACTTCCACTTATTAGTACTAGATTAGTGCTATGTTAGTTGCATGAACAACTATATTTTTTCTGAAATAAAAAAAAAATTTTGTTTTGTTTATTGACTTTTTGAGCGTATATTCAAAAAAGGTACCACCTCAAAATATTGTCTTTCATACTGATCTAAAAGTGTATCATTACCTGAAAAAAGTGTGTTATGAATTAAAAATTCTTTTTTATTTTTTAAAAAGCAATAACCTTGCGGATTTGCTCATATGTAAACATTATAATACCTCCGAGTTCACGTTTTGGTACCAACTAACCATTCAGCTATTCGTTCAGTCATATAATAGTGCATTATATAAAAGAACACACGTGTGATCTCGCCGACCTAGTGAAGCGAGTCGGTATTTCACACAATGCGTGGTTTGCTTACTGTACTCTCGTGATGCTTATACGGTTTTTCCACACCCTATAAAGAAGTAATGGTATGCCCTCAACAGGCAACAATGAACCGCATTGACTGTTAAAAGTAAAATACGTTATGTACTGCGATGTGCCATGTTTACCGCTCTAGACGCAGCTGAGAGGGTAAAAGCACAACACGCATGTGAGGCATATTACACTCACGCTGTCCATGCGATTCTGTGCTCCCTGCTAGGAGGACGCACAGTCACCACTTTGTGCGCAGTGTACGGAAAATCTAATTAACAGAATGATCTATATCACGTTGCACGAGGTAAATACAGCTATAATTAGAACCTTGGTCTCTAATTCATCAGCTTTCTGTTCGCGCACATGTACCCGCATAATCATCACTATCTTCATCCGCATCGAATTATCTTTCGTGCGCAGCGAAAATAATGAATGAGAAACTGGCCGAAACTCAATTAATTATATAAGTTATTTTCAAATCACGAATACTGTATAATCATTATAATTAACTAAATGAATTTTACGCGAGTGCTCGTTCTACTGAACTTTGTTTCATCAAGATATCGCGAGATGAGGTAATAAAATTTTTTTCATTTATAAAAATAATATTTTGATGTGAATGTCTTCGGAAAACAGCAATTTTTACGATTGAATAAACGATCAGTCGTTTCGAATATTTCCTTTATTCGGTTGATGACGTGCACGAGTTTATAACTCAATTATCAGGATACTATTGCTTGCATTTATATTATTTCACAAGCTGCGCGGTTAAGATTGCAAATTCATTGTGTTTTCAATATAATTTTGAATTTCATTGAAATTGCTAAATTACAAACTATAACATATAGTGATCTAATAATTTAACGTTAATTTAATCACATGCAAAAGATTGGCATGTAAGAAACGAAAACTCATCAAGGAATTTTGTATCAAAAAAAGAAAAAAAGTGGCATCAGTCAATTATACGTTAACCGTGTTCGCACTTATATTCGATTCTACGAAATACGTTTTGACGCGCACTTGAGTTCGGTCATCTTACACGTAACGTGCGTGCATATTCAGCGACGTTCCTTGGGTATTTGAGAATATAAAAACAAAGGCGTGAGATCGTGTTGAGACGTATCAATGTGCGGAAAATGCAAAGATATAGTTGTCTCGAAGATAAGTGCGTTTATCATGAGTGCATAAGTAAAACAAAGTGTGTGTGTTGTGTGTGTGCTCTTATCGACGAAAATAAGGAATTACATTTTTACGAGGATTTCTGGTTATAAAGCATGGTAGAAGAAAAGTTTGATTAAAATGGCTTACGCGAGATGTCGAATAAAAGTGGCAATAAAAGTGCTGATTTCTTCCTTGCTCTTATGCTTATTTTTTTTCCTGATGACAATGTTTACACAGTACGCCTTTAAATTTGGAATTTTTGGAATTTTGAAATTTGGAATGTTACATTATTCACACAGTAATGTTCATTAAAGTTCTTAGACTTAGTTCAAAATTACAATGTCGAATCAACTTGCAAATGTGCGAAGAATAAGAGAAATTAGATTTTATGTAAAAAAAGTTTTTTAATAATGGAGCAAATATGCACATGGCACTCGAGTTTGAAGAGTTTGCACGTGAGTCTTATGAGAATGAACGCGACTTCTTTTTACAGAGACTTCTACACATCGGTCATGTGTGATACTGTTTTCATGAGTTTAGAAAGTGAGTAGCGGAGCGTGAAATTGATCCCACATTTGATAAATGATGTTGTATTCGTTGAAATATTTTCTGCTCTAAGCATGCAGTGTTGAGAAGCTTCTTGTAAATGCTGTGCTGTACTTTTTTAATTTCAATGGAAGAAAACTGAATATTGTACATTCCATCCTTCGTTTTTTTAGTTTCAACTTTTCATTCAACCTATGGTAAATTTTTGCATTTTCACGATATTTAATTATTAATAAACAATATCTAATATTACAATAATATTTATTGTTGCACGTTAATTTTAATATTTGCTTCTTAAAAACAAACAACGGAAGTTTATTTTCTTTACACATCCGACTCATGTAACTACATTGAATTTAATTTCATATATATAAGTGTCTCTTATGACATAATTCATTCTGTTTCTCTTTAGGCATTATCCACTAGCAGAGATGATTCATTAATTACTTGAGAAACAAATATTAGATTGAGTTTTTTGTACTTGTGAGGTATCTCTCACTAAATATATTTTGAGATTTATTTATTGGACACTATTATAAGAAAGAACAAGGAATAGAAAATTATATTGATAACACCGTCAATAATCTAATAACTCAATCAAATATAAAATGAATTTTGTTTAAAGAAGCAAAAATGAATATGGTGTTAATTAATGCTTATATATTCCAAACATAACAATTCATATTACTCATTTCATGCAAAATAAAAAAATCGGTGAATTCTCAAAACATCTTCCTTATTCATTTCAAAATAAAATTACTGCTAGTAGGAAAATGTGTAAGGTGTTTACACGGAAAAATAATTTTTTTTTTCAAACAATTCCTAGAGATTTATATTTTAGCTTAATAAGATCCACTTTGAGTGCATTTGCGCTCTCATAAAAAATTTTAAATTATCTTTTCAAAGTAAAAGTACCTTTCAACGTCTGTCATCATCATATCTGTCTAATACTAAATATAAATTAAGTAAATAGAAACTCTTGTATGGTCAGTGTAGCTCGGTAAAGAAAGGAAAACTGCTTACCCCCTGACCGATGAAAGCATATATTAAATGCGAGATGTCGACAACACAGCAAGCAATCATTATGCAAATCCACGGCACCAGAAACATCTTCTCGTCCTGAAAAATCAAGATTGATGATTGTAAGAAACGAAAAAAATAACGGTGCTTATTTCGAATAATTTCGTTTTGATAAACTTGTTTACCTTACCAAAGTAGACGTTCGAGAAAAAGGTTTATATGTTAAAGAAAAACATTTAAAACATAATAAATATATTATCCGATTAAAGTTCGATACGCGAATTAAAAATGTGTTATTGTTTTATCATTCGAGCAATACATGTAGCATTAGAGTATCGATTCGAGATAATAATATTTTCCATGAATGAACTCATTCTATCATAAGTCAATAAATCAACTGGAGTACTGGAGCTTAAATTATAATCCACAACTAATGTTAAGTTTGACGAAATTAACTGTCATGAAATTGGAAATTCACGTGAGTGCATTTTTCAGATGGTGTCTGCAGTGGTGAGATAGAGAAACCTAAACCCAACCCTACCCGTATCCGTGCGGTCACCTAGGAGCACAGATCAATGTCTGTCTTTTATATGTAACGAACTGAAAACGAAATTTCCGCGATAAAATTGCATTATTGAGCATTTCCACATTCAATGCAGAAAAATAACACCGAAATTTCGATGTAAGAGAAAATAAAATGTTGGAACGGTTAATTTGTCATTAAATATCAAATCCTGCTATGATTTCTTTGATACAGTTGAGATTACCAGCCAAACTTTCGCTGCAATTCTTCTAAACTGTTGATCAAGCCTCAAGTATCAGACGGTCAAGTCTTTACATAGCGCTGATGATTGACATCTGCCACTTACTGCGTCGTAGTTGCAGTTGGTACATCAGTTAACACCGGTAATTAATTAATCTTCGCACAGTAGTTCCACTAAAAGGGTTTTACTTTCATTGCCAACTGCCAGGTTAACTAATTTAGCATCAAACTGCGGCGCTTTTCAGCTTTAGACACGTGCGTTGTGTATATACTAGTTTCGAAAGCGGGTTGGGTTTTGTACTGGTTTGTTTGTGAAACGTGGGCTGGTTAAGAAGCATTACGTCGCTCTTTGAATTTGTTATAAAGCGTGACCTGATAATTCGCAAGTTCTCGTTTGAAAATCATGAGAATTCATTATGGCTTCCCGGAAAAAGTATAGCGGTTGACATTTTTTTCTTATATTATTTAAACATCTATTTTACTTTTGAGAAAACTTTATAAACTTAGGAAACTCAATATTTTATAACGAATCGGATTTAGTGGTTAATGAGCATTGCAAAGGAATGCATATTCAACTTCTCAGTTAATGCGCACGTATATGATCACGTTCACATTAACCATTGCCAAGGAAGCTTGAGAGCACAAAATCCAATTTTGCCCACAGTCGATCATTTAACTCATTTTCAGAAAAGAAATACACCTAGCTTTGCGTGTTGTATGCACACGCGGGAGGAAAGAAAAAAGGTGGTTTCTATAATGTGATTATGTCGTCGGGCCAACGATAGCGTTAACAGGGTATTAGCGATAACGTGAAATTCTGGTAGCAAACAAGCTAATTGGATTGTCCTGGGTAGATTGTATTGGCTCACTCTAGTATTGCTGTATGTGCATGTATATGTGTGTGTGTATGTGTGTGTGGGATGTATGAAATGCTGCGTACATCTATAGCCGATTTATATTGAATTAATAGACGTGACACGTCCATTGGCAGCAGTGCGCGTTTCCACAGATAAATTGTTCAAAATATCGTTGAACTCGACAATCCGACTCAAACAGTAACTCGTGAAAAATGCATGATGACGCTTCTACCTATCCTTATGTTTATTGTCTCGTAGGCATTTGGCTTTCGGGTCAAATATTCAAGCTGTAAAGGTCAACGTATATTCCAATACGACTGCCGGTGTCGAATCGACTGCATTTCTCATGAGCTTCTCTTTGTTCGACATCGGCGTTCGCGTGTTGCCAATGATTTTAATAAAACAAAAAGGTTTCACCAGAGGGAAAGTTGGGATCGATGGAAAGAAGGAGCGACCGATTATACCTCAGTCGCGAATACGAGCCTTGAGTGACTTTTATGTATCTATAGATCTAATTTTCGTCGTTTTAGTTTGATGTACTAATCAAAATTTCCTAAAGAGTTTCTTTGGAATGATTAAAGCGACGACTGTCAATAACTGCAGATGCATCGACAGCAATATCGAGCTGATTGCTTTATCCCTTTTTTAATCAACTTTAACCTATTATTAATTTTATTCGAACTTTTAACGAAATTTTCGTTTTCTCAATTCTATAGAATAAAGCTTGTATTGTTACAAATATATAAAATTTATTTATATATTTGTCCGATCAAAGCTATTTGTCAGCAGAGTTTATTCAAGAAGTTTGTCGCTCGACTCTTGAAAGTTCAAGAAAAGAAACAGTCAAGTCTTGAAGTTTACTAAAAAGCGTGATCTTTAGAAAGTGAAGGAGGCTTTTATAGTTCGATATGTAACTTTTGAAATCTGATCTTAAAAATTGGTAAACATTTTGGCGTCACTAAAGGATCATGGTTGATTAGATAAAAAATGGTCCGTTCTTTTTGAAAAACTACCAGTTTTTAAAACTCACGCAATGTCATGTAATTTGCAGAGTTTCACAGGGGCTCCACGAGAATTTATAATTTTAGGCTTAAAAAGAACTTTTAGTTAGGATGATATCCCATTGCTCATCATTAACCTTTATGCAAACTAGCAGCGCACCAAGTTTTTAAAAGCACATTCCACTCTGAGTATGTTATACGTGCACTTGATGAACGCACGCTTCATGACCTGTGAAATATCATAGCTATTTACGCTAGAACGCTGTAACACCTGTAACATGATGATACATATTTTCAAAAAGCTGTTGGGCTGAGATATTGTACAATTGAGGCTAAATGTAGTGTGCGATTGAAGAACTTTTTAATGCATTTTTCCATACAATATTAATGTATTCTGATTTATTTGTTATAAGAGCGAAAGAATGAAACGTATTTTAAATATAGCAGTATTTTCCCTTAATTTCAAAATAATTGTAGACAAAATTTGTCGTTAAATAATTATAATAGCATAAAAATATTTATAAATATTGAAAAAAGAGGATTCTACGATTAACAAATCATCTTACATGCTTGGCCTTTTTGAATTACCCACAAGCATTTACGACTGCGAGGTACGAGCTTTTCCAGATTATACGATATCAACATCAACGTTATGCAAACGAAGCCGTGTATTGTTTTGTGAATCCTGTAGAGCACGACACGCGTGCATGTATGCAACGTGCTGCCAAGGCAATTTTTATCTTTTTACGAGCCTTCATAGTAGCAGTATAACGCAAGAAAAAGGCAACAAAAAAGAGTTGAGCGTGAAAAATTCCGCGTCTAAAGAAAAGTCCGGAATCTATCTCTTTCCCTTGCGTCTCACGAGAAAGACGTTTTCAAAGCTATCTCTACATAGACGACACGCGTGTGGCAAATTTTTTCCCTCGTAGCCGTAAGCCAATAACCTCTAGCGTAGAGCATAAAATAGCACATACGAGTATAAGTCAAGCTCGCATTTGTGATTTTTTTTAGTTAAGTCAGCTCGTGGTGGAGAAGAAGTATCCTATTTAAAGCCAATGGCTCGGGTTAGACGTACCTCACTCACATACTCATGACGTAGATTTTCCCAAGTTTGCACGAGCAAATGGTCCGTTTGCTATTAGATTGCGTCTACTGCATGAAGTATAGAAAATCGATCTTGCTGTTGAAGCGCTTTTTTTTCCTTTTTACATTTATGGTGAGCACTTGTTGAGTCGTTTTGTGATTGCACGTGGATGGTATGATTTATAATTCTGCTAATTCAAATAGGAAGCTTTGTTTGCATGAAAATTCCTCAAATTTTGCATTTACGTATTACGCATCGTGTAGAGCACAAGTACAAACGTATTTTCTGATCCATCCATACATCTGTGTGTTCATGCATGCGTGTGTCTGTGTATATGAATGTACGCTATAATAATTATTATGATTCTATCTACATAAATGATTACATTTTTTTTCAAAATTTCAATTTATGTAAATAGGTAGAAAAATAAATTTTGTTCTTATTGCTCGAGTGCAAAATTTTTGAGAATTTCTTTAGAAAATTTTTTGTCCAAAAATATCGTTATTTTATAGTATAGTTCCTCAAAAGCGTGTTTGTTTAAATTAGAACCTTTGTAATATATTTTCGTCACTCCGTACGCGGGGACTCGACATTTCGCAAGCTCGATGGATCGAGCCTTGCTTCGCTCGGGCTCAAACGTTTACACTGAAATTATTTTCTAGTACCAGTATTAAAATGTACTATTTTAATTCAGTAGATATATTTCAAAATCAATTATACATTAAACATTAGAAAAACATTAATTTACGTTTCTTATGCATCGCCATTTTTATAATCGATATCACTAAACTCTCCGATCAGATATTAACAAGTTGTGAATTGCAACGTTGTAGCTTCAACATATAGTCTATTACGGCTCCTTATTCATTTAATTATAGGGATATATAGCGCATTGACCTTTCTGATTGTTTTCTAACTATAACATCGTAAAATGAAAAGAAAGTAGTAAATAGTTCTTATCGACTTTAAGAACAGCATGTCATTCGATGCGTGCGTTTATTATTACTATAACTTTATTTTATAATGCTATATTCTATTCAAAGACGAAATTCTAAGGGATTCTAAATGAAACAGTGCTTTAATTAATCCAAAGTCTGAATCGAATTGAAGGACTTTTAGGGGTAGGAGTGGGGCCTTATACACAGAAATTCCTTTTGTATGTCAAGCAATTGGAGAACGTTGAAAACGTGAGTAGTTAAGAAGCTGTTCGTCGACATCTTAAGAAATTTCAAATTTTGCCTGACACAATCGATATCAGAAACAAAGTTGACAAAGCGCTCGGTCGATGTTACACGTTTGAGTTATGTTCACATTGTACAAGTTTCACTAAAACATAGTTTTATAATTACTACGTAAACTTAAAGATATATATTTCAATATTGACGTGAAATCTTCAAAGAACAAGAGATCTTAATTCAACTAATTTGGTAGTCATCCGAAAGCGAAACGGATTCCTGATTAGCAAAGTCCAGTTCAAGCTTTTCTCATAAGAACTTCAATTAGGAATCACGTTGAACATTACGTTTCTTGTTTGTATAATTGATTCACACAAAGGTGTGGGAAGGAGGAAGTTTGAGGCATGAATTACGGATGCAGATCTTTAATTGCCGTAGGTTACGTGATTGTCCTCTATTAGAAGTTCTAGGACTAGGATAACGTATTTTGAGCTTGTGGATTACGCGTTTGCAGAGTTGGTGTAAGCTTACTTAATGAATATGTATATGTCAAAATGAACGATGAAATTTCATTGTGTTTAATTGACAAATGAAATATAAAATTTTTGTTTTTTATTTTTTATATACATTTGTGTTATTATGAATACTTTTTACTTGCTTGACATAATCTATTATTGTAGTTTTGCATAGTTACTAGAATTGATTAATAATACAGAATTTCATTATTATTTTTGCAAAATAACTCCTCTCATAGAGAGCTCAAGAAAAGAAATTTAAAATGGATGAAATTTATACATGATGATCCAAATTTTTCTGTATCTGTCACATATATATGCATACCAATATTAAAAAATTTGTTTTTCTTTATAACAAATATGTTAAGTTAAATAAATTACACTAAAAAGAATAATTAATTCAAAATTTTTTTTTATTTTAATACTACTGCAAGAAAAGCTTGGCGCATAAACTTATATATAATTACTTGAAAAATTTTTTAAATTCAACATCATTTAACAAGTATATAATAAGTTATTGTGAAAATATTACAACTTGTAATAACTATATGTACAAACATTATGACGCGCAATGGTTTTCCTAAGAAATACAAATATGTAAATTTTTTTTAACTTTTCTAGATTTTCTATAATGAATAAGCACTGGTGACTTATAAACTCAATAAGAATTATTGAACTTGACAAAACAAATTTCAACGAAGAAACAAAAAAATGTACGATAACGGCGGTATTGAAATTAAATTTTCTACGAGATTCAAGCCTGTCACGAATTTTTACGATCCATCATACATGAGTGATAACTCCATTCCACACGGTCACATATCATTTTATGGCGTAAAGCTTACAGAACATCACGACGGATCGACAACTATTATCACATCTCATTTTCGAAGGAATCGTTAAACGAGAAACGTTTTTTATCTCTCAGAGGTCTATATCCATTCGATCTCACGAGAAAAATATCGTTCGTAACTTCTCGCATGCCGGGATAGCGACGACGGTTTGAGAATTTTCGCTCGTAAATTTTCCGGTCGTTTCCGACACGTCGACTCGACACGCGTGTTGCGAACTTGATGATTTGCCCGTCAGTTGCGATTCTTCCGGGCTATTATTGGTTTCACGCATGAAAGCTTTGTTATCCTCTCTGGGTTTCCGCGGGATTTCGTACGCGGCGGTGGCGATCAACAAACAGGGGTGGAGAAAGTGGAAAGCTAATTCGTTCGTTACCTTTATTTATTGGTTTCGGTTTTACGGCACGTTTAGTTGTATGTGTTCGCTGCGCTTTCCTCTCTCCCCCTCTCTTTTTACGTTTATTGTGATTTATACGAGTTTGGACGTATTATTATTATTTCCACGTGGTCTCTACTTTTGAGTCTTTTTTTCGTTATTTTACATTGACAGAGTGTACTGCTTCTGAAATTTAAAAACTTTTTATTGCAAACACAATAAAATTGTCTGAAATACATATAACATCGTTTGTATACACGACAATAAGCCAGGTTTGCGGTGAAATAAATTCAACATTATATAACGTTAAATTACAAGCTTTTCCCTATACATAGCCATAAATAACATTTCATTCAAATGACACTGGTAAATTGTTATCGTCTTTTATTTCGATTGATATTTTAAAGTATCCGAGAGTTCGATTTTACACAATTTCTCCTAGCATGAGTCATCTCATTAGCAAGCATCACATCTCATAATGAGAGCAACTCAAATTCGAAGCCAATCTGATGAATTTATATCACCTCGGGCAAGTCAGTAAATCAATCGACGTTGATGCATTCTCTTGATTAACTCTCTTTTACTGTCTGTTCGAAAATATTTAATATGAAAGATCGCTGGAGCCTTTGAGAAATTTGCGAGCTTCTGAGCTTTACATCACTTGTAAACATTTTACCAAATTACTCGGCTGAGTTCTCTCTGGCTTCCTGAGTGAACTAAGTCACTCATAGCAGCTGCAGCTAATCGCATTTATTGAGCGAATTGCTGAAGCTCAGCTGTGCATAACCGTAAATTGCGTTCACGCTGTTTCCGTTTATTTGGTAGCGAGAAAGAAAAGCTTGATGGCGATAACACTTCTGGTAAGTTGCACTTTGGCTCTCCTGGGAATTTACCTTGAGCTGCCCGCTGAGACTCTAGCTATACGGGATTTCAATATTTGCTGTAGATTCCAACCACTTGGGATTCATTTGGCTTTTCCGCACACGTTACGAAACGCTTGATTCCACTTTTTGCGACTAAGAGATAATAGATTTTTCACATTTTTATAATTATTGTTATTTCAAATTTATTTTTCAATTTTTATTCAAACGAAATGTAATTTATTGAACACTGCAATGCGTATAACCTGAAAGAAACGCCGAAACATTTTTACGTTACAGACTTTTTGACATTCAATGGCTCTAACTGTCATTTATTCAGATTTTAGACTATTTAATTTCATCATACTTCTATATTGGTATACGTATTAAATTCACATTATATTATAAAGTTAGCGTAATAATAGAACAATCGTAAATAAAAATCGTGAATGTCTATTAATATTTGTACTTTAACAAACATAGAAAACATTTATCGTGGACTTTCAAATTGAATCTACTTATAAAGTACACTTACGGGGCATCGTAACTTTCAATATGCAGTCTATCATTTGATTATTTTATGATTTGGAAAAGCCATAATAATAAATTTTTGAAGGGTGAAAATGTTATGTTGGCCACGACTGCGAGACGATGAAAACCGTTGTCACCACAAACAGTAGCAAAAAGCTTTAAAAATTTATGAGGCACGCGTACATTTAACGTCGCTTTAGAAGAGGAATAGGGCGGGAAACAATGTACGTTTACAAAACTGCATATATATTCTCGCATTTTTATTCGAGCATGCCTGGTAAAACATAAATAAATATAACATAATAAATAGGTTTAACTGTAAGGATTGAGCAGTTTGTTTATTTTTTTTAGTAGAAAGGAAATGGAATATTCGCGGTTTTTTAAATTATTGGTATCAGTGTTGCCATTGCAAAAATTCTAGTTTTTAATTAATTTTTCCAAACGTTGTGTAAAAATATTAAATGTTACTGTAAATGAAGAGACTAAAAAATTTATACGGGCTACCATTAAATAGCCATCATAAAAATTTTAGATACAGTCAATTTTTAATTGTTGTAAGGCTTTCAAGTATAAGTTTGATCAATTAGTTCACCATTAAAAATTACGATCAACTGTAGAATTCTGTTTTAGACGGAGTCATTTTATTACAGCGACAATATTACCTCATAAAACTTTATTGCAGACCTTTGCGTCATTCATTGATGCCTGCATATAATTTGCTTCCGTAGTATAAATTATGAGAATATCGGATGCGTACGCGATTGAATTAAAAAGAAAAAAATGTAGGAAAATTGATCGATTTGCATTCGTAGCCTGCTGCTAAATTTCACATTATATTACAGGACGTAGAGTCATAGCAGAAAAAATGTATCATGCTCGATTATTGACAGTGGAAGGGATCATTTGCCATTTCACGGTCGGCTATCGATTATCAAGAGGCCTGCGTCTCTTACCCTCTCTCTCACTTTTTCCATGTAGCTATGACGGTACGTCCACTGTAATATCAAGACGCCAGCAGTGTAGTTAGCTCGCAGACCACGTAACGTAATAAGGAGTATATTGAATGGCGGGCTAGACAGACATAGGACGCCGCACCGCGTTCTGCATAATTTCGTACATATTGTTATACTCGTGCGTCGAACAGCGTATATTGATATAACCAGAGCTTCTTTCCTTTGTTCTCTTTTGTTATTCTTTTCGCTATTTTAATATAACACTCGAATACATTTTTTTAATTACAAATTTTTGTTATTTATCTCTCTATTTTTCTGCTTTTTTCTCCTTGAAAAATGAAGTCACGTCTTTTCTCTCGTAAATTTTCCATTAAATGGACAATCAAGGGACAGAATATGCCTCCCTTTCTCAAAACAGTAGTGTTAACCTCCCTCCTCCTCCTTTTCATCCCTCGATCGAACTAAACATTTCGGAGAAGACGTATTGTATTGCTCTCGCATTTTCACACCGAACAATGTAACCGTAACAATGTAAACAATAATAATATAACTACAACGAAATAACAATCTTATATACTTATGAAACTCGAATCGTATGTATATTTGAAAGTTAGTTTCATCGTAATGTACGGTACGGCAGCTTTCAAACGCCAGCAACATTTTACTAACTTTTTGGAAGCTACAATACACGTTCAGTAGATATTAAAAGTTTTACAATGTGCGTAGTTTTGAGTTTTTCCAATAATTTCTGTTCGGTTGAAATGCGTCGATCGGAAAAAAAATTTTTCAAATAAAGCACTGTATCGAGATACAATATTTAATTATAATAAGTTGATGGCTGACGGAAAGTTGACGTTAAGACAATTTAGAAAGTAATTAATTTATTGAAGACATAAAAATCACCATTTTTTATGAAATACCAATACATTCAGCCTCAAAATCATAACTTGATAATCCGATTGCCATCGCCTGTTCACATCATGCATTAAGATAATATAAATTTTCTCAAATATTTTAAGAAAAGAACCAGCGAAAGTGAGCTACTTCATAGCAATCAATAAAGATAAACTAGCTTTGCAATCTAATTGTCAAAAATAAAAGTATGATAAATTCGCCTACCTTGAAAAGTCCATACAAGAGTAGCAAGCAGCAAATGACACCCAAAGACGAGCAAACAAGTAATGCGATGTTAAACGTCATTGTCACTGTAAAAAACAAAGGAGACGTTTCTCTTTTTTATCATGACATATTCTATTAAGTTAGGCACGAGTTAAAAAGTTGCGAATGAAATTTAAAGCCATTCAGTTTATAGGGGAAGATTTATATGAAAATGTAGCGCGTCGAGTTTTCGCGTGTAACTTTTGAGTGAATTACAGTGAAAGTATTTTCATTCACTTACCGGGGGACACTTGCTCCACGAGAACGCTGTTGGACTTGGGTTGCGAACGATTTCCTGTTAGATACTGGCTTTCCTCCTGCAGTACCGACGCCAAGGTAACCGCTATTACCGCATAATAAAACTGAAACACAAAAGCAATGCTTTCGAACAAAAAAGACCTTTGACAAATTTTCACTTTAATTCAATTCTCCGTCTTTTTCGATTCACGATTTCTTAAGCTGAGTGGATTGACCAATTCACTGTTTTCGTATAATCCTTTACAATATCAGAAGCTCTTACAGTTGAAAGCTCCTGAAGACTTTTGTAAAGATTTTATCATATCTACAAACGTTATGGAACTTCTAGTTGGGATATATGTCTACGAGTATTTTTTGTTCAAAAAAATTTTTTTACTCCTTTACACAGAGCTACCATAACGAAGAAATTTTTTTCACAAAAACGCGAAAGAAACAAGATTCCGCGATGTTCCAATATTATTCTTGGTATTTTATATTTTGTAACATAAAACAAAATCCGTTGTGGTGACAAGGGAGCGTAAAAACTTACATCGATATAACGGCAGAGCGGTTTTTTTGATCGTTCGTTCTTATCCTAATTCTCTTTTTTATCAGACAGAAACATCAACCGATATTTATTATTTTTTTTAAATAAAAAGAAAAAAAGTGCCGATGCCTAATTATACATTTTATTCACATGTCTGAAAAATGCTGATCTTTAATTTAGGAAAAATGTACCTCGTTTGTGCGAAGAAAAATGAAAAAAACTTAAAAAAATATCGGATAACTCAAAGAAGAGAAATAACACGAGTAAAGACGTTTCGAAAAAAAATACAAAGCAAAAAGATGTAAAGGGAGTAATCGACATCAATAAAAAAGCCAAAGAGAGAGCTAAAGTCAACAACAGGTGCGTGAAATTGCCTCTTTGGGGTCTCTTACAGACCAAATCCTATCCTTATTTTTCGCATGATCTTTAGCTCGTATAGGTAGAAAAAAAAGAATCCAATATAGATTCTTGGAACCAATTTTTCCAGTACGTATATATTGACTCAGTTTCTTTGTGGGTTCTTTGATGGAATATATTACACAAGTATTATTGATATAATTGGTTTTTCCTGCATGCGTGCACTTTTCTTTTTGTCTTCAAACTGACTATTGTTGGGTGGCTTGCAAATTATACATCTTATAATTGTGCATGAATAGATTTTGGAAAAACGTAATTGAAAAAACTTGAAAAAAATGTATGTTTTATTTGACTGTCTGTCTGAAAGCGTCCCATGGTGCATACAGTCTATATGGCTTATATCGTACTGACAATTCAGTGCAAATCTGTAGTGAATTCGTACAATAAATTAAGACTTGCTTATTCACCAAATATTGGGTAACATTCAGTTAATCACGCGCAATTAACTCTACTCCAAAAACTAAACTATCGAGCTATTAATATGACCATAAATCAATTAAAGATAAGTAATTGGAAGGGACCTTTTCTCTTTCTTATCCGGAGATCCCGGAGATCCCATCAGGCTAAAAAGCACCTAGCGAGAGGATGAGAAAGTGGATTCGAGCCTCAAGTGGCAATCGATCGGTTGCAATGACATTATTGAAATCACTCCAACTATCAATTAAATCTTCTTTGAAGTGCTTTACCACTTTGTTTGAAATAATTATAAAATCTGAGATAGACTGCGATGCCTCTGGAATTGAATTTCGAGTTCGTTAAAAATTCGAAAAAACGCTTCTTCGCTATTAATTAATTGTTACATTCTTCGGGCTTGAATTCAGTCAACATTTATATCGGAATTTAATGATCATATTGTCCAACGAAATTAAATAAAATAACCTTCCGAACGAAATAATAATTTGTTACAATGAATTTCATGAGCACCGGCATAATTTTGTAGTGTGCTCGATCAATTCGAATTTGCAATTTTACATTCATGCTACTGCTCGTTATTTCCAGCTTATTGAATAATGCGCACAACTCCTCGTATAATTAAAAATAAGGTATCGACCAAGTTGAATCCCAGATGGGCAAATAAAGCCATCACGAAAAGGTTAAAAAAATATTAGCCAATTAACATACACTACGAGATTCTCCCACGAGGGTGTAGAAAAAAAGAAAAAATGGATGTAATCATTTGTGTTACGCGCGACAAGGGATAACCTCATGAGACGTTACGGCCCACGAAATTCGTCGGAGGCATTGTCGTTGACGACATTGCTCTTGGGACGTTGCGTCGTGTTCTGACATATTTATTTGATTATATTTGTGGAACTTAATATCAGGATTAATATAGATTTGAAAATCAAACTACAAGTACGTAATTGATGCCATACGGCGTTCATATTAATATTATTTGTATGATAATGTTGTAATATCGTGTGTTGTTACATTTGTTTGATCATTTATAAGTTTCGATGTAGTTTATGCCGAGAGTGGATTTGTTGAAGATAGAATACTTGCAATTCTCATTAGACATCAGGATTAAGTAATTATTAAAGTTAATAAACAAAGAAATATTTATAAAAAACTTATTACCGTTACATCACGTACAACTTTTTAATATCACGTGCACGTTTAATAATAACCCTGTTGTAACAAACTTGTATAATTGAAGTACCGAAATAGAATTCTAGAAAATCGAAACAAAATTACCAAAATTCAAAGTTAGTGAATTTGTCGTTTAGCGAAGAGACCTGAAAATTTAGAAATTTTCATACTTACTACTAACAAAATTCGGAATCGTAAAAAGTTTTAACAATTTCGAATAAAATGAACAGTACAAATATCAATTGATAGTCTCAAATAACATTCATTGATCCGGATTGAATTTCATTCGAAATTCAGTTAATGTAGTTTAAACAGAGATATGAAAATACGTCCGTAGAGGTTACTTTTCATAGAGTCATAAATCACGGTGTCTTACTATCCTTATTTATAGCTGTAGTACGGGGAAATAAATGATTTTCTTTATTTGAATATTTCAATTTTTTCATAAGTCATTTCTCCGTCTTTTCGCCAAGTTGTCAGATAAACCGCTTTTTTTTGCATATCTGCCATTTTTAAAGTAGCATCAAAACAATGTTAACCACAAAGACCGTCAATCTGATTTATCTCTCGAATCTTGAACTCCACCGCGATATAAATTAAGATAAATGCCTGCAAAACACAAGTCTTGTCTCATCATAGTATTATCGAACATTTTATATATCAATGAATCCATATGTTTTTTTGAATATTCAAATGTATTTAATCGTCTCAAAATCTTGTTTGTAGATACTGAAAATCCACGAAACTCATTTCTTTTATAGCATGTAGGTATATAATCGTGGACTGTGCTTTTTTTCTTTTTGTTTCATTGGTAATGAATATTATGCGAATCGTATGTTTCTAGGTATATCAACTCTGCGTGTGTACCGACAATTTTTCTCGCGGGGTGGGGAGGGGGGGGGGGTAGCAGCTGATGATTGATAGGTGTTACTTTTATTTCTCGTGCGGTGTTTACGCCTGGAGATTCTAGTTCAAAATTGTAGGTCTTTCATTTCTCATAATTATTTTTATGTCCACTACCTCTGATTTTTTATTTGAAAACTACAACTTGATACCTGCGTTGTTAGCTGCCCTATTTTTTGTTCAATTTTATTACTATACCTACATGCGTGACATGTCATTGGACGGACATGCAAGGTACGCTTGCCGTCGAGTCATAAAAAAGGGTAGAGTAGGTGATAAAATATACAGTATCTCTCATTAAGGTACTTTGCAAGGCGCGTGAATAAGTGAAAGGTATTAAACATGAAATTTTCCGAACGAAGCACATCCACGTGTCGTATATCGGAGGATGAATAATTAAAGAAGATAACGAGAAGAATAAATTAACATTCTTGTGAACATTTCACTATTTGCTCAAGTTTCAAGCTTATTTGGGACATAATTATATTAAACCTTTCCATAGTCACATAAATTATTATCAGCCATAGAGGTAATGTAGATATGTTTAGACTATTATCTATTAAGAAAATTGCAATATCTTGTAGATTTTAATTATATTTCATTCTTGCCTGATCGTATACTGATAGTTCTACTTGTGTGGTTGATAGAGCTTTCGTGGGCACGATGAAGGCATGTAATTTCATCAACATCAACAGTCAACCATCGTAGAATAATGCTGGGTCGTTAAGAAACAAAAGAATGACAGTGGCTTAAACTTTTTATCCTCCTCGCGTAAACTATAAACTGATCGAGTTTAACGCACCAACATGCTCAGGCGCTTCAGTGCAAATAATAAAAGGCAAAGTACCATTTCAGTGTCCGAGGAATCGTAAAATTCTGCACACATCCGCACGTGTACGCACATAGTATTTCGGGTCAAAATAAACAGCTCATCTCTCTTTGAGCGCCGACGTGCAGTTTTACGCGGAGAAAACTTTACAGCCGTGTCATTAAATTTGAAGGCGTCTAGCCGACGATGCCTTCGGAAAAAGAGCATTTCATTCGCATTCGCGGCTGCTGCTGCAAATTACGTGTGATTCGATTTTTGATCATACTGTGGAGTCCTATCGTCCTATCGAAAAACGAGTTTTACTGCGTGTCGTTAAGGAAGCTCGTTCACGGGTTCGCGATTAGTTATCGATCTAATGATTTTATGCCGAAATTTAAAAATCACAAACTGAAATGTACAGTTACATTTAATGATATAAATTATTAGAATCTCGAGTCTTCAAATAATAATCTAGGTTGACAAGTAAAATTCAGGAAAAAAAAATTTATATTTGCCTTAAAAATTTTAATATAATATCTATTATATTAAAATTGTTAATATATTTTGAGTTGTCTAACTCAAAGCCACGGTGTGGCTCAGTGGATAAAGCGTCAGGCTCCCCTATGCGAGAGGCCTGGGTTGGGTTTCTGACGAGGGTACTAATGGCTTTTTTCAAAAAGTGTAAGTGCTAAAATCAACATCGCGCTTCTGAGTCGTTCGGATTCGACTTGTAAATAAAGAGAAGGTCCAATAACCACGCGCGCGCATACATATAATAGACAACTCTTATCACAATGAAGAAAATATACGACTAAACGTCCATGAATTTTTTAATTGTCTGTGACGTTCTTATTGTTATATGTTAGTAATACGTCATAGCGAACTAATCAATCTTTCCAAAATATCACACCTATTTAATTTCACCGCACGACTGACGGACAAAGCAAATATACTGCCTCTACTGATCTTGGACAGCCTTAATTGATTAAATAGCTATTTGCTTACGTGACCCTTAGAGAAACTTTCTATTTTAGTTAGGCTTTCGTCCTTCGATAATAAGTAATATAAAGGTTAGTCAAAAAGATTTTATAAGTAGAAAAATCACTACTTAATAACTATTTATTAACTCGTGACTACATTTAGAAGACTACAGTAATAGACCTAACCCAACTTTTTTTCATTATAATTATTCTCATCAGTTAGGGATCTGCTGCAAGAGGAAGTAAAAGCAAATAATAGTAAGTGGTCTTGATGCAGACCACGTCAGAAATACGATCATCAAAACAACGGACGCTCATGGCACTTTAACCACCCTTTCCGACACATATATGTACATAAACATTGGCAAAGACAATATGAAACTGTTGCACTATAAACTTCTATATCCTCCTTGAAACGAGCGAAACTGCTGGTGAAAAATTCGCCCGCTGTCATAAAAGTTATACGTGACACGCTTCATGATAAATATTATTAGAAAAATCTTGTATTTTTGTTATAAACGTTTATGTTGTATAGGGAAAGATAAAAAGCTGAACCCGAGAAAGTATATATACTCGCGAGTATAATATGGATGTGCACTTTAATAAGACTATGAGAGTGATGTGCACGGTATCGTGCAGCTCGCGAACCAGAAATAAAGTTGATCCTGTTTTTCCTTGTCCCGCTTTCACAAAAGCGTATTTACCGCCACGTTCCTTTTTTTTCTGTTGTAATAACAAAAAGAAATGAAATGATTTTATCTGAAATTCTTTATAATTTGTAGAAACAGTCGTTATTTTAATGTATCTCTATATTAGACTAAATGAACATTTTACATTCATAGGTTTTTAGAATAAAAACTGAAAATAAATGCAAAAATTATTCATAATTTTTGAAAAGACATATGGCTCGCATCTTTAACGTCTCGAGTAGGATTCTTGGAACAATCTCTGATATTTCATGATATTGCCATTTTTTGTTATTTCGTTATTCCATATAAAATCTTCTCCAGTGTCTTGATATTGCAATCGATGCAATAGGGTATACATTTTACTTATCTTCATAAAATATTTCGTACTTTATAAGGACAAGGAAACCAAGGTTTTTATGAGACATTCGAAATGAGAGTAAAGTGTAATCAGGACTTTTTATACGGTAGTAGTTTTTTTTACTTAGTAAAACTTCGTAAAAGTTGACCAAATGAATAAATCAAACTGAATTTTGTAAATATCTATGGTCTGTTAAGTGAGAAGTTACGAGCAATTTATTTATCTAAGCATCGTATACTAGTCTATGGTCTTTGCAAAATTTATTACAATAAGAAAGTTAATTTAAATAAGTATAAATATGAAACCGTTTATGTAGTAATACTTATGAAGTAGATTGATGGAAGTGCATTAATTGTGAAAAAACAAATAAGACAAAAACGACGCGGGTGTAGGTTTCCACTGACGCTTTAATCTATTGAGTGGAGAATCAAATCCAATAATGAAGTAAAGAGAACTATGTGTTCATTTAAAGATTGAAAAGAATTTAGGTTGCAGGTAATCATGCGCACGCGAAACTGTAAATTCAGATCAGGAAAAGGCTGCGTCATTTAAATAATAAGAAACGACAAATTTTTGTAAACAAAGTTTTGAAAAAGTTACATCGCAAACAAGCCGTCTGTAATAGGATTAAAAAGATTCTTAATAAAGTTAGCGCCTATTGCGAAACCTCTGATTGATCTTACAGCTCAATATTGTCGAACGATCATTACTAGTCGACGTCGGCATTATTTTTCTGAAAAGCGTTCTGCTTCATTACTTCTTCTGCATCGTGGCGTTTCTCGATTAGAGCGGTTGTCATGTTACCTCTCAAGGACTGCATTTTCCTTCCTCTATATTACAAGGCAGTCATTAATTCACAACATCCTCAAGTCTATTTTTTTCTCTGCATCGATATCGACGCAATATTATACGCGATTGCAATTTATGTATTTCTTTTCAAAAAATTTAGCTAGCCTTGAAACATTTTTTATCGATTGAACAGTATTATTTGGATATTACAAAAATTTGTTTATTAAAAATTAAGAAAAAATGATTTATCATCGAATTGCAGTGAAAGTTTTGGTTTTGTAATTAAAGTCTTACGACCTCTCAATAATTTTTGCAATTAAACACGATGTATAGGGATGTCTGATTGATAATTCCACGAGCGAAATACATCATCTCGTAAACCAACCTTTCCAGATATCAAAATAGTACGTACTCGTAAAAAAGCACTTCCAGAGTATAAACTTGCCACTTCAACGCAATAAAATTCAAGCATCGAGATGATACTATATTTTTAACACATCCGTTCCTCTCTTTCTCTATCTCTCGGCTAGTTTTATCCTCTGAAAGTTTGAATGAACGAAGGAAAATTACAGGTGTGAAAGATGACATGCGTGTGTCAGTTTTAATTAACTTTGTAGCGTGGTAGGATAGGTAAGAATGTAACCAAGCAAGGAAGTGCGCGGAACGAGCTAAAAGCCATTGTCACTAGACCGGAAAGGTAGAGGCTTGATAAAAGCAAGTGTTCACCTTTGGATGCTCTACGCCTGGAAGCTTGCAACCGCAATTATTATGCACGCTATTGCTTTTCGCTTAGTCATGAGTTTTTTCTTCAAGATTTAAGCATTTTCATACTTTATTGGCATCAAACGTGTTATGCTCGATTGCACTATTTATAAATTTTGGAAATATCGGTAAAAGACATAAAATTATTTATTTGTGTATATACATGAAATGAGATATATATACTATGAAATAGCACGTCAATAAGCACAATTTCTTAGTATGAAAAAAGTTGAGTAAAATTTTACGGTAGCACACTTTCCGAAAAGTAAAAAACAATTGTACATGTTAAACAAGGCGTAAGCTAGAAAATGTTAAAGAAAATTACTTTTTAATGAAGTTATTTCTATATTTTATTTTCAATACTTCTGCTCATATAACGAGATTTCATAAATATGTAATCTAATTTTACAAAAATTGAAAAATCGTTAATTGCTTAAGGGTATTTGGAAAATACTGTGATTGCCTTAAATATGATAATATTGGATGAGCCTGTCATAACGAAACTCTTGATTCTATTGACGTTAAATAAAAGTTTTAATTATTATTATAACGAATTGTAATAATTTGTATGGTTTCTCATAATGTATAGGCGATCAAAAACTCTTCAACTGAATTAAACCTTTTCTATGGCTTCTAATTATTTATGTATTATCCAATCAACATTTGATTTTAATATCGTAATTCTTAAGCTTCTCATTCTGCTCGGAATAATTAAACTTTATCTGAAAAGCTAATTTATTCCTTCACCAATTTCTCTATCTGAAATGTAGGGTGTTCAAAGTTTTGATGAAGAGTTAAATTTCTAAGAAGTAGAATCGAATTATGTCCAGATATCCAATTCTTTATCAAGCTAAAAGTCGGATAAATTGGTTACAGTACTTAGCGAAATTGAAGTAACGAAGGCATCACTTGCATTTTTTTGAAGGGTTAAAACGCACTGACATGCCATACATAACATTGCGGCAAGAACATTATTTCTGGGAATTTTTTTTCTTTCATATTTTTTGTGAAAATACAGTGCGTGTCAATGAAAATTCATCCTCAAATTTACATTATTAAAGAGAACCGCGAGCGTTTTATCGCTACACTCAGCAACGTAAATAACGCACTAGAGTAAGTAAACTGAGTAAATCGTAAATGAGAACAGAAATGTTAATATGGACAGCTAAACCATTATTCCAATCGAGTATGCCCATGTGTATCTTTCATTGTTTCAAATTACTTTTGATTTTTACTCGTTGACTGGCTAAATGATACATTTCCTGTTCATTTAAGTTTTACGTGATTTCGCTAAATCTCTACAATATTATTCCATACAACGGCTCCACCGTATTTGCATTGGAAAATAAAACTTTTTCCATCTATTTTTTGTACAGCGGAAAAGAATTTTACGTTTGAAAACAGATTATAATTGAAAGAGAAAATAATTGAAATTAAACAAATACTGATCTTAATTATGTTTCGAAAATGTATAAGTATATTCTCTAACTTGAAAAAGAACAGTTTCTTTAGTTTCTTTAGATTTTTGACATATCCGTTTAAATCCAGTTACAATATTTCAACTTACGTAATTTTCAAGCTTAATAGGATTCGTCAGATGGCCAAATTACTTTTGGAAACCGATGTTAAGCAAAAACGACGTGGACTCTTTATAAATTATCCTAATTAAATTTTCTAACTTTACCTTTTTTTACAAGTTGAAATTACGAATATGAATTTAATTGATTTTACTGGGAAATCAGAAATTTAATAAAAGTAGTCGTACAATTTAATTTATGCACATTAGCACGTTTTAAAAACTGACATAATTTGATTGCTCAAATAAAAGAACAAATATCCAATGGGATCAATGACCGTAAAATTTAAGCTTGTTTCATGAAAGGGATCAAGCATATGCCAAAACGCTTATTCAAATCAGAGCCTCTCAATTACACGATCAACATACAACAGCCACACGTTACGTCTGGCTCAAAGGCGTACGTGCTGGTATATTGCTTCTAGTGCACAGAATTTGTCAACTCACCACGGTGTAAACGGCACAAGCGAAACTGCCGCGACGTACCGAACGCCAGCAGCAGCAGGTCTGCATTATCGCCATGTCGCGTCTGTAATAACTGCTTGCACCTTTTACATCGTTTTCAATTAATCTCACGTAATAAGCTGTGTTAGCGCGGCGCTCGCAACGTCCACGCCACCTTTGCAAACACTCATTCTCGGGCTGCGAATGTGAATGTCAAGAGGACTCGTCAGCGAGACGCTCCAGAGCCGACTGCTAATACTTTGCCCGCCAAGCTTTCGTATCCCATGTGCCAAAGTTTACGCCTGCGCGTTGTTACAACGCAGCGCTGCTACAGGTTGGGGAGATTTTTTTACGGAGTTAGAGGGATGCTGTTGTTGTAAGCTCCGCGATACAATTCATGATTTTCTTTTTCGCGCGCTGTATTGGCAAACATTTTTTTAATTTTCGGTCAAAACATTTTGTGTATTCAGCTTGTTGTAAAATTTTTTCTTTCCCGAAGGATTTTTTTCACTATGCTAGGTATGTATTTTCTAATTCACTGATTGAAATACCTTGTTTCAAAATTTTTCAAAATTGCTGACAATGCACGCTCGACGAAATCCTAAATACAGAAGTGGTAATATATTTTTTTTTTTAACACAAAATATTTCTTGTTTAATTTCAAAGTTACATTTTAAATAACAATGATGAAAGAAACTCAGTCGCTGTCAAATATTCTATTGAGCATAGTTTAAAGGAGATTACAAAATTCTTGGTATAATTACATAAGAGTATATTACATAAAAGTATAATTACATAATATTAAATTCCATCGAAGACGAATAGCATTTGAATGAATTGCGAAATTTCTGTGGCTTATCCGTAGTTTATATCATAACCCAATTCTCCCGATTCTCGCGAATACAGCGTATTACAATTTCTATGACGTTTAGTATTCGATGTCGACAACTCAATCATGCAACGATTTCAATAAGTTCGTATTTGCTCGCAAGCTGCGTCCGTAAGATAGATTTATTGCATGTGCATGTGGATGTAATTTTCTCAGGTTAGGGAAAATTGGACACTTATGAGCGAAGTTTGTCAGTGATAAGATATATAAGCCAATTGATTGTTTATATGTGGCAAAGTGTGTGATATCGTTAAGGAAAGCCATCAATAACTGACCCCGATAAAGAAATTTCATTAGTTACCGTCAATTCTTTTTCTTCATTGAAGTTCCCGGGACACAATTTTCATTGAGATACACTAACAACACCACCCAACACACATCGACACATATATCTTCGTATAGGTACATCTATGTAGGATCTCCCCTCCTCTATATACAGTATCTGCCGCCCCTCAATGGGGATTATGTGATCTGTGTACTCCGTGTCGCCGGTCGCGCCCGTATTGGCAGCTTATTAGTAATTAATGAGGCGATGCGTTTGAGGAATGTATAACATTTTTCCAGGACATTTCAGTGGTAACATTATTTACGTATATAAAGTTGGATGTTAGGTTTCTATAAGTATTTGTGAGTTTTATTGGAGGCATATTAACGTCAAAGTAGATGAAGTAAATAAAAAAATTGAAAAGTATGATTTATTTTGATGTCAAATACAGCTTTCGTTTTATGAAGTTGTGATATTAAGCGGCTTTGTGTATCAAGGAACATCGTCAATGTCACCTCCAAACCCGTAATGGTGTTCTGTGGAAATTGAAACTGTCAAGCTTGGGATACGTTTCTCATAATGCTCAATTTAAATAGCTTATCAAGCAGCGAGATTGTACAAAAATAAAATGTCATCATTCAACTAGAAATAGCGATATCAAAGTTACCACTGACGTTATTTCAGTTAGCTCTTCTTAAATATTTATTATCACAAAACTTGTAAAGACAAGTATATTTATAGGGTAAGACTGAAGCTGTAAATTTCTGAGATGACGTGCAAGTTTTTCAAGAAGTTCCTTTTCGAATTTATGTTCAACTATGATTGACATGATCTATCGCGAAACCACAATCCCGTGTAAGAATTGGCATGACTGCAAAAACGGCCCAATACTGTTGGAGTACTGGCAATCGAACCTAGTTTTGTCAAGCACTGGACCGGCTTTGAGCCAATATTGAATTGATAAGAATGGTCCGAGCACCGGCAGCCAATACTGTACCAATAATCTATTTTTGAACGATTTTAATATTTTTTGTTTTCCGGCGCTGGCCCAATACTATTCCTTAATCATGATGCGCATGTTTATAAAGAATATTAATAATAACATTTTAACCTAAAATATATGATAAGTATCGTGTTTTCCGAGTAGCTTTCATTATACCACGCAATGCTGAACAGTTATTCATATCTCAAAAAATCAAGATCCTTGAAAAGGGAAATTCTCTGTTCATCGTCGAGCAGCAGCTGTAGCGACAATGGGAATATTTTTATAAAAAAACTTGATGCGCTTGACTTATCCCAAAAACGTAATGATCGATGCTCGAGGTAAATTTTATAAGATAATTGACATTTTTTATCTATGTGCTTACTTTAATTAGGTTGAGTGCACATACTATTGTTCGTTAAGTTTGACCTCTTAGTATTAACATAAATGTTGTATAAATATTGTTGTTACCTAATTTGTTACTCGTCATACTTATCTTGAAAATGTTAGCAATTAAATTTTAAATAAATAGTTACATGAGTATGTAGTATGTAAAATAATTCAATAATAAATAAAGAAAATGTTGACGCTAAAAAATGCGTTCTTATTTATTAGCTTGATAGTGTGCTTGTCTAACAATGACAACAAATATTGCGTTACCAGTACCGAGCCATGGTCAATGCGTCGGCAATGGCTCACTACTGAAAATATAACCTTGGCCCATTCTTATCATTTCGTTACCCGGATGACGTTGGACCAGCACTGGCGGCCTGTACCGGCAGTCTTGGTTAACGTTGCTGTGCCAATGTTGGGCCGTTTTGACTTTCTTACACGGGATACAAGCACATTTAAATTTCTTAATGTATACAATGTGAATTACGGGATAACTTTTGCAGTAAATTATTTTATTACTATAGGGGGTTGGCTAAGTATAGCTGTTCGTTAAATATTTCACGTTTGTCAGTTACGGATAAAGTCAAGTCAATTTGGCATTATCCGATCACAAATTGATATCAGCATTTCACCGTCGAAAAATCAGGCTACAGTCGAACGAGTAATCTGAAAGCCGAGTTGACAGTAATGAGTCGTCGCTGATGCAACATCGCTGGACGTTCAATGGGTTTCGATGCATTAAAGCTTTCTATTTGGTTTATTTGGTTGAACGAAAGGTCGATTTTGATACAGATATCATTTATAAAATTGTCAATTGGTATTTCGTTTTGTGAGCTTACACTGATTTTACAGATTCCGAATAACACGAATATGTCATTTGCATTGAACGTTTGATTTTATTTGCATGCAAGCTTCAACGTAAGGTCAAAGGCAAAAGTTGAAGAGAGCATCGAAAAGGAGTATCAATTATGTACAGGTGGTTAGTTTTTAAACTGTTTGAGGAGCCGCCGGTCGAGTTTAAAGAACAGGAAGAATGAATCGGAGAATCGAGAACGTTGGAAATGTATTGCTGACGGTGGCTTAATCTACACGCTACAAGATTCCCGTTGTGCAAAGGAAAACGAAAAGTTCGACTTGAAAACTTTCTCCAGTTTGCGAACTGATAACCACGTAGCTATCTGCACTAGTCTTTAATACTCGCAGAATCATCGTTTATTTACGCGTTGCGTGTTTGCGTAAACGTTTGGTTAGCGAAAGTTTCGGATAAATTCGTACGAAGACGAGTCGCGTGAGCTTAGCCACGAAGCATTGTATTTCAGATTGACGCTTTATTGACGCGGATGGATGTAGCTCAGTGAGTTATTGGTGACAGGGAACTAGGGGCATTTTCTGCTAATGGTCTGACTGAAATTGACCAATACTACTCGCGACGTGTGTTCCGCCGCACGTGACAACTTCTACTGACGTTGCTATCGATATTGAATGAAGTTACCTTTGTTTTCGGAAGACGGATGTGAGATTAATTGTGTTAAATAATTGCTCTCTTCAAGTTTCTTGAACGATAGAACTATGCTTTACAGATTACGAACTGCGCGAAAAGTTGGAGAAAAGAAATGCTTTGCGAGTCCGTTTCAATAGGAAAAGAATCGACGTTCTTTTACAAAAAGAGCTACATTCTGCCGCCCGGGGAATTCTTTTCAGATTGAAATGCCGCAACAAATATTTTCTAATAAAGCTTTTTCAACTTTTCAATTGCTCTTGGAGTCGCGTGAGCAAGTGATTCTTTCAATCTTCTATATTAACTTTTAAACTTTCTTTATTGACTGTTGGAAGCAATCAGCAGCGCGATTCCCCGCACAGTGATTCTACATGCGTGCAATTAACGAAACTTTCAATCTCTTCCGCGTGGATGGAATCACAGTGAAAAAAAACCGACGTAGGGCAGCTAAACGGCGCTCTGGCGCTCCAGTCTCAAGCGAGGGACGCGCGTAGCCTCGGCAGATATCTTCATCTTAAAATAACGCAAGAGCGTGGATAAGAAATCGCCTTGCGCATCGTCAAGTCGCGCGCAACTTTGATACAGCTGGCAAACTTCTCGCGGGGGAGCGCTTCGCGAAAGCCATATATTTTTGTACGCCATGCAACTTAAGCTGGCCTCTTGAGCCTCGTTCGTTACCAGCCGAGGGATGCGCTTTAATTGCGTCTGCACACGAGCTCGGAAGGGAAAAACCGCTCGGTCTCTCTTTTTTCCTTTGCTAGGTTGGCTTATTGCACGCAAGCTGCTTACGAGAAAGTTGCTGATTTGTTGCAGCTGATTTTATCGCGGCGCTAACTAATACTCTCGGGTTAAAGCAACTTCCGCGGGAAGTTTGCGTAAACTGTTTTCATTAGAAGAACCTTGATTTTTTTTATTTACGCAGCAAACTTGCGCGGTTCAATAATTACTTCTCTTTTCTTATGTTCGAAATGGTCGTCAACGTACACTCGAAAATCCTTTCGTTCTACGCGAACAACTGTTCCAAATCAAAGTTTTAACTTCACCTATATTTTCCGTGGTGTCTTCGACAACGGCAACGTCTCACGAAAAGACGAAAGGACCGTTACTTTTGGCGCGCTCAGTATAACCACTGGAATCCGACTCATTGTGCGGAAAATTCTCCGTCTATCCTTTTTATTCTTCTTTCTATTTCACGGGAGTTATATTTTGTTTCAGTCCGTTAAAAAACTCTAAAATAGATTGTATTCAATTCTAATAACGTTTTGATTAATTTTGCTTTGTGAAACATTTTTGGATGCTCGAATTACAGCACAATTGAAATTGCAATTTTTTTCTTTCAAAAAACTTCAACTTATTATTTATTATTTGTTTCGAGAAATCAATACTTTAAACAATAATTTAAATGTTCCCGCTGAGATTAATTATATATTTCGTGAAATAATTCGAGATCAATTTAATGGAAAGAAAAGGATTATATTGATGCTTACGTAGTCTCGCTTAACATTCAGTGCACTTATGAGCTCCATTTTATTCTGACATTTCAATTTTCTCCAGATGTCGTCGAGAGCCGAAGAATTTTCTGCCGTCGCTTTCGATTATGCTTTACGAATGAAGTTTGCTGATAAGTACTTTGAAGATTATTTGGTTAACGAATTTCTATCTTTATTTATTTCATTGCGAAACCTAATGAAATATTTAACGCGAGCTGTTCATTTAATTTGAGCTTTGGTATTTTTCCCCATTGGTCTAATACTCATTATTTCAGGCACACGCTCAATATTTCAATTTCATTTGACTTATAAATATAATGGAATTCAAAGTCACAAAAAATTATTGCCCGTGAATTGAATTTAACGCTTAAGAAGACATAAATAATGAAAAATATAAATGTTGTTCTTTTTATTTGAAATATAGTTTGCTTGATAAATGCATACACATCATTATTATTATACATTTTCTATCAAATATGCAGTCAAGTAAACAGACAAATAAACGTACAAAATAGATTTCGTCATAGATCATTAACAATGTTGATCTTAGCAACATAATCTACTTAAAAGCTAATAAATTCTCGACTAATTTATTGCACTCTCTGAAATCCGCCGATATAATTATTTAAAAATATCTTCCGATAATATAGGAATGAAACTAAAAATGAAGATTAGTAGTTATAAATGGCAGCTCCTTCTTTAGGTTCAGTTTTAAACACGAATTTAGACAGATCGAGGCCCTTGGCTTGCTCGTCGTTGCCGTAAAATTTTTCCTTCAGACAATCGATGAAACTCTGTACTTTGTCACTCGTCGTCATCGCCACAACGCAACCACCCCAACTGCGAACATCAAGTATTGCATAATAAATTGAAACGAAAAATCTTTAAGCCGGCCTATTTGCTAAAACAAGCACGTTCATTTATGCCGAAACGTCAATTTGTAGTTTGTTTTCAACAGTACCGCGCACTTGGTTAAACAAGTCGAAACAGGTGCAACGCTTCAGCACTCAAATAAACTGAGCTTAAATACTTGATTAAAAAGTCGAACTATCTGAAATACACGTGCTTCGAATTCGCTCGCGCAAATCAAAGGGGAATTTGTGTATCGCTGATGCCGCGCATATCTATTGCAATCTATTTAAGCTATTCGCTTTCAATGTTCCAATCGCATTACGAGACTTTGACAGTTGTTTATTCGTCAATAGTTTTGCTTGTTTAGCTCGGATTTGCGAATTCGTACGCAATAATACTGAGGCTCAATTTTGATGATTTAGAGAAATTTTGAGCTAAGCTTCAAACTTGAAAAGTTTTAAAGTTTACTTTAACATTTAGTGAAGCATAAAATTTTATTTTTACAATTTAAAATGCAGACTACTGCGGCTATAAACGAGTCTCTAACGTATCTAATAATTATTATGATTATACTGTCATAAATCAGAAAAGTATCGCCTTAATTAATGGATACTGCGTAAAGCTGCATGAATAAATGTAACAATTTCTGCAGTCGAAAAAAACTCATTACAATTTGCATGGTACCTAGCCGTATAATTAGACTTTCGCGCGATTTTGCCAAGTTAATGAACACAAGAAGAGAAAGATTTCAAGTGAGTTTGAAAAATTAAAAAAACTTTAGATTAACTCGCGCTTCTTTGCATTCCGAAAGGTTCTGCATGCTTATTAAAATGAAAAAGAATTCCATCTGCATGCATCTATAAAATAATACTGTCGCGCAATATCGCTTTAAGCGTAAAAAACGTGCATGACGAAAGGAAAGTCCGACGAAATGCAAACGCATATGCGCGTATAAAATGTATAAAAACAAAAGGCAGTATTTACCCAGCGCCAGTGAGTCGTGCTCCCAGGGCACCGGACTCCATGGCCACTCGAACAAGGTCGTCGATCCTCGGATGGCTACATTCGTAAAGGCTTTGCAAGCTGGAGTGACTGGCCGACATTAGGTGTCCCAGTTGACGTAGCCTGTCAGACGCCGCCAAGTCCTTACACTCACACACCTCGCGAAACTCGCCCACGCGACTTGCCTCTGCAACAACCAAAGCTCTCAGCTTCAATATATTTTTCTGTCTGTCTGCGCGCGCAAAACTTGTTTGACGAGCAAGAGGTGGATTTATGGGCAATTCACTCTGAGAGACTGGCCGTTATTTCTTGAAATACGACGTTTCACGTTTCCGTGTGCGAGTGGCGACTCTTTGTTTCATTGCGCTTTACATTCTCCAGTCAGAGTTACGATCGTGCGACGTTTCAACACAAGTTTGGAAAAAATTTTACTCAGGCTCGATTATAAAGTTTTCATCGATAGATAATGTTATCAATGTATGTATAACATTCGCCGACATGAAAAACGTTTCGCACGAATGGAATTCTCAACGGAACGTCAGGCACGCCTTCCTCGGTAAATCAAACTTGTTGCGAGCACGCGATAAAAAAAAGAAGTCAGCAAGCGAGTATTCCGCGAATATTGACTTTAGCCGAACTCTCAATGCGAAAGGTATAAAGTTGACGGGGCATGATGGTAACTCGTAAAACGCACGACGCGGTGATTTCCGAATTGAGCAGATCGTGCTCGTGCATCCGATAATTGAGTTTTCCTCGAGCTTTTTTCCCTCCCGTAAGCCAGACGTCATCTTCCCGTAGCGCCGCGCACGCGATATACGAAAATTTCCGTTTCTCGGCGGCGAAGAAGGAAAAATAAAAATGAAAGGGACAGGCTGAACACGCAAGGGCGCGTCTTCTGCGCAGGAAGATTAACGTTGAATGGAGCGCACGCACATGCGCAGTGCAGCCGAGGCGAAACGAGCGGTGACGAGTGATACAGCGGCGGCTCCCGCGTCTCTTTTGAAAGGGAAAAATGCGGAGGGGCGTGATTTATTGCGGCTAAATTTTCTCTCGTGCTGCGTGGAATATATCCTTCATAACTCGGTGGAGAGAGAAGGGAGGAAAACATGCGACGAGCAGTTCGGTCAAGCGAGCTTTGCTTTGGAACGAATGCTCTGACGTAAATGTGATTTTCCTTTTGCTTTGCGACCACCTCGACGACGGTTAGTTGTCGTCTGCATTGTCTTTAGAGAATTTTGTTACATCGTCGCGGAACTGGTTAGGTGCTTGGAATGTTTTCACTTGGTCTGATGTGAATGGAAAATTCTAGTCTCCCTCTCTCTTTCTTGGATTAAAGCTAGCGCGAGTAAAGTGTCGTTCAATTTGACTTTAACGCTCGACTATCTCCAGCTTTGCACGAGTGAGGAAGAAAAATTCTAATCAGTCGAGTGTATTTCGTGATAATACCATCAAAGTGAAAAACGATCCATTATTTTTAAGAATTCCTGCAGCTCGTCGTTCGAAAACACGTGAAATGTAGAACTCTGTCGCCTATCTCGTGATTCGGTGACAGAAATATTCGGCTGAGTTACGCGTGTCTCCGAGACACTGTAAAAACATGTGTCCAAGCAATGAGAGGCGGAAATAAGAAGAAAAAAAAGAATTGAGATAAAAAGAGATGGGCTTCGGGCATCGAAATACAAAAATAATGATCGAGAGTAAAATAAAATAAATAGAGACGAAGTTGAAACGCGCTTGTGGAGACGGTGAGGGCGCGGGCTCGTAAACAAGTTCGTGCAAGTAGGAGAAAGCTCGTTCTAACATTAGAAACAACCAATGCACGAGTCGAACATGTTATCAATGCTATGCATTGCTCTGCCGTTATTTCAAATGCATGAGTCCTTGATTTTGATAAAAGATTCTGCTACATATTTCTCTTTCTCTCTCGTTTGGAGAATAATTATTCCGCGCAATGTGTATTTACATTCGCACCATCGCGCTTTAAGTTGTAAACACGAGAGTTACTACCGCTTTTTTCGTGTAGATACTAGAATTTGAACAACGTGCTTCGCGCGCACATAATTAAGTTTTTATTGTCCATAATCAAGTTAATAAAATTAAACACGAATCATAATTATTGATTGACTGTTCAGTTGATGTTATGAAATATTTTGTCAGTGAAAGAAATTTTACGTTTGTAAAATAATTAATAAAACAATTTAAAAATGTTAATAATTATGTCTATAGCTCTTTATAAACATAATTTTTTACACTTATATTTTCTCTTCGATGATCACCAAGATAAATTATAGAGGATGCCAAGACCGAATTTTAAACATGGCTACATAAGGCTGTTTGTAATTAAAAATATTTCTTTGTAGATTTATACCAACATCGTCGAAAGTTTGACCTTGCACTTTATTTATTGTGATCGCAAAGGCTAATTTAACTGAAAACTATCTCTGAAAGCGAAAGGATATGTCTTCACACTATAAAGTTATACAAAAAACATACGTCAACTCCAATTTTTAAAAGCGATCAACATTTGTGACTTTCTGATAATTTTCAGGACTTTTGTCAGAGATTACAATGATTATAGAAGGATGTATAGTTTTTCAATTTTCTGCTTTTTAACAATAATTAGAGTGAAGGAATTAGTATTTTTCTGAAAACTTATTAATAAAAAAATTAATTTTTTAAATAAAATATAATTTATGTATATGCAAACAAAGTGAATTAAAAATATTAAAATGATTTAATATATTTATATTTAAATGAAAATAGAAATTAACATAATTTTGATGAAACATTTTTAAATTAGATTAGGTTAGATTAAATTAGATTCAAATAGAAACATACGCACTGCATGAGCTAATCTGATAGGGTTTATCTTAGCTTCACAAAATCCGGTCATGACTTTTTTATTTAAGAGGATGTGCAAAAAGGTAAAAGAAGGAAGAGACAGATGGTCACGTAGATCCAATTAACACTGTCAGACGATTGCAAACACGTTGCCAGACTAATAATCTATGCAAATATTGCTTGCGAACTTTCATTGCGTGTCGTGCATTGCCACTTTGTTGGGTAGCAGCTTCATATTGGCGTTGCACGAGCAGTTAATCAGATTGTATCTTTTTAAACTCAGTTAATTTGGGCTATTGAGCAGGGAATATCATTTTCAAATACCACGTGTGAAAATCTGCTTTAAAAAAATGCTTTAATCTATTTTATTTCAAAACGGCTCATTCAAATTTCTAGAAATATAAATAGTACGACATGTTTACAAAGTTGAAATAGAAGTATAACCATCATGAGAAAGCAAATTAATAAACTAAACAAAGCTAATACTCCATTCGAGCTATTTATTCTAGAGTTACAAACCATTGTACACGTTCTCTTTGGAATTTTTTGTGGTTAAAAATATTGCTAAAAACTCGACGATTCATTGACAATTCAATAGCTACAACAAGCTAGAAGAAAAAGCTTCCGACAGCTACCTTTTTCCTCTTAGCTTCTAGATTCGCAGATGCGACGAATAGTTAGGTGTCAGTTGCGAATTTATTAGGAAATATGTACGAAGCTATATCATTTATTTCTTATCGACGCCTATTATTTTCGTGAAAAAAATGCTTTCTTGGAAGCCAGACAGGAAACACTATTTTTTTCAATCTTACCTTGAAAGACGTGTAGTGCTCTTTGTTTGAGTTTCAGATGTCGTGAGATATTGTGGCGTATTATGTTGGATATCGATTTCAATTCGACTTCCGTTATGTCAAGTATTTCGCACGCCTAAAAAAAACAATCAGGCAAATTCAGTTTTTGAAGCCTATTTTGTAATATTGCCGCGAAACTCTTTACTTTTACTAAGTTTTACTTAGTTTATTTATTTATTTTTTATTATTTTTATACAACTGTTTTTCTCTCAAACAAAGACTTTTAAGCGAAAAGTTTTCGCTCGATTTATTAATGTAAAATTTAAAAAGAAAGAAAAATATGAGTGTCATATTTTCCTTTGATCTAATTCATTTAAAAAATACATTCTTAAACAAAACTATTTTCTTCGCGGGCAGAGCTTCACTGGATTGAAACAACTTCATGAGAAGTCGTCTTTCATTTAAAAAAAATACGATGTCTCGCTCTTATAGCAGTTACGTACCTCTCCGATAGTATAGGGTTCATCGTGAAGATCTGCTACAACGATGTCAGCCATCTCATCGAGAGTCTTTCCAAGGCTGCGCTGGACGTCAATTAATTTCTGCACCGACCGCCACTCGACTCCTCTTTTCGTGGCGATGACCTGTAGAGACATAGGACACAGAGTAGAAAAAACACCAGACTTCAATTTCAAGATATTTGATGTTACATTTTCAAAGCTCGCTTGCGGGCGACTTTTTCTCCTTTCTTACATTGAACAAAAAGAAATATGACCGGGGACTGATGGCTACTTGCAGTTACTTTTTTTGTAGCTTGAAACCTTATAGCAGTTTTTTTCTTTTAAAGTTGCAAAATGTAAAGTTTAATAAACGAAATTTTATTGTGTCAATAGTCACTTTTTTCAGCGTGTTATCTAATAAAAATTGCTATTAATACTAAATTTAAGCAGACTCAAAGATCCATTTTAGTTTGTAATTATTTTAATAAAAAATACCTTTAGTTTCATTTTATTGACAACTAAGATACATAGATTACCTGTGCAGCTAGCCGACATTCCAATACCCTGGTATTATAATCCGAAGTGGCAGCTTTGTTGTGATCTGCTAGACTATGTGCGATAACAAAAACTGCATCGTCGGGCAACGTGACGTCGAAGCCACGTAATGGATTGAATTCTATCAGCTTTGCTGATCCTTAAAGAAATACAAAAAAAAAATCTAATCGCATGTATAAGTAAGAAGTGCACTCTACCATCTATTTGGATTTTGTTTTCACAAGTAGTTGGATTATCACTTCGTTAAACAACGAATAGTTTTTTCAATTGGAATGCTTTTGTTTTTATTGAAAATACATTTTATTGCATAAAAAACGATATTTTGTTGGGCTAATGCTTCCAAAAAAATGTGAAATGAAATAATAATTTTTTTTAAATCTGAAAAAGTACATTTAAAAACTTTAAAACTATTTATGTTGGTATTTTGGTACTTTAACATCGAAGATTGACAACGTTGACATGGAAGTTAAATGGTATTATCTCAGAAAATATCCCTTCATTTTCTCGTTGCATTTAAAAGTAAAACTTATTTTACCTCGTCGACGATAAACTTGATTTCGTATAAAATAGCTTGTTAGTTCCATTTGAAAGTTCATCTAACCACCCTTGCTCTCGCATTAAAAAAATACATATTCTGAGCTTACATATCGCATTGAAAAGAGGGAAGAGAAAAAAGAAGATAGTAAAAAGAAAGTTTGCCAAGTAGAAAAGCTCGAGCGAGAGAGAGAGAGAGAGAGAGAGAGAGAGAGAGAGAGAGAGAGAGAGAGAGAAGAGAGATAAGACGTCTCGAGATATAAGATTGTGCCATCCGCAAGCGAAGGATTTCGCTTAACAAAAAGAAGAAGAAAAAAATTTTTTCTTCCTTTTACTCACCGGCTCTAGCGAGAAAGGCGATAGCTTGGTCCATTCCACCACCTTGGGTGCCGATGTATCTCTCTGCTCTCGCGCTCATCGTAGCCATCTCCTCCTTTGATATTTCGTGCTTCAATGACGGGTAAAAAGATATTGAATTTCATAAAGACCAATCTACTCATCGCAAGTTATTTATGATAGCCCTTTTTTTCTCTCGCCAGCTGTCCTCGAGTCTTTACGTGGTAGACTCTTTTTTATTTGTATGTAATGATTCGAGATCTTGTATAAGTAAACAGTTGGCTTTGAAGTCGTACGTGATATATGTTTTGCTATTTTAATGGAATCTTTTTAAAGAGTGGCAGTGCTTTCATCGAATGTAGTTGGATTTTATTTAGAAACACATTGAATGACTAGAGCTAGTATACTACCAAATCAACAACTGTGGTAAATTTTCGGTGTTTTTAGGAAATACATCTTCATATATCTTGCAAAGTCTCAATTCCTTTCATACAGTAGTTTTCGAAATATTTATAATTAAATTTAACATGAAAGCTATATAATATAAAGCGCAAAATCTTCTATTTTTATAGAAGATTTTTCGCTATGATTTGTTCTTTGTTCGATATTAAAGTAAAAGTAAAACGAAATTCAGACTTTTCTACCAAAAATTGTACATTGTAGTAATCCTTCAATTTTTCTTGAAAATTTGTAATATTCAATTTTTAGATCTATTAAAGTAATGTTTATTGGACTTATTTTTTTTAGCTAGATTTATATGCGTTCTGATGGTAGAGGAATGTGTAAATTACATTCTTTAAATGTTACGTGTACAAACTGTTTTTTCTCTACCTACATATTTTATGAGTAAAAGTCTTGTGAAAAGTCGCCTCATCAATATGTAATTCCAAATGTAGAGCTCCCTGTCGCCATGTATACTTTGATCCGCCTCATGAATAACATAAGGCATTGGGTTCTCCAAATTTCAGTTATCTATTTAAAGAATCTTGGAATTCTATACATAGTTTGGTAGTGAAAAATCAATAAAAGAGAGTAATGCGATTTGAGTAAAAATGATGAATCTTTAATGAAAGCTTAAACAAGGCTGTTTTTATATTTTTATTTCGTTTGAAATGGGAAGACAAGGGGAGAAATTCATCACTTGGACGAAGAAGAAGAGGCGATGATAAATGGTGCGATTTTCGAGCACAGATTCCCGTTATAGATTTTCACGGAGATGGATGGGAGTAAAAACGCTCGTTGTTATGGAGAGTTTAAGTGGTTTTATCGTAATAAAGCACGGGCTGGTACGATAGAGTGTACTTTACGATCTAAATTTCGTTTACGAAAGTATATTATTATACTCGTCAAGGTCGTCTGTTCAGTTAAAAAGCTACACGGTACAAGACAACTCAGTACATCATCCTCAATATCATGTAAATGAAAGGTCTGTCGGATGAATAGTTTACCAATTCGGCCATTTTAGTCAGTTTGAACCGTTATATATATATGCAGACAGCAGAGTAATGTTGAGCTTTGAAGCTGAGAAGGCAATTACACGGCGGAGTAGGCGAGTATTTAATTAATCGGCAAGTTTTGCAATTGATAGCAGCAATAGCAGAGTTTCCCTTCACACCCAAAGTCCTTTAAGAGATTAAGCGCTGTACATTCACATACATCAGACGTCACAACAAACTTCCCATTCGCTCCGGTATTCAACTTTGGTGCTTGTACTCAGTCGAGCATGACGGTCGCCGGCATGCGTTTTGCACGTTACGTACAACTGCTAAGAATGCAAACAGACTGGTGCTTTTCTACTTCGATTAGCATTTCGTGCCCGTATTTCACACTTTTTTATTTTATCCTTTTGACCTTCAGATTGAAGTCACCAAAAATTCTTTATCGAGTAGTTCGACTTTTTGTAATTTTTATATTTCGTTCGCAATGTTTGTCCTTAAAAACGCGATCAACGCAACAAATTAACCGTGGAAATTCACGAAAAAGCTTATAAAACGTCGATCCCAACTGCAAATCGAAAGGGCGTTGGCCAATTCCCGAATGCCAAAGTTTCCCGCAGCCGCGACGGTGAAGATTACTTTTTCAACAGCCGTTTGCCAATGCTCCTTTCGCTAACAAAGTTTCTTACGGTTCCAGCTCGTAACTCGCGCGAGAAAGAACCGTGACTTTCCGCGCTTGAAAAGTAGCGTTAAAGCCGCGCCGGGGAAAAAAAATCGCTTCGCGCGGTAAATGTCGGCTAAGCCAAATCGTCTGTGCATATGCAACAGCTGGGGCGCACGGGAATATTACAGATATGGCTGTGCGTCGTTGATGCATCACGCGCGAATGATGACGAAGTGGTCGTCGCACATCACGACACGCGCTTGTAGCCAGACTGGTTGAAGGATTAATGTACGCGACGTGCGCATATTTCTTTGGAATTGAGTTTTTTGTGCGATAAGAGAGAAGGTGAGCTTGTAGTGACGCTCGGATGATATACTTTGAGCGGAATCCATGACTATAACGGTGTACTGGATGGGACGAGGCTCGATTATTCAAGTAAAAGTTGCGGCAAACCGATTTATTGAGAGATGTTGCCGAAGAAAATTAATTTGAGGGTAAAATTATCATTTTAAATTCGCTAAATTTCTTAATTCTTTTCCATCCAAAATGTTCAATAATTGATTTCAATATTATATTGTTTGTTAATTCATAGGGTATATGCTGATCGTAACGTCTTCAAAGTTTTAACAAACAAAGTCTTATTAATTATTAACAAAGTTTTCTTAGTCGATCCAAGTATCTCATAATTCAATTAAATATGTAAATTAATATTAATTGTGTCAGAAGATTTGCGAACATTTACTAGCTAAAATAACGTGCCTTTAATCAAAATAGCCAATGGAAATATGTATGTTACGAGGTACTTCATTATTAATTCAATTGACCATTCAAAATTTGCCAAGTAGTTTCAGTTTGACATAATATTAAGAGGAAACATTGACCTGAATTACGCTTTGGCCCACGTAATTTCAGGAAAGTCTCAGGCATTCTATTATAACATGATGAAAATTTACCTTGCTAAGGTATACAGTAGCAAGAAGAGCAGCGGATACAAGCGCACTGGAACTTGACAGTCCGGCATTGGGTGGCACGTTGCCCCAGACAGTAGCGAGAATCGATCGAGGTTGGCGCTCTTGAGGGATGACTTCGAATGCTCCCTTTACGCCACATAGAAAGTACCTGTACCAGGATACTCCTACATCCTCGTCGTCCAGCTGACACTGCCTACAAATGTTTTCCTTCTCTTCAGTACATACATACTATCTGCGCTCTCAATTACTGGGTTAAGTGGATTGACTGGTCGGCCGACTACAGATTGCTAGCTGAGCTCGCCACGATGAATAGCATCAGCATAATTATTAGGTATAATATAAATATTAACAAAATTTGTTTTTTGAGAAAGGAGATATCACGCGAACAAGAACTACTTATTATTCTTATTTTAAATTAATTTCTCAATATTCAAGTGAAAGCACAATCTTGTTCTCGTAAATATGAGAACATTTTATTTTATCTCCAGAGATATATTGAATTTGAAGAAGGTTGTCGCTAGTTTTGTGATTATATTACTCAAAGTCTTAAATTTTTGTGAAATAAGAAATTTCGTTTCAGAAATGTTGATGATTAAAGAGGCATTAAAAATAAGAAAGTCTTTTTGGCGTACGCATGCTTTTAATTTCGATTTGGACGGATTTGTAATTTAATGATGTTACACACGAATAATTTACTTTTCAACTGACACCCACTTCGCACGTGAATTATAACTATGTCGAGCAGAAAAATTTTTTAAATCCGATCAAAGTAAGGAGCAATCGGTCGTTTAGCAGAGTAAAATAAATCTTGACAAAAGAAATAAAGGAAATCACGATACACATTTCACCGTGGCTAATTACAATACAGTGCAATTTCAAGCAGCCTCGCGGAAATTAATTCCACATCGTTTATCTATAGTGCCGCAGCGAGAAAAGAAGAAGCTCTCTCCTGAGCTCGAGGTAATTTCATTAGCGGTAACCGACCCTTCGAGGACACGTGCCATGAAGCTTGTCAGAGTGCTCCGCCAGTATAAATTACAATCGGACGATACACACTTGCCAAAGCTCTCTAATGGAAGCCTTTTGCTCGGATTTTTCTTTCTTCTCTCTCTCTCTCTCTCTCTCTCTCTCTCTCTCTCTCTCTCTCTCTCTCTCTCTCTTTCCCTCTCTCTCTCTCTCTCTCTATCGCGGCCGGATGAATAGACGGAAGAAGTGAGTGAGTAGGATTTTCTTAATTAGTATAGGCTTCTTTCTATTCTTAAGTATATTACTCTAAGATGTGTATGAACTGTTTTTTAACCAGTCCAATTCGAAATGAGAGTGCAATGCGAGGTCAAGTGCTTTCCGTTTGAGATCTGCAATTTGATTACGGCGATTAATATTTTATTATTACATATACACTTTTTTCCTCGTTGTTGATACTAAAACCATCGTTTTTCATTTCATTGAACGAGTGTTGTTCGGACGGCAGAAACAGTATTGTTTTTTCCAAAACTACAACTGTAATCTTAATTTTGTATGAAAAAATTCAATTCTAAGAAATTAATTTTTTAATTAATCCTACCCCTTAATTTACTGAGCGCATTAAGTAAGGGTATCTTCAAGAAATCGCTAACCGGAACTAGCTACATTTAAAAATTCATTTAGCTGAAAATGGCCATCTCCAGCGTACATTTCATCTCTGTCTGAAACGAAATATCTTGCAATTCTCAAGAAAAGAGATAAATTTAAAGTCATTGTTACCTTATATTATTGAGTTGCTCGTGCTGATAATCTTGATACCTCTGTTCCACATTGCTAAGTCTGAGCACGTCATCGTCGTCCTTGGTACAACCGACCGCCACCAATACATCCTGTTCGATCGCCATAGGACACACAGAATAGCCGCAGTAGTCAATGTGTTCGCCTATCAGGTTCACCCTGTCGAATTGGTATGGCCGTTTATATTAGTTTACCCGGCACTGATTATTCTCATACTCGACTTGCGTATATTGATTTGGATATAATAGTTCTCCAACTCTCCAGTGGTAGTGCAGTTTAATTGGACCTGACTATTTGTATTCATCAAGGACTGCATGTTTTCGGTTATGAGATATGTCTTAGATTAAATTGGTCTTTGACGTTGTTTGAGCTTGCAAGTTGATTTGCTGTTCATGCATATGTGGCATCCGAGTGCTACGGACCAGTATATCCTCATTCTCAAACAAATCTTTGTTTTTATCCATCTTATCGGATTTAATAGAGTTTCTAATGAAAGTAAGGGAGAGAGTAATTTTTACGTAATAGCTGAACTTTGTTAAGAATAAAGCAAATATTCAGCGTACAAACACCTAGACGAAATCCATGGGATTGTACTGGAGTGTAATTTATTGAATCTATGTTTGGATCGACATCTCCATTTTTTAATTTAGCTATCAACCTATACATTAATTATTAAGAAAATATCCAAGAACACCTGGATTAATTTGAAAATTGTAGAATTGAATTCTCGATGAAGGTTAGTAGTTTATAAAATCAATGAACGCTCAAAAATTCTCCACACGCCAACCTTCTTTATTTTGTAATAACCTTTGACCAATTAATATCATACCTTGCTTGAATTTTCAATGTTGAAAGGTAGAATATTCGTTAAATTACTTAAAAATGGGAAACAACTTGCATTTTTAAATTCAATCAAGTGTAAAAATTAAATTCACTAAATGAAGTATTAAGTAATACTATTTAATCAAGTTTGTATGACAATATTTTCAAAATATTTTTTATCAAAAACCAATAAACACATGCTCCAAGGCAACGCTATATCAGCCTGATAAGGAGAAATGATAAAGATACAGCCATCTCCCAGTGTAATTGAGAAAGCACTTCATTAACCTCTCTAAGCAGTAAAATCGAACCGTGAGCTATTGATTCGACAAATCATACTGCAATTCAAGCATGTAAAAAAAGATTAGACGTATAGCATACCTTCCTGGTACTCGAACGAAAAATGACGGGTCGCGTTGGTAATGTGAATTAAAGTGCGCCGTCAACTCGTCGAGTCTCGTTCTCAATCCAGGGTCCATTCCATTCTGCACCATCATCCTTTTTTCACCCCCTTGTTCTGCAAACAAATGCGAGATTGATAAAAATAATAAAAGTACCTTTTGCTTTTCATTCATTATACCCCGATTTCGAGCAACGTATATTTTAAGAAAGATCGACGAAGAAACTCTTTATTGGATTTCTACGCGAGCTTATGTTTTAGCTAGAATTTCCAGTTGTTTATGTAGATTGTGGAATAACAAACTGAAGAAGAGCAATAAATATTTGTATCGGATCATTTGCTTTTTCGATCCTTTCACGAAGCTCAAAGTCGCAGTTATATTTTCCGGCGAACTCGTAGCATATTTTAAGATTTTTTCGTAATTGAATTTTCTTCGACAGAAGCGTTCCTGGTTAAATTTTATATTTGAAGGTCTCCCTCGAACTCTAATGTCATTATATTCGCTGAATTATGATTATGTGGTTTTTTTCTGTTATTCTTCGCGAGAGCAGAAATTCTATTATCAATCTGAAATGCTTCAATGTAAATCGATTGCTATATATTTTAACGGAGAAGAAGAAAGAAAAGTAATATCGGTATTGCTTTTTCTTACAAAAAAAAAAATATTACCACAGCGCGCTCACGGTATAAAGGAAAAATTTCTCTGTTATGTATTTCAGCGTAAAAATTGACGCACCATTGAAGTAACAGAAAGAGAGAAAGAAAAAGGACTACTTTTGTAGGAACTACGTAACCGTTGAAATGACAGATAAAAATAATAGTAAGCCATCAATTTCAAGCGCAGCATAAGAGAACATCTTTACGCGGTTTATGGCAATTTATATATCTCAAGGATGTGTGCATATATATATATATATATATATATATATATATATATATATATATATATATATATATATATATGTACGCGAATCGGACCACGTCCATTTGCAATAACGTCGAGTTGCCTCGAAATCGTCGATATCCGTTTTTTTCCCTCCCTCCCTCTCTCTCACTCTCTCTCTCTTTATTTGATTATATCGGACCTGCATCAATTTTTACGCGGAGCACCCTGTCGCGAGCAACTAGCGAGACACTCATTTTTATTTCGAAAAAAATAGTAGAGCTTGGCGGCTCTTCTTATATTCACGACGGTCGTTCTTTTTTACGACTGCTCGATGCTAAGTTAAGGGTAACTCGCATTTTACTATTATGTCAGGTGATTCGAGGGGGGTATTAAGTTTGAAGAGCCACTAGATAACGCAGTTTATGGGTAATCTAGTGATAAATTGATTATCGCTTTCTGACACTGTTTGATTTCAGTCGTTAAATGCTGAATAGTGAGGCATTTGATGACAACTGGTCATTATTGTGTTACTGTGAATATATATTCGCAAGTTGATAATTTTACAAATAACATATTATGTGATTCTATATAACTTTAAGTCCTGAAGGAAACTATTGTCAAAAGAACATTTCGTTTGATCGATCTTATTTTTCGTCTGCAAAATACGCTAACAAAAGACTGTGTATCATCGTAATGTATGTGGCGCGGGTATTACGTACGTAGTCACGTTTTCGCAAATGGAAATAGCCATTTATCAGCTCGCGCACACTTGTTGGTTGACGATAAATGGAATGCAATTCCATACGATAAGTTCGAATGTGCGGATGAGTACTAAATGAGAAGGATTTTTTACTCGCGAACGCGAAAAAAAAATCATTTTTAAAAGCTGATGATGAATCGACGCATGCCACTTATCAACAACCGCTTCGAAGCATTCCCGCGAAACTTGAATAAAAGTGCTTACTCGGCAATACCACCAAAGAGCTTGGAGACAGCGCAGAAGCAGAAATTGTAAACACCGTGTGCGACGATCAGCTGATGCCGCTTGCCACGAAGTCGACACTGTAAAGTAATCGCCACAAAACTGCCACGAGACAGTACGTAATCGTGGTGCACACGCTCAGCTGAGGCAACTATGTTATCATTTCATGTGTGGGTCGCCGCTGATATATTTTCTTATTTTCTTATCTTCCTCGCACACCGCATGCTCATACAAACGCTGCAGACGCTGCTGAGTGTCGCGCGCTACTGTTACCGATTCAGAAGACGTGCAAGAGTTTCGTGATGTCACCGCTTGGTTGCGCGAATCGACGATACCACGTGATTGCATTCCTTGTTTGAATTTGAAGCAAAGCTATTTTTCACATTTGTTGTGATAAATCGAGATTGAATTTGCAAAATTTATCAATTCTTGAAAATGATACTTTCAAATAATTAATGGATTATATGGTTGGAATTATTATGTCGAGTTGGAAGAATTGAAAACTTAGTTTTTTAATGATATGGATTAGAAAGTATTACTTTCTCTGTTGGATATCAATTTTTCGTAAAACTGTTGCGCGCAGTTATTTGCAGTTTTAAATAGTTTATAAGCGTCAGATTTTAGACACGTATAACAATTATTAACAGTTATAGACAATTTTGAAAATGCACCTTTTTATCATAAAAGAAATTTGTTATGAATATCAGTTATGAACAGTTTTTAAGCCAGTTTAAAAAATATAAATAATTGCTTACAAATCTAATAAATAGTTAGTTATCATATGGGACAATTAAGAATTATTTTAAACACTTATATATCATTATTATCATTTCATTTTTTCTGGTATTGGCAAATTAATAATTACAATTAACTGCAAATAATAAATACTAAATTTTTATTCCAACGGGTAATTGCTAATAACTGTTATTTGTAGTTATTTATAGTTATTTGCATCTTTCATTTCTCATAATAAATTTTTTTTGGTGAATAAAAATATAAATAACCGTTGGTAACCGAAAAAACTGTTAATATGTAATAATAATAACAGTTTTTTAACAGAAAATACTGTGAAGTAAGTCAAATCAAAGTATAGAAAGTATTATATTATTATATAATTATAAGATCTTTTAAAAATTTACTGTTATCGTGACTCGATTGGATTAAAAATTTCCTCGAACATCGTGATTTCTAATATGATTTTATAAATATTGAAGACTTACACATTCAGCGCAATATTTCAATAAAATTTAACTTTCAATGATTTTCAAAAGTCTATTTTCTTTTTTAATAATTAAGCCTTGGTTGCTTAATCCCCTGTCTATTAACAGGCAACAAACATTCGAAACACCAAATCAACTTATTTAATTATAACTTTTACTTTATTTTCACTGTGCAATCGATTATTGAGAAATAGCATTCTTATGCCATCGGTTGAGGGGCAAACTACGAACTACGTGTTTTGTCCCTACAACGGCAACGAAGGGATCAACTTTGTCGCTAATTGTGTCACTTGCTATAACTAGATACTAGTAAAATTCTCTTAATACTACGTTTCAAAAAAATAAATTTCGAATTAATATAGTCATATTAGATCATAGCTCCAAAATTAACGTTTGCTCATTATACATAAAGAAAAGATCTATCCACGGTTTGACGTTTTTGAACCAAGTAGTTTTACGGCACTTTAATGTATTTTCTCTAGATAGCATTTGGCCCTAACTTTAATACCATGGAGATAAATGTTATAAAGATAATAATTTTGTAAAAATTTGCTAAATGTCACGTATTGGTAGTCAATCCACGAAAAATCACATTTGATAGCATCGACTGAAGAGTCATCTGGTTTAGCGAGTTCAACCCCATGAAGAACACGTAGGGAGCCACTTTGCCATAGCTGGCGTTGGCAACTTATCTACCTATCAGCAGATGTCCCTCGGTGTAGCTTTCTCGGGGGAAAATAAATATCAAGTTACGATCTGCCGCTGTTCTCACATAAAAGTGCGTTCTTGTTGAGGGCATGTAAGGTATTGGCACCCAGTGGTTTGCGTCGATGAAACTTCATTTATTTTAGACATTTTGCTCTGATAAATTTGTTGATCATAAATAAGCTTTTGACAAATGTACCTTTCACGTACCGATGTGCAGATGCTCTTTGCTCATGTGCAAAACCTGTATAAACCAGAACGGTCGTAAAGATACAGGTTGTTTGTGAGTTTGGTACTTGTGAAAACTGTCCACGACATATTTAAGCGCGATTATCGTCCTTTGATAGAATGACTCGAGACAAGGGCTGAAAAAAGCGCAGAAATCAAAATCTATAAAATGCACAGCCCCTGTGGGACGACGTTTCACCCCCCGCTCTTCCAGTAACGTCACAAGCGTCAGTTTAATTCGCATTACTTTGCTCGTAAATCCTTGGGCTCGTGCACGCGAGCGTCGAGCGTGTAATAAAGTCAGCTCTCTGTCTCGCTTTTTTCTCTTTCACTCTGCGCGAAAGCTGATCCTGGGGAATTTTCCGGGCGGCTTGCTTCATCGCCGAACTCCCTTCTCCCGCTCGCTCTGTTCGCGTCGCTGTGTTACAAGCGTATGCCATCGATGCTCCGTTGTTCTCCGATGTGTAGGTGGATTTGGGCCGCCCGCGGGCTCTTCCTCCCCGACGACACTCGCGCCTCGATCCTTCTGATTTTATGAACTGGATGCCTTAACAGCGAGGGAGCCAGATCTCGAGGCCTTTGTCAAAATTGCCCTGCCGATGTGTCCATGGGCACTACGCAGAGCTTCTCGTTGCAATTTATTTTGTTGCGTCGCCTCCGATTCGAACAAAAATCATCCGATACAGATGGTAACATCGTCCGAAACACAGCCGCAGGCACACCCACTTTGCTGCTAGCGACGGGCGTCGACAAAGATTTATAGTAGGCTTCTTCCTCGCTCGCATCGGGCAGTCGTCATCCGGGGCGCCAGAAAGAGATGCGGTCGCGTCCGTTTCGTCGCGAGCGGAACTGGGTATAAATTGAATCGCTCGCCGCCGGCCTTTTAAATCGAGTCCCCGCAAGGCCATAGTTCTCTCGGCCATTAACGGACGGAAAACGCCAATAACTTTGGGGGGCGTAAGCGCGACCGCGCGACGCGACAAAAGGCCAAGCGATAAGTCAAAATCGGTCGGGGGGGGGGGGATGCTTTTCGCCTCTTCCAGCGAGACTCGCGCGGGGCGCAAGCAGCAGCCGTCGTTTCGCCAAGTTTTCGCACTTTTTCACGTGATTTACAAGCTGGACCACCACAGCTTTCGATGCTGGCCGACGTCTTTTCCAGTCGAGAACGTAAGCCGCCGCTTTGAACTTTCTCGCTCTCGCGCCCCACGCCGAAAATACCGAAAACGCATCGGCTATCGTTCGCGAAGCCAAAGAGAGCCTGCGCTCGCGCGGACGCGGAGCCGCGCGTTACGTGTCTCGTGCGCGCGGCATTTCATTGGAATTTCGTAGGGAACAAGCGCGCTGCGGCGCAGTACCGGCAGTGAGATATCGCCGACAAGCTGCAAAACTCTCTTGCGCATACTTTTTCGCGGATTCCAGGCATTTATTATGTCGCGCGTGCGCGCGCGATTTTCTCGACGAGAAATTTTTGATTTAGAGGCGAGATAGGCTGCGCGGATTCTTCGGGCCTGGCGAATTACGTGCGCTTTTACAAAGCGTGCTCGGCCAGTGTCGCCGTACCCGCACACCTCGGCGCGTCGCTTTTCGCGCGCGATAATCATCTATTCTGCCTTGGGCTGGCGGACGACTGTGTGAATTTCACCCGAGAACGCGATCAGCTGGCGAGCACGCGTGATCCTTTTTTTCCGAGCGAATTTTCAAGGATTCCCGCCTACCTGCATAATCGTAAAATCGTAAAATCGCAAAAACAAAAAATCATCGGCTATTCGGGGCATCAGCATCAGCATCATACTCCACTTCAACTGATAATCCGGCAGAGGCGTCGCGCGCGCACAAAAGCTCTCGTGCCAAAGCTTTGTCTTAAGTAATGGCCATAAATTAGCCCTCGAGTACATCGCGCACATCCACAGCGTGCCCAAGCACAATGAACAAAGTGGATTAGAAAGGCGCAGCATCCACGAGAGTTTCGACTGTATACACATGGGCGCGCGCGGGCGCGCTATCCGGGATTTATAGCCAGCCATTATGACATTGACGTATCACCTTGCGGCCTCGTAAAGGCGCGCACCGTCCGAGGCAACTCTATCGAGCCGAGTTTTCGAGGGGTGGCTCCTCCGTCTGCACAGGATCAGCCGGGGCAATTGCGGTTCGAGCCTTCGGTTAATTCGCGATCTCGACGCTTGCCGCGAGTGATTTCCGCTCGGCCGGGACGCCGACGAGACGCTGGGTCGCCGAACGATCGAAGCCGCCGGCGCGCAAAAAAGAAACGGATCCGCGCGACCGCGGATGAGAACCGGCGCCGCCGGAGCAGCACGCGTACGTAGGCCGAGTCGATAATTTAGCGCGCTGCGGCGATCGAGGGGCCGCTGGCGCTGCGCTGCTGTCGTCACTTGGCGAGTCCGTTAAACCGGCCCCGTGTACACCCATAATACTCGTGCCTTGCGCGCGTTACGAGGCCGTTCGCCCGGGCAATAATTCGACGTTACTACTATCGCCGCTTTGCACGGCCGCCGCCGCCGCCAGCAGCGCGCTTCCATTGCACGCGATGCGCGCGCGCGCGCGCGGCCGCGGCGGCCGTTCGCCCGAAATTTCACGCTCACGGGCGCGCCGCTCGTTGGACTGGATTTCTCGACTGCGCGCCCGCGACGCCTCACCTAATAAACCTTGGGATTAATCAGCGCGCGCGGGACGACGCGCAGCTGAAAAGTTTTCAAGTATACGCGACGTGCGCAAACACGGCGGTCGTCGGTGTACAAACTGAGAGGTAGAAAGGACGACAGGCTCGTCGTCGTCATGGGCTTGTGCCAAGGTGAATATTATTTCTGTCCCGGGAGTCTTAAAGCTTTTTAGTATGCAAACAGACGGTTTCTCGCGACGGCGTAATGGCTGTACGGGCAGGGTAGCTGCTGGTGCTGGCGCTGCCGCTGCTCTGTAGCCTATACGTGCATCGCATACACACGCTTGCCTTTTCTCTCGCTCGCTCTCTCCAACCTATATACCTGTCTACTTAGCGTTTATACGTGTGTTGCCGCTTTTCCCTTTTCTTTTTTGCTCGCTCGCCTCTCGCCAGCGCTAACAAGCTTCAAATT